CCGGCGTACCTCGCCGTGCTCCCGGCGCCACCCGCGCCCGCTCCTCGGCCCAATGCGCCGCCTCCTCCAGGCCTACTCGACGCCTGGCTCCCAGCGACACTCGCCTTCTTGTCGTCGCCCACCTCGACCCCCTCGACCAAGTTCCCCATCCTCGACCTCGTCCGTCTCGCCCTCTCGCGCGACTCGGTGCGACTCGCCGCCGAGCCCTCCCTCATCGCCTTCCTCCCCGACCTCCTCGCCCTCCTCGCCACCCAGCTCGCTGATGGCCACGACCACGACTCGTCCGCCGAGCGCCCGCCCGGCGAGCGCGCCTACCTCCTCACGGCGCTGCGCACGCTCTGCAACGCGCTCACCGCACCCGCACACGCCACCCGCATCCTCACGCCCTCGAGCGCGCCGGCTGCCGACGCGCGAGCGAGCGCGACGCGCCTCGTGCTCGCGGCGCTGCTCGACCGCTCGGACCCCAAGATGCGGCGCGAGGGCGCCGGCGCCGCGTGGAGCGTCGTCGCGAGGGTGTACGCCGCGAGGGTCGAGGGCGAGGGGGCGGTCGGTGCCGCTGAGGGAGGGGACGAGTGGGAGGCAGAGCTCGCGAGCGCGCTGCTCGAGGCGTTGACGCTCGAGGAGGACAGCGTCGAGGTCGGTGCGTCCCTGCCCTCTCCTTTCTCTCTCTCTCCCTCTCTTTCACTGTCTCGCTTTTCCGCGAAACGCTCTGACATTGCTCCCCTACCTCGCTCGCAGTGCACCGGCTCGCCGCGACTCTCGGGCTCCTCCTGTATCGCTCGCCGTACTCGGCCGACCTGTGCGCGCTCCTCGACGTGCTCGACGCTCGAGGTACGCTCGAAGGGAAGGAGACGCTCGTCGAGCGGTTGTCGAGCGGTGGCAAGGGAGGAGAGGCGGGCGAGGTCAGGGCGGTGCTGAGGGACGTGCGGGCGCTGTTGGCGGCGGCGGCATGAGGGTGTAGCCGTGCCGAGCGTAACGCGACGAGTATCGTGCGCCCAGGGTATTGTGCTCGCTTCTGGCCCGCAGCTGGCCTCGTCGTCGAGGTCGGGCGCGCGAGGGTCTCCACTCGAGAAGGTCACTTCTGCCTGCGAGAGCCACGTCGCTCTCGCTTCCCATCTCTCCGCTTGCCCCGCTTCAAGCCAAGGACGATCACTCTGATCGAGTCGCTCGTCTGTCCGGGCTGCTCGCGGACGGCGTGTCCGTGCTCGGTCCCTCCTGACCGCGGTCGAGCCTCTTCTTCCGCGGACCGTCCGGTCCTTCTGTCCGCCGCTCGGCCTGCGCTTGCGTTTCCTCTTCCTCGCTACCTGTCGAGCCTCGCCGTCACTGCGCTCGAGCATGCGCTACGGTCGACAGGGCCCTGCTTTGTCGCCAAATCGACCTTCGCAAACTGCGCCCGAGGTCGACCTCGAGAGCCGGCTCCTGTTCTCGCCGGGCCATCGTCGCCGCTCGAACGAGGAGACGTCGTCGACGGCGAGCAGCGGGTCGAGCGGGTCAAGCAGTGAGGAGGAGAAGCGGCATCGACGGCGGAAAAGGAGGGCAGCTCCTGCGGCGGCGGTCACGACGGTGCGTTCCCCTCTCTCTGCCTTGCTTTCGACCATCGAGCTGACCTCTCTCCTTGACAGGGCTTCTCACCGACGGTCGCCATCCTCCTTGTCGCGCTGCTCGTCGCTGTCGGCGTCGCGCTCTACTTCGCGCTGCGAGGCGGCAACCTTTTTGTGCGCTCCCTCTCTCTCTTTCAAAGCTCGAGGCTCACTCACCGACATGCCTCGCCCGCAGGGATCGTCGACTTCTCCAACGGGCAACGGGGCGTCACCAGCACCCGCGACGACTCGCCCGACGCCGGACTCGTCCTCCTCCGGTGGCTCCTCGTCTGCCGCTTCGAGCCGTTCTGCGGGCCCGACGTCAACCAGCGTCTCTCGCTCGTCGACTAGCGCGTCAAAGGCGTCGTCGAGCCCGTCCGGCAAGCCGTCAATGGGCACGATCACCGTCCCCCTTGCCTGGAACTCGCTCACCAGGGTCTGACTCGCGCCGCGGGCCTCGCAGATCCCGACAAGTCGGCCGGCGCTGCGAGCAAGACGGACAACACGGGCTCGAGTCGTCCATCTGGGTCGAGCGGGAGCTCGGCGAGCGGCGGCAACGAGGACGACAAGTCGACGCTCGGGCCTTCCCCGTCCTCCTCCCCGACCGACGGCTCTTCTTCGAGTGGTCCGCTCGTCGACGACTCGCTCAATGGCCACAACGACTTCCGGGCGACGCACCATGCCGACGACCTCGCCTGGAACGACACCCTCGCCGAGGCCGCTCAACGCTGGGTCGAGAACTGCGTGTGGGAGCACAGCGGCGGCTCTTTGCTCGGCGGGGGAGTGCGTCCCTCTCTCTCTCTCTCTCTCTCTCTCTCTCGTGCCTCGATACATGTGTGACTGACTCGTCAGCCCCTGCAGTACGGCGAGAACTTGTTCATGACGAGCAGCAGGGCGTTCACCAAAGAGTCGACCTCGAGCGTGCTCGACGCCGTCGCCTCGTGGTGCGTCGCTTTCTCTTGACTCGCGTCCATGTCAACGACCTGACGCTCTCTCGATGTACAGGAACGACGAGGAGCACATGTACGACTACGGCAACCCGGGCTTCACGCACGAGACGGGGCACGTGCGTCGTCGGTCCTCTCTTCTTTCCGCCCGAACGCCCTCACCGACCTCGAACCCTCGCTCGCAGTTCACGCAAGATATCTGGGTCGGCACCAAGACGGTCGGGTGCGCGATGGGCACGTGCATGGACCTCATGACCTCGGGGGAGTGGGCGGTGCGTCCACGAGTTTCTTTCCCTCGTCGACATGCGCGCTCGACCTGACTCACAGCTCTCCTCTCCCGCATCCCAGGTCTACTACGTTTGCGAGGTGCGCGATCGCCCCCATCCTTTGAGCGAAACGGCAGCTCGGGCCCTGACTCGGTCTTCCCTTCTCCCTCGTCCTCCTCTCGCAGTACTATCCGCCGGGTCCGTCCTCCTCTTTCTCTCCCCCTCTTGGCTCCCGACTGACCATCTTTCTCTCTCTCTCTCTCGCAGGCAACTGGGAGGGACAATTCCCCGAGAATGTCCTGCCGCCGTAGCGTGTCGAGAATCTGCAATTCCAGCACCGTCTCGCTCCCTCTCGCGCTCTACTTGTCCTCCCCGCTCTGCTCCCACACCTGCTGTACCGCGCCCCAGTATCGTTTTGGGTCGGCGCGTGCGTGCGCGACGTGCGGCGTCGCCTCAAAGCGCTCGGCCCGGACCTCGAGGCCGAGCGAGCGGGCCTCGGCGACGTGTTGCTCGACGTCGGCGCAGGGGACGAGCTTGTCGGTCGTCGAGTAGAGGTAGAGTCGAGGGACGGGAGGGAGGGCCGGAGAGTTGAAGTAGGCCGCGACACGAGCGAGGATGGACGAACGACGGCGGATCCTGCACCGGGAGCGAGGTCAGTGCGCGTCCTCGTGCGGCCGAGAAAGGAGAGAACGTGGAGCGCACATGTCCCAAAGTCGCAGGAAGGCATAGACGACCGAGAGCACGCCCATGAGCGGCACCTTGACGAGCGGGCTCTTGACGCCGGCCGTAAAAGCTGCGATGATGCCGCTCAGGCTGGCCTGGCCCGGGCACGAGTCGAACACGATCGCTCGGGCAGGTAGAGGCGTCGTCGCAGCAGCTATTGGCTGTCGACCGTCGGCTCGGCTCGGCCGCATGAGCTCGTTGAGCGTCTTGAGCGTCAAGCAGCCGCCGTTCGAGAAGGCGTGGACGAGGAGACCGCTCGACGGGCCCGCCGTGTAGCCACTCGTGCGTGACCGAAGAACGTCGGCGGCTGGAACGAGGGCGTGGACGAGCTTTGAGGGGCGGAAGAAGTCGCTCTCCATCGAGCGGAGAAGCAGGATGGACGAGGTCGGGTACTGCGGGAGGAAGCGGTTAGCGCTCGCCTTGACGAGGATGATGGGCAAGCATGCTCACGTACAATAGTGCGGTACGTCTCCGCGTACTTCTCGACGTGCTTGAGCTGGGCCTGCGCGAGGTACGGCGGTCGAGGCAGGAGGAGGGAGAGGGAAGACGAGATGCAGGGGTCAGTGTCGCCGAGGTGAAGGGAAGGTCGGGACGCACACCCATCCATCCAGAGATCAAGATGAGCTCTGGCGCCTTGTTTGCGCTCGTCCCTGCTGCTGCACCATGGGCGAGAGAGGATGCCGGCTCGGCCAGGTAGACGGCGGGGGAGAGCTTGCGGAACAGCGATTTGGCGGCCATGGCGGGGCGTCGCAGGTGCTGTGGCGGGTCGCAGAGCGTGGTGCGAGCGTCCTCGTGGCCAGGAGCTGGCGGTGACGGCGCGCAGAGGTGAGGAGAGCCAGCTGCCACGCTTCGGCTCGATCACGCAGCTTGCCGAGGTCGCTCTCGCGCAGGGACGCTGTCGTCGGCGAGCTGCGTTGCCTCGTACGGTTCAGACGGTAGCGGCGATGTCGACGGGCGGCGACCGCGGGGCAGGTCGGAAGCCTGCGAGCCAACCTCGCGCTCGCACGCCCCCCTCCCGGCTCTCTCACGCTCTGGCACAGCATACAGACACCTTTCGACTCTCTGCGTAGCCGTAGAAGCGCGCGAGGCCGAAGGAGAAAGGCGACCTGCGCCCGCTCGCGTTGCTCGACCGCCTCGAGGCTCTACTCGTCCTCGAACCCGATCCTGAGCACCTCCTGCCATGCCCGCTCGAGGACAGGCCCGCTCGCTCGCTCGTCCTCGTCGTACTCGCACGCCCGCACCTCGTCCCGCGACAGTGGGCGCAAGACGTAGCTCGCGACCTCGCTGCGCTCGTCCGGGCGCCCGATCCCGACCCACAGGCGGTGAAAGTCGCGAGAGCCCTTGAGTGCGCTCGAGAGGGAGCGCACGCCGTTGTGCCCTCGGGGCCCGCCGCCGCGCTGGTACTTGACGGCCGAGGGCGCGAGGTCGAGGTCGTCCTGGAGGGAGACGAGGCGGAGCATGGGCTTGACCGGGGCGGCTGGCGGCTTCTTGCGCGCTCGGGGTGGCGCCTCGGGGTCGATGTCGACGTCTGGCAGGACGACAGGTCGAGAGGGAGCGGCGAGAGGTGTAAGGAAGCCGTCAAACGCGGCGGCGGCGGCGGGCCCAGAGACGTTCATGAGGGCTCGCGGGAGGACGAACAGGACCTCGAGCGGGGTCTGGTCGGCGGCGGACGGCGGAGCGGCGAGGAGAATGCGCGAGGTCCAGCTCGTGTGGCGGCCGTACTTGGTCGAGAGGAGCGTGGCCGAGCCGGAAAGACGAGACGAGCTGGCGGCGGCGCGCTTGGCGAGGTTCTTGAGGAGGACCTGGCCGACCTGCGCGCGATTTGGGATGGTCAGCTGGGCTCAGAGAGTGTACGAGGGGCACGAAGGACGCACCGAGTGGCGTGTGAGCGGGTGCGTGTAGTTGCCGAGGCCGACGACGACGAGACGACGAGCTGCGACCGTCACTGCGCGCGTGCGGGGGCTGTCAGCGCGGCGCAGTGTCGATAGAGGGAGACAAGACGCACTGGCGCTGCTTGCGGTGCCTTCTAGGCCTGGTGGGAGGTCGACGCCGGCTCGAGAGATGACAGAAGAGAGTCGAGGCGATGAAGCGATTGTCGACCACGAGGATCAGGCGGCGCAGTACTGGAGGGTCCTGAGGACTAGACCCAGCCGCTCAGCAGTGGAGCAGGCTCGTAGCGGTGAGGTCGACAGCGAACGAAGCGCGAGCGATTCCCGCCCTCCTCCCCTCGACAAGACGGCACCCTCGCAACTCGCTTGCAGGCCGGTCGACCAGCTCAATAGCTCGCACGAGCCTATCGCGGTGGACTGCAGTTGCCCCTCGGCCACCCCGCTGAGCGAGAGAGGCGGCGTCACGCTTGCTGCGCCAACTCTTTCCTCGGCCGCCGCAGGGTCGAGCGAGGTGGGGGTACCCCCAGTCGGACCCCCCAGTTGCGCTCACGATCCGGCTCCAGATCGCTTGCCCCCTCCACTATCCCCCCCAGGGTCGCTGCGATAGCGCGGCGCTCGTTCGCTTCGTGGCCTCCTCGCTCTCCCTCTCCTCGCCCACACTCGACCATGCCCGCTCTCGTCCTCCCTCCCGCTTACTTCGACGCCGGCAAGCACCTGTGCTACCGGCGGCCCGACAAGGTCATCAGCATGGCAGAGCTCGCGCTCGACGGCGGCATTTCTCCTGTCGGCGTGACGGCACCCTTCCCGCTCTTCTCTCGCGAGGCCGTCACAGAGCTTCGTCGCGAGAGTGCGTCCTCTTTCTCTTCCTCTCGTCGTCGCAGGCCCGGCCAACCAGCGTGGCTGCCCTTCGACCGGCGTCCCTGACCTCCTCCCTCTCCCTTCCCCCCTCGCCCTTCCCTCTCGCAGTCCTTTCCGAGGAGGTCCTCGACAAGTACACCGTCTCGTCCTACATCTCAGCGTTCCAGGGCCGCGAGTACCCGCAGCACGTCGCGCCGTTCGTCCACGCCGCCTGGACCTCGCCCGAGGTGCTCGCAGCCGTCAGCGACGCAGCCGGCATCGACCTCGTCCCCGTCATGGACCTCGAGCTCGGCCACGTCAACTACCAGCTCGCACAACCCGGCCGAGACGGCTTCCTCAACACGCCGCACGAGCCCTGGGCACAGCCGAGCGCGCCCGAGGACCAGAGGAGGAGGGCGCAGGAGCTCGCCGACGCCGACAAAGGCGAGGGCGCTACCAACGTCATGTTCCACCACGACTCGTACCCGTTCGTGTGCGTGCTCATGCTCAGCGATTGCGAGAACATGATTGGCGGCGAGGTGCGTCCCCTCTCGCCCCCTTCCCCCTTCCGTCCCCTAGCGAAGGCGCTCTCGAGCCAAGGGCTCTCCAGACCTCGAGACCGACTCTTTCGTGTGACATAGACTGCTCTCCGGACCGGTGACGGGCGCATCGTCAAGGCGCGAGGACCGAGCGTCGGCAGCTGCGTCGTGATGCAAGGGCGCCACATCAGCCACGCCGCCCTGCGCGCGTACGGCGTCGGCGAGCGCATCACGATGGTGACGAGCTTCCGGGCACGCGATCCGATGGTGCACGACGGCTCGGGTGCGTCCCCTCGCCTTCTCCTCTCGCCCTCGTCGCCTCGTCCTGACCACGGTCGAGCCTCTTCCCCCTTCCTCGCAGTGCTCTCGACGATTCACCCGGTCTCGAAGGCGAACCGGCTCAACTACCAGTGGTCGATGTACCGCCTCAAGCTCTTGTCCGAGCGCTTCGCCGTCATGGCGTCGCAGCTCGAGAAGAAGAAGGAGCTGCTGCCGGCCGACGACGACGACGACGGCCGGGGCGGGTCCGAGGTGGTACGTCTCCTCTCTCTCCTCACACTCGACTCGATCCACTCTCGCCTCGTACTGACGCACGCTCTCGATGTTTGCGCAGGTCAACGTCGAGGAGATGAGCCAGGTGCGTCGCCGTTTCTCACTTGTCGCCGCTTTGACTCTCACTCACGCACGGCTCCCTCCCTCTCTCGCGCAGTGGATCGACGAGCAAGTTTCGTACCTCGCCAACACGAAGATGCAGCTCATGCAGTAGAGCCTCGAGCAGTTTCAGTCCGTCGTGCAGTACAGCAGTGCCCTTTGTCGACGGCCGGCGGCGAGGGATAGTACTCTGGTCGAGCCTGAGAGCAAGCTCGTCACTGGAAGCTGCATCCGGAGAGACTGTCTGCGAGCCGCAAAGCACGAGAAGGCGGCGGCGGCCACGCTGCCGAGCGAAACCAGTCGTTCGAGGAGCAGGACCTCAGGGCGAGCCTGGGACGCGAGAGAGCGGGACCGGGACGAAGCCGAGCGTGCGAAGCAGATGATCGGATCCACGAAGCCGAGACCAGTTCGTGCCGCGAGCGGGCGCACAGCGAGAGAGAGGAGGAGGTGAAGGGCCGACCGCCCGTGGCGGGGGAGCTGTCCCTCTCATCTCACGCCGTGCCGAGCTAGCGGCCCCTCTGCTCAGCTCTCACCTACGCCAGATTCCACCGCCGCTCCCGCGAGGCCCGTCCACCTCGACCGCCACCGCCTGCTTCCCCTCGTCGTCGCCTCCTCGAACCCGAGCCCGATTTGCCAGTCGCCCCGTCGCCCACACGACTCGAGCCGCCATGCGTTGGCCTCAAGCCTCGCCCCCGGCACTTCTCGCGGCACTCGTCGCCCTCGGCGCGAGCAGCGCGGTCCAGGCGGCGCCCATTGTCGTCGTCGGCGACTCGCTCACCCAAGAGACGTGGAGCCGCGTCGAGACCGGTACCTGGTGCGTCTACTTCCTCCAGTCTGCCCACAGACCTCCCCTTGTACCCCTCTGCCGCGCTCTCAGCGCCAGAGAACCCCTCGTCGTCGTCGAGGAACGGGTCCTCCTTGCGTCGCACTGATGAGCGAGTTACTGACCCTCTTCCTCCCTGTGCCGGTCTGCAGGCTTGTCGAGCACTACTCGTGCGTCTCAGGCTATTCCTCCCCCGAGCGCGTACCCCGTAGACCCGATCTGACGCTTCTCGTCCCCGCGCAGGCCGTACTGCTCGCACTGCAAGGCCTTTGCCCCCAAGTGGAAAGAGCGTGCGTCCGCCTCGCCCGTGTTGTCGAGGCAGCAGCAGCAACTGACACCTTTGGACACACCGCGCGCAGTCGTCGACACGTACGAGGACGCCGCGTCGGCCCACAACTTCTACTTTGCCCAAGTCGACTGCGCCTCGAACGGCGACCTGTGCCACGCCAACTCGGTCAAGTACTACCCGTCGATCTTCCTGTACCGCGACGGCGCCTTTGTCGAGGAGTTCGAGGACAAGCGCTCGCTCGAGGTGCTCGGCAAGTACGTCGAGGAGCACTACCCGGTCTCGGCGGAGAAGCTCGCCGCCGAGAAGGAGGACAAGGAGCAGAAGGAGCGTGCGGCAGGCGAGAAGGGCGAGTGGGACAGGCGGGAGCAGGCGGTGGACGGCATGAGCGGGCTGGACAAGGTCAACGAGGGCGAGCGCGAGGACAAGGCGGCGGCGGCGGGTCCGGCCAAGGTCGAGGGCAAAGTGCGCCTCGCCCAACAGTGGGACGACGATGTGGACGAGGAGGGCGAGGAGGCGGTCGCCAAGCCTGCGCATCCGGTGCTGCACGTCGCCGACGAGGACGACGACGGCCCGAGCGCCAAGTCGGGCACGGTCCGCGAAGGCAAGGGCGACGACGATGACGAGCCGCTCGCCCCGCTCCTGTCCGACGCCAAGAAGAAGCTCGACGCGTTCTACCCGGCGCCGGCGTCGTCGACCTCGTCCCTGTCCGCCACGACCTCGACCTCGACCCAGACGCCGGCGAGCGCCGACCCGACCTCGACGGCTTTTGCCCGTCCGGCGTTCGTCGCGCAGCAACCCGCCGTCGAAAAGAAGCGCAGCGGGCACGAGTGGCCAGCCGTCGACGGCTCGGTGCAGCTCTTGACGCCCGAGGACATGGCCGTCCTCACCGACGAGGAGACGCCGGCCAGCTTCGTCAAGTTCTACGCGCCATGGTGCCACCACTGTAAATCATTGCGACCAAGTGCGTCGCCGACGTTTCCTCCTTTGTCCCGTCAGCGCCGAAATTGACCGTCTTGCCTCGCCCCACCTCGCCCTCGTCGCCTGCCTCGCAGAGTGGAAGGAGCTCGCCGAGGTGCTCGCTCCCGCAGGCGTGCACGTCTACGAGGTCGACTGCGACGCCGCCGAGAACAAGCGGGCGTGCCGGACCCAGGGCGTGCAAGGCTACCCGACGCTCAAGTTGTGCGTCCCCCTCTCCCCCCCTCTCCCCTCCCTTCCTCTCGTCCCTGCCACCGCATCCAGTACTGATGATCCTCGATGCGCAGCTACAACAAAGGCGCGTCGGCCGAGTACCTGGGCAAGCGCGACGTCAAGTCGCTCGAGGCGTTCGCCCTCAAGGCCAAGGCGGCGTGCGTCCCGCTTTCGCTCTCTCTCTCTCCCGCCCTGCCTCAGAGTACCGAGGGGCCGACGTCTCACACCCACGCCCGCAGCACGACCGTCAAGACGCTCACGAGCGAGCACGAGCTCAAGCGCGCCGTCAAGGAGGACGAGGTCGTCGTCCTCTTCCTGCACTCGTCCGAGACGAAGCAGACCGACGTTGTGCGTGTCGTGCCTCTTCTTGTCTCGTCGTGCGGCCGAGGTCCTGACACCGTCCCCTCCTCGCCTGCAGGACGCCGGACACGCCGCCGCCAAGTCGCTCATGGGCTCGTCGCCCGTCTACACCTCGAGCTCGCCCGAGCTCCTCGACCTGTTCTCGATCCCGTCCAACCAGCCGACGTTCGTCACGCTCAAGGACCACTCGCTCGCGCCCTCGTCGACCTTCGCCCTCCCGCACGGCATGTCGACGACCAAGCGCGTTGCGCTCGCACGCAGTTGGCTGCGCTCGGCCAAGCTCCCGGCCGTGACCGAGCTCACGTCGACGACGTTTGCCGACCTCATGCCGACCGACGGCGAGCCGCCGCTGGTCGGGCTCGCGGTCTTCAGCCGCAAAGGCCTCGGCGACGACGGGTTCGAGCGCAAGAAGGACGAGGTCAAGGCGCTCGCGAGGGGGTGGGCGCAGAGGAGGCGGACGGCGAGCAGGGAGGAGCGAGACGTGCTGTGGGCGTGGGTGGACGGCGACAAGTGGGCCGGGTGGGTCCGGACCATGTACGACGTCAAGATGGGCGGCAAGGACGCGCCGGCGCTCGTCATCGCCGACCCCAAGGTGCGTCGCCCTGCCTTTCTCTCTCTCTCTCTATCCCTGTCGACGTCGCAAGAGGCGTCGCCCTCGTCCCGGTACTGATTATGCACGGTCCCTCCCTCTCTCGCACAGGCGCTCAGCTATTGGTCCGAGACGCTGTCGGGCTCGCCGCTCGCGCTCGACGACCCGAACGAGGTGTATCAGCTCGTCGAGGAGGGCATCCACACGTCGCGGGCCAAGCCGCACTCGTCGCGCCAGTTCTTCGACCGCTTCGCTGTCGTACGTCCTCGCCTCCTCCTCGTCCTTCCTCTCTTGTACTCTCCTCCCGCCTCGAGCGCCCTGTCCCTGACATCCTCGTCCCTCCCATCCCCTCGTCGCAGTCGGTCGTCGACAGCTTCACGGCGATGTACGAGTGGTGCTGGGCTCACCCGGTCCTGTTCCTCGTCGCGCTCGTCGCGTCGTGGATCGGCACTTGGCGGCTGCTCAAGCGCGCGTTCGCCTCGCCGGGCTACGTGGCGATCCCGAACGGCGGCGTCGGTGCGAGGGGCGGCGCAGGGCCGAAGAGGGAGTAGTTCGTCGAGCGCGAGCATGCATCTTGGACAACGTGCGCCCGACCGCTCTCTCGGTGCGACAGTCGAGCGTCATGAGAGAGAGCGAGAGAGCAATGTGAGCCCTCGTCGGTGCGCAGGATCAAGCAAGTTTCAGCACTTGAGAGAGCGCAAAGGATCGGCGCGAGGACGAAGCTGCCACAGCGGGATTGGAGACCTCCCTCGACGACGACGACCACCCCGCGCGCCTTGACCCTTCCAAAGCCCTCTCGAAGTCGCACCCACACTCGCTTGCATCGCCACACGCCCACCCGGCACCTGCACGGCGTCCACCCACGCCGCCAGCACGACTCGTCCACCAGTCGCTCAACCTCGCGTCGCCCGTCGGCCCTCTCGCCGCTGTCGGCCTCGGTTATCCAGGCGCACAGCCCAGTGCTCTGCAGAGTGACTGTCGACATCTCTCTCGGTGCGTCCCACCGTCTGGCGACGAGTTCTCCGTGTGCGGCCCCTTCGAGCCTGCGAGGTCGCTAACCTTGTTGCCGTACCTCGCGTCGCCGCGCAGGAGAGCGATGGCGAGAGACCCAGCCGTCGGCAAGACCTCAGCACCCGTACAGCTCGGCCACAGAGCCCCGACGACCTCGGCCAGCCGCACCTTCAGCCCTGCACCTCGCTCCGTCTCGTCGCCCCACCCGACCGCGCCCGCCGACTCGGTGCTCCCGCCGCCCGACCTGCCTCGGCGCCGCAGCTCGTTCGACATGGACACGGTCGCCAACCTGGACCGCGCCGCCGCCGACCGCCGAGGCCACTCGCGCAGCAAGAGCTCGACCTCGACCCTGCCCTCGATCCGCTCGCTCAAGAACCGGTTTCAGCAGAGCTTCACGTTCGGCCGCAAGGGCCCCAAGATCGTCAAGGGCGACGACGCCAAGCGCATCACGGTCGACCACGTCCGCTTCTCGACCGCGACCGTCGGCGACGGCCCTCGGCTCAAGGGCTTCGGCGGGCCCGCAGGCGCAGCCCCTGCCGCGAGGGACATGAGCCGCAGCGCATCGCTCCCGTCCAAGCTCCACGCGGCTCGTGGCCACGGCGACGAGGACGCGCCGGCACTGCCGCAGCTCGTCTTCAGCGTCGACAGCGTCGACGAGTTCGGCGTCAAGCAGTCGGTCGACCAGGCCCTCGCGTCGGGCTACGGCTCACCAACCTCGCCCTATCCTCCCTCAGTGCGAGCGGCGACGCCCGCCCTCTCGACTCGCCAACGCGACGCCGCGTCCCCATCGCCTCGCGGCGGCTCCCCCCTCCTCGGGCGAGGCTCGCCCTTGCCCGGCCGCCCGATCGTCATCGCGCCGCGCACCACGCCCTCGCCCATGCCCCTTCCTTCGCCCTTCCTCCGCAGCGCCACCTCGCCGACCTCGCCCAAGCGCGCGCGCGACTCGATGACGCCGCAGCCCTGGCCTCGCGCCGAGCCGGGCGTGCCCCCTCTCGCCTCGCCCGTCACCGCCCCGGACACGGCGCCCGTCCCGCAACGTGCCCTGTCGCCAACCCTGTCGGCGGCCAACCGGCGCATCCTCAACCGCGTCTCGCAGGACTTTGCGCGTCGACCCGACGACCCGCCGCTCCTGTCGCTCCGCCGCCGCCAGGCCGAGGAGCGCGAGTCGGTCACGCGCACGCTCTCGCGCCAGGGCCACCGCAACTCGCGCATCCTCCCCGGCGCGACGCTGCCCGCCGAGGTGGCCGACCTCGCCATGGTCCGCAGCAAGTCGGCGCTCAGCCTCGGCGCGACCGACGACGACGGCCCGAGCGCTAGCCGGCCGACGTCGCGGTACCTGTCGCCCGACGCCGCCCTCGAATTTGCCCCGGTCGCGAGCGAGGCGACGCGCCGCGACTCGCAGGGTCGGCTGCGGCGCCGCCACTCGGTCAGCCCGGTGGTCACGCCGACGCTGCCCCAGTCCGGCACCGAGACGTCGACCGACAGCCCGCCCGTCGACGCCGCTAAACGCGACGAGCCTCGCGACGTGTCGCTCGGCGCGCTGCTCGGACGGGCGAGCACCGGCTTGGGCTTCTCGTCGCCGCTCAGGCCCGACGAGCGCCGCCCGAGCAAGCCCTTCCCGCCCGAGTTCGATGAGGTGCCCGTCCGTCGCGTCATCGTGCAGCAGCCGTCGAGGGAGGACACGGCCCGAGCGGCGGCTCCTCCCGTCGACGCGCCCGCGTTCCTCCCCGTCGCCCTCGGCAACGTGTCGCGCGGCGACAACCTCGACTGCCCCGACACGCCGCCGTCGTCCGCCCGGCGCAACAGCTCGAACCCGTTCGTACCGCCGTTCCTCGCCCCGCTCACTCGAGCCGGGTCGTCGTCCTCGGCGTCGTCGTCCTCGGCGAGCTCGTACGGCGCGCCGTCCGAGGCGCCGCCGGTCCTCGCCTCGCTCCACACCGGCGCCCGACCTCCTTCGCTCCACGACCCGTTCCTCCCGTCGACTCGCGAGCTCCGCAAGGCGCGCTCGGCGTCGAGCATGGCGTCGCACGGCGCGCAACTGCGGTCGTCGGTCGTCCCGCCCGTCCCGGACTCGCGAGACGGGTCGAGCGACGACGACGGCGATGACGGCGCTCGCCGGACGTCGCGCTCGCGTCGGAGGAAGAGCGAGGACTACACGGCGCAACGGCGGGCGACGCTCGCCGGCGAGAGCCGCCGACCTACGGTCGTCGGCGAGGCGCAGGACGGCGGCCGAGGCGAGGACGAGCGGGGCTCGTCGCCCCGCATCACGCGCCAGATGCGCTTCGACAAGTCGCCTGAGCCCGACGAGGCCGGCGAGGGCGAGCTGCCGCACGTCGCCGACAGCTCGCCTGTCGTTCAGCGGCTCCTCGCGCCCGAGCCGTCGCCCCTCCACGCCTCGCTCGCGAGGAGCCCCGGCGACGAGCACCCCTTCCAGCTCGCGAGCTACCTCAACCACTCGCCCGCAACGACCCCACCTGCCGTCGCGACGAGCGCTCGACCTTCCCACCTGTCGGCCGCCGACCTCCTCGTCAGCCCCACCTCGCACGCCCGTCCAGCTGCCCCTCCCGCCGGTTCGCCCCCGCCGCCACCGACCTTCACGCTGCGCACGCCGCTCCCCCAGCAGGCCCGACTCGACAGCTCGTCGAGCGCGCTCACGCTCGCCGACATGGAGAGCGAGATCGTCCGCATGGAGGCGGAGCTCGCGCGTGCCTGGCGGTCGCCGTCAATGGCGTACGACGCGTCGAGCCCGGCGGCGCACGAGGACGGCTTCCACCCGCACCCGGCAGTGCCTTTCGGCGGCGACGACTCGGGCGGGCAGAGCCCGCTCGTCGAGGGCGACGCGTCGCCGGCCGTCTCGGGCGACATGATCACGCCGCGCACGGCGCGCAAGTGGAGCATCTTCGAGATCGAGAAGGCCTACGAGCGCATGAAGCGCCTCCTCGGCTCGTCGTCGTCGCGTCCGCCAGTCGGCGCCATGGGCGGCTTCGACCCGGCGCCGAGCGACGCCGGCAGCTTCGCCGACGAGAGCTCGACGTTCCCGAACGGCGGGTTCGACGCAGCGCTGGAGGATGCGCTCGCGCAGGCGAGGAGGATCAGCAGGTCGATGGACGAGGAGGGGGTCGAGGTGCTCGTCGACCGGTCCGAGCGGGCCGCCGACGACGACGACACGCTCAAGATCGGCTTGTGCGTCTTGTGCTCCTCTCTCTCTGTGTCTCTCTTCCACTAGTGCGACTCGAGCCTGACGTATTTGCCGCACAGCTCGCCCGGCTCGCACTCGTCGTCCCGCCGCCCGTCCGACAACAGCTTCGACTCGACGCACTTCGAGGCCAAGCCCCTACCCGGCCTACCACCTCCCACGCCGTCCATCTGCAGCCAGCCCTCCTCGACCAGCCGCGAGCGCGCGCCGCCTCTCCCTCGGTCGGCCGAGCACCAGCAGCCGGCCGCAGATGGCCCCGACGACGCGCCGTTGCCCGGGGCCGACCTCGATCGGCGCGCTCTCGATGCGCAGAACACGGTCGAGTCGGCGTCGAGCGTCAAGGGCGACGAGCAGAACGAGCAGCACGAGCAGGGCGAGCACGACGGGCACGGCGACGGGAGGACGACCCCGGACCACGACCGCCGCCCGCTCGAGCCGTCTTCGCCGTCGCCGCGACAAGCAGCAGCGCACCGCTCGCCCGACTCGCCCGGGCGCGTGCCCATCCTCGGCCGCAAGCGCACCGACAGCGACGCGAGCGGGATGCGCCGCCTCGTCCTCCCCGCCGCAAGCCGGCTGCGCGCGCAGAACCAGCGCGACAGCATGCTGTCGCTCATCAGCGTCGAGGACATGCTCAGCCAGGGCGGCGACAGCAACGAGGTGTTCGCGACGGCCGAGACGGACCGAGGCGTGTTCACGACGCCGCCGACGTCGCCGACCCGCCGCAACCCGCAGACGCTCTCGCCCGGCGCGAGGTCGTCGCCGCACCGCATCTCGTTCGGCTCGCCGCTCCGCAGCGGCGTCGGGCGCGAGCTGCAGCGGCGCACTGCCCCCGAGGGCACGGCGGCGGGCGAGGACGGCGTCGGGTTCGAGTCGCCGGCGGCGCGCATGCGCCGGGTCAGCGTTCAGCGCCTCTCGGAGCCGCCGATGAGCCCGCCCAAGCGTCGCGGTATGGTGCGAGCGACGAGCGGCGACGCCTCGTCCTGGTACCCGCAGACGCCGAGTCGCCGTCCAGATCGGCCGCACCGGTCCGAGGAGCCTTTCACCTCGAGCTCGACCGCCAAGGTGCATGGCGACGACGAGCCGGCGTCCCTCAACGAGAACGTCACGATCGCCAACATCCGCAACATGGACAAGCTCGAGATCTTCTTCCGGTGCGCCCACCGTTTCCCTTATTCGAGGTCCGACCTTCCTAAATCCGTGGCTAATCTCTTTCCCTTCCTCGACTGCAGGTTCACGGCGGCCAAGGCCGAGATGGACAAGGCCGTGCTCGAGCGCGACGCCCTCCTCGATGCGCTGCGCGAGACGCGCCTCACCCTGAGCGACGTTCGCCGGCAGCGCGACGTGTTCGACGACGACCTCAAGCGCGAGCGTCTCTTTGCCAAAAAGGTCAAGCAGGTGCGTCCCTTTCTCTCACTCTCTGCCTCGAGGCACGCCCTGACGACGCACGCCTCACCCCTTGCAGCACCTCGGCGCCGACCCGGAGCGTCATCTCGACCAGCTCGATGCGCTCGTCGAAGGGCGACAAACATGGGAGCATCGCGCGCAAGAAGCGCTCGAGGCGCTGCGAGGCGCACAGCACGAGCTCGAGCTCCTGCGCGACGAGGTCGGCAAGGGGCGCGAGCGCCAAGAGCTCCTCGAGCGCGAGAATATCGCCATGGGCGCGAGGCTCGCCGCCGCCGAGATGCAGCTCGACGAGCGTGCAGGGCGGCACCAGCTCGCGCCGGTACAGCACGGCGGGCTCTCGTCGCTGTCGACGGGCCGAGGCTCGTCGTCCAACTCAACCGCGTCGCCCAACTTCGGCAGCCTCACCGCCTCGGCGAGCTCGACCGCCGCGCCCTCGTCGTACGCCACCGCCGACGCCGGCTTCTCGCCGACGCTCGCCGCCATGTCTCGCTCGACGTCGAGCGCGACCGCTCGCCCGTCGGGCGCTGTGCGCGGCGAGTCCGCCGAGACGGTCGCGCCGCTGCCGTTCGGCTTCGCGACCGCCCTTCGCGGGCCCAAGGACTCGCAGGGCTCCACCTCGTCGTCGGCGTCGTCGTCGTACAATCACCCGGCCGTCGGCGGCTTCCTCTCGCGCTCGCTTGCCGAGCTCGCCGGGTCGCCCATCATGGGCCAGGTCCTGCGGTTCCGGCCCGGCGGCGGCGGCAGCACGACCGGCGCCGACACGGACGTCGAGGGCGAGCTCGACGGCGAGCCCAAGTCGTCGTACGGCTCGTCGCTCAACGTGCCGTCGAGCCCGACGCGCCTCGGCGCTCGGGCCGCCACGCCGCTCGAGTTTGTCCCGTCGCACAACGGCCAGACGACGTTCCGCCTGCCCTTCTCGTCGTCGCCGGCGCTCCCGGCCCACAATGCCGAGCACGACGAGGCGCCGGCCGACGACGCGGCCGACGAGGCCGAGCGCTCGTTCGACTCGTTCACGTCGTCGGTCGACGAGCCCGAGTCGGACCTCGACGGCAACGACGAGGGCGCATTGCGCAAGCGTGACGAGGCGTTCCTGCGTGACCTGACCGAGGAGGTCGAGGACGTGACGTTGCGAGTGCCGCAGGGGCAGCGCGAGGGCGAGCGGGACGACCAGCAGGAGGAGAACCCGGAGGAGCGCAGGGGCAAGAGGGTGACGGGGCGGTGAGGAGAGACACAAAGAACGAAGCCTTATTTATATCCAAGTTGTCAGCGCTCTCTAGAAACACAGGCTGCTGCATTCTGTCGTCGAGGACCGTGCGCTCGTCGCGAGAGAGAGAAAGAGAGAGCTTTCGCGCGAGTGGCTCTCGAGACTCTCCTCGTCGCCGGCGTCAGGCTCGAGAGGCAGGAGAGATATGTGCAGCTGCAGTGTGTTTACAGGGTACGACGAGGAGGGAGAAAGACAAAGAGGTGGCGAAAGGGAGGAGCGAGAAGGGGAGGGCGACTGACGCTTCTTTACCCTGCGGGGCCGGCGCACACGATCAACGAGTCGGTCGAGAATCTTGTTGAAGAGCTCGGAATGACGATCGAGAGGACGAGAAGGGACGCACAGAAGCGATAGTAGATGAACACGAAGAAGAAGAGGGCGCCGAGGCCGACGGGTGCCCACTTGCGGATGGCGGCGTCGATGTTCTGCGCGGCGACGGGGGAACCTCGAGAGTCAGTCGTGCGACGTTGAGAGTGTCAAAAGTCGACACAGGAGAGGAGAGAGAGAGACAGGCCACGCACGATTTTGCGCGCCGCCTTGCGGTACTTGAGCGACTCGTCCCTCAAGCTCGAGCTCATGGTGCTCATGCGGTCGAGCGAGTCGCCGCGCCACAGCAGGTCCTCCATGTTCTTGGTCATGATGCGCGTCACGTCCTGCAAGTCCTCGTTGAGCTGATCGAGCCCGGCCGAGGCGCCCGTGCCCGCCGCGCCCGGTCCTCCTTTGCCGCTCGCCTCGGCGCCGCGCGGGTCGAGGTACAGGCGCTTGGTGCGCTGGATGAACGTGTCAAACTTGACAAAGGCGTACGGGCGCAGGCCCGGCTTGAGCGACATCGAGGGCGGGTACGAGCGCGCGAACTCTGTGCTGAGCTCGGCAAGGTACGAGAAGGCGAGCTTGCGCGGGTACGAGCGGTCGGCGATGACGAGGTAGACGATCGAGTCGGCGATGAGGTAGCTGCGAGGGAAAGTGCGAGGGCGGTCAGGGTTTGTTGCTCGTGCAGGCTCGGGAGGGAGACGAGGAAGGGGAGACTCACTGGAGCGTGCACTGCCCGCTCTCGATCGAGCACCGCGGCTCCGAGTCGGCCGTCAACCGTCGAAAGATGAGCTTGGCCTGCTGCTTGTACTCAGGGAGCTTGCTCTGGTCCTGCGCATGCGGGAGAACGGCGAGTGGGGGAACGGGCGAGGGGAAAGGAGGAGGGGGCAGAGGTCAGTGTCTGCGACATGCTGCAGGCAGGCGCACTGATGCTCCGACTGCTCGAATCAGGCGACGTCCGTCCTCTCGCCAGCTCGAGGAAGCCCGCGCTGAACCCGTCGCAGAGCCCTCCGAGGTCCTCGACGCGGCATCGACGGCCCACCCAGCGCAGGACAAGCGCGCGCTCGACCACCCACAGCCGGACTGGTGCAGAGTGCTGCACGCCTGCCGCCTCGCCCGCAGCTCGCGCGACGAGCTCGTCGCCGCCCCACTCCGCCGTCGCTCGCCCACTCCTCGCACCACCGCAAGAGGCGCAGGGGAAAGGGGCGCACCTGCTCGTCGTCGTCATTGCTCGCTGCGAGCGGCAGACCTGTACGGCGTGGGGACAGAGTGAGCGGGCGAGTCCATGTTGCGAGGAGGAGATGAGGACGTGGAGGACGAGAGCGAGGGGCTCAGGGACCAGGGACGGTACGGGAGAGGGAGCTCACCGTCTGTTGCGCGTGCGATGAGCGTGCTGCGAACCATGACGCGCTCTATCAACCGGCTGGAGAGCGAGAGGCGACACTGCAGCGAGGCGAGGCTGGAACTCCACCGCGAGCGAGTCTTGAGGTTCGTCCCTCGTCGCTCAACTTGGACCTCTCTCGACGCACCCTGCTCTCTCGATCCACACACAGGATGTACTGCACGACAGACGGCGAGAGAAGGCTCGATGGCAGATTACAGCTGGAACAAGGGGGAGCAACGCAAAAGAGAGAGAGAGAACGGGTTCGACTCGAGGGATCGTCTAGGGGCCAACCGACGTGCCAACGCCCGGGAGCGGCAGCGACATGCCGAGGTTGTCCGGAACAGCCTGCGCGAAGCGAATACTCGAGTCAGTACCGACGTCAAGACGCCGACGAGCGAGAGAGAGAGGACAGGCAGGGACGCACGATTGCCGGGTTGACGTCCGAGCGGTGCTACAGGCGGCGACGAGAGGAGAGACGGTGGGCGAGCGAGTCAGTCTCATCGCTTCGAGAGAGAGAGAGGGGAAGGAGGACGGGACGCACCTGGCCGCCGAACAGGACCTGCCCGTTCTTCGCCTGGTAGTCGGCGATGCGCTTCTCCACCTCGGGGCCTGTGGGTACACGAGACGGTCAGGAGCTGCACGTGCGAGTCGCACGAGAGAGGAGGGGGAGGAGAGGGAGAGGAACTGAGGGACGCACGGAAGTTGCGCAGGAGGCCCTGGACGGGCCACGCGGCAGCGTCGCCGAGGGCGCAGATCGTGTGGCCCTCGATCTGCTTGGTCAACTCCCACAGCATCTCGATCTCGCGCTCGTGCGCCCGGCCGACGACCATGCGGTCCATCATCTTCTCGAGCCAGGTCGTGCCCTCGCGGCACGGCGTGCACTGGCCGCACGACTCGTGCTTGTAGAACTTGGCGAACCGCGCAATGGCGCGGATGACGTCCGTCTCCTTGTTCATGACGATGACGGCGCCGGTTCCGAGGCCCGACTGGAGGTCGCGCAGCGAGTCAAAGTCCATGAGGGCCTCCTCGCACTGGCCCTTGGGCAGGATCGGGACCGACGAGCCACCGGGCACGATGCCGAGCAGGTTGTCCCACCCGCCACGGACGCCGCCGCAGTGCTTCTCGATGAGCTCCTGCAGCGGGATCGACATCTCCTCCTCGACGACGCACGGCTTGTTGACGTGGCCCGAGATGCAGAAGAGCTTGGTGCCCGAGTTGCGCTCGCGGCCAAAGTTGTTGAACCACGACGCGCCGCGGCGGATGATGGTCGGCGCGACGGCGACCGTCTCGACGTTGGCGACCGTCGTCGGGCAGCCGAACAGGCCGACGTCGGCCGGGAAGGGGGGCTTGAGCCGGGGCTTGCCCTGCTTGCCCTCGATCGACTCGATCAAGGCCGTCTCCTCGCCGCAGATGTAGGCGCCCGCACCGCGGTGCAGGTAGACGTCAAAGTCGTAGCCACTGCCGCACGCGTTCTTGCCGATGAGGCCCGCCTTGTACGCCTCCTGGATCGCGTGCTCGACGTGGTCCGACTCCATGTAGAACTCGCCGCGGATGTAGATGTAGGCTGTGCGCGGGCGGTGCAGGTCATGGTCGAGGTCGAGGTGCGTCATGGTCGAAGAGAGGGATCGTCGGGTCGGGCGGGGTGGGGAGGGGAGCGAAGGGGAAGAGGGAGACGTGAGGATCGGAGAGTCAGTGCGGGCTCGAGAGAGGCAGGAAGACCAAGGGGACGCACCGGCGTTGGCGTTCATGGCCCGACCGGCGACGAGGCAGCCCTCGATGAGCTTGTGCGGGTCGCCACGCAGGATCTCGCGGTCCTTGCTGTCGACGAGGAAGGGCAGTGTGAGCGCCTCGGGTCGGGCAGGGGGAGATAGAAAGACAGTGAGCGGACGCACCAGGTACCAGGCTCACCCTCGTCGGCGTTGACGACGAGGTAGCGCGGGCGGCCGTCCTTCTCCCAGCCGGGCTTGTTCATGAAGGACCACTTGAGGCCCGACGGGAAACCGGCACCGCCGCGGCCGCGCAGGCCCGAGTCCTTGATCTGCTGGATGATGTAGGCGTCGCCCTTGGCGATGATGTCCTTGGTGCGGTGCCAGTCGCCGCGGGACTGTTGCGAGGAGGACGGGGACGAGGAGGGAACAGCAAGTCAGTGGGACGCGCTTGGCAGAGGTGGGAGGCAAGCTTGGCTGCTTGTCGAGAGGTCTCGAGGGCGTGCAGAGCAGCCAGAGGTGGTCGATGGCCGGGTGCAGCTGGCGGCGGCGACGAGGGGAAGAGGGAGGAGGGAGAGGGGGCCAAGGGGGAGCTGGACGCACCTGAGCGCCCTTGAGCTGCCAGTCGTGCATGCGGTAGGCGTTGCTGAAGATGCGGTCCTGGTCCTTGAGGCCACCGTGGCGCTTGACCGGGTTGGCGGCGGCGTCGGTGACGGCGGCGTACGAGCGGCGAGCACCCTGTGCGAGAGGGGACGCGATGCGGCGACCGCCGACGCGGGTGGCTGCCGTGAAGAGCGGGCGTGCTGCTGCGAGCTGCATGTTGATGTGTGCTCGGGTGGTGGGGAGAGAGGAGGAGGGAGCCTCGCAGGGAGAGGAGGAGGCGAGCGAGCCAATCGTTCGCCCTCGCTTGCCTCGCCTCCCTCGGCTCCCGACTCGCACAGAGCGACATGCAGGCCGTGCAACACGGCTGTACGAGCGCGTCCACATCAGCGCCCCGGCGCCTCGAGCAGATGCCGCCGCGTCCGTGCCCTGCTTCTCCTCCTCGCCGGCTCGCGCGCCACGATCTCGGCGCGCTCCGCTCCGGCCAAACCTCGCACGGGTCTACTCGCTGGACCGCTCTGTCCTTCAGTACGCTCGTGCTGCGCTGCCCCGCTTCAGACAGACGAAAGCGGCGCGCTCGATCTCCTCTCTCCCTCGCGTCGAAAGCGTGCTCGGCACGGCGCGAGACGCACAAGCAAAGACACGCTCGAGTTGCAGAGAACCCGCTGCGCCGCACAACAAAGCTGCCGTCGAGACCTGCGACCGTCGTCCTCCTCGAGCTGCTCAAGCCTCGACCGCCGCCGCCGCCGCGCCGTCGACCTCCATCGGCTTGGGCTTGTCGTCGCCGCCGTGCCCGTTCGCCGCACCGCCATCGCCGTTGGCTCGTTCGAGCTTGGGCTCGACAGGCGCGTCGCCCTCGGCCGGCGTCGCAGGGACCGTCGACGGCGCCGCGCCCTCACCCTCGCCCTCCCCTCCCTCCTCGCCCTTGACGCCGTGGCCGACAGCGGCCGGTGCCGGCGCGTTGTCGACCATGCTCACGTCGGCGTCGTCGGCCTTGACGCTCGAGCCGTCGTCGTCCTGCTGGTCGCGGAGCCGGACCCGGTTCGAGCGCCGCTCGCCCGGCACCGACGGCCGCACGCTCGAGCGCCTGCTGCTCCCGCCGACGCTCGCCGCATCGTCGCCCGCCTCGCTCCCGTCAACCTCGGCGCCGCTCGGGCCCGTGCGCCGCCGCTTGCGCCGCCCCTGCTGCTCGTCGTCGTCGTCGCCGCCGCCGTTCTCGCTCGCCGCCGTCTCGCCGTCAAACTCGCCCGGGTCGTCGTAGTGGACCCGGCTCGTGTCGCCCCTCGCACGGAGCCGGCTCGAGCGCGTCGACGTACCCTGGTACGACAGGCGCTGCAGCGTGCGGGCGACGCGGGCGTCGCGCGTGGCGAGGCGCTCGGCGGCGCGCGACTTGCGCTGCTCAATGGCGTCCATAGCCTGTGGGCGCAAGAGAGGAAAGAGTCAGGCTCGAGTGCGAGAGACGAGTGCGAGCGCAAAGAGAGAGTGAGGACGCACCGCCTCGTACTCCATCATGTCGACCAGGTCGGCCTCGAGCCTCGCGCGCGTGACCCTCTCCTCGCCCTTGGGGTCCTCCTGCTCCTCGACGCCCTTGCCCTTCTTGGCCGAGTCGCCCGCCTGCGCCGCCGCCGCAGCAGCCGCCGCCTGCGCCGCCGCCTTGGCGAACGGGCCCCGCAGCGCTTGGGCCTTCTTGTCGGCCTTGGTCGGCGCCGCGAGCGTCTTGACGAACGCCTTGTAGCCCTTGAGGGTCGACGAGAGGCAGAGCCACGCGCTGTCGGCCTCGAACGGGTCGCACGACGCGTACAGGCGCGGCGAGGCATCGAGGTGGTACAGCGTGAGGCCGGTCGAGGTGCGCCCGGCGGGGAGGACGACGAGGCCGTTCGACTCGGGGTCGCGCTTGGCGATGCGCTGGTTGCCGCTGCGAGGTGGAGAAGAGCGAGGTCAGGGCGGGCTCGGGCGCGGCATCGACAGGAGGGGACAGGCAAGAGGACGCACATGTCGTAGTTCTCCTTGATGATCTCGCGGACTGCAGGCGCGTTGACGAGCTGGTAGTCGACCATGATACGCATGAGGTGGATCTGGTCGGCGAACAAGGGAGAGAAGTGGATGTCAGGGCAGGACGCTCGAGGAGAAATGAAAAGAGAGGGGAACGACGAGGACGCACCTTGTCCTCCCAGCGCAGCATCCAGAACTTCTGCTCGGTCTCTTGCCCCGGCTTGCGACCCTTGGTGCGCAGCAGGTTCGTCTCCCAGCGGAAGCCGCCGCGGTAGTACGGGTCCGAGTTGAACCGGTTCGAGACAAAGTTGATGATGAAGTGGAACCACGTCTTCTTGCCGTGGTAGTCGGTGAGCTCCTTGATCGGCTTGAGGTTGTCCTGGAAGAGCTCGCACAGGGAGCGGATGATCGGCGACGCCTCGGGCACGGGCGCGTCCTCGGCGAGGACGGGCGGGACCGGGTCGATCGGCTCGGCGACGGCGGCCTGGACGGCGGCGGCCTCGTCCGGGTCGACCTCGTCGTCCTCGAGCGACGAGAGCGAGTCGGCGGGCGACGCGTCCCGGCCGTTCTTGCGCCCGCCGTTGGCGAGGGCGGCGCGCTGCGCGACGGCCGACAAGGGCTTGGGCTTGGTGCGGCTCGACGTGCGGGTAGACGAGGTCGACGGCGGCGAGCAGTCGAGGAGGGCCTGCTCGAACGTCATGACGTTGGGCAGGCTCGGGTTGGTCTCGCGCCAGTCGACGTGGTTGGTGTAGTGCTCGACGAACGCCCAGACGTACTGCGCGACGAGGAGAAAGGAGAGCAGGTCAGCTCGGGGTTCCGGTCAAGGAAGGACCCAGGGGTGCTATAGATGGTGGCCGGCGACGGCGGCGCGCAGGGACACGCTTGGGAGCGGTGTGACGAGGGTGAGGGCGCTTCGGACTAGGGAGAGGGGGCGAGGGGAAGTCGACGGGAGGGAGGAAGGACCGGATCTTCGAGCTGGCCCGCACCACATAACTGCGCAGGACGAGCGCGCGCCATCTGGCGACTATCGTCGCGCGACGAGGCGGGCGACACGCTGCTCCCAGCTCGACGCGAGGAGGGCGAGCTCGGCGAGGGGACGCCGTCGCCGGGCGGCTCGGCGACTGGCCAGGGACGCTCCTTGAGAGCTGTACAGGCTCGGTGCTCCCTCGCGCAGGCCCCTCGAGGAGCGTAGAGGCGAGGTTGGCCGTGCTCGTCCCCATCTCGCCGTTTCGACCCGCGTGCTCCCTGCGCTCCGCCTCGGCCTCGGGCGCGGCCGTGCAGGGCACCATGCAGTCGCGAGAGGGCAGAGAAACAGAGACGCACCGCGACCTCCCAGTTGGCTGCCGGCCCCTCCCTCACCTCGTCTTCGAGGTCGTCGACGCTCGCGTCCACCATCAGCTCGCTCGGGTTTGGGGTGCTGGTGGTGCGCGCCTTCTTGGCCGAAGCCGCAGAGGCCTTGGCGGCGGCGGATGCAGCTGGTGCAGGAGCCATGCTCGTCGAGGTTGGAGGAACGAGGCGAGCAGAGAGCGCGACCGCTCGTGGCCGAGCCCGTCACCTCCCGCCGTCGCAAAGCTCGCTTGCACGGGACGACAGAGGGACTGACACGCCCGCGAAAGCCGATGTGCGCTCTCACGAACCAGGAAGAGACAGCTCGAAAGGCACAGCGCGAGTTACAACCTCCCTCCCTCCCCCTCCTCGACAGCGGGTATCTCCTCCTTGTCGACCTCGTCCTGGTCCGCTCGTCGACGCTCGCGCTCATGCAGCGACGCTCGGCGCAAACCGCGACGCCGCATCGTCAAACAGCGACGACTTGGCCGAAAGGTCGGCGAGGAGAGGGTGCGATGCGTCGGCGGCCTCAAGTTGCCTGTGTGCGAGGAGGAGGTGTCAGTCCCAGTCGACATCGTCGAGAGCTCGCAGTGCTCTCGACGAGGAGCACTGGGGCTAAGAATGTGACCGAGAGAGCCGGGACGCACGCGAGGATCTCCTGGGCGGCCGCGTCGGCCTTGCCCGTGTGCAGCGCCAGCGCCGCAGAGTTGGCGAGCGACGTCGGGTGCGTCGGGTTCTGCAAGAGTGTACGAGAGAGGGCGGCGCCGTCAGTGCTCTGTCTCAATGTCGAGGACTGACCTGCGGAGCTCGATCGTCTAGGGTCGAGTTCCGCAAGAGCGGGCTCGAGAGAGTCGGGGGAACAAGCCGACGCACCATCTCAAGGGCCTCGTTGGTCGCGTCGCGCGCCTCCTCCCATCGCCCGAGCAACGCCTGCGCGACGCTGACGCCGCCGAGGACGCCCTCGCCGCGCCCGCCTTGCATGCCCTTGATCTCCTCGAAGACGTAGTACGCGTCCTGGTACTTGCTCGACGGGCCCGTCGCGAGGTTGGAGCGCGCGATGAGGAGCTGCGACAGGAGCGAGTCGGACGTGAAGGACGTGGTCGAGGGCGAAGTGAGGAGCGAGGTCGAGAGGTGGGCGAGGTGCAGCGAGATGTACAGGTGCGACAGGATGGCGAGGCTGTGGGAGACCGCAGAGCGCTCGGCAAGTCTGTCAGTACGTCGCCCGGAAAGAGTGCACGTCTGCGCAGTTCGGCGAGAGCAGACGGCGCACCATTCCTGGTCTTTGCCGAGCTCGACCGCCTCGCGCAGCACCTCGATGCCCTCCTCGCGCCTGTCCTCGCCCTCGAGCACCCACACGGTCCCGACGACCCCCCTGACGAACCGGCCCTCGTTGTCGTCGCCCTCCTCGAGCCCTTGCTCGCCCAGCTCGGCGAGCAGCTCCTCGAGCTCACCGACCGCGTCCTCGGTCTCGCCGGCGAGGTAGCGCGCGAGAGCGCCTACTGCGCGAGCGTCGAGCGTCTGCGGCACGCGCGAGAGGAGCTGGGTCGCGGACGAGGGGGAGGGAGGGGTGAGGGCGAGGTGGGCGCGCGCGGCGTATAGGGTGAGGAGGGGCGAGGGCGACGGGTGTTCGTTGTAGGCAGCGATGGCGTTGCGGTACGAGCCTGCAGCACGCATACAGGATGGTCAGTCTGAGTCGCCGATGCCGCGAGAGGGTGCTGGTCCTCGTCGCGACGGCGAGGAGGAAGATGAGGGGCCATGGCACTCCGGTAGACGCGTTCGCGCAGCAAGCCCGCGCAGTAGCACTCTTCGACTCGGCTAGGACGAGCCTGGCCCTCCAACCACGCTCGCCGACGCTGTGCTGCCTCATCAACGCGGAAAGCCAGGGTGCTCCTCCCTCGTCGCCGGCGAATCGTGGCCAGTCATGCACGCGTCCAGACGCATCAAGGGCGCACGACGAGTCGCAGCATCGACCGCGCACTCCAGCCCGTGCCGCCGCCAGTGTCCCCCACCTGAGAGGTGCACGTCGCGCTCCCGGACTCCCTCGTCCGCCGCACAGAGAGACGAGAGGACGCACCTTGGCTGAACAGCTGGACAATGTAGAACGACTCGCTGTCCATCTTGGCGAAGCTGGGCGAGTTGAGCAGAGGTGTGGAAGCGACCACAGCCCTCGCTCTCCTCCTCTCTTGCTCCGCAAGAGCTCACACCTTGGCGCTCGTGCAAGCTCTCGAGATGTGCGGTAGCGATGAAATCCCGTGCAGTGCATCTGGCGCCGAGCGAGCTACCACGGACCCTCGTCGTCCTCTCGCTCTGCCTCGTAGTTCCTCCTCGTTCGCGGCTCGCTGGATCCGGCTCTCGCCGAGCTCCCGAGACGCACAGAATGTGGATAGGACTGCTGGCAATACACAACACGAGATTCGAGAGAGCGGTAAAGGATGCGCGTGAGGACAAGGAGAGGGGAAGTTCTGCACAAAGTCAAGAAGGAAGAGGGCCGACAGCCTGCGTGAGAAAGAGCGAAGGAGGGAAGGGGGGTCAAGCGGGTGGTACATGCGACGAGGTGTGGGTGCGCCGTCGGTCACTCGTCGAGGCTCGCGCCGTCCTCGTCCTCGTCGTCCTCTTCCTCCCCGTCGAACGTCGTCGCCTTGCCCGGGCTCTGGCTCTCGTCGCGCGCCGTGCCCGTCGTCGCGCTCTCACCCTCGCCCTCGTCACCCTCCGTCGTGCTCTCCCTCGAGCCCGAGCCCGAGCCCGAGCCTGCACCGAGCCCGCCGCCCTGCGCCGACGCCGCCGCGCGACGTGCGCCCTCGAGCGCGACGCGCGCCATGACGGGCGTCTTGACGGCGTCGAGCATGCGCTCGCGGTGGCTGTGCGCCGTCGCGAGCGCGAGGAGCTCGTCCTGCGACGGCTCGCGGCCGCGAGGCGCACCTCCTGCTCCTGCGACGCCGCGAGCGGGCGTCTCGCCGCCCTCGTTGGTGAACAGGACGCCGGGCCCGGGTGCCGCCGTCAGGCCGAGCGTCTTGGAGAACTGCGGGTGCGCGGGCGACGAGAAGAGGAAGCTGGAGAAGCCGCCGGGCGGCGACGACGTGCGGGCCATGGGCGTCTCGCCGTTCATGGCGTTCGACGACGTGATGCGGCCGTGCTGCGGCGCGCTCGAGCCCGCCATGGTGAGGGGGAGCGAGGCCGACGTGCCCGGGGCGGCGAGGAACGGGTCGTGCGGGTGCGTCGCGGCGACAGGCTGCTGAGGCTGAAGCGCGGCTGATGCGGCGGCGGCGGCGGCGGCGGCGGTCGAGGTTGTCGAGCGCGACAGGGCCGGTGCGGGTGTGACGAGGTGCGACGACGACGACGACGACGAGTTGGGGTGGGCGCCGCTACTGCTGCCGCCGGGCGCGGCCATGGCCGAGTCCTCCTCGCGCAGAGGGTCGTGGTGGTGGTGGTGCCGCATGGCCGACGACGACGAGGGCTGTAGGTCAAAGTCGCCGAGCTCGGACGTGAGGCCGACCGGGTGATGGTGGTGCAGGACCCGCGACTGGGACGAGCTGCTCGCGCCGGGCCCTCCTCCGGCTCCAGCGCCGCCACCGCTCGACGACGACGACGCGCCGACGACGGCGCGGGCCCGCCGGCCCTTCTGGCTGCTCGGCGAGACGCTGCGACCGTGTCGAGGCCTGCGCCCGCCGCCGCTCGAGCTCGTAAAGGCGTGGTCGACGTCGACGTCGGCCTCGTCGTCGTCGTCGGCTCCTGCCGCGGCGCCCATCATGTCGGCCTCGCTCTCGCCCTCGTCCTGCTCGCCTGCCGCACCTCCTCCCGCCGCGGCGCCGTTGCCGAAGCGCACGACGGGCGAGCTCTCCATGGCGATGCGCATGAGGTTGCCCGGCGTCGGCGTCGCGACGAGGCTCATCTCGTGGCTGTTGGTCCACGACGACGTTCTCGGCGCGGCGCCGCCGTGCTGCACGACCGACGCGTACTGGTGCGCCTTCTTGGCTGTCGCGAGGAGCGCGTGCGCCGCCGCCGTGGACCCTCCCTCGCCGCTGCTCGTGCTCGCGAGGTTGGGCGCTGCGGGCGACTCGCTCCGGCCGCGCTTGCGCGGCGAGACGGCGACAGCCGCCGCAGGCGACGAGACGTGCTGGTTCTGGAGCGCGGCGCGCCACGGCGACATGGCGGCGCCCGCACCGGCGGCCGACGACGACGCGGCAGCGGCCGCAGCGCGCGAGCGCAGCATCATGGCGCGCACCTCGGCCTCGTCGTCGTCGTCCGAGTCGTCCTCGTCCGTGCCGGGCTCGCTCGTCTCGGCCTTGACGATGGGCCGCCCGCCCCTCGACGGGCCGGCGCGCGCGCCGCGCCCGAGCGAGAGCCCGCCACCGCCGCGCCGGCCGTCGCGGTCGCCGGCGGCCTGGTCGCGCACGCTCGACACCGGGCTCTGGACGACGTGGTGCGAGTCGCGCGCCGTCATGGGGCTGCTCGGGCCCGCCTTGAGCGCGAGGAGGAGGCCCGCCGCGTCGTCGCGCCCGGGACCGGCGCCGAGGCCGGGCTCCTTGCCCTTGCCCGTCGGGCCAGTCCTGCGCAGCTTGACGGGGCTCTCGAGCCCAGCGGCGGCGGCGGCAGTGCTGCGCGACGGCGGCTCGCGCGACGCCGAGATGGCGGGCATGGGCACGCCGGCGGCGATGCCCGAGTGGCCCGTCATGGCCCTCGCCGGGCTCACGTGACGGCGCGCGTAGTACGGGAGCGCGACAGGCGCAGGCTGACCGGCGGTGACGACCGGCGAGCGCTCGCCGGACGGGCCTGCAGCGGCACCGCCGCCGCCGACGACGATCGTCGGGTTGTCGTACGGGTTGCCGTTGCTGCTGCCGTACGAGCCGTTGGACGACGGGCGACGAGGTGGTGGGTGCGCCGAGAGGAGCGCCGGGTTGTGCGGGTGGCCGTACTCGTCGTACGCGATCGGGCCGCCGTGCGGGTACGAGCCGCCGCCGTGCGCCTGCTCCTGCGCGACCTGGTGCGCGTGAGGGTGCGCGTGCGGGTACGGTGGCGGGTACGGGTACGGGTACGAGTTGGGCGGGGGAGGGTAAGGGTACATGCTCGCGTGCGGGTGCAGGCCCTCATCGCCGTTGGCGGCGGCGACGGCGGCGGCGTACGCGTGCGGGTCGCGCAGGTGGGGCGGCAGGCGCGGGTCGTCGTGCGGGTAGGGCGGGGCGCCGGGCGGCATGGGCGCGCCGCGCGCCGGGAGGCCGAGCGGAGCGCGCTGCGCGAAGCCCGCGTAGTACGGGTCCATGGCGCCGCCGGGCGGTGGCGGGTAGGCCGACGCCGGGTGCCCGTACTTGGTCGGCGTGCGGCCGTACACGCTCGCGCCGCCGGCGCCGTAGAACGGGTTGCCTGGCGGCGGATGGCCGTACGGCGCCGTCGGCGCGTGGTGCGGCGGTCGCGGCGCGGCCGAGCCCGACGCGCCGTCGCTCCAGCCGCCCTGCGACCCGGCGTCGAAGCTCGAGTCGCCTTCGCCGTCGTCGTCGCCGGGCGGCGGGGGCGGTGCGCGCGCTGCTCGAGGCGGGGCAAAGGCGGCGGCGCCGGCAACGCTGCCCGCCCCCTGCTCGCTCCCCTGCTCGCTCGCCGGCGTGCCGACCGAGCCCGTGAGCGACTCGGCAGGCGGCTCCTCGGAGCCCTCGCCCTTGACGGCGCCGGCGGCGCCGCCCTTCTCGGCGCGGTTCTTGCGGGCCCACCGGCGCTTCGAGTCGAGCGTGCGGGCGCGCTTCTCCTCCTCCGACTTGGGGCGACTCGCGTCTGTGGGAGGGCTGCGGGTCAGTGACTGGGCGAGGAACGACGCGAGACAGACGACGACGCCGACGCCGACGACGCGACCCGACGTGCTCGAGGGAGGAAGGGGACGGACCGGTGTCCCAGCGCGTCCTGCGAGGCTGCTGGCTGAGCGGGATGCCGTGCTTGTCCTGGAGGTGGCGGCGCCAGATGCTGCGGGCGTGCTTGCCGCGGTACACCTTGTCGCACTGGGGGCACTTGAAGTCGACGTCGGCGCTCGAGGCCGGGCCGGCCGGGTTGGCCGTGTACTCGGGCGCGAGGTAGAGCGGGTGGCTCGGGTTGGTGCTGCTGCCGGCCTCGTCGTCGCCCGTGTCGCCGGCGGCCGAGGGCGGTGCGGCCGATGAGGCTTTCGAGGCGGTGCCCGGCGCGGCCGCCTTGTTTGGCGCCTTTGCGACGCGACGAGGTGCCGGGGTCGAGGCCGTGGTGGGTGTCGGGGGTGCGACTGGGTGCGGGTACAGGAGATTGGGCGATTGCGCGGCGAGCGGGGTGCGGTGAACGAGGGAGGGGGCGACGCCGAAGAGAGCGAGAGGAGAGGGAGGAGGGGGCATGGCGGCCGAGTCGCGGCAGGCGGCAGGGGCGCGTGTGGACGACGGTGGTGGCGAGTAAAGCATGGTGGGCGAGTGTGCCAGGTCGCGCACGGCGTTGGTGATGACGGCGAGGCGACGGGGCCGAAGTTGGTTGTTTACGACCGGCGGTTGTCAGGCGAAGGAGGCGGTGGGGCGAGCCGAGACGAGTCGAGGTTGGGCGAGAGAGGGTCGAGTCGTCGGTTTGCGGTTGTAGTGCGGCGATTGGTGCGAGGCGAGGTGAGGGACGAGGTCGAGAGAGGGAGGGGGAAGAGGGCGGACGCGGGGGAGAGATGGGCGCAGGACGAGGGCGAGGGCGAACGCGTCAACCGCATCGGACAGGGGCAGGGAGGGGTGGAGGAGGGGCACAGCAAGGTCAGCGTCGGTTCGACGGCGTGCATCGTCTGCCAGAGTGAGAGGGCGAGGACGCACGCTTGGATGAGCCGAGGTCGCTCTCTGCCTCGTCGGCCGTGTCGAGTTCCCTCGCGCGCTGCGACTTTTTGCGGGTGCGCGCACTCGAGCGACTGGCACTGTGAGCCGAGGTGGGCGTCGCTGGCGCCTTGCGCATGGTCGTGGAGCGCGAGGAGCGGGTGAGTTGGTGGGAGAGGCTGCCTCGCTCTCTCCTTCGTCTCCCGCCCGCTCGCCTCCCCCTCCGACCCTCGGCCTCGCCCGCTCTCCGTCCCGCACTGCCCTCTTCCGGGCTGCAGGTGCCCAAGCTCGAGCCAGGCAACCGCTAGCCAGCTCGCAAGCCGCACCTCTCCGCCCGCTCGCCCTCGAACGAGAGCTGAGCGCCCCGCCGACCCTCCTCGTCAAACTCGCTCAGTCAACCAACCCGACTGCGCCGAGCCCGTCTCGGCCCTCCAGCGGCAGCGCCTCGCCTCGCTACAGCCTCGCACCGCCTTGTGGGCCCCGTGCGAGCTTGCATCCACCCTCGCCGACGCCTCGTCGCTCGGCCACGCTCCGGCGCGAGTCGCACCTCGGCCTGCGTGATGAGGGCGAGTGAGGGCACGCTGCCTCGTCTGCCTTGCGACCCTGCGCTGTCATCGCTCGTCTCTGCTTCTCTCAAGGCCCGCTGTGGCTACAGCGCTCAAGCTAGCCAGCCTCGCTCGAGGTGCTCGTCGCCTCGCCCTCCTCCCACTCGAGTCGGGCTTCTCTCCGCCCTTCTCGATCGCCGACGCCCGCACTGCTCGACGTACGTCGCCTTGTTCAAGCGTCTGCCACTTGTGCGTGTCTCGGCGCACAGCGAGCTGCGATCGCACTCCTGCACGGCCGTTCCGCGGCCGCCTCCTGTCGCCGTGCTCCCCGACCTTGGTCCGCCAGCTTCTTCTTTGTTTGCTCTCGGCACCTGTCGCCTTTCGTTCCCTTTCTCTCGTCGTCTCCTTTCCTCACACCTGTCGCCCGCCATGTCGGCCTTCAGCGATGCGCCCGCGAGTCGCTCGGTCCCCTCGTCTGTTCTCGGCGAGGCCGCCGCCGTCTACAACGACGAGTGGCACGCCAAGCTGTCGCAGGTCCCTGGCCGTGCCGCACATCTGCGCCTCGTGTTCGACGGTGCGTCCACGTCTCTCCTCGGTTCCTCGCGCTCAGGACCGACGCTGACCTTCCTCGGGTCACAGACGACGTCTCGCTCCTGTACTGGCACAAGGTGCACCGGTTCGACCGCGCAGGTCTCGAGCTTGACGCAGAGCTGGTGCCGACGCAGGCTCAGGTGCGTCCTGCGCCGCCCTCGCTTGTTGGGCACCCTGGAAAGGTCGACCTGACCTTGCCTCGTCTCTTCCCCTTCCTCTTGCGCAGCCTCTTGGCGTCTGCGGCCTCGACGGCTACCTCGACACCGACTACTTGAACCACTCGAGCTTCGACCCGGAAAGCGAGCTCGTCCGTGCCCACGTCGGCGAGCAGTGCGTCCCCTTGTCCTCCCTTGTGCGCTCACGACGATTCACTGACTCTCTCGCGCCCGACAGCCTCGGCGTCTACAAGGTTCGGCGCATGCCCAAGATGCTCCCTTTCGAGCTCGCCGCCCGTCCTGCCGACCTTGCTCGTCACCGTCAATCCGCCGCGTCCGGCGCCGCCGACCCACCACAAGCTGGTCAAGCACCAGCCGCACCCGCACGCCGCACTCACGATTCTGCGTCCGTCGCTCCTCTTTCTTCGTACCTTCGACCGGCTCCTCGCCACGCCGTCCCCCCTCGAGCCGCGTCGGCGCCTCGCCCTCCCTGGCCTCACGTCGCACCTCGTCGACCACGGCCCGTCGGCCAGCCCGCACATCTCGACCGAGCTCGCCCTCGTCCTGCGCACTCTGCGCATCTTCATCGAGTGCGTCGACGAGCTCGACCACCGCGCCGACAGCGGCGGCGGCGGCGGCACGGCGTTCTTCTCGCGCGCCGAGTGGGACGCGCTCGCGCACGAGGTGGCGAGCCTCGAATGGGTCCACCTCTGGCTGCACGAGCTTGCCGACGGGCGGTACGACGCTGTGCGCCGGCTCCTCGACGAGCCGAGCGTCGCGCGTGCGCAGGCCGAGGTCGAGTGCGGCTGGCGGAATGCGGGCAAGGACGACGAGGGCTCGAGCGTCAAAGCGCCGCCGACGGTTGAGCAGCTCCAGGAGCGCAACAGGCGTGCGTGGGGCCGAGCGTGGGAGCTCTTCGAGGTGCGCCTTCCTCTCTCTCTCTCTCGTCTCTCGTGCACGACCCCCTCGAGCCTTTCCTGACCCTCTTCCCCTTTTGGCTCCTGTTGCGCCGCAGGCTTTCGTCCGAGTCGTCCAGACGCCGGGCCACCCTCGCAAAGCCCACTCGCGCTTCCTATAGTCAGAGCTTGGCAGGCGGCGGTCGAGGGTCGAGGAGCAGGCGAAGGTACAGGCGTTTCGGGGCGGCGAGCGGGTTGCACTGGTGCGGAAATCAGCGTCGGTCGCACTGCAATGAGTAGCAGAGCCTGCGTCGACTCGTCTGTGCGCGGTACGCAGAGAGCGAGAGAGGAATGCGACAGCTCCTTGCTCGACGACGTGCGCGAACAGCTCGGTCCGCTCTGCTTTGCGCCCGTCGCTCCCGTGAGGCATGCTTGCTGTCAGTTCAAACTATGGGCGTGTCAAGGGCAAGTCCTGCCGGCCTTCAGCTCGACGCCGGCAAGTGCCGTCGGTCGAGAAGGTCGATTCGGCGCACGAGCCTCTCGCACGGCTTCCCATCTCCGCGTCCGCTCGAGCCTCCTGCACGCGAGGGCAGCTCGAGACTGATCGACTCTGTCGTTTGCAAGCCGAACGTCGGTCAACGGAAAGTCCGCGGCCGTGTCGCCGTCGGTGCTCGCCCTCCTCTTCCTCTTCCTCCTTCCCTCACTCTCGAGCCGACTCGACCTCGGCGTAGAAGCGCCGGCTGGTTCGACACGCAAAGCTTTGGGCTGCTCCTGCTCGACTCGCGAGGGCGCACACCTGGGCGACTGCTCCTCAGCGCGACGAGCCGGCGGCCCGCGGCTCGCACTATTTTCGGTTCGACTCGCTCGCCGCTCGCACGTTGCTCCCCTGCGCTCGTCGCCAAAGCTGCGCTACCCAAGCTTAGCGTCACCCCGAAGCTTAACTTGGTTGCGGCGAGGGGCGCTACGAACGTGGGCCCGGTGCACAATCCACGGCCCGCGCGGCTCGCACGAGACGGCACCTCGGGTGCGCTCTCGAGTGCGGCCCGGCTTGCTTTCGCTTCTCTTCGCTCTGCTACACCGCCTCGAGCGACTCTCGCCGCTATCGTCATGGTCCACCTCGCTATCGGCGCTGTCGCTCTCGCTTCTTCCGCTCTCCTCGCCGTCGCCGGCCCGGTCAAGCGTTCTTCGTCGACGGCCGTCACAGCGGCGCCTTCAGCCTCGGTCGGCGTGAGCGCGAGCGACGTGTACCCGCCGAGCGGCACGGCGCCGGACTCGGCGCTCTTCCCGGACGAGTCGGCGGTCGGCTACCCTGGACCTACCCCGAGTGCGTCTCTTTCTCTCTCCCTCGACTATTCCCGCCGTCCGAACTGACTCTTTGCGCACTCAGCCGGCATCGAGCCGTTCGCGATCCAGACGGCCGCCTCGTTCCCGACGCACCAGGGCATCTACCCGCTCGTCGTCCCAGCCTCGCTCGCCGACAAGTCGTCCGTCGACATCTCCAAGTACTGGGGCAACCTCTCGCCGCAGTATTCGGTCCCGTCGTCGACTTATGGCCTCGATGCAGCGTCGCCGCTCCTCCCCGACCAGTGCGACATCGTCCAGGCGCACATCTACTTCCGTCATGGAGCGCGCTATCCGACCACGGGCGCGCCGCCTAGCACCTTTGCGAGCAAGGTCGTCAACGCGAGCCTCGCCGACGGCGGCTTCAAGGCCGAGGGACCGCTCGCGTTCCTCAACGAGTGGAAATACCCGCTCGGAGCCGAGCTCCTCACGCCGTGCGTCCTCCTTCCTCCCTCCCTCATGATCACAAGCCTCTCTCTCGGCCTCGACCCGACAGCGAGCCTGACTGGCACTGCCCTTCTCTTCCTGCGCAGGTTCGGCCGGCTGCAAGACTTTACGCTCGGCGTCGCCGCCCGTCAAAGTTACGGCGCCCTCCTCAACAACTTTACCGCCTCGGGCACTCTTCCTGTCTTCCGCACCCAGAGCGAGGACCGCATGGTCAAGAGTGCGTCCCCGGCTTCTCGATCGCTCTCGTCGAGCCGCGTCACTGATGCGCTCGAACCCCTCTTTCCTCCTCTCGCCGCCGCAGCGATGGTCAACTTTGCCTCGGGTTTCTTCAGTGTGCCCGGGTACCTCGACCAGGTCAACATCGAGCTCGAGATCGAGGCGCCCGGGTTCAACGCGAGCGGCGCTCCTTACTACGCCTGCCCGAACGGCAATGCGGCGCAGGGCAGCCTCGGTTCGGCGGCAGCAGCAGTGAGTCCTCGTCCCCCTCATCTCTCGGCGCCTCTTCTCGAGCTTTCACGAGCGCGCTCTCGAGCCCTCGAGCCCGTGGCGGCTCTCTCGAGGGAAGGCGGCGACCTTCTCAAGTGGACGATCCTGATCGACCCTCGCCTCGTCACCCGCAGAACTTCTCCAAGCCCTACTACGAGGCGACCGCCGCCCGCCTCAACAAGTACCTGAGCGGCAACTTGCAGCTCGTCGCGACCGACATCAACGCGATGCTGCAGCTTTGCTCGTACGAGACTGTGGCGCTCGGGTCGTCCAAGTTCTGCCCAATCTTCGAGAAGAAGGACTTCTTGGTCTACGAGCAGGCCTACGATATCGCGGTGCGTCGCAGTTCTCGATCCTCGAACACGATCCTCTGCTCCCCCGCACGAGCCCTCACACTGACTCTTTCTCGTCGCGCAGTTTGCCGGCAACAACGGCTTTGCGTCCCCGGTCGCCGCCGCGTACGTCGGCCTTTCTCCTGATCGTCACGCCGATGAACCCGCACTGACTCGCCTCTCTCTCGACCGCTGGCAGCCAGGGCAAGGGCTACCTCGAGGAGCTCATTGCGCGCCTCAACCACACGCTCATCAACAAGTGGGACTCGGCGACCAACTCGACGCTCGACGGCAACGAGACGACGTTCCCGCTCAACCAGAGCATCTACGCCGACGCTGCGCACGAAGTGCGTCGAGTATCCGCTCGCCCCTCCTCGACCTTGACCTTCTCGACCTCTCTCGACGACCTTTACGCCCTTCTCTCGACCTCTGTGCACACGATCTAACCTCCTGCCCCTCTGCAGGTCTCGATCCTCGACGCCCTCACGGCGCTCAACCTCACGGCGCTCACCCGTGGCGGCCCTCCCCCGACCTTGCACCTGTCGACCTCGCACACGTTCGTCGCCTCGCGCATCGTCCCCTTTGCGACGCACCTCCAGATCCAGGTCCTCGAGTGCGCGCCCTCGAAGCCGACGAAGCAGATCCGGTTCATCGTCAACGACGCCGTCGTGCCGCTCGAGGGATCGTTCGAGGGGTGCGGCGCCGACCCGAACGGCCTGTGCGCGTTCGAGACGGTCCTCGCCGGGCTCATCAAGCGCAACGACGAGATCGACTTTCACTACGCGTGCCACGGGAACTGTACGTCCCGGTTCCACTTCCCTCTCGCCCTCCTTCCCTCTCGCCCTCCCTCTTCTCCCCTCTCCTTCTCTGCCAGCCCTTTGCTTCCTCTCTCTCGACTCGCGCTCATTATCTCACGGTCCCACAGACTCGGTACCCGACTACGGCTCAATCACGGACGGCCTGCCGCCGAAGCGCGCCTGAGGAGCCCGCTCGTCGACCGTCGACCGTCGCCGCTCGTGCCGCTCGGGCCTCTTCTTTCCCTTTCCTCCGACTACCTCTCTAGACTTCCTCGCGAGCTTCTCTCTTCTCTTTCGTCATCCTCTGTGCCCCTAGACCTTTGACCGCCTTCGAGGCGTGTGTGCGAATCAAGTTGCGCTGCGGCGCCGTTTACGACTCAAGTCGCTCTCTCGCTCGCGCTCTCGCTCTCGCATGTCTTGAGAGGCAGAAAGCTCGAGAGGACACATGCGATGCAGTCACAGGAGAGGGAAAGTGAGAGGGAGATCTACAAAGGCTGAACTCGAGGACACAAAGGCGAAGGAAGAGCGGGGAGGGCGGCTTGAGAAGGCCGCCGAGTGAGGGTCGCTCAGACGAGGCACGCCGCGAGCACGACACCGACGACGGTCAAGGCGGATCTGCGTACCATCGACATGCTCGAGCGGGTCAGTGCTGGTCTCGACGCAGTGCGCCCTCGCGTTCTCAGCGGCCGAGACGCACCTGCTTCCACCCCTGCTCGCCGCCGAATCAGCGCGCACGACGACGACCGTCCCGCGCCCGCCCGTCGCCGTCGAAGTCGCAGTAGTCGGCTCGGGTTCGTCGAAGGATGAGGGGATCGAGGGCGGGAGGAGCGGGTTCGGGAGGGGACAAGCGACGTCGGTCGAGGCGGACCTGCGGGCACGGCAAACGCCGTGAGCAGGGCTCGAGAATGGGACCGAGGAGAGCGTGAGACGTACAGAGTCGTCGTCGTTTCGAGAGAAAGTGTCGAGGTCGGGTTGACGGTGAACGAGGACGAGAGCGAGGTGGCGCTGAGCGAGCCGGTCGACGACGGCACGAGCGATGCTGGGCGAGATGAAGCGTTGGCGCCGATGCTGGGAGAGGCATGAAGTCAGTGCGCGTTCGTGGTCAAGCTCTAGCCCGGCCGCTTGAGGCTGCCCGGCTGCGAGCGGACGGGCAGTAGCGACTCTCGCCGACTCACCAATCCGAGCTGTCGCCCTCGACGATCTCGACCGGCGCGCTGTACCCGACCGTGCCGTCGGCGTCCTGCGAGCGTGCTCGAGGCTCGTAAGTAGCTAGGCGAGGGGAGAGACGAGTGGGAGAGAGGCGATGAGACGTACCTCGATCGCGAACGTGACACGTTGCCCTGCGGGACGTGGGCGTGGGTCAGCAAATCGTCCGCCACCTAGGCACGAGAGACAGCTCTCGGAAGATGCTGCGTCGAGCGCCGAGGCAATCGACAGCGCGACGCACCCTCGGCGATGTCTACGAGCCAGGTGACCGTTCCGGGCGCCGTAACGGGCGGCAGGACCTCGAGCGGGTTGCCGGACAGCTGCGCACGTGTACGTGATCGTAAGAGCGGGTGCTCCGAGGGTCGAAGGAGGAAGAGGGAGCGCACCTGCGCGCCAGGAAGGACTGTGCGCCGAGGACAAGGAGGAAGGGGGACGGGCAAGCAGTCAGTGCGCGCTCGTCTGACCATCGACGGACGAGAGAGAGAAGTAGGGACGCACTCGAGACGGTGTAGGGCGCGACGCCGCCTTGCAGTGTGAGCGCCGCCTCTGCGCACTGGACGAGCGTCGGCGGCGGCGTGACTTGCTGCCCGACGACGAGGGCGACGGCCGAGAGGAGGGCGATCGGGATGAGGGCGACGCGCATGGCGAAGAGAGGTGCTGACAAGAAGTGAAGGGGGAGAGGAAGAAGAGAGAGGAACGTCGAGAGGAGCGGGCGAACGATCGAGACGAGACCAGACGAGACGAGCACGCCGGCCGCCCGGTCCGAGAGATGTCCCTCGCGCAGCGCTCGCTCGAGTGCCGCCATCGAGCTCAGACGGGCCCACTCGACGCGTAGGCGAGCGCGCGAGGTCGACCATCCGAGAAAGTCGGTGCGCGACGAGGTGGAAGGGGAAGAGAGGACGCGACGACCGACGGAGACGTGTCTTGCAGCTAAAACTCGGGAGAACGGACTAGGCAGAAGGACGAGAGAACGAGAGGGGTGGTATCCGAGGGGGTAGAGAGGGAGGAAAGGAGGGAAGAGGAGAAAGTAGGGTATGCGGTCGAGGACGATCGAGAGGTCGGTCAAGGCGAGAGGCGGTGCGAGGCGTGCGACAACGACGACAGGACGAGGGGCGAGATCAGGCGTGGGCGAGGACGACGACGAGGGAAGGCGAGGACATGCTACAGGGCGCAAGAGGAAGGGACGAGTCGGCGGCGAGGGTCGAGCGGCGCTCACTCGCTGATGGTGAGCCCGGCGATGGCCATGCCGACCTGGTCCGAGCCTGAACGCGACTCTGCAGGCGATCGAGAGACGAGTCAGTACCTGGTCGACAAACACGAGCGGGCGCTCGCCGTCCACGACGAGTAGGACCGAGGCGAGGAAAAACGAGGACTGACCGCTCCGCCTGTGCCCGTTGACGCCCTGCGACCCCTGCCCCGCCTGCACCGGGTTGGCGAACCGCCTCGGCGCCTCGCCCGCAACGATTCCGCCCGGCCCGCCGGGCGTCTCGGGGCTGCTCGCGCCGCCGCGCCAGCTGCCCTGCGGGCCGTCGTCCGTCGGGCTCGACAGGTCGACGGCGCTCGACGCATTCGACGCCGCGAGCGACGCCTCGCGCGCAGCGAGCGCCGTGCGGCGGTCGATCGACTGGCGCGTCCACGACGCCGTGCGGTTGTGGCCGCCGGCGTGGCCGAGCCCGGCCGGCGCTCCTCCTGCTCCTGCTCCTGCGCCCGCCGGGCCCGCTCCTGCTCCAGGGCCCGCCGGGGAGCCGGGACCGCCGCCCACCATGGCCGCGAGCGCAGCCCCGCCGCCGCTGCCGCCGACGCCGCTGCCCCTCCTCGCGTGCCCGAGCGCGCCGCCGCCGCTCGTCGCGCCCTGGCCGGCGATCGAGCGCGAGCGTGGCCGGTTGTGGACGGCCTGGAGGATCTGCGGGACGTCGGGCCCGGTGTAGGGCGTGATGCAGGGGGCGTAGGTGCCGGTCGCGGTGGTCGAGATGGGAGCAGGAGGGTTCGAGACGAGCGAGAGGAAGGCGCGCTTGGCTGCGGACAGGCAGGAGGGGGTTCAGCGTCAGGCAGAGTTGACTGCGTCCCCTGCACCATGAGGTTGTACAGGAGCGCCACGCAGAGCGCGTCGAAGAGAGAGAGAGAGTTGGGGACGCACCGACGGTCGGGTCGTTGAAGACGATCCAGGCGCTCGTATCGTCGCGCCACTTGACCTTGAGGCCGCCGTGGTCGTCTTGCCACTCTGCGACGAGGTCCTGCAGGTCCTTGGTCTTGAGGCTCGCGCTAAAGTTGCTGAGAAGGAGGATGCGGGTCTGGTTCGGGCCGGGAGCGGGCGCAGGGCCACTCGGGGCGGCTGCGGCCGGGTTGACGAGGTGCGGGTTGCTGGACGAGGCGTGGCTGCCCGGGACGATGGGCGCGACGGGCGGGAGGATGCCGAACTGGGAGAGCGAGGTGATGGACGACGACGAGCGGTGGTGACCCGAGCCGTGGGGCTGGCCGCCTGTGTGCGTGGGCACTGATGCAGGCTGGTGCGTGGTCCTGCCGGGGGGTCCAACAACGTCAGTCGCTGTGCGTGATCAAGGGAGAACGGCGCGGGGTGGGGATGACGATGAGGGGGAGCGGGCGAGGAGGGGGACGGGGCTCACATGGTGGCGGTTGGAGGGCGTGAGGCGGGCGACTTGTAGTCTATCTAGCGCGTACAGCCGTTGGTGCGAGAGATGAGCGGCGACAGAAGGCGACGTCGCACCTGCGCCGCATCGCTCGACCATCCGTGCTGCTCTCACCTCGCAGAGTCGTACGAGACGGGCTGTACACAAGTTGCAGCACAGTCAGGGAGCTACTGCAAGCGCGCAAGGCACGGCGAGGCTCTCCCGCCAACCTCTCCTCCTCGCTCAGACCGATCGAGCCCTCTCCTCCTCCCTCCTCGCCCAACCTCTGTCCTCTCACGCCCTTTTCCACCCGCTCGATCTCCCCGTCCACACGCTGCCCGCTGCCCCATGCTCGTCCTCTAGACCGGCGTACGGCGACCGCGTCGTAAACGGGTTCGAGTCTGCGCGCAAGCGAGGCGGCGTCAGTGCGCGCGCTGACCAAGGGGGAGAGAGCGAGAGAGAGAGACAGACGACGCACGGTTCGAGCGCGCACTGCCACCGCTCCACATGCTGCCCTCGCTGCCGCCGTTGAGCCCCGCAGGCCCGACCGTCGCCGACCTGGCGTGGCTCGCAGGGCGCAGCACGCCCACGCCGGCGCGCGAGCCCGCACCCGAGCCTGCATGGGCAGCGAGCGCCGCCGACCTGCTGCGGAGGAGGACGTGCGGGGCGGGGCGCGCCGCTGTCGTCGGCGCCGCGCTCGGCGGGCCGTGCGCCGAGAACGGGTTGGACCGGCTCGAGGGGGCGTTCGAGGGCGAGGTGGGCGAGCGGACGAGGGTGTGGGGCAAAGGGGGCGAGTGAAGGACGGCGGGCGGCTTGGAGCGGGGCGAGAGGGCGGACGAGCCGGGGAGTGAGGGGGACGAGTGCCGCGAGGGGTGCGACGGCGGGCGAGGCGGAAGGACAGGCGCTGCGGCCGCGCGGGGTGGGACCAGCTTCAAGGGCAGACGAAGCGCGGTTGGTCGAGGGCGAGGTGCGGCTGTAGACGAGCCGGGCGTGAGTGAAACTCGGGCAGAAAGGCTGAAAGAAAGGGAGCGACGAGCGCACCGGCGTCCTTCTTCTTGCCCTGCGGCGTTCCCGCCACCTTCTTGCCCCACCCCATCTTGTCGCTCAGCACCCTCAGCTGCGCGACGACCCACGTCCACGCCGCGACGAACGCCCACCTGACGTCGACGGCCCTGCCCGCCTTTGTCACCCACTCTGGCCATTCCGTCTCGGGCTTCCTCCCTCCCGCATGCGCCCACGCCCAGCGCTCGTTGGCCCAATCGCTGCCGCGCATGCGGACCCTCGCGCGCTCGGTTGAGCGCTCGAGCGCCGGCAGGAACCAGGTGAGGACGAGGACGAGGGCCTGGAGGAGGGTGACGAGGCCCGGCTGGATGGCGTACGAGGCGTAGTAGGCGGCCCAGGTGGCGTAGTAGGCGAGTGGGCGCAGGGTCGACTGGTACGGCGCGAGGTACGGGCCGAGGGCAAAGCCGGGCATGGTCGGTGGGAGGAGAGAGAGGGACGAGGGCGGACCGAGGGGCGCGTGTGGTTAAGCGGAATGTCCGCGGGCTCGGACAGGAGCGAGTCGGGGACGGTCTCGCTCGCGGGTGGCGGTAGCGAGTCTACCGAGTCGCCAAGCGCCGCGAAGAGCGCAGACAAGCGGCGAGAAGCAGAGGCGAGAGTTGAGGAGGAAGCGCGAGGCAGCGAGGTGCGTGGCGGCTTGGCGAATGGCTGCACATTCCTCTAGGCGTCCTGAGAGCAGGTGCCACTGCAGCTGGAGCGGGTCTGGAGGGAGAGGAAGCGACGGCGAGAGGCGGACCCGACCTCGAGCTCGGCGGCGGAGACGACCCAGGCCACCTCGCTCCTGACACCTCTCGACCACCACCAGCCACCATGGTGAGCACCTGCACCTGCTCAGCAGACCTCTACCGAGACCCTCGAGCTGACCCTGCTGCGTCCCGTCCTCGCCACATCTCGTCCTCCTCCTCGACCCATCTTCATCTCTCGCTTCGACCACCACTCTCCCCACCGCCTTGGCCGTTCGTGCGACACACCCATCGTCATCAGCTTCGTCGTCAAGCCCGCCAACGCCGCGAGTTCCTGTACCAGAAGTCGCTCGAGCAGAAGGAGCAGCAGATCTGGCAGCGCAAGCAGGCCGTCAAGGACCTCCTCGCAAAGGGCAAGGAGGTCCCGCGAGGGCACGGTGCGGGTGAGCGCGAGATGCGCATGGACGCTGCGCAGGACGGTGCGCCCCCTCCTCTCGCTCTCCCCTCATGTCCTCCTCCTGACCCTCGTCCCCACCTCGCACAGAGCCGCTCACCCACATCGACGACGAGTACGCCCAGGCCGGCATCGACGACCCGCGTGTCCTCATCACCACCTCGCGTGACCCGTCTTCCAAGCTGCAGCAGTTCGCCAAGGTGCGCCCCCTCGCCCGTTCCCTCTTCGCCAACCCGCTCGCGAGCTCACCCAGCCACCCGCCCACCTCTGCAGGAGCTGCGCCTCTGCGTGCCCAACTCGACCCGCATCAACCGCGGTAACTACGTCATGACCGAGCTCGCCGACGCGTGCCGCGCCAACCAGATGACGGACCTCATCGTCGTGCACGAGCACCGCGGCGTGCCCGACGCCCTCATGCTCAGCCACTTCCCGCATGGCCCGACCGTCCTCTTCACCCTCACGGGCGTCGTCTTGCGGCACAGCCTCGGCGGCCTCCAGGGCACCACCATTTCGGAGGCGTACCCTCAGTGCGTCCCCTCGTTCCCTCTCTCTCTCTCCTCGTCGAGCGTTCCCTCACTGACCCATTCTCTCTCGTCGTGCGCAGCCTCATCTTTGAGGGCTTCGGCTCCAAGCTCGGCAAGCGCGTCCAGGACGTCCTCAAGTACATCTTCCCGGTGCCAAAGTGGGTCCAGCTCTCGCACCTCTCTCGGGTCCACCTCTCCTCCTCGAGCTGACCCTGCACTCGCCCGCCCCGACAGAGAGGACGCCAAGCGCACCATGACGTTCGTCAACGAGGGCGACTTTATCTCGTTCCGGCACCACGTCTTTGTCAAGACGTCGCACAAGGAGGTCCAGCTCGCAGAGGTCGGTCCGCGGTTCGAGATGCGGCGTGCGTCCTCGCTCTCTCTCTCTCTTCTTCCCCTCTCTTCTCTCGCGGTCATGATGGCGCCCAAAACTGACTCGAGCCCGACGAGCGCGCAGCGTACGAGATTCGCAACGGCACGATCGAGCAGCAGGAGGCCGACGTCGAGTGGGTCCTGCGGCCTTACATGCGCACGGGCCGCAAGCGCAACCAGCTCTAGGGCGTATCTCTCGTCGTCCTTTCCGCCCGTCCTCCCTCGCAGTGCCCTCTCTTCGCATAGAGCTCCCTCTCGGTCCCTCCCTCGCCCATGTCCCTGTTGTACCGACCACGCTCCCTCTTGGCTGCCTCGCGCCGTCGAGCTGCACTGTGTATCATCGTCTCTCGGTTCCCTCTCGTCGTCAGAGAGTAGGAGAGAATGAGAGGCAATCGGCGCTCGTTCCTCGTCCGCTCGAGCAGGCTACGCCGCGCCCTCGTCAACCCTGCGCTTCTTCGCCGCGCCCTCGCCGTCTCCCTCTCGTTCTGCGCCCGCCGCCGTCGCACCCTCCTCCTTCGCCGCCGATCCAGGCCCGGCACGGTCGCCCACGCCCCGCTTGCTCCCTGCGCTCGCGGCCGCGCTCGAGCCCGCCGAACCCGCCTCCTCCTTGGCCGGTCCTGCGCCGCCCGTCGACGCAGCTGCAGTCGCGTCGCCATTCTGACCGGCCGAAGCCGGTGCGGCGGCGGAAGGCGTGGCGGCGGCCGGCTTCTTCTTGACGACGAGGCCCGGGAGCGTCTTGCGCTTGCCCTTCTTGGGCACCGTCGCGGCGGGTTTCGGCGCAGCGACGCTCGCGGAAGTCGAGGTGGAGGTCGGGGCGGATGCGGTGGGCGGCAGGGCCGAGGTGGACGCGGCGGGGAGGGGAGGCGAGAGCGAGAGGGCGGCGGCGGCGGGTGGGGGTGCGGGCGCGACGCGCTTGTGGACGGCGCTGCGGGCGTGAGCCAGGGCGCAGTGTCAGTACCTGGACCAGGAGGAGATCCTGAGGCGAGGCGGATGCCAGCTCGCGCCGCGAGAGTCGCACGACCGGGACGAGAGACTCACGCCCTGAACCCCTTGAGCTCCTCGAGCTCGAGGCGCTTCTTCTCGCGCTCCTCCTCGTTCGTGTCCTCGATCATGCTGTCGAGGAACGAGATCTCGTCCTCGTCGAGCGCGCGAAAGTGGTTCTCTGCGCGTGCGAGGGAGGGGACAAAGGGTTCGTGTCAGCCAGGTGGACGAGCGAGCCGAGGGCGAGGTGGCAGAGGACAGGGGACGCACTGAACTTGAGCTGCTCCTCGAACGCTTCTTGCTTCTTGCTCTGCGGGCGGGACAAAGTGCGAGCGTCAGTTCCGTGCGCGGGAAAAGGGGACCTGAGCCGGGCGACGGTGCGGCTTCGAGCGAGTCCGAGGGAGGGCTCTGCAAATGCACGCTCGACAAGAGGGCCCTCGTTCGCGCTTCCTTGCAGGCTCGCGTCCCGCCTGGTGCTGCGCCTGCGCCGCCGTGCGCTCCCCCACCTCGGACGACGCAGGGCAGGAGGGGAGGGAGATGGGGGGCGCACCTTGTTCTCCTGCAGCTTCTCGAACAGGCTCCTCGGGTCGTACGTGCCGTCGTCCTCCTGCTTGGGGGGCTCCTCGCCGATGCGCGCGTACGCGGCCTTGAACTCGGCCTCGCGGCGCTGCTTGGCCTCCTCGAGGGCCGCCGACGAGACGAAGCGCGACGCGACGCCGCCGGTACCGAGAGCTGAAGGGGCGTCGGACATGGTGCTCGGGCGAGAGTGGCCGGTCCGAGCAAGGCGGAGCGAGAGCGTGCGAGGAGAGCGAGGCCGCGAGGAGGAGCCGGGGGAGAGTTGGCCCGCTGCCTTACACCGCCTCGCCCCTGCTGGGCCAAGGCTGAGCTGGCTGTGTACCACAGAGCTCTGCATCCACAGCTCTCCGACCTGCGGGCAACCGTGCGGCGTGCGGCGTCCACCTCCTCCCCCTCGTCCGCTCATCAGCTCCTCGATCTCGCGGCACGCGGCGACCTCGCCAGCCTTCTTCGAGCGGCACAGCGGCATCGCACGCGTACTCGAGCCGTCGACCGACCGTCGCACGCGTGCTCGGTGAGGAGCGCAGGCGCGGCTCATCGGGCGGCTCTCGGTTCGCTCCCTCTCCGGACGCCGGCGGCTGCTTCGCTCCTTCTGCTCGAGTTGCCCGACCGCCTTCTGCTGCGGCGAGTCTCGCGGGACTGGAGCAGTGCGTCTGCGCTCGCTCGGCTGCATCGGGGCGCTCGGCGCGCTCAACGCCGACCGCGACCGTCAGGCGTCGGCTCGAGCCCAGCTGCGGGCCGGGCGTGTTCCGTGCACCATAACGCACAACCGAGCGGCAGGTGCATCGGGTCGACTCGCCGCTTTCGATGCGCCCGGCTCGCGGGAGGTGCTTTCGCTGCTCGCCCGGCTCAAGCTCTGCCAGGCCGTGCGAGGCGCCTTGCTCGCTCTCTGCTGCCTCCTTTCCGGCTCCTTGTGCACCTCGGGCGCGTCGTTCAGTCGATCGTTGAGCTGGCAGAAGAGATGGAGCCGGAGGACAAGGTGCGAGCGGGAAGCTGAGGAGGCTGGTCGGCGAGGAGGCGAGCAAATCGAGAACAAGTGCGAGTGACGCGGCGGATAGCTCAGATTCGTTCTTACTGTTCTCTCGTAGCGTACGACGATGAGAGCGCACTGTACAAAGAGCGAGCGCAGCCGCAGTCTCGGAGTTTGGCTCGAACCGGAGACGACGCGTCGCGCTCGCCTCACCTCTCCTCCCCTCCCTCCAAGCTCGCGGTCCCCTCCGACTGCCCGAGCGAGGTCATCCACGATGCCCGCCATCCTCTCGTCGGCCCTGTCGCTACCGCCAGCGACCCGCGCCCTCACCCTGACGCTCGTCGCCGGGTCCCTCCTCTTCCTCCTCCTGCGCCTCTCGGTCACGCCGCACGACCTCAAGAGCATCTTTGGCGCCACGGGCGACGTGTCGCTCGTCTTCCCCTGGCTCGTCTTGGTCCCGGGCAAGGTCTACCGCGCACCGTGGACCTTGCTCACCTCGGCCTTTGTCGAGACCAACCTCATCGAGGCGAGTCCCCTCTCCTCGTCTTCTCCCCCTCCCCCGATGAGAGCGTGTTGCGAGACAGCGGCACAGTCGACCCCTCTGTGCTCCAGCACGCTTGGCGCCTCGACCCCCTGACTGACCCGCCGTCCTCTCCCCTCGCAGTTCCTCCTGTCGGCCCTCACCCTCCCTCTCGCGGCACGGTACCTCGAGCGCGTCTGGGGCGCAGTCGAGGTCCTCAAGTTTGTCGTCGTCACCATCGTCGCCTCCAACATCATCACGTGCGTCGTGTCGGTCGTCGAGGCCATCGTCCTCGGCAACAAGGAGCTCTTCCTGTGCGTCCTCTCTCTCCCTCTTCCTCTCGCGCCGACGGTCAGACCCACTGAAAAGACACTCCCGCGCAGCTATGGCACGAGCTACCACGGCCTGATGGCGCTCCAGGTCGGCTTCCTCGTCGCCTTCACGCAGCTCATCCCCGAGCACCAGGTCCAGATCTTTGGCGGCCTCGCCAAGGTCCGCGTCAAGTCGCTCCCGATGCTCTACGTCACCTTCTCCAACATTGCCTGCGTCCTCGGCTACATCTCGCCCTACATCCTCGTGCGTCCACGCTCCCTCCTTCTCGTATCTCGCGCGAGCTCGCTGACCCGCCCTCTCTCCCCCTTTCCTCTCGATGCAGATCCAGTTTGGGTGGCTCGCCGCTTGGTTCTACCTGCGCTTCTTCAAGTACAACGAGGGCGTCGACTTCCGCGGCGACCGCAGCGAGACGTTCGCGTTCCACAACTGGTTCCCGCCCTTTATCCAGTGCGTCGCGCTCTCGCCACTCGTTCCTCGCGGCAGGGTCCGGGTCTCGCACCTGGCCCCTGCCGCTAACGCGTCGTTGAAGGCGGGACTAACTCTGGCCCAACCCCCTCTCGCAGGAAGTACGTCCAGGCGGCGGCCGGCTTTGCGTTCTCGCTCGCCGTCAAGTTCCACGTCCTCCCCGCGTGGGGGCTCGACCCCGAGTCGGGCGTGCCCGGCTCTGGCTCGGGCTACACGCAGGTCCCGGGCGGGCAGCGCGCCGAGGCCGAGCGTCGCCGGCAGCTCGCGCTCGAGGCGCTCGACCGCCGCATGCAGGCCCCGTCGTCGTCGTCGGCCAACGGCGCGGCGTCGACGGGCCTCGAGCCCCAGGCGCAGGGTGCGCCCATGGCGTCGCCGGCGCTCAGCATGGCGGGCAGTGTCGGCGGCGGGGCGCCGAGCCCGGGCTTGGCCAAGGGCGGCGCGGCGCTCGTCGGGGAGGACAAGTAGACGCGGTGCGAGGCGGGAGGAGGCGGCGGCGAGGGACGGCGCACGAGACGGGAGGGCTCTCGTTGTAGGTCTCGAGTTGGGAAACGTACTCATTCAGCATGTCCTCGGCAACGTCTGGCTGCGCTCGAGAGCTCGGCGAGGTGCTGAGAGGCTCGCGCTCGTCGCTCTCTCTGCTCGTGAAAGCTTGCGGCGCACGACATGCAGAGGGATCGTGACGGGAGTCTCGCAATGACAGGGTGCGCTACAGCTGCCCTCGCTCGCTCCAACTTGCCACGACCTCCGCTCGCGAAGAGTTGCAGCCCCGCACGAGCTCTAGAAGGCCGCTGCGCAGGAGGGGGTGGGTCGTGGTGGTAGATGAGGGGTGTCATGCCGGTCTGCCAGCCTGCTTGGGGCCTGTAGAGGTCGAGGGAGGTCGTGGTCGAGTGCGGGGAAGGGGGAGAGCCATGAGGCAGACAACACGACGGCGGCTTCGGGCGGCGTGGTGGCGCGGTGGTAGCTGTTACTTAGTGTCTCTGGACGGCTCGAGAGGTGCAGCAGCTCAGAACGAGAGCGTCGCGGCGGCTGTTCGCTGTAGGAAGCGGCCCTCGCCTCCCATCATCGCCTCCACCTCGTCGCCAGCTCGCACAGCAGCTCAGCCAGGCTCTCGGCTCTGTGCGAGTCCTCTCTCAGCTACCCGGCTGCTTCCCCGTGCCGCGCAGCCTGCCGGTGTGCCGCCTCGTCGAGCTGCGCGTCGCCGCCTCGCGCAACCACCTTCTCAACCCTCAGCACTCGCTCGCAACAGCCCGTACGACCCTCTGCCGAGCCCAGAGCCACCCTCGTCACCGCCTAGGCGCCCCGACCTTGTCCCTCTGCCGCGCCGCCCTTCCGCCCTCGCCCTCCCCTCCTCTCCCGACCCCGACCTCGTTCGGCTCTCGACGACCGCCGGCCCCCTCAAGCGGTCCCGCCGCTTTCGCTCGACTGGTCGCGCGATGTAGAAGGAGAGGCATACCGCGTGGGCTAGCTTCTGTGCAGGGAGACGGCACCAGAGTCGGTCGGCGGGTGCAGCAGCTCCTTGCAGGCGAGGGCGACCTTGTGCGTCCCTGTCCGCCACTCGTTCCGCCCCGCATGCGCATGACTGACTCGTAATGCCCTCACAGATCCGGCGGCGGCAGAGTCGTCCTTGGAATAAGACCTCGTTCTCCCTTCAGGCTCTCCTCGAACGTCCTGCTTCTCGTCCCGAGCGGCTCGTGCTTCGCTCCGCAAGCGGCGGCTCTGCGAGCTCTGCCGACACCCGTGCGCGACGAGGCGTCGAACGAGCTGCGCTTCGCCGTCGCCGCTCTCGCTGCGCCCGAACCCGTCGAACGCGGCTCCTCGTCATCCGCTTTTCGCTCGTCGAGGGGCCGAGACGAGCCTCGTCCCTTCGTCTCAAGGACAAGGTTCAGCCGGGCTCGGGCACGAGTGCCAATGTCGACGCCGCGCTCGAGTTTGAGATGGCGATCGACGGGCTGACCTGAGGTAAGCCGAAGCCCGCCCTGCTCGTTCAGCTCGTGACCATTCGCAATGCTGACCTCCTCTCTCCCCAGTACAAGAGCGAGCTATCGACAGTCGTCCTTCTCTCCCTTCCCTCACCACCTGCACCCGCACTCGCACCCGCACCGCGCACGCACCTCCTCGCTCCCCCCTCAACGACCGACCATGTCCTCCTCTTCGACCCGCCTCATCAAGTCCGTCGCCCTCGCCGGTGCCGGCAACCTCGGAGCCTCCTTCCCTGAGCACCTGCTCGCCGAGGGCTTCGAGACGACCGTCCTCACGCGCGCCGGGTCCAACAAGTCGTTCCCGGCCGGCGTCAAGATCAAGGAGGTCGACTACACGTCCGCCTCGTCGCTCGAGTCGGCCCTCGAGGGCATCGACGCCGTCATTGCGACACTCACGGCGTACGACTCGCAGACTGAGCTCATCAAGGCGGCGGGCAAGGCCGGCGTCAAGCTGTTCGTCCCGTCCGAGTTCGGCAACGTCACGACCAGCCTCAAGGAGGACGCGCACCCTGCGCTCGCCGGCAAGGGCGTCGCTCATGGCCAGCTCAAGGAGGCGGGCCTGCCTGCGGTCCTCGTCTTCGCCGGTCCGTTCCCCGAGACCACCTTTGGCGTCCCGTGCGTCCCTCTGTCTCTCTCTTTCGTCCCGCTCGGTCCTCGACGAGTCGCCTGACCCTCCTCCTCCGTCTTCGACAGCTCCTTTGGCGCCAACTTTGCCGAGAACAAGATGACAATCTTTGGCAAGGGCGAGACGCCAATCTCGTGGACGACCCGGCGCGAGATCGCCCGCTTCACGGCGCACCACCTCGCGACGCTCACGTCGCTCCCGGCCGTCGGCGAGCCGACCATCCTCCGCCTCGAGGGCTCGTCGGCCTCGTTCCTCGACGTCGTCGCCATCTACAAGCGGCTGCACCCGACGCGCGAGCTCGACGTGCAGCACGTCCCGCTCGAGCACCTCGAGAAGGCGGCCAAGGACGTCGAGGGCGGGTTCCTCGAGAGCCTCGTCGCGTACCTGCTGCTCTCTTGGGAGCAGGGCTACGGCAAGACGGACGAGGCGGGCAAGCACGAGCTTAGCAAGTGGGACGAGTGGAAGCCGCAGTCGCTCGAGGAGGTGCTCAAGGAGCTCACGGCCGACCTCTGAGTAGCTCTCTCTCGGGCCTTACTGTAATACTCTGTGTATGACGCTCGAAACCGTGCGCAACGAGAGAGAGAGGAGAGAAAGCTCGAAGAGCGAGAAGGCGAAAGACTCGGCGCCGCTCCCTCTCCTCCTCCCCGCTCGTTTGAACCCCTGGCCTTTTCTACGATGGTACCTAGAGGCACTGCAAAAGAGACGCGCTGCCACTGCGCCACAGCCCCAGCTGCTGGGAACCAGAGGAGTAGCAGAAACACCCACTCGAAAGTCGAAAAAGCCGGTCGGATCGCGAGGAGGGCCGTCGACGAGGACGAGGCCTGCGCCGGCCCGCACGCTCGCTCTGCCGCTCTTTCTCATGCTCTCGCAGACGCCGGCAGTGCGAGAAAGGACAAGGCTCCGCTGCAAAAGACTCGACCCGACGACCTTCTCAAAACAGCCGCCCGAGCACGCTCTCGAGCTGGCCCTCGTCCCGCCGCAGCTTCTTGCTCACGTCCACCGCCTCGCGCTCGTCGAGCACGCCTTACGGTCGTCCGTCGGTCTCGAGGACCGCTCACTCGAAGCGCTCGAGCAATGTCGAGGTCCGAGCGGACCTTCTCAAGTCGAGCCTCTTCGAGCGAGAACGAGGAAAAGAGAGAGTGCAAACAACCCTTGAGATGCAGACGAGCAGGTACAGGGACGATGAGAGAGAGTGCAACTATAAATCTTCGTGCGAGCGCGGCGCAGGCCCGCGCTCAGTACCTCGTGTGCTGCCCGCCGTACCCGCCGCCGTACCCGCCCTGACCCTGGCCCTGACCGCCGCCCTGGTACCCTCCGTACCCACCATAACCGGGAGGAGGAGGCTGCTGAGGCTGGCCGGGGTAGCGAGCGCCGCCCGGACCGGCCTGAGGCGGCGGGGGAGCGTACCCGGCGCCGTACGCGGCGGGAGGCGGAGGACGGTACCCGCCGGGCAGCGGCGGCGCCATGTAGCCGGTCGGGGGGCCGTAGCCGCCGTACGCCTGCTGAGGCGGCTGTTGAGGCGGGCCTTTGTCTGCAAAGGAGCGAAGGAGGGATGCGGGGAAGGGTTCGAGCGTCAGGACGCGCTCGATCGGACGACGACGTCGACGAGAGAGAGAGCGAGACGCACAGTAGCCACCTCCTCCGCCGCCAGGGTAACCGCTGTAGCCCGCGTACGGGTCGCGGCCGCCGTTGGGCGTGCCGTACCCGGTCGGCGTGCCGTACCCGCTCCCAGGCGTGCTGTACCCGCTGCCGTACCCGCCCTGCCCGCCCTGACCGCCGCCGTAGCCACCGCCGCCGCCGTACCCGCCTCGCCCACCTGCGCCGCCGCGGTTGTCGACCTTGGCAAAGCCCGGGCCCGACTGGTCGCGCTGGCGCATGGCGTGGAAGCCGTTCGACTCGGTGCGCTCGCCTGCGCCGCGACGGACCTGGTCCTTGTCGTACGGCGTGAGGACGTTGCGCTCGAGCTTGGCGCCGGGAAGGAGGACCGAGCGGTGCGGCGTCTTCTGCGGCGGGAACGAGAAGCTCGCCGAGATCGACTCGTCGTTGACGATGTCGGGCTGCGACGGGAGCGGCGAGTCGAACGTGCTGCCGGGGACCGACTCGTCGGGAAGGACGGCGCCGGCAATGCCCTTGCTGCGCTTGGTGTCGAGCGGGACGGGCTCGGACGCCTTCTTCTTGCCATACAGGCCCTCGAGGTAGTCGTACAGCGGGTGCTTGCTGCCGACGATGATGGCGTCGGTGCCGAGCGTGTTGCGGTAGTGCTCAAAGTCGGTGAGCTCGGGGTACTTGGTGTCCATCGCCTCGAGGAGGCGCTTCTGGTCGATGAACGGCAGGAGCGCGACGCCTTGCCACAGCATCTTCTTGCCGTTCATGTCGATGTGGAACTCCTCCGGGTAGAAGTCGAGGATGGGCGAGTCCTCGCCGATCATGAGCTGCTGGAACGGCTCGGGCAGGTGGATGCGACTGCAGGCGCCGAGGAGTGTGAGCGCTCGGACCTCGACGACGAGCAGGCTCGAGACGAGAGAGAGAGAGGCGACGGGGACGCACCTTGCGGCCGGGAAGACGCCCATGAGCTGCTCGTAGGGCTTGAACGGCTGGCCCTTGTCGAACTTGATGTCGAGGCTCGCGAGGTCGACAAAGTCGCTCGCGAACGGCGAGAAGTGGTACGGGTAGTACCACTGCCACGACGGCGTGCCCTGGTAGTAGTACTCAAGGACCCAGCAGAGACCCTCGACGTAGCACTTGACGACCCTGCGGGCGAGGAGGGACGAGGGAAGGGTCAGTCGACGAGTCTCGAGGGAAGGAAGAACGAGGCGGGACGCACTTCTTGCGGAACTCGGCGTCGCTCAGCTCGACGCCAAACTTGCTGCGGTAGTAGCGCTCCTTGTAGCCGGGCTCCCACAACCTGGACAGGGCGCAAGACAAGGTCAGGTCGCTGCCGTCAAGGACGGCTCAGAGAGAAGGAGGACGTTGCGCGACGCACTTGACGGTGTCGTCCTGCTCGACGACGTTGTTGCCCATGAGCTTGAGAGGCGGTGGCTCGCGAATGTTGAGGCCGGCGACCATGGCCGGCTCGGGCGCCGTCAAGCTGCTCTCGAGGAACGCGTTGACGCTCGCGTCGTCCTCGCGCTCGCCCGCCTCCTCGTCGGCGGTCGTGTCCTGCGACTCGACGGCGTCGGTGTCGGCGGTGCGCTTGGTGCCGCGGGGCGACACGTCGACGTCGCTCGAGGCGAGCAGCTCGGCCTTGAGCTTGGCGGCGGCGTCGGCGTTGCGCGCCGCCTCGGCACGGCCCGCCTCCTCGGCCTCCTGCTCCCTCTGCATCTCGGGGTCGTCGACGTCGTCACCGGCGGCGGCGGCGGCGGCGGTCGGCGCGTCGGTCGAGCTCGGGTCCTCGTCGCCGGCGAGCTGCGCCTTCATCATCTCGGCGGCGCTCAGGTTGGCCATGCGGAGCGCCATGCGGTTCTGGACGATGCTCTTGTTGCCGCCCGTCATCGCCTTGGCCGCCTGGTCCTTGTCCTCGTCCTTCTTGGCCTCGTCGGCCGCCCACTGCGGCTTGGTGGGGAGGCCGCCCGGGCCGGGCGCGGCGGCGGTGACGGCGGCGGTGACGGCGGCAGTGCCGTTGGCGTTGACCGGGACGTACTCGTTGACGGGCGGAGCGCTCGCCTGGATCGAGCGGGCCGAGCGCTGCTGGGGCGTCTCGCGCTGCTCGCGGTCGATGCGACGGCGCTTCTCGGTGCGGTCCTGGCGCTCCTCGGCTGCGGGCGAGCGTGCTGGTCAGTCCCAGGTGGAGGAAAAGTGGCAGAGAAAGCTGGGACGCACCCTCGCGACGTTTGCGGAAGATTTCGTCCTCGCGCATGGCGAGCTGCTCGAGGATGATCTGGGCGCGCTCGAGGCGGACCTTGCCGTGCTCGGTGAGGTACCCGCCCATGCGGTCGAGGTTGGTCTTCCAGATGTTCATGAGCGTGTCGATGGCGCCCTCGCGGATCTCGAGCGACGGCAGGTGCGGCAAAAAGTCGTTGCCGACGAAGAAGATGAGGAAGACCCAGTCGTCGAGGGCGCGCTCGAGCGAGAACGGGAACGAGTGCGTCGGTGCCGACAGCTCGACGGCGAGGTACTCGCGCAGGACCGCGACGTCGAGGAAGATGAACGGCTTGGGGACGCTCGGGGCGCCCTTGGGCGTCAGGTCGGCCTCGGGCTTCTTGACCTGGCCTGCGAGACGATGAGACGTGAGCCACTCGACCCTGTGGGCTCGACGCCGAGAAGAGAGAGAAAGAGAGCGCGACGCACCGGTGCACTGGCTCGAGTGGTGCCCGGGCTCGCCGCAGCGGTGGCAGCCGCGCTTCTTCTTGTCGTCGGCGAACACGTCCTCGCGCAGGACCTTGAAGTGCGGCTCGTGCGTCGCGAGCGAGAGCATGATGAGGTCGGCGTCGAGGCCGTAGATGACGTGCTTGGTGTTGGGGTCGTGCGAGGGTTGGACGCGCTGACGGCGGATGAAGTCCATGATCTTGTGCTCGCCCTCGCCGGGGACCGACGCGTCCGAGATGATGACCTCGAGCTGTGGACATGTGCCCGGGCGTCAGTGTCGGCGGAAAGAGGGGCGAGGCAGAATAGGAGAGAGAGAGACGAGGACGCACCCCTGCCCAGCCAGGGTCCTCGTTGAGCTTCTTGCGAACCCAGTACCGCAGGCTCTTGGCGAGGAGGTCCATGAAGGGCGTGCCCGGCGTGATGGCGTTCGAGTCCCAGCCCTTGTCGTTGCGGTACTCGTCGCTGACCTCCTTGCCCATGGACTCGAGCTCCTGGATGGCCCTTTGGCGGTCGTCCTCCTTCTCCTTGGCCTCCTGCGCCGAGCGGAAGCGACGCGAGCGCTGCTGGTTCATCTTGGCGCGAGGTGCGACGCCGTCGATGGCCATCATGAGGAGCTTGCGCGGGCGGACCATGGCGACGACGCGCTCGGTGTAGAGGAAGACCTCGAGCATCATGTCCTCCTCGGTCTTGGGTGCGGGCTGCGGGCAAGGTTCGTGGATCAGTCGAGTGTGCGTGAGAGAAGGGGGCCGGCGAGCGAGGCTGAGGGAGGAGAGACGCACCTTGCCCTCGGGGTGGGTACAGGGATGGACGATGCCGTTCATGTCGAGGTACAGGCAGTCAAACTCTTCTCCGTTCGGGTTGGGGCCCGACGTATCGACAGGCTGCGCGCAGGAGCCCGTCGTCAGTCGCCGGGCTCGGGAGAGGAGAGTCGCAGGGCAGAGGGGGACGCACAATCGTCACCTCGACGCCGTCTCGCACGACCGTCACCGGGTGATCCTCGACAACCTGTGCAGCAATCAGAGTGAGCTTATACCGCAGGGTAGCGCCAACGCGTGTGTCCCGACCTGCGTTCCCCCACCTCAAAGGCCAAGAAGGGGAGGGCGATGTGCGGAGATGAGGAGGGAAGGGGAACGCACGTTCGACACAATACGCGGGTACCGCCTCGATAGCCACCGGAATAGAGCCTGGGTCGGGGAAAAGAGCTCAAGGTCAGCGGCGTTCCGAATAGAACGCGAGGAAGGACGAGAACGAAGTTGGGACGCACAGGAACACCCATAGCAGCGAGTTTTGCTCGTCCGTGTAGTACAGGTAGTGACGCCGGTGTAGATGTCGCTGCGGATCAGGGAAGCTGTCAGTCCGTGGTCCCGAGAGAGAGATGAGGTTGCTCGCCGCGCCCGTCGACAGAGAGGCGTCGCCAGCCGTCGCCGTCCCGCCAGATGCCCGACGCATGCCCATGCACTCCCTTGCACTTCTGCCCGTACCTCTCCACGGCTGTGATGGCGAGAGGGTGGCGCGACGATGCCGACGGGTGGAGCGGCCGGTCGGCGGAGTTGGCGTGCGACGACGACGGCACTTGCGGATGCGCTCTTTGGCGCGAACGAGAGAGAGCAGGACGGGCAAGACTCACGGGCTCTCAGAAGAGCAGCTAGCCGTGGAGGAGAGCGAGAGAGCGGACCCCTCGCCGTCGACTCTCCACCGCTTCCCAAGCTCGACCAACGCTTGGTCTCGACTACTCCTGCCGCACCTGCTGCCGAGCCACAGAGCCGCACCGACACCTGCACGAGCATGCCTCGCCGCCACAGCATGCCCGCACCTGGGGCCAAGCCCGCCAGCAAGCCCGCGCCCTCTAAGAAGAAGCGCACCTCGCTCCCTGCACCGCCTCAACCCTCGACCTCGCAGCAGACGCTCGACGACGACGAGCCTCGAGTCACCGAGCCTGCCGACACCCGCTTCGCCGCCTTCCTCGACGAGGCCGACGGCGACCACGTCGAGCCGGCCGTCGACCAAGGCGACGACGGCGAGGCCAACCTCGACGAGGATGCGGCTGCTCAGCACGGCGGCGAGGAGCCCGTTGCAGAGCCTCGAGCCGCCGACGACGAGCTCGACGAGCGCGCCCTTCTCGCAAAGACGACCCTCCCCGCCCACCTCCTTCCGCGCTCCATGTCCGGCGGCAAGAACGCCAAGACGCCCGGGCTCGTCTACCTGTCGCGCATCCCGCCCGGCATGGGTCCGGGCAAGGTCAAGCACCTCCTGTCGGCGTTCGGCGAGGTCGGGCGCATCTACCTTGCGCGGGCCGACGCCAACAAGGGTGCGTTGCCGCTCTCGCTTTCCTCCTCGTCTTCCGCCACGAACGCGACCCTGACTCGATGCCGTACACGCCTGCAGAGATCTCGGCACGCAAGAAGCACAAGCAGCGCGAGCGCCACCAGTCGCACAACTTCAAGGAGGGCTGGGTCGAGTACCTCGACAAGCGCGTCGCTCGCTCGGTCGCCGAGATGCTCAACGCGCAGACGATCGGTAAGTTCTTCTTCCGCGTTCCAGGTCAGTCTCGACGAGTGCGACAGACCGAGCGCGCGGTCGCTGCAGGTACCGTGCACTCACTCCTCCTCGCGCAGGCGGCAAGAAGTCGGACCGCTGGCACGACGACGTCTGGACGATGAAGTACCTGCCTCGCTTCCGGTGGGACCAGCTCAGCGAGCAAGTCGGTGCGTCTCTCGTTCCCCTCGGTGTCTCGTTGGCTTTCGGCGTCTCGAGCGCTCACGGTCCTCGCCTTTCCTTTCCACCTCCCCTCTCCTCCAACCGTCTCGCCCGCCACCGTCGGACCCCTCCGCCACCCTCCTCGACCCCGCACCGTCGTGCTGGACGCCTCATCCCCTCCCCTCGACCTCAACAGCCCTCGAGCGTGCGACCCAGACCTCGCTCCTGCGCTTCCACCTCTCGCACTCCAAGACCGAGCAGGAGGCCTACCTCTCGGCCGTCGAGCGCGCTCGTGTGGGCAAGAAGATCGAGGAGAAGGCGGCCTCGCGCGCGCAGAGCTCGGGCGCCAAGGGCGGCAAGGGTGGGGCCGCCGGAGCAGGAGCAGGAGGGGCAGCAGCGGGCGCCGTCAAGGGCGAGGGCAAGGAGGCCAAGGCCGGCGAGAAGAGGAAGCGGGAGTTCCGGCAGCGCGAGGCGGTGGACGTGAGCAAGAAGCTGCGGCGGGACGAGGGCCAGCTCGAGAGCGTGCTCGGGCGGCTGTTTTGAGAAGGTCGTCGGTTCGAGTCTTTTGCAGCGGAGCCTTGTCCTTTCTCGCACTGCCGGCGTCTGCGAGAGCATGAGAAAGAGCGGCAGAGCGAGCGTGCGGGCCGGCGCAGGCCTCGTCCTCGTCGACGGCCCTCCTCGCGATCCGACCGGCTTTTTCGACTTTCGAGTGGGTGTTTCTGCTACTCCTCTGGTTCCCAGCAGCTGGGGCTGTGGCGCAGTGGCAGCGCGTCTCTTTTGCAGTGCCTCTAGGTACCATCGTAGAGAAGGCCAGGGGTTCAAACCCCCTCAGCTCCATCCTTTTTTTGCTCCCTGAGCGCGGCGCCACACCCTGTCGCCATGGAAAGCAGCTTCGTTGGCGTTGTGGTTGAGGCTGCCTCGTTAGCCCCGCCGGAGCGCTGCAACCGCGCCGATGCTGCGCCGCAAGTGTTGGCCGAGAGCTCGCGCTCGAGCCTCTTCCGTCCGAGCTTCGTGGCTGCGCGCCGTGCGCTATCCCCAGCGACGATAGGCAGCTGAAGTCGGACTGGCTTCACAAGAGTGCAGCACTGCAAAGCCTGCTAGAACGACACTTGCCCGCGCTTTGCTCGTCGCTCCGCTCCTCGCCTTCCGGACGGCGCCTGCTGTCGCGTCCAGGCTCTCCCGTGTGCTCTCTCTTGATCTGGACGAGCTGGATGCTCCCTTTCGAGCGTGCTAGAGGCTGGCTGTCTCTCGCTTGACCGGCACAAAAGATGCCATGCTGGTCGAAAAGTGCAGCCAGCAGGCGCGCACGGGCCTCTCAGCTCTCAACAGGTGCCGAAGCGCTCGACAGGGACTCAAATTGTGCATAGACACGCATCGGAGCTTGCTCAGTGACGCCGTGCAGCCGTGGCGAGGCGAGGAAAGGAGAGAGGTCGGGAGGAGGCGAGTCGCCGGCGCGCGCGCGCCCCACTCGCGTCGCTTCCTCTCGCGCTCTCGCCTCGCCTCCTCGCACTTATGGTGCGCCGTGGGTCTCTAGGCATGCAGCAGAAAAGGCCCGAGTCGCTCGCGTTGACCCCGAAGCGATCCGAGGCGAGGGTGAAGGAGGAGGACCGAGAAAGCGAGCGACCGAGTGCGTGTTGCGCGCGTTGTCAAAGTCGACCTTTCCTTGCTCAAACCGGCTCAGGCCATGGCTCGATTCTACTCAACTGCCACCGCCCCGTGGAATCACGACGTCTCTGCCTTGCCTAGTCTTGCCTACAGAACTTCGTCGCCACAACGACACAGGAGTACGAGCAGCGCGAAGTATCGCTAGTCGGCTTATGGTGGCCCCGGGATAAGAAATATCTCGCGCTCGGTACTCCGCCGTCAACCCACCACCTTACGCAACCTGGCCAGGTTCGCTCATCTTTTTTTCGCGTTGGCCTCCCGTTGTGCCTCGTTCTAGCGGCGGGTCGAGCCTCGTTCTGGCGGCGGGTCGAGTTGAGAAGGCCGGCTCGCGCGAGAAGCTTTCCTCTCCTTGCTCCTCCTCTCGAGCTCTTCTCGGCTCTCGCTTGCGACGATCAATGCTCAGAGAGGCTCGGAAGCGACGGCCGACCGTCGGGAGCCCGAAGAAGGAGCGAGGCAGGCTCGAGTGTCGTCCACAGGGTCGCTCGGGCTGAAGGAGGACGGGCTCACTCGCTCTCGCTTCCACCTCTCGCCTGAGCTGCTCGACGCTCGCAGAGAAAGTCGTTTGACAGGTCTGGGCTCGAATCAGAGCGCACGACGAGGAGCTGGGGGCGGTCTCCTGAGCAACTGTGCGTTTGAGAAGGTCGGCGCGTGCGACAGGCTGTCCTCCTTGCTGCTTCTCTAATGCTCGTCTTGGCTCTCGAGGCGTTCGTACGAGCTTGAAGTTCACTCGGCGACCGGCTCGAGACAGCGCTCGCACGAGTCGAGGCGGAGGAGGAGGACGAGGAAGACGAAGCGAGCATTCTTGCAAGCATGCCTCGCTCTCGCTCAATGCTCCGCTGCTCGTTCGACCTTTCGGGACGAGTACTCGACGTCGGGCACGACCCCTCTCATCTTTGCTCGATGTGCCCGCCCGAGTCTGCGAGGGCGAGCGGGAGGAAGAAAGTGCAAAGAAGCGCCGACTGGCCGCGCACTCTCGCGCTCTCTCACACGCTCGCGGCCGAACCGAGCTATGCGTCAACGACACGTTCGAGCTCGCGCAGGGACGCTGTGTAGCTGTGACGAGGCAAAAGAGAGAAGGAGAGCAAAGTGGGGAGGTGGGGACGAGCCGAGGCGCCGCGGCGCGCGCGCCCGCCTCGTGTCGCTTCGTCTCGCGCTCTCGCCTCGCCTCGTCGCACTTATCGTGCTCCGTGGGTCTCTAGGCATGCAGCAGAAAAGGCCCGAGTCGCTCGTGACCTTCCCAAGTCGAACCGAGGCGAGGGGGAGGCAGGAGGACCGAGAAGGTGACGACCCGAATGCGTGTTGCGCGCGTTGTCAAAGTCGACCTTTCCTTTGTCGAACGAGCCGGGTTCATCGGCTCTCTCTCATCGCACCACCGGACGGCCATTACATACTGCCTTGCTTAGCCTTGCTTACAGCAGGCCGTCCACCTGACATAGTAGTGATCTCGAGGACTCCCTCGCCGGCTTGGTGCACCGGTTTGAGGCGGAAGAATCGCAGCGCACTACGAACGTCGAAGTTGGGGTTCGCGCCCCCCATCTTTTGCTCGCGACGTCGACCTTTTGCTGTCGAATACGAAAGTGGGCGCGCTTCGCTATTGTTTTTTGCAAGGGTCGACGTTGCTACTCGTGCGCTCGGCGAGCCGCTCTGTAATCTGTCGCTCGAGCCTTCCCTCTGTTGCAATCGGCGCTGTAACCAGTCGCGCTCTCGTCGTACTCTGCTCGACAGCTGCTCGTCGACGGCAGCGACTCGGCGCCGTCCTCGAGTCGCCGCTCGTTCGAAGCTGGCTCACTCTAAGCTGGCTCGCTCGAACCCGGCTCGCACGGACCCTCTCTCTCGAGCACGCATCCCTCGCTTTTGCCAGCGTCCGGCGACGTGCTCTCGACAGTGCACACGCTCTGCTGCGCGTTCGCTTGGCACGCCATAGTGCTCCCGCGGGGGACGGGCAAGGAGCAGGTCGTGCGGCTCGAGAAGCGCAGGCGCGTGCGACCGACGGACGTTCCCTCGCATGCGGACGGCCTCTCGCGCCTCCTCAACTCGCCGCGTCGTAAAGCCGAGGTTCGCGCGAGTGCAAATCGGCGAGTGCACACGAGAGCTGCCAGACGCGCGCGAGGGGGAGCTCGTTTCCGAGCCTGACGTGGCGCCAGACGTGCGTCCGTCCGTCGACGGACCACCATGTCTGTGTCTGCGGACAGTTCGCGGACGGCTCTTCACAGAATGGCTCTTTCGTCGCGGCTCCTCGCAGCGTCAAGCCTGGTCGGGTCGTGACCTCCAAAATTTTGCCACTGCAACAACGTCGGCTGCGTGGCCCAGTGGCTACGGCGCTGGTCTTCGACTACAGGCTCGTAAATGGCTCGCAATGGTCAAGGGGCTTGTAATGGTCAACCAGAGATCGTGGGTTCGAGGTGAGAAGGTCGGCGCGTTCCTCTCCTCGAGCTCTTCTCGGCTCTCGCTTTCGACGACCGATGCTCAGAGAGGCTCGGGAGCGACGGACGACCGTCTCGAGCCCGAAGAAGGAGCGTGGCAGGCTCGAGTGTCGTCCACAGGGTCGCTCGGGCTGAAGGAGGACGGGCTCACTCGCTCTCGCTTCCATTTCTCGCCTGGGCTGCTCGACACTCGCAGAGAGAGTCGTTCGACAGGTCTGGGCTCGAAACAGAACGCAAGAGGAGGAGCTGGGGGCGGTCTCCTGAGCAACTCTCCGTTTGAGAAGGTCAAGGTTGCTCTCGTTTGCGAGCTCGAGCTCGACCGGTACGCACGTTCGCGACAGCTCTCGAGAGCAACACGAGGAAATATTGCTCGCCGTTGCACGTCCTGCGTACTCGCTCCCACCTCGCTCCGTTCGTGCCCGAGCACGAGTTCCTCAGTCGTCCGCCATGCCGCCAGTCGGGTCGAGCGAGAAGAGCTCCTGTGAGTCGGACCAAGCGCGAGTTAGTCTCGGACACGTGGGAGAGCGCGACGTAGAAGGAGAGGGGAGAAACGCGGGACGCACGATGAGGTACTCGTTGTACTGCCGCCGATTGCGGTCACCGCTCGCGCTCAGAGGCCCGCCGTCCGCACCGTTCGGGCCTGCCGGGATGCCGCCGTCCTTGGACGACTGGTCGATGCCGCACTGCAGGTTGAGGAGGGCCTTGAGGTCGTCGAAGTCGTAGTGCGCCTGGCCTTTGCGGACGAGGTCGAGCATGGCCTGCAGGTGAACGGCGACGGTCAGTCCGACCGTCGATACCGCGCACCGAGGGCCGACAGAGGAAGAGAGACAAAGAGAGAGGAGGGCGCACCTTTGGCCCTGCGGCAAAGAGGTCCCAGAAGCGCCGACTGCGCTCAAAGTCGACGTCGAGCGGCGTGTCGCCCAGGTTCTTGAGGTTCTGCTGGAGCGCAAGGATGTTGCGGAGCATCTTGGCCTGGCCGAACTTGTTGGCAAGGCGGATGTAGCGCGCGTTGTGCACGAGCAACTCGTCCATGAGGCGCGACAGGCCCTCGAAGATGTATCTGCGGGCGCGAGCAGGGTCAGGACACGCTCTCTCGGGCTCGAGCGAGGGGAACGAGTTGACGCACCTGCGCTCCACGTCGGCGAGCGTGCCGGCGGCGATGTCGTCGCACTCGGCGAGGTCCGAGTTGAGGTCGACGACGCTCGGGTCGGGCTCCTGGATGTCCTCGGCGAGTTGATAGACGCCGTCGCGAGTCGCCTTGTCGAGAAAGTGCATGGCGCGAAGGCGGATCTCGAGGCGGAGCGTGAAGAGGACCATGTTGGCGAGCTGGCGGTACGAGGTGAGGAGGTCCTCGAAAGGGCTGTTGCGCGGCCGCCTGGGTCAGTCACCGCCGCACGAGGCTGGACGACAGACGCAGAGAAGAGGGAGAGGGGACGGACCGAGCCATCTCGCTCGTCAAAGGCAGGACGAACCCGTCTGCCCCCGTCTCGCTCCCGCCCTCGCTCGGTCCCGCACCGGCCGCCACACCCTCCTCGTCCATCTCCCGGCTCGCCAGAGAAGGGCTCGCGTCGGAGCTGCTCGCGAACGAGTAGCCGCTCTCGCGCGGGCGGCGAGAAGCCGCGGCGAACCCGTTCGTTGCCGGGCTCGCGACCGCCTCGCCGGTCGCCTTGAGCGCCGAGACGTGCAGGATGAACCAGTCCTGCGGAGCGAAGGACCATGTATGTCAATGACCGGGCTCTGCGCGACCGCGAGCGAGAGAAGTGAGAGAGAGACGCACAAGGCTCGAGTACAGGGTCGCGAGTGCCCAAATCTTCTTGCTCGGGCTGATGAGGTCGTCCTCGCGCACGCTCGCCTTGCGCTTGCGGTCGAGCTCGATCTTGGTCTCCTTCTCGAGCACCTCGCGCAGCTTGGTCGAGTCCTTGGGCTGCAGACGGTGACGGCGCGTCAGTCGGGCGGCCAGTCGATCGAGACGAGGACAGAAAGGAGGGAACGGACCGAGACGCCACGCAGCTCTGTGAGGCAGGCGTGAAGCTCGGGCATGTCGGCCCATGTCGCGGCGAGCTTGAGCGGTCCGAGCGTCGCGGTCGGCGTCGTGCCGCCGAACGAGCCGTTCGAGTCGGGCGCGTCTCGGGCGGTCAAGTCTGCGCTCGACAGGGCCGCACTCGTCGTCAGTCTCGAGAACTTCGAGTCGAGGGTGAAGGGGAGGAGAGGAAGGAGGGACGCACCCTTGTAGCGCTCGAAGCACCGCTGGTAGAACTGGTGGATGACGCTCACGATGAGCTGGCTGTAGTTCTCGCGGTGGAACGGCGTCGCCCTGAGCATCGAGCACAGGGACGAGATGAGGAGCATGAGGTTGGACACGGACTGCGAGCGAAACGCAGAGGAGGGTCAATGCGGGACGAGTGGACGAGGAAGGAGGGTCCGAGGACGCACTCGAACGATCGGCACGCGCGAGACACGCTTGTAGTTCGGGTCCTCCTGGAACGCGTCAATGCCTGTGGGAGGGTGCGACGTCAGGGACCTGCAGGAGGATCCAGAGAGGGAGGGAGGACGAGGACGGACCGCCGACGGCCTGGTGGAACACGCTCGCGACCTTTTCCTCGAGCTGCGGCAGGAACGTGCGCAGGACAAACTCGTCGAGGAACCCGCCAAAGCCCGTGCTCGCGTTGGTCTCGTCCTCGCCCATGAGCCCGCCGGGCATGACCTCGCGGACGCGGTCGAGGAAGGCGAGCGTCGGGCCGAACAGGACCGAGACGTTGAAGGCGTCGGCGGGCACGAGCGCCTTGTGCGTGCCGTTGAGGCCCGAGCTGCGCCCGGCTGACGGGTCCATCGAGGCGACAATCAGCGCCGAGGTGGTCGTGGTCGACGGCGCGCCGTCGGTGATGAGGCCCGGGACGGCCGACTTGATGGCCGCGTTGAGCGAGTCCTCGTGCGCCTTGAGGAGGGCGTGCGACGACTGGAGGTCCGAGTCGGCGAACTTGAACACTTGCTGCAGGCAGGGGAGAGGGGACGACCGTCAGGGACCGCTCGAGGGGAGAGACGACCGGGCGGACGAGAGCTCGACGCACTTTTGACCCGTCCCTCGGCCGAGGGAAGCGCAGGACCTCGTTGACGCTCGCGATCGGGTTGCGGGCGCTGACGGTGCCGCTCTGGTCGTCGGTGAGGTAGTCGTGGAGGAGCGCGCGGACCTCCTGCTGGACGGGCTTCCACACGTGGAGCAGGGAGAATACGAGCGACCCGCTCCAGTCCTTGATGAGAGAGCCCTCCTTGAAGTCGCGACGCTGTGTGAGAGGATGTTCTGGCGGGTCAGGGCCTGTCTCTCGGGGCAGGGGAGGGAGGGCGAGAAAAAGGGGAATTGCTCGTCGAGCACGCACCTCGGCGATCCTTGCTGCCACCTCGTAGGCGACGCGAAACCCTTGAAGAACAGCGTCCATCTTGCTGTACAGCGTCCAGAACAGATCCCGCAGCGTCTCGACGCTGCTCGCGAGCGTGTTGGTCTCGCTGGCGCTCAGGCGCAAGAGGGCGGCGACGCCGTCGGTCGTCCACGAGCCGGTTGCCGCCGATGATGAGGAGCCGAGAGGGTGAGAGGAAGAGGCGTTCGGGTTGGGCGATGGCGGGTTGAACAGGGAGGAGGTCGGTCGGTTGACGCCGGCCGAGCTGGCGAACGTCTTGGACGAGTCGTTGCTGCGGACGTCGAGGGTCGTGAGCACTTTTCACTGCGCCGCACACGAGGCACGTGCGCTGCGGATAGAGGAGAGAGAGGCGGCGAGAGAGAGAGAGAGAGAGAGAGAGAGAGAGAGAGAGAGAGAGAGAGAGAAAGGGACGCACCGTTCCTCGACCTCGTCGACTGTCGCCTCAACGAGCGCAAACATCTCGCCTTGGACCCTCTGCCCGAGCGCATCGACCGCAAAGCCGAGCTTGCCGAGGGCCGACAGGCTTTCGAGGAGCATCTCGATGTAGCTGAAGCTGTCGGCCTCGGGGTTCCTCCTCCTCTCCCTCGCCCGCCGCCGCCGCGCACCGCCGGCGCTGTCCGAGCCGCCCGCCGCCGACGCCGAGCTGCTGTCACCCGACGTGCCGAACGTCTCGCCCGCGCCGAGCGAGGCGGACCCGCCGAAGCCGAGCCCGTCGTCCTGGTCGGCCGCCTCGTCAGGCCCGAGGAGGAGGTCCTCGACGACCTCGTCGAGGGTCGGGTCGGCGCCCGACGGCTTGAGCGCGAGGTCCTGGAGGAAGCGCTGGAGCTTGGACAGGCGCGGGAGGCGGGCCGTCGAGCGGCCCGACATGCGGGCTTGGGCGTCGCCGGCGGCGGCGAGCGAGGCGGCGGCCTCGGCGTCGTCGCCAAAGTCGACGAGCGGTACTGCGAGGGAGAAGGAAAAAGGAGAAGGGGGCGGGCGAGTTAGTGCGGGCGTCGCATCGGGCGAGACGAGGGGACGCACAGGACGTTTGGCCTCGGGTGTACGGCTTCCACCGGACGTCGGTATAGAACGACTTGAGGTAGAGGTGGTTGTGGAGCTCCTCAATGAGGATCTCGAGGACGACCTGTGCGGCACGAAGAAGGAGCACCGTCAGTTCGGCTCGCTCTCGTAAAGCGAGGGGGGCGGGACAGGGAAGGCGGGCGGCGCTGGACGCACCCCTTCTTGAGCGACGGCCCAGGCGCGAAGGTCGGCAAGCGCCCCGATCTCGAGCAGGTCGGGCTTGTGGAGCGCCTTGACCGAGCGGACGAGGAGGACGACGGCGCTCAGGAAGCGCTTCTCGGCGAGGAGCGCCTCGAGCGACGGTGGAAGTCGCAGAAGCGAGTCGCTGTTGCGGGCAGACAGAGTCAGTGAGACTCGGATGGGGCACAGAGGGCTCTTTGAGAGAGTGAGGACGCCGAGAGAGAAAGAGGGACGTACATCTCGTCGAGGAGCCCGCCCATTTCCTCCAGCATGCCCAACCTCGCGTACATGCCCGCGAGACCCTCCCTGCCCTTGCCCTCGAGCTTCTCCCTCGTCCCGCTCAGGTCGGTGCGCATGCCGCCGATGAGCTTCTGCGCGCCCGACAGGGCCTGGAGCGTCGCGTTGTGCGTCGTGATGGCGCTCTCGAACGCGCGGTGCGGGTCGGCGCCGCCGCCGGTCGCGGCCGTGCCCGGTGCCGGGTTGAGCGCCGGCGAGAGCGTGCTCTTGATGGCGTTGTCGAGCTGCTGCTTGAGGCGCAGGAACCCGCTCAGCTGCCGCCCGCCGCCGCCACCGCCGCCGCCGGCCATGTTCTCGCTCGGCCGCCGGCCCGCCGCCGCGCCGCCCGAGTCGAGCAAGTGCAGCGCGAGCTGGACCGGGTCGAAGTCGGGCCCGTCGAGGTCCGACTCGCCGTCGAGCTGGCCGGCGAGGCTCGTGCCGCGAACGAGCGCGGGCCACTCGTCGCGGACGCGCCGCAGCGCCTCGTCGACCTCGCGGAACGCGGCCGTGTCCGGGTAGTCGTCCGGGCTCAGGACGGCGCGCTTGGGCGCGAGGCCGCGCTGCGCGCTCGAGAGCTCCTCCTCGGGGCTGCTCGCGCCCGAGCCGGCGCCGGCGCCGGCGCGCTGCGACGGCACGTCGAAGCCCTGGTCGGCGAGCCCGCCTCGGCGACCGTCGGCGCGGCGTGCACCCGCGCGCGAGAAGGCGCTGATGGCGTCGCTCAGGGCCGACGGGACGACGAGCGAGTCGGGCTCGGGCGAGCCGGCGCGCGACGACGAGCTCGACGAGGCGTCGTCGTACGCGTGGTGGCGGTCGTGGTCGAAGCGCGGGCTGCTGCCGGACGGGATGGGCGACAGGCGCGAGGCGGCGCCGCCGCTGCCCGAGGCGAACGGGGCGGCGGTCGACGACGAGGTGGACGCGCCGAGGTTGGGCGACAGGTTGGGCGAGTTGGGCGAGTCGACGCCGCCGCGGCGCAACTGGTCCATCATGCGGCGGTTCTTGCCCTCGGCGCTCGGGGCGGGCGCGCTGACGCCGATGCGAGGTGGTGCACCTGGGAAGCGACCCGAGTCGCCGGCGCCTTGAGGGGTCGCCGGGCTCGGGGTCGCGCCTGCGGGTCGCCGAATTGAGCGCTCAGGACGGGCTGGCGGTGGTGGCGGGCGGTCCATGACGGGGCGAGATGGGCGCTGGCTGGTGAGGCGGCGGAGGTGGGGAGGCGCTCCAAGGGGCGCTCGCGGCGAGAGCGGATGGGCGCACGGCTGGACCGGCTGATAGATGCCGATCAAGTGGCTCGAGTGCTGTCGCGAGGCTGCCCGAGGTTGTCGTGTCGAGCGAGGTTGACCGACGCGTGTTGGTGGGGAGCGGCGGCGGCAGGCGAGGGGCTGAGGCACAGGCACAGGCCGGGTCGGATGCGGCGGGTGCGGGCTCAGCGAGGTGACGTGGTGCTCTGGCTCGCGATGTGCGAGCTGGCAGGTGGGTGATGCGAACCGCGAGCTGTTGGTCTTCTCGCTCGTCCTCCTCTCACTCGCTCTCGCGCCCGCCGGCCACCAGCTTGGACAGTCGCGCCTGCGCAGACCCTGCAGCATTTGTTCGGCAAGTTCCAGCCACACGGCACGGCCGCGTCCTTCCCTCAACTCTTTCCCCCTCCTTCTCCACGGCGGAAGGAGGGCGTTCAGGTCTTGATCGCGCACAGACGAGCGCAATGGCTTTCTGTCACCAGCGTACAACCGAGAGTTCTCGAGAGCTCTGTCGAGAGCTTGAGAGCAGGGCAGCTCGACGAGCAGTCACTCTCGAGGAAGCCGCAGCTCGTACGCAGTCTCGCACACGCGCACGCCCGCCAGCTCGTCTACCGTCGACTGCATGGCTCCGTCTACAGCTTGCCCTCGCCCTTTGCCCGTCCCTCGCCCCCAGCTCCCGCTCCCGCTCCCGCTCCCCCTCGCGCGTCCGCACCCCTCCTCTCGCGCACCCGCCCATCCTCGCCCTGCTCGAGCCGCCCCTCGACAAACCCTTTCGCGTCGACCCACCCGCCCTCGTTGACGTCCTTGCCGCGCTCGCGCCCGGCCGCACTGAGCGACGGCGACGCGGTCGGGTCGTGGTACGGCGTCGGGGTCGACCCGGGCCAAAGCGGGTCGAGCGCAGAGTCGTACATGGTCGATGCGGGCGACGTGTCGGACGAGTTGTCGATCAGGCGGACGCTGTGGGGCGAGAGGACCGTGAGCGGCGAGGTCCTGCGGGCCGCACACGGCAGGCGCGAGGAGGGGAGGAGAGAGAGGACGGGAGGACGCACCGGCGCACGAGCCCAGGCTTGCTGAGCTTGGTGACGCACTCGGGGCTCTTGATCCTGCTGCGCTTGATGGCCTCGGGCCGCGTCACCCTGCCCGTCGACTTGGCGCGCTTCTCGGCGCGGCGGAGCATGACGTCCTCGGGCGCCGACTGCGCGCGTGCGAGAGGAAGTGCGAGAGGAAGCTCGTCAGTGAGTGAGGGTGGAGGGACGCGGAGCGTGCAAGGCGAGAGTAGAGGGAGCGCGAGAGGGGGAGCGCGAGAGGGGGAGGAGGGAAGAAAGGGAGAAGAGAGGGAGAGAGGGACGCACGACAAAGAGGATCTCGCAGTCGTAGCCCGCCTCGCGGTATTTCCTGTGCACCCACCGTCGATGAATCAGTCGTGTCCTCCTCGACGAAGAGAACGAGAGAGAGAGGGGGGGGGTGGGACGCACCGCATGAAGCCCTCGAACCAGCCGCAGTCGGTCAAGCTCCCGTCGACGACCAAGCTCCGCCTCTGCTCCCTCGCGACGCTCGCGCACACCTCCTGGAGCAGGCTCGCCTCGGGGTGCAGGAGCGCGCTCGCGTTCTCTGGGTCGTGGGCGACGTACTGCGGGCGCTCGGGGAGCATGCGCGACAGGGCGTCCGGGTCGATCCAGACCGTGTTGCGCGGGAGGCGCACGGCGTGCGACTTGAGGAGCTCCTTGAGCGTGTGGCCCTTGCCGGCGCCCATGCCGCTGCGGAGAGAGAGGGGAAGCGAAGGTCAGTCGGGCAAGGTCGCGCGAGGGGAGGGAGAAAGGAGGGGAGACGGACCCGGCGGTAAAGAGCGCGAGAGGGCGGTCCTCCTCTCTGTCGCCGGCCTTGCGGCCCATGTCGTCGCTCCTGACACCGCGCACGCCGTCCGGGTCCTGCTCCTGCTGGGCAAAGGCCTCGCGGCGCTCGCTGACCCGGCACGGCTCGTCGTCGCCGGCCTCGTCGCACTCGCGCAGGCGCTGTTCGAGGACGCGGGTGACGATCTCGTCCTGGAGGTGCTGGCGGGCGCGGTTCGGGACGACGTGGTAGGTCCAGTCGAGCTGGGCGCGGACGAGGGCGTAGGGCCCGTGGTGGACTGGGCGCGGGCGCGAGGGGTCATCGGGGCGGGGCTCGAGCTGGTCGACGCGGGCCGGTGTTGGCCGCTGTGACGACGACGACGAAGAGGGGTCGAGTTGGCGCCAGGCGTGCTCGAGTGCGGCCGAGTAGAGCTCGGTGGTCGGGACGGCGAGTTGGTCTTGAGAGAGGGTCGGGGGTGGGTGGTCGAGCGAAGGTGGGCAGGCTGGTTGTGGCCCTGCGTAGCGGTGCTTGGCGGGTGCCATCGAGGCGGGGAGGTGACGAGCCCAGACGGCGGCGGATGAGCCGGGTCGCGGGAGGAGCGAGGCCTTTTGAGGCGGGGCGGGTCGGGTCGTGGACGAGTGCAGGGTGCGGGTGCGAGTCGGTGCGCGGTGTGTGCGGGTCGGGTCGAGGTCGTGTCGGGGTGCGGCGAGGCGAGCGGGGCCGATGAGGACGAGGGGCGGGTGCGGCGGGTGCGACGCGATGCGGGCGAGGGATGCGCGGGCAGCCAGGGTGGCGAAAGGCACACGCAGGCAGCACACGGCCACACGTGCGACGTTGGACGGGAGAGAGCTGCGTCGCTGACCGAGAGTCGCTCGGCGAGATGATGAGGACGAGCCGAACCACCCTCGCCGGCCACTCGACCCTCAGCCTCTGTTGAGCCGCTTGATCCTGCACTCTACCCACACAGCCTCGCCAGACCCGCCAGTACCAGTCGCGCCCCGGCTCGCCCCCTCGTCGCTCATCCTCTCGTCGACCTCCTGCGACCCCACCTCGTTCCTCTGGTCGACAGCGCTCTCCACATCGCCTCGCAAGCCATGGGTCGCTACCTCGTCCTCGCTGCAGCGACTGTCGTCGCAATCTCGTGCGGCCTCAACTACTGCTACTCGTGCGCCCTCGCCCTCGTCCTCCCCTCCTTTCCAAACCCCGAGGTGCTGACCAACCTCTCTCTCTCTCGCCCCACCTCCCTCCTTTGCCTGCACACTGCCCTTCAAACAGAGCCTACGCACCGCAGCTCGCCAACCGCCTCGGACTGTCGTCAACACAGACCAACATCGTCGGCGCAGCCGGCAACTTGGGCGTCTACTTGAGCTGCGAGTCCTCCCTCTCTCCCTCGCCCTCTCTTGGCCCTGCTCACCTTGACTCTTCTCGCAACAGCCCCTTTCATCGGCCGCATCGTTGACCGACGAGGCCCAAAGCCCACCCTCATCCTCGCCGCCGTCGCCCTCACCGGAGGCTGTGCGTCGCCTCCCTCTCCTCTTTCCTCCTGCCACTCGTTCTGACTCTGCCCCGACGTTCGCAGATCTCGTCGTTCGCGCCTTCTACCTGAGCGGCCATGTCGCGAACGGGCTCTACGCGCGCCTCGGCGTGCCGGGACTCGTCGCCGCCGAGTTGCTCACGGGCATCGGTGCGTCCTCGTCGCCCTCGTCCGCTCGCACGCCTTGTCCTTGCTCACCCTTGCCACGTCTCGCAGGCTCGACTGCTGGGCTGAGCTCGGCGGGCAACAGCGTCGCAAGGAGCTTCAAGAAGGCGCGCCCCCTTCTCCCTCTCTCTCTGGACCGCGATCGACAGCTCACGAGCCTCTCCTCCACAGCGACGAGCTGCGGCGCTCTCGGTCGTCCTCTCGGCATTCGGCCTCTCTGCCTTCTTCTGTGCGCCCGTGCCCTCCTCTCGTCCCCTCGTCGCCGCCTGACTGACCTTCCTAAACCCCCACCGCGTCTCGCAGACTCGACCCTCTCGTCCCTCTTCCTCCACTCTCGCGCCAGTCTCGACGCGACACCCGCTTTCCTCCTCCTTCTCGCCCTCGGCAGCCTCTTCAGCACGGCCGTCGGGCTCGTGTTCGTGCGGCCTGTCCCGCTCGCGCCCCGAGCGGCCGACTCGAACTTGGACGAGGACCGAGCGGCCGACGAGGCGCCCGTCGAGGTCGAGGCGGCGCTCCCTGACGCCGACCAGCATGCGCCGCAAGAGCCTGCCGTCGTCGTCGTTCCGCGCTCGACCGCGAGCCCGGGCCCACCCTCGACCGAGCGCACGCCGCTCCTGCGCAGCGACTCGACCAAGAGCGTGCAGGAGCGCAACATTGCCGGCTGGGCCCTGCTGCGCGAGCTCGACTTCTGGCTCATCTTTGGGTTCAACGGGCTGTGCGCCGGCGTTGGGCTGTGCTGTACGTCCCTGACTCTCCCTTCCTTTCGCGCCGCCTCGTCGAACGAGAGAGATTCACTATCTTGCACGACACATAGACATCAACAACCTCGGCACGGTCGTGCGCTCTCTCGCGCTCGCGACCCGCACCGCCGACCCGTCCCTCCTCCACCTCGCGCCCGCCGCTGCACCCGCCTCGGTCGCGCTCCTCCAGTCGCGCCTCGTGTCCCTCCTCAGCATCTTCAACTTTCTCGGGCGCCTCCTGTCGGGCTTCCTGTCCGACACGCTCCTCCATTCGCCGCCGCGCCCGCTCCCTCGCACCCCGCGCGTCGCCTTCCTCCCGCTCACGGCGACGATCCTCGTCGCGTCGCAGCTCGTCGCGCTCCGAACCGAGCGTGCCGAGCACCTGTGGGCCGCGACCGCGCTCACTGGCCTCGCGCACGGGTGCCTGTTTGGCATCAGCGGCATCGTCGGCCTCGAGCGGTTCGGGCTCAAGAGCTTCTCGCAGACCAACGGGTTCCTCGCCCTCGCCCCGGCACTCTTTGGTCCGTCCTCTCTCTCTCTCTCTTTCGGATGCGTCGTCGACCGGGACCTGACCCTCGAGTGCACGTCCGCAGGGCAGATGACCAACCTCCTGTTCGGCCGCATCTACGACTCGCACGTCCTCTCCTCCCCGCCCTCTCCCTCGTCATCTTTCGCCGCCGGCACCTGCACCCTCGGCCGACAGTGCTACGCCCAGGCGTTTGTCCTCACGAGCGGCATGGCGCTCGGCGCGCTCGCCGTCGGGCTGTGGCTCGCGCTCGGGAGGAAGGGCATGCGCATCCGGGCGGCGTAGAGCGTCACGGTGCAACTAGATCTTGTCCTCGCCGACTGTGTACTGCGAGAGTGTGGCGCTCGAGCGAGAGCGTGGCGAGAGAGCGAGAGCGTGGCGAGAGAGCGAGAGCGTGGCGAGAGAAGGTCCGTGCGACGACTCGCGCTCTCTCGGCAAGCTCTCGGGAGAGTGCGGAACAGGGAGAGCGACGAGGGATAGTGTACATGCGCTCTAACGTCTCCCGAGAGGGGCTCGAGCTCTACGCGATCCACCCCCAGGCCTTCCACGCCCACCCGAGTCGCCCGCTCTCTCGCGCCGCCCGGTCCTCGTCGTCCTTGTCGTCCTCGGCCGTGTTGACGTACCGCCCCGTGTCGAGGTCGATCTCCTTGAGGCTCGGCGTGCGCACCTTGCCCCACTTGGCGAGCCGGAAGACGAGGTACAGGGCGACAAAGATCGGGAGCTCGATGTAGTTGGCGACGAGGCCGACCGCGTCGAACGGCGGCCGGAAGACGGACCAGCCTTGGACGAGGATGATAAAGGACGTGACGACGACGACGACCGGGCCGGCCCACTTGCCGGCAGGGTTGGGGAAGCGCAGCTCGGAGGCGGACCGGCCTTGAGCGGCCCACGCCCAGCGGAAACGCGTCGACGTGATGCCGATCGTGAGCCACGCGAGCTGGTTCGACACCTGTGGAAAGAGCGAGAGGGTCAGGAAGTCGTGCCAAGATGAGACGACGATGCGGGAGCCCGACGAGGAGGAAAGGGGAAAGGGAAAGGAGGGCGAAGGAAGGAGGGACGCACGCCGACCAGGTTTTGGCACCACGAGAAGATCTGGCTCGCGCCGCCGGGCAGGAAGCTGGCGCCGAAGAGGATGAGGGACACGCTCGCGATGGCGAGCACGCTGACCCATGGAACGCCCTGGGCGTTCGTTTTGCGGAAAACGGCCGGCGCTTGACGTATGACGGCGAGGCCGTACAGGACGCGTGCGCCCGCAAAGAGGGCGTGGTTTGCCGCCGACACGACAGAGGTGAGGACGACTGGAAAAGAAGGTCAGTCTCGACTTGAGAAGGTGGACGAGAGGCGGGCGAGGGACGCACCAGCATTCATGAACGAGCCGCCGGCCTCTGCAGGGTGCGACATGTCAGGTCAAGTGCGATAGAGGTGGGCAGAAGAGAGCATGACGCACTGGCGCCGGCCATCTGGAAGACGAGGGTGAATGGCGAGGTTTGGGTCGACTTGGTCGACAAGTTGGGGTAGTTGTACGGGATGTTGAAGCCGATGATGATGACCGTGCTCAGGTAGAAGATGATGATGCGCCAGAAGACATTGCGTACGACCTTGGGCATGTTGCGCGCCGGGTTCCTCGTCTCGCCGGCGGTCTATAATAGGAGGAAGGACGAGGGTCAGTGGACGAGGCGTCGACAGAGGGAGAGAGAGACTGGGGACGCACGATGCCGATGCTCTCGGTGCCACCGTACGCAAACGCAGCGTTGACGAACAGCGAGGCGAAGCCCGCAAAGCCGTTGACGAAAGGCGCCTCGCCGACCGTCCAGTTCCGCGCGCCGACTGCGGGAGGGGCCAATCAGCGACTGTCGCGACTCGACACGCTCGAGAAGGGAAGAGTGGACGCACTGTACTCGCCGTCGACGTTCCCGCCGGCGTTGACTGTGCGCCAGAAGAGATGGTTAGAAACCGGTCAAGACCCAACTTGCGAAGGTCGAACAGGACGAACCGGCAATGCCCAGGAAGAAGAAGATGACGATCGCGACGATCTTGAGGAGCGAGAGCCAGTACTCGAGCTGTGTGGGCGAGTGTCAGGGCTGGTCGTGACCGGGCGAGGGAGAGAAACCGGCGCACCTCGCCATAGGCTCGGACGTGGACGAGGTTGACGGTGACGACGAAGAAGAGGAAGAGGAGCGACGGCAGCCAGTTGTACTTGGGCGTCCAGTAGCCGATGAGGACCTGGCGAAGAGCGAGAGGGTGAGTACGCGCTAGTCTCGAGAGCGAGAGAAGCAGAGAGTAGGGATGAGGAAGAGGACGAGCGGACGCACCTGTGCCGCGGTGAGGTCGCCCGCAGTCGAGACTGCGTCGTTGAACGCGTAGTTCCAGCCGATAGTAAAGCCGAGAGCCGGGTCGCCGAAGCGCGCGGCGTACGTGGTGAAGGAACCGGCGAGCGGAAACTCGGTGGCCATCTCGCTGTGGGCGCGATCAGGTCAGCTTCGGCCTCGGTCACAAAAGAGAGAGAGGCTGACGCACCCGAGGCAGAGCATGACCAAGTAGACGAGCGCGCCGACGATGCTGTAGTTGATGAGGAGCGACGCCGGTCCACCGTTGACGAGGCTGCGCCCGGTGCCGAGAAAGAGTCCCTGCGGGTGCGCTCGTTGTCAGTGTCACCGCTCAGCCGTCGACAGAGAGAGAGAAGAGGGCGCACCGTGCCGATGGTTCCGCCTGCGCCGCGTCGGACGGTTCGTCAGCTGCGTTCGCCGCCCGCGTCTCCCAGCGCCTCCCTCCTCCGGTAGAGAAATAGGACTCACCGATGGCGATCATGGACACTTGGCGAGCGCTGAGAGCGCGCGTGAGATGCTCAGGCGAGACGACGTCGGTCGGCAACGCCTCCGAGGGCGCCACCTCCTTGTCGTCGTCGGGGCCGCCCTGCGAGCCCGCCGACGGCGAGTGCGCCTTCTCGAGATCGAGCGAGGTCGACATGGCGTGTGTACGAGCTTGTGCAGCAGGAGGGAGAGCCGACCCTTCATCGCCAAATTTCGCCTCGAGGTTTCCCCCGCGCTTCTCAGCCGACGATGGCGTGCGAGCGGAAGAAACCGGCGAGCTCGAGTCGCGTGGCTGAGCAAGCAGCGAGCCGCTGAGGTGACCCTCGCCAGGGATGGCGACGGTGGGTGCAGAGCAAGCGCGAGCCGGCCGTGGAGTGCGAGCTTGGATGGCTTCGAGAGGCTCGTGCGGACCAGCGTCCGCCCGAGGCTCGACGCTGGAAGCGAGCGAGCGAGAGAGGGTCGGAGATCGACAATCTGCTCGGCCGGGCGATCGAGCAATGGAGCTGTGAGACGATCGGACGTCGAAAGCGCTCTCGCTCGCCGCGAAACGCTGTTGCTGAGAGATCTCGCTCGATTCCACCTCGCCCAGCTGCTAGAAGGCGAACGCGTCAAAGCTAAACTCGGCCGGCGCCTTGGCCTCGACCTTGACCGTGTTGACGACCTCGCGGAACTGGCGCTTCTGCCGCTCCTTCTCGTCGTCCTCGGCGGTCGACGGCGGTGCGGGCGACGCGACTCGGCTCGGCAGGTTGGACGGCGGGAGGTCGAGGTCGAGCTTGGTCGAGGCGAGGAGGAGTGAGGAGCGGCGCAGAGCGTGGCGGAGGGAAGGACGAGTGTCGGAGGACGAGTGGATGGTCGCCGGGAGGAAGTGCCAGTTGCGCAGGAGGTTGAGGGCGAGGACGTGACAGCCTGCAAGGGCAGAAGCGCGAGTCAGTATTGAACGGACTGAGGGCGAGCCGGGCAAGACGAGCGAGCGTACCCATACGGCAGAGGATTCGCGAGATGTGGAGGACGAACTGTGGCGGCGACGAGGGCAGAGTCAGGCCTCTGCGCACGAGACAACGACACGACGAGAAAGGCGGGACGCACGTTGAACTCGGTCTTGCCTGGGACGGCGATAGCGCCCTTGACCGTCTGAAGCGACCAGCTGCGCAGCTGGGCAAAGAGGAAGAGGAGCGCCGGGTCCTCGCGCGGCGGCTGCGTCACCTGCGTGACGCGGTACGGCAGGCGTGCGGACAGCTGCGAAAGAGGCGTCTGCGTGGGACGGCGAGTGTCAGGCAGGGCTCGGCGAGGCCGTCGAGGGCGGCAGAAAGAGAGACGGGAGGAAAGAGGACGGACGACGATGATTTGTACTGCGAGGTCCCGCCGATTGATGACCCAGAACGCCCAGCTGCCGAGCCATCGATGACCTCGCTCGAAAGCGCGCGGGATGACCGTGTCCTCGAGGATGGACCGGAAGACGGGGCCGTCCGTCCCGCCCTCGTGCGTCCTCGCGACGGCGACGGCGAGCTGAAAGTCGTTGAGCTGCCGCAGAATGACGCTGACGGCGTCCTTGAGGCTGTTGCCGAGGAGGAAGAAGCAGGCGGCAAAGACTGTGGAAGGACGACCGTGAGCGAGTGCTCGCCGGGCACGGGTCGAAAGGGGCAAGGGACCGGCTGGACGAGGGAGAGAGGCAGGACGCACGGAATCGCTGTTTGCTGAGCAACACGAACGCGTTCTTGTTAGCCGCCGTGCGCCACCTGGCGAGCTCGAAGTCGTTCTCGAGAAACTTGAGCATCTGCCGCTGGTCGCCGTGGCCCGTCGCCTGCTTCCAGAACGTGCGGACGATGTGCGGCTTGCGCAGGGCGAGGTAGAAGAGCATGGCCGTGATCGGGTCGCGGTCGTCGGGATCGCGCGTGAACTCGGTGCGGCCGATCGTTTCCATCGTGCGGACCTGGCGGCCGAGGGGGTGTCAGCTTGCGTCGAGAGAGGGGGACCGCCTGAGGGACGAGGACAGAGAGGGAGAGAGGGGACGCACGAGCATATCTTGAGGCTTGACCCAGAGCGCGAGGCCGAGCGTCCTTGCGGTCGCCCACGTGAGCTTGCCGCCCGCCGTCTTGACGCTCTCGTCGAGGAGCAGGTCCTGGCCCTCGCTGTGAAAGGCCCACACCATGTCGCGGTACTTGAGGCGCAGGATCCAGGGGCCGGCGTGGCCGTCGGACGGCGTCGAGGAAGGAGGCGAGGGCGGCCACGAGTCGCGGTACAGGTAGAACGAGCGCATCGAGACGAGGTAGCGCAGGCCGTTGTCGTCGATCGAGCCAGTGCGGGTCTGGGTCTGCGCGCGACGTTCCCGAGGTCAGGGTGGGCGCACCAAGAAGAGAGGCGGCGAGGACGCACCTCGAAAACCGTTTGGGCAACGACGGCGAGGTGCTCGTGCTCGAGCTTGCTGAGGCCGCGCATCGCCCGCTTCTTGAGGGCGGCGACCAAGCTCGTGATGTCGTCCTGCGACAGGTGCACTTGCGGGCTCGACCTGCGCGCAGAAGAGAGTGTGTCAGGCGAGGACGAGAGGGCGCGGCGACGGGGAGGCATGGGCGCACGGTTCGCGCTCGTCCGAGGTCGTGAGGGCGGAGAAGACGTCATTGGCGGCCTCGCCCTGCAAGAAGAGAGCGACGTCGGTGAGGTGCACGAGAAGGACGAGAGGGTAGGCGAAAAGAGGGGTCCGGGCGCACCTTCGATCCCACGCTCGGATGCCGCAAAAAGGCGTCGAGCGTGAGCACCTCGGGCTTCTCGCGCGCCGACACAGGCGTCAAGGTCCCGTCGTGCGTCAACTCGGCCGCCAGGCCCGACAAGATGCGGACGACGGCGTCGAAGTGGCCCTCGAGGAGCGCCTGGAACAGGAGCTGAGGGTGGTGGAGCGGCAAAGGCGCGCAACGGCTGGCGGCGAGGCCGTGTGCGTCGAGGCCGGTCGAGAGGCGCGACGAGTAGAAGAAGAGGTGGTCCGAGGCCGACAGGATGAGGCTGGAGCCGAGCCAGGCGAGGGTCGAGATGGGTGCGGGAAGGACGCTGCGGACGAGCGAGCGAGTCAGGCTCTGCGCTAGAGAGCGAGGGGGAGGAGACGCACGTGTCGATGCGGATGTTGGCGTAGGTCGCCCAGCCAGGTGCGCCGCTCAGGTCGTTGAGCAGTTGAGCGCTCATGAGCGACACCTCGTGCTCGGTCGCGAAGGCGAGCGTCTGGCCGTCGGGCGACCACTCGATGGCGACGACAGGCTCCCTGCGTGAGAGGAATAGGATCAGAGACTGTACACGGGGGACGAGAGGCAGAGAGGGACGAGGACGCACTCGAGGTCCATCCAGAACTGCTCGCCGGAGCTGAACTCGGACGCCTTTGGGTCCCAGATCGACAGGCGGCACTTGTCGCCCGTTCTCGACACTGCGCAGGTCATTGATGAGTCATGACGAGTGCGGGAAAAGGCTGAAGGAGGACGACAGGACGCACCGACAGCCGAGGTCCCGTCCACGCCGCTCGCGACCTTGTCGATCCCCCTCAGGCCCGTCCTCACCTCGCCCTCTCGCGCCCACGATTCTCCCGGCTCACTCAGCCTCGTCACCCACCTGCGCATCGTCCCCTGCTCGTCGATCGCGAGGAGCGCGACGGCGTCGACATCGTCGCCTGCCGGCGGGAGCGGCACGACGAGCTTGATCGCGCTCGTCGACGATGACGTCGCCGGCCCGAGGTGCGTCTCGCCCGTGGGCGACAGCGTCTTGAGCTTGTGGTCGTAGACCCAGTCGAGGGCGAACCCGTCGGCGAGAACGGCCGTGATCGTGGTCGAGAGCGAGTCGGGGCGGGCTCGAGCGACGAAGAAGGCGAGGGCGCGGTCGAAGGAGCGAGTGGGCATGGTGGATGGAAGGGAGGTGGTCGTCAAGAGGCGTAGGCGGCCTGACCGGCGAAACTTGAAGATGCTGAGCTTGCGACCCGAGCCGACAGCGAACATGCGGCCTGTGCGCGGCAAGGGCGGGTCAGGGTCCGCGTCGACGCAGTGTCGAGAGAAAGTCGAGACGCACCATCGAGCCATGTTGTGACGAGAGCGTCTTGCGCGATGCCCGCCTCGGCGACGTACGCCTCGGTGGCGGCCTCGTCCTCGTCCACCGTCCAGCTCTGGACCCTCCCTCCCTCGCCAACGACGAGTGCCGCCGCCCCGCCGAGCGTCGACCGCACCTGGACGACCTTGCCGACGACGCTGATGGGCGGCTTGCGCGCCTCGTCGTGAAACGCGTGCTGCTTAATCGACGCCGCGACGAGCGCCGACGACGGGACGGTCGCGCGAGCGTGGACGAGCGTACTGCGTGCGCAGCGCCCGACGAGGTGGAACGCGTTGCTCGCGCTACGCGACGGGAGGAGGTACGTGTGGCGAAAGTTGGCGAGCTGGGTCGGCGAGAAGACGTGCTGCTGGAGGGTCGAGGTCGACTGGACGAGGCAGGCGGGAGGGCGGCAGTCGAAGTTGGACACGGTCGTGAGGTGCACCGAGCCGTCGATGAAGACGGTGACGAACTCGTCCTCGGTGCCGCCTCGCGGCGTGCCCTTGCCCGCCTCGGTCTCCTTTGTGCGCCAGTAGCACGTCGCGAGCGGCACCTGCTTGGGCAGCGCCGTGTGCACGTCGAGCGAGGTCCACAGGGAGAAGAAGTCGGGCTCGTCGATGACGCAGCCCCAGATGCGGAACACGCCGTCGACCGTCTCTGTGAACAGGACGGGGCCGGAACTGCGACGGGCGAGGGACTGTCAGTCCGGCTCCCTCGCTCGTGCGCACCAGGATCTGGAGAAAGACGGAAGCACTCGGACAGGTTGTCGCTCGCTCGCCACGAGACGTTGCGGATGCGGATCGAGTGCGCAGCTCGCGACCGGAACTCGAGGCGGTTAGGCGTCGCCGTCGTCTTGGGGACGATGTTGTGGAGGAGGACCGTGCTGCTGGACTGTATCGATGCGTCAGGGTGGCTCGACTCGAGTGAGAGTGGCGCAAACTCACTGCAGCGACCGTCGCGAGGACGAGAGCTGATGGCGAGAGACGAGTCAGGGAAACAGGGGTTGTCGAGCTGCGGGATCAAGGCGGGTCAGTGCCCGTTCCCGTCTCGAGCTCTGCGTCAAGATAGACGCACAGAAAGAAGCCAATCTTGGCCCAGGTCGGGAGCGCAGACGCCTGGTCGAGCGCCCACAGCGAAATGCCGTCTCCTGCGACGACAAGGTGACCTGCGACAGGAGCGGCGTCAGGTTGTTGCCCGGCTCCGGGGAGTGACAGAGAGAGATGGTGCGCACCTTGGACAAAGTCGAGCGCGCGCACGTCATGCTGCACGACGAAGCTCGAGTGGACCCTCCAGGTGCCGCCTCGCCCGGTCGACCACACGGCGACCCGCCGGTTCGAGACAGCTGCAATCTGCAGGGGCGGCAGGTTAGCTCGCTCTTCGGTGGCTAGAGTAGAGAGTAGGGGGCGTACCTGAGCTGAAGGGCCATCCACCGCGACCGCCTCGACTTGATCGTCGCCCGTCCGACCCGGAAACGCGTGCTCGAGAGGGAGCGCGTGCACGAGCTTGCAGTTCTCGTCGAGGAGGTCGACTCGTGCTCCGACGGCGGCGACCTGTCCCTCGTGCGGCGAGTCAGCGGCTGGAGGCGGAGTCGGGAGGTGGGGGAACAGATGAGGAGCGAGGACGCACAAGGACGGGGCGAGAGTCGAGGACGGCAGCAGCGAGCGTGTGCGAGCCGTGGTTGGGTGCACCGACTGCGCTCTCGTGCAGCTCGAGCGTAGCCATGCGGGTGAGAGCGAGACGAGGATCTGGCGGCGACGACGACCAACTTCGCCTCGCTCAGCTCTCTTCCTCGCTCTCTTTGGGAGGCAACGAGGGGCGAACATGACTGAACAGCTTGCACGAGTAAAGCGGCGAAGCGAGAGAGGCAACGAGAGCTTGCGCGACCCTCTCGCCGAGAGAACGGCTCGCACGACCAAAGAGACGCTCGTTGCAGACTCGCCGACCTCAGAAGAACCGCTCGATCCACTCACTCACCTCCTTGCCGACCTCCTCGGGCGCCTCGACGGGGAGGAAGTGCCCGACGCCCTCGGTGTCGACCCGCTTGGCCCTCGTCCTGCCCTCCTCGCGCGGCCCGCGCGCCTCCCACGTCCGCTTGACGTCCTCGCCCGGCGCCGCAGCGCGCTCGAGCCCGGCGCACCACAGCGCGAGGAGCGGACACTTGACGCGGAGGCCCTCGCCGTCGGGCTCGCCGTCGGCCTCGTCATGGTCGAGGTCGATGGTCGCGCCGGCGCGGTAGTCCTCGAGCGAGCCGCGCACGACGTCGGGGTCGCGGTACTGGTGGCACCACGAGTCCATGAGGTCGACGGCGTAGTTGGGGCTCGCGACGTCGCCGTACGGCGTCGAGAGCTTGTGCGTCGACGAGCGGAACGCCGGGCCGGTCCAGGACGAGATGCTGTAGCGGGCGTACTGCGGCGCGATGTCGGGTGTCGACAGGAGGAGCATCTCGGCCATTGGGGCCGGCGTCGCCAGGAAGATCCAGTGGTAGTAGCCGAACGTCGCGAGGTGACGGTGGTGGTCGTAGGTGAAGCGCTTGAACTGCTCGGCGGTCGGGACGATGTCCTGGACGTTGAGGCCGACGACACGGTCGGGCGAGTCCTTGGCGAGGCGGTACGCGACGCGAGCGCCGCGGTCGTGGGCGACGAGGACGACCTTGGGCCGGTCGGCGGGCCAGACGGCGTCGACGAGCGCGAGGATGTCCTTGCCCATCTCACGCTTCGAGTTGGCCTCGTGCGAGCCGTCGGGCGAGACGGCCTTGCGCGACTTGCCGTAGCTGTGCGAGGGAAGGCGCGAGTCAGGGTCGCAGGTCGCGACCGAAGCCCGCGCGGAGGAGGGAGACGAGGACGGACCCAGGGAGGTCGGGCACGAGGACGCGGTAGCGGGCAAAGATGTCGGTGTTGGCGTCGAGCCATGCAGAGACGGGCTGCCACAGGGTGTGTGTCTGCGGGTAGCCGTGAAGGAGGACGAGGACGGGCTTGTCGGAGCCGGACGAAGGTGGGGAAGAGGCGAGGGCGAAGAGGGACGACGGCGGCAGGTCGTCGGGCGCGCACGAGTGCGGGATCGAGTGCTCGACTGGCTTGAACGAGGGCGGGAACTGTGACATGTCGACGGTGTGGTGGTGAGGAGGAGGGCGAGGGCCGGGCAAGCCGGCGCGCGGGGTCCGGCGACGAGGAGGAGCTGATGACAGTGGCGCGGCTGCACATCGTGGGCGGCTGTTTTGACAGACTCAACCTGGTCTGAGCATGGCTGAGAGCGAGCTGGGCAGCCTTGCACGGCCGCACGAGGGTGACGAGGTGGTGAGGCGGTGCTTGAGCCGACTCTCTGGCTCAGAGCGAGCTCGTCCCTTGGAGCCAGCTCGCGCTCTCTCAACTCTCCTCCGCCAACCCACTCCCGTGCCCCTCCCAACCTGCTAGGGATGCCGGGCAAGACGCGCACCTCGCAGGCTCACGGCCCTGCCACCGCCAAAAAGCCCTTCAAGCGCGACACGGCCACCGCAAAGCCCGCCTCGTCGCGCTCCACAACCGACCGCTCCGGCCCGTACAAGCCTCGAGCCGACGCTGCACCAGCCGCGTCTGCATCCGGCTCGAACCGCGACCCGGTCGACCGCAAGCGCAAGCTCGACGACGAGCCGGACAAGGCCGTCGTCCGTAACTCGCTCCTCAACGCCCCCGAGGAGATCGACTTCCCGCGAGGAGGTGGATCCGGCCTCACCCAGGTCGAGGTGAGGGAGGCCCAGCTCGAGGGCGAGCACGAGGCCAACGCGACCGAGGACCAGGTGCGTTCCCCACTTCCTCCTCTTGCTCCTCGCCGCGGCACTCTCTCCCCGGCTCGCGCGGTCGCTCACCTCGAGTCTCGTCTGCAGGAGCGCCAGCGTGACACCGAGGTCATCAAGGACAAGGGCAAGGCCAAGCGCCGCAAGCTTGAGCGCGCGCTCAAGGGCGCCGTCAAGGAGAAGAACCAGTTGCCCAAGGACGCGTTCCGCATCGAGCACCTCAACTACAAGGTGCGCCGCCTGCTCTCGCCCCCTCCTGCACTCGCGTCGCGTCGAGACTGACCCGTCTTGCCCCCTCGCGCAGCGCCTCATCGCCGGCACCAAGGCGCTCTGCCAGGTCGTCCAGGTCCGCCCCCTCGAGCTCATCGTCTCGCTCCCAAACCAGCTCCTCGGCCACATCCCCATCACCAACATCTCGGCCGAGTTCACCGCCCGTCTCGAAAAGGCCGGCGACGAGTCGTCGGACGAGGAGGACGAGGACGAGGACGAGGACGAGTCGGACGACGAGGACGAGGGCGCGGCCGACAAGCCGACCAAGGGCCTGCCCGGCCTCCCGTCGCTGTTCCACCCGGGCCAGTGGGTGGTCGCCATCGTCGTCGCGAGCAAGGTCGGTGACTCGAAGGCCAAGCTCGGCGGGCGCGAGGGCGACGAGGTCGTGCGCTCGTCTCGGCGCGTCGAGCTGTCGCTCGAGCCGGAGAAGGTCAACGAGGGCATCGCCAAGGGCGACCTCAAGCGCGGCTTCATCTTGCCCGCCGCCGTCCACGACCTCGAGGACACGGGCTACTCGCTGTCGTTCGGCCTGCCGCCCCTGTCGTCGTTCCTGCCGTTCGCCGACGCCAAGAAGCTGTCGCCGACCAAGCCGCTCCACGTCGGCCAGGTCGTCCTGTGTCGCATCACCAAGGTGCACGACAACGAGCGCACCCTGTCGGTCACGGTCGAGCAGGCCGACCTCGCCGGGACGACGCTCGACAACGTGTCGTCCATCACGTCCATCCTCCCCTTCCAGCTCGTCACCTGCCTCGTCACGGCCGTCCTCCCCTCGGGCCTCAACGTCAAGTTCCACGGCTTCTTTGACGGCACGATCGACCGCTTCCACCTCCCCGTCTCGGCCGGCGACGACCTCGCCGACCACTTCCAGCAGGGCCAGAAGGTCAAGGCGCGCATCCTGTGGGACTCGATCGCGGCGAGCCCCAAGAAGTTTGCGCTGTCGATGGCGCCGCACGTCGCAAAGGTCGACGAGCGCGCGGCGACCCAGACCGAGCAGCGGTTCCCGGTCGGCGCCAAGTGCAAGCGCGTCAAGGTGCTCGCCATGGACGACGAGTGGGGCCTGACGTGCGAGATCGAGGACGGCGAGGACGTCGTGCCGGCTTTCGTCCACGTGCGTCTCTGCCTCTCTCGTTCTCGTCCGGCGCCCTCTTTCTGCGGGTCCCTCTCCTTCTCGCACGCGTCCTGACACACTCTCTCTCCCCTGTAGATCTCGCGCATCACCGACGACCACCTGAACACGATCCCCAAGTCGGGCCCGTGGAAGGTCGGGTCCGTGCACCCGGCTCGCGTCCTCGGCTTCTCGGCGCTCGACCACCTCGTGCAGCTGTCGATGCAGCCCTCGGTCCTCGAGCAGTCGTTCCTCCGCGTGCAGGACGTCGAGGTCGGCGCCGAGGTCAAGGGCACGGTCAAGGTGCTCAAGGACAACGCCCTGTTCGTCTCGATCGGCGGCAACGTCGACGGCGTCGTGTGGCCGCTCCACTACGCCGACATCCGCCTCAAGCACCCGGAGAAGAAGTTCAAGCCGGGCCAGGCGGTCAAGGCGCGCATCTTCTCGGCCGACGCCGACAAGAACCGCGTCGTCCTCACGCTCAAGAAGCAGCTGATCAACTCGGACCTGCCCATCGTCGCCCGCCTCGAGGACGCCAAAGTCGGCGTCGTCACGCACGCCACCGTCACCAAGGTGCTCGACAAGAGCGTCCTCGTCGACTTCTTCGGCGGCCTGCGCGCCCTCGTCCCGGCCGCCGAGGCCGCCGAGGCGTTCACGCAGGCGGCCGACCTCGCCCGCCTGTTCCCGGTCGGCAAGGTCATCCCCGTCCGCATCCTCTCGGTCGACCCGGCGACGTCGCGCATCGTCGCCTCGGCGCGCCAGGCCTCGGGCTCGGCCGTCGCCGCCGCCGCATCCGGCGCGGCCGCAATCGAGGCGCTCGACATCGGCACCGTCACGACGGCGACCGTCGCGCAGCTGCACGACACGAACCTCGTCCTGACGCTCGCGCCGTCGGGCGTCAAGGCGCTCCTGTCGTACCCGACGCTCGCCCGTCACCGCGGCGTCCAGGTGCCCGACCTCAAGGCGAGCTTGACCAAGGGCCAGTCGCTCGAGGACCTCGTCGTCGTCTCAAAGAACGTCGACAAGGGCTTTGTCATCGTCGGCCTCCTCCCGTCCAAGTCGGCGTCGGCCTCGACCTCGTCCGCCACCGCCTCGACCTCGGCCGGCACCGCGCTCACGCTCGACTCGCTCAAGGTCGGCGCCCTGTACCCGGGCCGCATCGCGTCGCGCCTGCCGTCGGGCGTCATCCTCGTCCAGCTCGCCACGGCGGGCCGTCACGCCCCTCGCGGCCGCGTCGCGCTCACCGAGCTCGCCGACACGTACGCCGACGACCTCTCGACCGCGTTCCCGGTCGGCGCGCACGTCGACGCGGTCGTGCTCGCCGTCGACAGCGACCAGCACCGCCTCGACCTGTCGCTGCGCGCGTCGCGCGTCGCCGAGGCCAAGGGCGACGAGGTGCCCGAGGTCCAGGACCGCGTCATTGACGGCGTCGAGACGCTCAAGGCCGGCGACAAGGTGCGCGGGTTTGTCAAGAATATCGCCGACGCGGGCGTGTTCGTCACGCTCGGCGGCGAGGTGACGGCGCGCGTCCAGATCAAGGTGCGCCCGCCCTTTCTCTCGCTCGAGGTGGGTCTCCCTCGTCTCGCGCCGTGAGCTCACTGTTCCTCTATCCGCCCGTGCAGGAGCTCTTTGACGAGTACGTCAAGGATTGGAAGCCGCGCTTCAAGGTCGGCCAGCTCGTCGAGGGCAAGATCCTCTCGTGCGTCCCTGTCCTTCTTCCTCGCCGCTCTTTCGTGGGGCCAGTACTCACGATCGTCTCCTCGTCCACGCAGCGTCGACAAGGTCACGTCGCAGGTCGAGCTCTCGCTCCGCAAGGGCGGCGTCGTCAAGAAGGACGCGCAGCCCGACCTGCCCTCGCTCGCCGACGCCAACCTCTCGGTCGGCCAGGTCGTTCGCGGCGTCGTCAAGCGCGTCGAGGACTTTGGCGCCTTCATCCGCCTCGACGGGCTCAACGTCCAGGGCCTGTGCCACAAGAGCAAGGTGACGGACGACGACAAGGGCAGCTGGAAGGAGCACGTCCGCTCGGGCGACAAGGTCCGCGCCGTCGTTCTCGCCGTCGACCTCGAGGCCAAGAAGGTGTCGCTCGGCCTCAAGAAGAGCCTGTTCCCCGAGGGCGAGACGTCCGATGACGAGGAGGACGAGGACGAGGACGTGGGCTCGAGCGCCGAGGAGGAGGAGATTGCAGATGGAGCGAGCGACGACGAGGACGACGAGGCCGACGAGGACGTCAGCGAGGGCGACGAGCTCGACATGGCGGCGTTGCTGAGCGGCGCGGGCGCCGGCTCGGACGAGGACGAGGACGAGGACGAGAAGATGGTCGACGAGCCCGAGGTGCGTCCCCCGCGGCGGTAGCCTTCCCTCCATGTCTCTGCATTGCTCACGCACGCCCTCTCCCTCGTCTGCAGGTCCCGGTCGCGTCGACGAGCAAGCTCGCCTCGGCACCCGCACTCGCCGTCTCGTCCGGCTTCACCTGGGCCGGCGACGACGACGACGAGCCGATGCAGCCGGCGCAGGCCGACGACGACGAGAGCGACGACGACGAGCCCGCCGCGCCCAAGCCGTCTGCGACCGCCGCCGGCAAGAAGGCGGCGACGGGCGTGTCGGCGCTCGACGACCGGACGGGCGACCTCGACACGCAGGCGCCGACGTCGGTCGCCGACTTTGAGCGCCTGCTCCTCGGTTCGCCCAACTCGTCGTACCTGTGGATCCAGTACATCGCCTTCTTCGTCGGCCTGTCGCAGCTCGACAAGGCGCGCGAGATCGGCCGCCGGGCGCTCAAGTCGATCCACTTCCGCGAGGAGCAGGAGAAGCTCAACGTGTGGGTCGCGCTCCTCAACCTCGAGAACTCGTACGGCGACGAGTCGACGGTCGACGAGCGGTTCAAGGAGGCGGCGCAGTACAACGACGCCAAGACGGTCCACCTGCGCATGGTCGACACATACGAGCGCACGGGCAAGTACGAGGCCGAGGAGGAGCTCTTCAAGCGCACGGTCAAGAAGTTCTCGCAGAGCTCCAAGGTGTGGACGCTCTTTGCGCAGTACTATCTGTCGCACGGTCGCCCCGCCGAGGCGCGCGAGCTCCTCCCTCGGAGCCTCAAGAGCCTCGAGAAGCGCAAGCGTGCGTCCCTCTCTCTCTCTCTTCCCTTCCCTGCCTCTTTCCTGCCTCGTCCGCCTCGTCCTGACGCTCTCGTCGTCCCCTCTCGCGCGCCGACAGACGTCAAGACGATCGTCAAGTTTGCCCAGCTCGAGTTCAAGCTCGGCGACGCCGAGCGCGGCCGCACCATCTTCGAGGGCATCATGGACTCGTACCCGAAGCGTCTCGACCTGTGGTTCGTCTACGTCGACATGGAGATCAAGCAGCGCAACGTTGCCGGCGTGCGCGCCCTGTTTGACCGCATCCTCGCCTCGCGCCTGTCGAGCAGTGCGTCCCTCTTTCTCTCTCTCTCTCTCTTTCTCTCTCCCCCCTCTCGCCCCACTCCTCGTCTCCCTCGCCCCGCCCATTCCTTCTCTTCCCTCCCTCGCCCTCGTCCGTCGTCGGGACCTGCGTCTCGTCGACCTTGATCGACCTCGCAAACTGACTCGTGGCACCTCTCCTCCCTCTCTCTCGCGCGCAGAGAAGGGCAAGTCGGTGTTCAAGAAGTGGCTCACGTTCGAGAAGGAGCACGGCGACGATGCGGGCGTCGACGAGGTCAAGCACCGGGCGGTCGCGTTCGTGCAGGGTCGCTCGCAGCCCGAGGGGGACGAGGAGGAGGACGACGAGTAGCCGAGCCCTGAGCAGCACTGCGCTCGTCTGTTGTACTTCTAAGCATTCTCTCTTGAGGTCTCGATGCTCGCGAGGACAGATAAAGCGGCTCGTGTATTTGCCTGAGAGAGCGAGAGGTGCGACGAGTGACGAGGCGCAGAGGCGGAGGCGGAGAGGGAGCGTGCCCCCGCTTGGCTCTCGTCTCGCGCACCCGTGAGCTGCTTCAAACAGCTCTACACCGCACTCACGCACTCTCTCATGGCTGCCACCGCCTCGCCCGCCTCACCCGTCCTCCCCGCCGCCGCCCTCGCGCCTTCATCAGTTGCCGACCTCCTCCTGTCGTACCTCCCCTCCTCCACCCTCAACCACCAGCTCGAACACCACGCACAAGCTCTACTCGCATCCCGCATCCACCGCACCACCCGCCGCCAGCTCGACCACCTCCGCGGCGAGCTGCGCGACGACTTTGCCTCTCGAGCCTGGGCCGTCAAGGCCGACTGGATGGCCAGGGTCGTCCCCGAGCACAACTCGGACGTCGACGACGTACACGAGACTGCGACCGAGGCCCTGGGCGACGACCACCGTGGTCCCGCCGACGACCTTCCCTCCTCCCCCACCTCGACCCGCCCGACCGCTTCCCTCCCGCCCACCATCCTCTCCGACACGGACGGCGCCGCCGACATGGCTCGACGCGTCGACGGCACGGTCGAGCACGCCCTCGCCGCCCACGTGGACCAGGCGCGACGGCGCATCGAGGCCTCGGTGCGCCGCAGCGAGGCCGTCGAGCTCGAGCTGTGGCTCGGACAACAGGTGCGTCGGACTGTTGCCTCTTCAGCGACAGACACGACTGACTCTCCGCACGCCTGCAGATCCTCGACGCGCTGTCGGACGCGGCGGGAGACGAGGCCCGAGCTGCCCAGCTCGTACTCGAGCGGCTCGAGGACGTGTGCTTCGAGGAGAACGTCTCGGGACTGTAGATTGAGCTGCAGTACACCTATCAGCCGCACCGCTCGGTTGTCGAGAGCAGAGCTGCTTTGAGAGAGAGCAGAAAAAGGCACTGGTCCGATTACACCGTTTTCTATCGTCGCATACAAAAAAAAACACGACCACGGTGGGGGTCGAACCCACGATCTCTGGTTGACCATTACAAGCCCCTTGACCATTGCGAGCCATTTACGAGCCTGTAGTCGAAGACCAGCGCCGTAGCCACTAGGCCACGCAGCCGACGTTGTTGCAGTGGCAAAATTTTGGAGGTCAGGACCCGACCAGGCTTGACGCTGCGAGGAGCCGCGACGAAAGAGCCATTCTGTGAAGAGCCGTCCGCGAACTGTCCGCAGACACAGACATGGTGGGCCGTCGACGGACGGACGCACGTCTGGCGCCACGTCAGGCTCGGAAACGAGCTCCCCCTCGCGCGCGTCTGGCAGCTCTCGTGTGCACTCGCCGATTTGCACTCGCGCGAACCTCAGCTTTACGACGCGGCGAGTTGAGGAGGTGCGAGAGGCCGTCTGCATGCGAGGGAACATCCGCCGGTCGCACGCGCCTGCGCTTCTCGAGCCGCACGACCTGCTCCTTGTCCCGTCCCGCGGGGGCGTGCCAAGCGAACGCGCAGCAGAGCGTATGCACTGTCGAGAGCACGTCGCCGGACTCTGGCAAAGCGAGGGAAGCGTGCTCGAGAGAGAGGGTCCGTGCGAGGCCGGGTTCGAAGCGAGCTAGCCAGCTTCGAGCTAGCGGCGACTCGAGGACGGCGCCGAGTCGCTGCCGTCGACGAGTAGCTGTCGAGCAGAGTACGACGAGAGCGCGACTGGTCACAGCGCCGATTGCAACAGAGGGAAGGCTCGAGCGACAGATTACAGAGCGGCTCGCCGAGCGCACGAGTAAGTAGCAAGGTCGAACCATTTCAAAAAGCAATAGCGAAGCGCGTCCACTTTCGTATTCGATAGCAAAAGGTCGACGGCGCGAGCAAAAGATGGGGGGCGCGAACCCCAACTTTGACGTTCGTAGTGCGCTGCGATTCTTCCGCCTCAAACCGGTGCACCAAGCCGGCGAGGGAGTCCTCGAGATCACTACTGTGTCAGGTGGACGGCCTGCTGTGAGCAAGGCTAAGCAAGGCAGTATGTAATGGCCGTCCGGTGGTGCGATGAGAGAGAGCCGACGAACCCGGCCCGTTCGACAAAGGAAAGGTCGACTTTGACAACGCGCGCAACACGCATTCGGGTCGTCACCTTCTCGGTCCTCCTGCTTCCCCCTCGCCTCGGTTCGCTTCGGGGACAACGCGAGCGACTCGCGCCTTTTCTACTGCATGCCTACGTACCCACGGCGCACCATAAGTGCGACGAGGCGAGGCGAGAGCGCGAGACGAAGCGACGCGAGTGGGGCGCGCGTGCGGCGGCGACTCGCCTTCTCCCGACCGCTCTCTCCTTTCCCCGTCTCGTCACGACGCACTCCCTTCTCTTTTGTTATTTTTTGCTCTTGTGCCCTTGGGCCGAGCCGGTCGCGTCGCCAAAAGGACGAGGGACGAGCGAAAGAGCCGCACTTCTCGGCTCGAGGTTCAGGTGGACTCGCTCGCTCCTTCTCTCCCGGCTCTGTTCTCTCGCCTGAACTGCTCGAGTCGAGCTCAGAGTGCTGCTCGACAGGTCTGCTGAGGACCCGGGGCAAACCAGTTGCAGGACAGAGAGAGTTGCCCTCGGCAGCTAGCCACTTGAGAAGGTCCGCTCGGACCCTTTCCAGGGCCCGCCTCGTCCTGCTCTCTCGGCTCGACTTGTGGCTCGATCGTCGTCATAGAGTACGCAGAGTGCGGTACTGGTTTAAGCACTCGAGTGTCGCGAGCGCACAAGCGGCCGGCGCCTCCTCGACCTCCCTTTTCGACGCAAAGTAGAGCTGCAGGGACGACGCGCTCTCGGCAACTACTGTCTCTCGCTCGGGACCTCTCGAGGTGGGGGACGACTGAGATAGACAGATGCTTTGATTGCGAACGCTCCCACACGCTGTACCGGACCGCTCACTGACACGTCGCCTTGTCCGCCAGCGTCTCCTTTTCGCCGGCGCCACAGTCGATCTCGAGCACGGTTTCCTGGACCAATCCTGCAGATGAGGGCGTCGGGAAACTGCTCGGGCTCGACCTCGGCCGGAGCGGTCCTCGCCAACTGGATCGCCCGCCGATGAAAAGGACGACCGGCGGCACGACGAGGCAGCTCAGTGCTGCCGCGAGGACGGACAGCGCCATCCAGCCCTGCGTCGTGCCGACAGCTGATAGGAGCTGCCCGGCGATGATAGGTCCTGCGAGAGGAGCGCAGAGTGAGCGCAAGGTCGAGCATGTCGAAAGGCGAAAAGAGGGCGGACGTACCGACGATGGCTCCGATCGAGTAGAACAGGTTCGAGGCGCCGAATAAATGAGCCGTCGAGATCGAGGTCGTGTCCGTCGCGACGATGGAGAGGTCGATGAGGACCGGCGTGCCGAACAGGGCGAGAGCTGTGCCTGCATGGCTCGAGATGACGCGCAGGGTCAGTGACTGCAGGCTAGGCGCCCGCCGGCGTCGATAGGAGAGAGGAGGAAGTTGAGCGCACCGACGAGTGCGAGGAAGAAGATGAAGAGCGGGAGCGGGCCGCGGACGAGCAGAAGAGGATATGCCGGAATTGCGAGAGTGACGCCGGCGAGCATGACCCACTTGGTGCCGTATCTGTCCGAGATCTGGCGGGCAAATACGATCAGTCTTTGCGAGAACGAGGAGAGGCGAGGACGGAGGGAGAGAGGGAGAGAGGAGAGGCAAGAGGAAAAGACAAGGCGCACCCGGCCAGCGAGAGGAGCACCCTGCGGCAGGCGACAGGTCAGTTTGCGGCTCTATGGACTGCGAGCGCCTCGACAGGGTCACAGGAAGGAGGGTACGAGAGTCGGACGCACAAAGAAGCTCGGCACGACGATGCCGAGGAAGACGAGCCCGGCACCCATCGAGTCGAGGCCGTACTGCTGCTTGACCCACAACGTCAGGCCCGTGTCGCACAGCCCGCCGGCAACGACACCATTCAGAGCCGTCACGGCGAAGCACGTGAGCGCCCTTGGGCTCTTGAGCATGTGCAGGAGGCCGAGAAGTTGCGGCGGGAGGTGCGAGTGCTTGGCCTGGCGGCGAGCGACGTCGTCGGCGTGCTCCTGCTTGGGCTTGTCGCGCCTTAAAGCCTCGCCGCCGAGAGGGAAGGACGTGTCGGGCTTTGCGAGGTTCGCCTTGGAGCTGGCGGCGGCGTGATAGCCCGGCGCCTCGAAGTTGGGGATGTCGTGCCCGGCGCGGATCCAGCGCAGCGCCTGGTGCTTCTCGATCATGACGATGCGGAGGAAGAGGTCGATGGCGACGAGGACAATCGAGAAGATGAAAGGTGCGCGGTAGCCGAGTCGCTCGTAGAGAACGCCGCCTGAGAGAAAGGAAGAGGTCAGTGCGGCTCGACCTGGAACGAGAGCAGGACGCGGGACGCACCGACTGGCGGTCCGATAGCCTGGCCGCAGCTGAAGCCGACCATGACGTAGCCGAGGACGCTGCCGAGCCGTTCTTCAGGTACCGAGTCGGTGACGAGCGCACTGCGAGGGAGGCGAGGCGAGGTGAGCAGGACGCACGAGGCGCGACGAGGGCGAAAAGGAGGACGCACAGGCCGATCGTCCATAATACGGTGCCGCTGAAGCCTCTGTGACGGTGCGCAAGAAGGCAAGTCAGGGCCGGGGTGCGCGAGGACGGCGAGGGAGAGAAGGAGGAGAAGGAGACGCACTGCAGGATGCGCGTGACGACCATGAGCGCAAAGCTCTTTGACTCCATGAACAGGATAACGGCTGCAGGACGATGGGAGGTCAGTCTCTGGGACGTACGGCGCGGGAGAGGAGAAAGAGAGAGAGGACGGACCGCCGGCCATGAAGAGCAACCCGAGCGTGAGCGGCACCTGGCGGTTCTTGTACTTGGCGCCGACCCACCCTGCGACTGGCGACGAGACGATCAGGCCTGCCGCATAGGCCGCGACGAGCCAGCCGGTCTTGCTGCCGATGTCGTCGTACCCGAGCGCCTCGAGGCGGAACGGAACGACAGGGATGACGAGCGAGTAGGACGACAGGTCGACGAGGATGCCCCAGCCGACGGCAAGGGCGATGAACCAGGTGCTGCTGCGCTGGCGCAGGAAGAACGGCGCTCGTCGGCGGTGAGCCACGAGTCGACTCGCCTCGACTTGCGCCGGGACGACGAGCTCGAGCGCGACCTCGTCGAGCTTGTCGCTGTGCTCCTTGGCGGGTGGATCGCGAGCATCTCGGTCGACGAGAGAGCTCGTTCGCTGGTGCAGCATGATGCAGTGCGAGCGCGAGCAGCGAGAGCGAGAAGCTGCGCAGAAGCCGCTCGAAAAGGGAGCCGAGCGCTCGGCCAGGAAATGCCGCCTCGGTGCACGGATGAGCAGGCTCAGAAGCCGGGCCTGCGGTGGGCCCTGATCGAGCGGCGCCGCCGCCCCGTCCGCTGTACGCACCAGGAGAGCGGACGCAGCTCGCGCCTCCGCTGTCCTCGCCGCCAGCCCGCCGGCCGATAAAACGACGACGCTGACGCCGGCTGACACATGCCGGGCCGTGTGCCGCTTGCGAGCGGCGGTGCCGAGGGCGGGGGCGAGGCTTGGAGGAGGAGGAGGCGGGGGAGATGATGAAGCGTCAGGTCGGACGAGCGGACCGCTGTGCTGAGGCGTGGACGAGGGCGAGAGAATGCAAGCTCGACAATGGCCGCAGAGCAGCCCTCGCAGCAGTGCAGGCTGGCGGCGCAAGGGAGAGCCAAGCGGAAGCCGACGCACCTCTTGCGCACTTGCGACCACACGCTTTCGAGCCTGCTCCCGCACTCTCTCGCGAGGACGCAGGGACGGTAAAGCGGGACATTGGCACAGACGGTCGAGAGACAATGGAGGGATAGAGGAGGACTACAAGGACATGAGGAACAAGCGCGACGCCGGCGACCCGCTCCGCTCACATCTTGGGCTTCTTGGCCGCCGCCGCCGACGGCGTGCCGCCCGCTCCACCGGTCGCAGGCGTGCTCGCGCGCGACACGTCCTCGCTGCCGGGAGCGCCCTCGGGCGCGTCCTTGGCCTTGCGCTTCGGGGCGCGCTTCTTGGAGGTGGCGGGCGCGTCGTCGCCGTCGTCGGGGCCGCCCGAGTCCTTGGTGACGAGCTTGATGAGCGTGTTGCAGCGACGGCGGATCTCCTCGACGGTGCGCTGCAGGCGAGGAGGGCGAGAGGACGACGAGAGGAAAGGAGGGGAGGGAGGGGCTCGAGCGAGGGTGAGCGGCGCGCTCGCCCGACCGAGAACTCGACGAGGTCGACGACAACGAGAGGCAGAGAAGGTGGACGCACGCTCTTGATAAACCAGTCGAAGCGGAAGGCCGGGAACTCCATGATGTCGCGCTTGATGCGCTCCTCCTGGTTGAGGCCGTACTTGGCGATCTCGACGAGCAGGAACCGGTCCTCGTCCTCAGAGTACGACTTGCCCTTGGTCTGGTTGGCGTAGACGATCTTGAGCTGCGTGAGCGGGTACTTGACCTCGTTGACGCGCTGCTTGATGAGCTCCCACTCGCGGTCCTGCGCCGAGCGGCTCTTCTCGGCCTTCTCGATCTTGGCGATGTGGCGCTCCCAGTCTGTGGACGAGATGGGCACAGAGTCAGGGACATTCCGATTGCGAGAGAGAGAGAGAGAGAGAGAGAGAGAGAGAGAGAGAGAGAGAGAGAGAGAGAGAGAGAGAGAGAGAGAGAGAGGGCGCACCGTCAATCTCCTGGTACCGGTCCCAGAACACCTCGGCGTACTGGCGGATCTCGTCGACCGTCTTGGTCGGCACCTCGACGTGGATGCCGGCGTAGTCGTCGCGGCCGTAGTTCTCGATGCCGCGAATGAAGTTCAGGAACTCGCGCTTGGCCCAGTTGCCGAAGCCCTGCCCGACGAGCTCCTCCTTCTCCTTGGTCTCCTCCTCGGTGAGCGGCTCGGCGTTGTCGATCGCCTCCTGCTCGGCGACACGCTCCTGCTCGAGCTCCTCCTCGGTGAGGGTCGCGTCGACGCGCAGGACCGCCTTCTCCTCGCGCTGCTTCTGCAGGTGGGAGACGACGAGCGAGGGTCAGGGAGGGTCCGACTAGAGGGGGCCGGCAGGAGGGAAGGAGAGAGAGAGAAATGCAGGCAGGCGCACCTTCTGGTAGAGCTGCTCCTTTTCCTGGAGCTCGTGCAGGCGCGGCGGGTAGAACTTGTAGTCGTCGGCGGCGGCCGGCCTCGGGCGCCTCGGACCCCTCGTGCCGGGAGGACGACCCTGGCCCGTGTGCAGCGCGCCGCGGTAGTAGCCGTCGACCGAGTAGCCGACCGACTTGCGCTCGCGCTTGGACGGCTCGATCCACAGCATGTTGGCGAGCTTGCCCGCGCCGCCCTTGCGCCCGCCGTACTCCTCGCCCTCCCACTGCGTCGACGTGCCCTGCGCGCCCGGGTTGTTGAAGATCTGGAGCTCGTCGAACGACAGCTGGGCGTACTTCGAGTTGAGCTCGGCCGTCTTGCTCTCGCCGCGGCGGATGATGTCGTCGATGTCGTCGACGATGGCCATCGACTCCTTCGAGTTGATGATCTTCTCGGCGCCGTGCTGGATCATGTCGACGAGGTCGTCCTTGTTCGTGTTCTTGGTGCTCTGCGTCGCGCGACCCTGCTGGATGACGAGCTGGTCGAGGCGCAGCTTCTGCGCGGCGCGCTCGAGGACCTTTTCCTCGACGGCGTTCTCGGTAACGAAGCGGAACACGTAGACCTGCTTGGTCTGGCCGATGCGGTGCGCGCGGTCCATGGCCTGCAAGTCGGCTTGCGGGTTCCTGTGGAGGAGGAGATGGGCGAGGTCAGGGTCGAGGTTCGGAAAGGCTCGCAGCGCTCGCCGCTCAGGCTCAGGCTCGAACGAGGGGAACAGCGGCGACGCACCAGTCCGAGTCGTACAGGACGACGACGTCGGCCGACACGAGGTTGATGCCGAGGCCGCCGGCGCGAGTCGTGAGGAGGAAGATGAACTTGTCGGACCCGGGCTTGTTGTACGCGTCGATCTGCTCCATGCGGTCCTCGTGCGCCGTGCCACCGTCGAGGCGGCAGTACTCTGGTTGAGGGAAGGGCAGTGGGTCGAGTCAGGCTCGTTCGACTCATCGAGGGAGAGAGAGAGAGAGAAAGAGGGGGGAGGACAAGCGACGACGCACTGTACTCGCGAAAGAGGCAGTAGTCCTCGAGGATGTCGAGCACACGGCTCATCTGCGAGAAGATGAGGACGCGAGAGCCCTTGGCCTTCATGCTCTTGAGGAGCTTGTCGAGGACGAGCATCTTGCCGGCCGCCTCGACGAGGTGCTCGTCGGTCGTGAACGGCGGACCCGGCTCGGCGCCGTCGAACAGGTACGGGTGGTTGCAGCATTTCTGCGAGTGCGCAAGAGGATGTCAGTGAGCCGAACACGCTGACGATCGAGGAGGAGGACAAGGGGAAGAGGACGCACGCGCAGCTGCATGACGATGTTCTGGAGGCGGGTCTTGCCCTCCTTCTTGCTGCTCGCGCCGTTGACGGCGTCGATGTCCTTCTCGAGGATCGACTTGTACCACTTGCGCTGGAGCTCGGTCATGCCGACGTAAACGTTGATCTCCTTCTTGGGCAAAAGGCTCTTCTCGACGTCCATCTTGACGCGACGGAGGAGGAACGGGCGCAGGACGGCGTGGAGCTGCTTGACGACCTTGTTGGACGCGTCGTCGTCGCCGCCCGCCTTCTTGGCGACCTCGGCGACGGCCGACGGGTCCTCGGTCGACGGCGCGCTCGCCTCGGCGGCGGCCGACTCGACGGCGGCGTCGCTCGCGTCGCCCTGCTTTTCGAACCACGCGTCAAAGTCGGCGACGTCCGAGAAGACGTCGGGCAGGAGGAAGTTGAGGAGCGCCCACAGCTCGTGCAGGTTGTTCTGGAGCGGCGTGCCCGTGATGAGGAGGCGGCCGCGCGAGTCGAACAGGCGGACGATCTGCGACAGCATCGAGTCGACGTTCTTGATGCGGTGCGCCTCGTCGATGACGATGTACTCCCACGCGAGCTTCTTGAGGCCGGCCTTTTCCCGCAGGCAGATCTCGTACGACGCGAGGCAGATGTCGAAGTCGCCGGGCAGGATGCGCTGCTGCACGAGCTCGGCCTGTGTGGCAGAGGCGCTCCGAGAGGTCAGTGTCGCACACACAGAGAGTACGAGAGGCGGAAGAGTGAGAGCGTCAAGACGCACCCTTTCCTCCTTGGTGCCCTTGAGGACGACGACGCTGAAACCCGGGACCCAGCGGTCGATCTCGCGCGCCCAGTTGTCGAGCGTCGACTTGGGGACGACGATGAGGTGCGGGCCGTGCGTGCCGCGGATGAACTTGAGGTAGCCGAGGAACGCGATCGTCTGGAGCGTCTTGCCGAGACCCTGCGCACGAGCGAGACCGGGTCAGTCTCTGCGAGTGCGGGAGGAGACAGAGAGAGGGTGCGCACCATCTCGTCGGCGAGGATGCCGTTGATGCCGTTGTAGTACAGGCCGCACATCCAGTTGAGGCCCTGGACCTGGTACTCGCGCATCTTGCCGCCCTTGACGTACGCCGGCGACTCGGTAAAGACGAACGGGCCCTCGCCCTCGCCGAGCCCGTCGGTCTCCTTCTCGGCCTCGAGCAGCTCGGCGTCCTCGTCCTTTTCCGACTTGCGACCGCGCGACTGGGCCGCCTTGCCGCGCCTGCGGGGACGACAACCGACTCAGCTGAATGCCTCGACGAGGGCGAGAATGGGGCTCGTGCGAGAGAGAGAGAGAGAGAGAGAGAGAGGGAGAGGGAGACGCACCGGCCCTTGGCCTTGCCCGCGTTCTCTGCCTCGACGAGGAGCTGAGCAAAGTGAGGGTCGCGCTGAGCCTGTGGGCGCGTAGGAGAGGGTCAGTAACGCGACAGAGTGTCGGTAGGGGCAGAGAGAGGCGCACCTTGAGGTCGCAGAAGTGCTTGAACAGGTCGGTCTGGCCGAGGAGGTAGGTGAAGCGCTTGATCGAGTCGCTCGACTTGAGCGAGGCCTGGGTCGTCCGGCGCGACGCGAGCTGGAGGACACGATGCGCAGGGTAGTGTCAGGGCTGTCCTGCTTGCACGGAGAAGGGAGGGAGCGAGGGGCGCACCTTGTCGTCGAGCTTGCGCTTGGCCTCCTTCTTCTGGCTGACCTTCTTGACGCCCTGGGCCGTCTTGACGACCTTGTCGCCCTCCGAGTCGTACTCGCTCTCGATCTCGTCGCCGTCGTCGTCGTCGTCTGCGCCGAGGCCGTTGTCCTGGCCGAGTGCCGAAGGACCCGCTGCGGGGGCCGGGGTCGGGTCGCCGGCGGTCGAGGGCACGCGCGAGATCTCGTTGCTCTGCGGGATGTAGTCGCTGAGCGTGTCCATGCCGTCGTTGGACGGCGTCGGGAGCTTCGAGGTGGACTGGGAGACGAGGAGGCAAGGCCCGAGATGGGGAGAGTCAGTGAGGGCACGGGGCGGGGCAGGACCAGGTCGCGCGCGCCACTGACGGCGCAGTGCGTGCGAGGAGGCGGGACTCACTGCCATCCTGCGAGAGCAAGGGCGAGGCGGTGAGGAGAGCTCGCAGAAGTCGCGTCGGCGCGAGAGTCGCTCTCGTCCTCCGCCCCTCCCTCTGCCTCTGGGCGAGCCGAGTAGCGGCCGCCGGGTCTGGACAGAGCAGCTTGCAAGGAACCCCCTCTCTTTGGTCTCTCTGCCCGCCGCGAGAGGGCTGTGTGCGACCGCGCCTCCTCTCTGTCGCAGCGCCTCATCACAAAGTTCTCGCTCGCTCGCTCTGCGGCACAGACGGTACGTGCAGCGGCACACTGGCATTCCAGAGACTCGAACGCGAGCGAGAGCGTCGCGCAACTAGACAGATCCCGTCACCGTCGCGCTCTCCTCGCTCGGAACCTCGTCCTGCAAGCCCCAGCCCGCCTCGTCCGCCAGCGCGTCCTCCTCGACAGGATCGCCCTCGTCGGCACGAGGCGGGAGCGGCGGCGGCGCGCGGTCCTTTGTCGGCGTCGCGTCCGTGGGGCGAGGCGGAAGAGGAGGAAGTGCGGCGTCGTCCACGTGCGCGACGCCGTCCTTGCGCGGCGGTAGCGGTGGAGGCGGCGACGCCTCGACGGCGAGTACAGCCGGAGGACGAGGAGGGAGCGCAGGGACGTCGATGGGCGTCGGCGAGGCGGTGCGAGGAGGCGTCGACGGCGGGAGAGGGTGGACCTCGGCGGCTGCGGCGACCGGCGGCGAGGCGGCTTTTGACGACCCGGGCGACTCGGGGCTGTTACTGAGCGCGCGAGGCTCGACCGCGTCGACGAGAGCTGGCGCTTGTGCTGGCGCAGCCTCGTCGGCGAGCCCGGGCCGACCGACGGCGGCGGACGGGACGACCGGCGTCGCGCCGCCGCTCGAGGACGCCGCCTCGTCGGTCACGGGCTGAGCGCTCGCGCTCGAGGCGACGGGAGGACCGGCGCGAGGCTCCGCCACCGCCGCCAGCTTCTGCTCGACGGGCGTGCGCGCCCCGCCGCCGATGTGGTCCTCCCTGACCCGCCTGCGCCGCTCCTCGTCCTTGATGCCCGGAAGGGACATCATCTGGACCGGCCGATAGCCCGTCCCGCCGCCACCGCCGACCTTGGACGCGCTCGAGCCGAGGGGAGCAGGCGGCTTGGTCGGCGAGCTCCCGAGCGCGTTCGACGGCGAGACCTGGACGACGGGCAGCGAGCTCGTCGAGGGCTTGAAGCCCGAGCCCGCCGTCGGGATCGCTCTCGGCGGCGTGCGCGGCACCTCGTCGCCGCGAGCGCCAGCCGCCCTGCTCGACGACGTCGACCCGGCCGGGCTCGCCGCCCGCGCCCGGTAGTCGCGGTACGCCTCGCGCTCCGTCCCTCGTTCCCGCGAGCCGTCCTTGCCCTCGACCCGCTCCTCGCCGTCGCCGACCGGCCGGTCCATGTCGCCGCCCGCCCCGGGCGTAGGCGGCGCCGAGCCCTGCGCCCGCTTCGCGCTCCAGGTGGCGCCCCAGCGGCGCATCGACTCCTTGGCGCTCGCGACGCCGGCAGCGAGCGCCTCCTTGTCGTTGACGCGGGTGCGCCACGACGAGAGGAGCGTCGAGCCAGCGGGTGCCGACGGGTTGGGCGAGTCGACCGAGGCCGAGGGAGAGTGGCGGCGCAGCGGCGGTGCGGGGACGGTGGAAGGGACGAGGCCGGGCGGTGGAGCAGGTACAGGTGCCGGGTCGGGAGCGGACGTGGCGGACGTGTCGGAGGAAGGAGGAGGAGCGGCTGGCTTGATCCATGATGGGCGGCTCGGCAACGGCGGCGCACTCGCCGACGCCGACGCCGACGTCGCAGGGACGTGCGGCTGCGTCTCCTCGACGGGCTCGTTGAGCTTGAGCGGCGCACCGTCCTGCAGCGCAGGCGCGACGAGCGGCATGGCGGGGGCCGAGTCGGTGTCGGACCGGCCGGGCGCCGTGAGCGAGAGGTTCGATAACCCTCTCGTGCGAGACGGCCGCGACGCCGCCCCCTTGCCCTTGCCCTCGCCCTCGCCGTCGCCCCGCAGCCGCTCGTCTTCCGCCGCGACCGCCTCACGCGCCTCCCTCAGCGCCTCCTCCCTCTCGCGCTCCTCCTTCTCCCGCTCGCGGCTCTCGGCCCGCTGGGTCAAGATCTGCCGGAGCTTGGCCGCCGACACCTCCTCCTGCGGCGTCGGGGTCGCGCCCGTCGACGTCGTCGAGCCGCCCGCCACCGTGTCGGTCGACAGCATGCTCGCGCCGCTCGAGGCGAGCGAGTCGGTCGACTCGGCGGCGGCGGTGCGCCCGCTCGCGAGCGACGACGCCGACGAGCCCGACTTGGCGAACCAGCTGCTCTTCTTCTTGGGCCCGGCTCCGCCTCCTGCGCCCGCCTCGCTCGAGCTGGCTGCCGCCGAGCCGGCGAGCGACGATGTCGACGAGCCCGCGCCGTTCTTCTCCCTCCAGCTCGCCAGGCTCGCCGTCAGCCCGTTGGCGAGGCTCGCGACGCTGCTGCTGCTCGCGCTCTTGGCGCTCGACGCCGCCGCCGAGCCCGCCGCCGTCGTCGAGGTCGAGGCCGACGAGACGCGAGTGAGCTCGAGGGGCCGGTCGCCCTCGCTCGAGCGGCGGCGGCGCACCTCGGGGCGACGCTCACGCGCCGACGTACTCGCGGTCGAGCCCGAGCCCGAGTCCTCGGCGCCGACGACGACGTCCTCGGGCGCGTCCTCGCCGACCTCGCGGTCGGGCCTCGGCGGCGCGTCGAGCTCCTCCTCCTGCGAGGGCCGCTCGCGCCGCAGGAAGGGCCCATAGATGCCGCCTCGCGACAGGGGCTCCGAGCGCGTGTCGAAGAAGGACAGGTCGTCCATGTGCGGCAGGACGAGCGACTCGGCGATCTGCGCGAGGGAAAGAGAGAGAGAGGGTCGGCTCGTGCAAGAGGGGCTGAGAGACGAGAGGGGAGAGAGGGGGACGCACGAGCTCTCGGATGCGCGACTCGATCGGCCCGGTGACGAGGGACCACTTGATCTGGCGGGTCGAGACGACGGGCTCGACGCTCAGGGCCATGCGCGGGATGTCGCGGAACCCGAACCAGACGCGGTTGCTCGGCGGCTGCTTGACCTTGACGAGGAGGGTGCCCTCGAGCTCGCGCAGGACGATGGCGAGGACGAGGCGCACGACGTAGGGCTTGAACCGCGAGCCGAGCGAGACGGTCGCCTGCGTCTCGATCGTGACGCGCGCCTCGCCGACGTACGCGACGTGCACCTCCATGCTCGCGTCGCCCTCGGGCGTGAGCTCCTTGAGCATGGGCTTGGAGAAGAGCGGGACGGCGCTGCCGACGTTGACCTCGCGGACCTGGATCTCGGACAGCATGGCCGGCGTCTTGACGCGCTTGAGCTTGCGCACGATGCGCGACGTGAGGTAGTCCTCGAGGGTCGAGGTGCGGTACGTCGACAGGAAGACGCGGCCGAGGAGCGCGTTGAACCACCGCATCGGGATCGAGTCGGGCTGCTGGTCGATCTGCTCCATGAGGCGCGCCATGTCGACCGGGTCGAACAGGGCGCGGTCTCGCGCGACGGCGGTGGCCGAGTCCGGGTAGCCGAGGCGAGACGACAGGACGAGCGAGTGGAACCTGGACATGGGCGACGAGAGTGAGGTGGGGGCCTTGTCGTGCGCGCGAGAGAGAGAGAGAGAGAGAGAGAGAGAGAGGACGCACCAGTCCTCCTTGTCCGAGTTGACCTTGGCAAAGATGAACCACGGCAACGGCTTGCCCGTCTGGACGTCGTACGCTGCGTCGTCGGTGCTCGGCTCGCCGACGACCGGGCTCGCCGCCGTCGCCGCCTCGCCGCCCTTGTCGCCGGCCTGGGCGTCCGGGTCGGCCGTGCGGCGCGGCTTGAGCTCGATGGCGGTGCGCTTGACGTACAGCTCGCCGTCGACGTTGCCCTCGGGGTAGATGACGACGTCGTGCGCGGCGACGTCGATGGCGGCCCAGCACTCGGCCTGCTCCTCGCCCTCGTACAGGAACAGCGTCTTCTGCTTGAGAACGGCAAAGAAGCGGTCCTTGGGCTTGGACCGACGCGGGTCGCGGCTGCGCTGGTCCATGAAGGAGCGGTACGACGAGGCGAGCATGCCGGCGTAGGTGCCGTCGCCCGCGCCCTCCTTCATCGGCTCGTAGGTGCGGCGGACGGTGAGCCACCCGGCGCGGTACACGGTGCGCGGCTCGGCATCGTCGCCTTGGTCGTCGACGAGAGCAGGGATGCCGGTCTTGGGCGGGAGGACGACAGCCGGCGACGAGTAGAAGACGATGGCGACGAGGAGGGCGGCGCACAGCGGGAGGAAGGTGATGCCGCCGACCACGTAGACGACGGCGAGGCTGACGACGCTGACCATCTGCGAGGCGCGAGAAAAAGGGAGCGTGAGCTTGGTGATCTCGATGGCCCGTGTTTGCTCGTCTTGGTCCCCGGGACGCCGAACGCGAGGAGGACGACGTGGCTGGCACCTCGTCGACTGCGACCTGGATGCCCTCGGCGATGCCCGGACAGTGGTGATGGAGTGGAAGCTGTGCGCACCTGGCAGGAGCTCGCCCGGAGCTCGTGGTCTTGAAGGAGAACGAGGTCGAGTCGGGAGAGGTGGGGAGATGACGAGGCAGACGCGGCTTGCTGTGCACTCGCGTGCACGCCTGGCTGCTCGAGGCGGGTCGAGAGCAGCTTCTCGTGAGCTCGAGTACCTTGGCGGGGAAGGCAGAGCGAGGCGACGAGAGTGTGAAGAGCGAACCCGGCGGACGAGACGACCACAACAGGGCCACGACCAGATCTCGCGCAGCGGACACCTTCAAGAGTGCGCTTCCGTGTGCTCGATGTACTTGTCAGGCTCGACCCACCCAGACCGGCCTGCGTTGAGGTGGACGAGGCTCGCTCTCGTCGTCTCCGCCTCCTCGCGGAATCGACTCTCTCGCCCTTCCACCGTGCTCTCTCCGCTCTTGCGTCCTTCTGGACCGCCCATCTCAATCAGAAGCTTCATCGCGACAGCTTGCGCGCGGCAGATCTGCATCAACACGGCTCGGGCTTCGTCCTCTTCACCTCGTCCGTCCTCATCTCTCTCCGTCTCTCACACTCGACAGCCCTGACCGAACACCTCTAGCAGTAGTGGACGGCGATATATCATCATCGAGGAACGGCTCGCAGCCCCATCATGGTCCCGTACATCCCGCTCGAGCTCGTCGACCTCGTCGCCTCGTTCGCCCTCACCCTCGACGACGACTCGGACTCGGAAGCCAGGCGCCGGCGCTCGAAACTCGCCGCCAACCTGTCGCTCGTGTGTCGTGCGTGGCGTGCGCTCGGCCAGGACCACTTGTCGCGCACTCTCGAGCTCTACGATGGCCAGCCCGACCTCGACTCGCTCCTCGGCCGCCCGCACCTGCTCACCAACGTGCGCGAGCTCGTCGTCATCAGCGTCGCCGGCGAACCCGAGATGATCCAGAGCGTGGCAAGGTGCCGCGACGAGTGCCGCAGGCTCCGCAAGGTCAGCCTCGTCGGCGGCCAGGGTGCCGCCGGGCGCCAACGATATGGTCGTCGACATTCGCATCTTGGGCCACGTCAAGGATCGAGCCTGGGCATCCGCTCTGCAGCACTTTCTCTCGAGCTCCTACAGCACTCCAAGCGTGCAAAAGCTCGCCCTCAAGCTCGACCCGGCGGGATACGGCGGGCGCTTCCCAGATTTCGCCGCACCAGCACCGTGGAGCGCCGTCAAGGACCTCGTCATTGGCTTCCGATGCATCTGGACGTGGATACCGCTCCAGGCAATCCTGTCCCTGTTCCCCCTCGACCGCCTCAGCTCGCTCGACATCAAGGTCCCGAACGACCCGGCGGAACTCCTTCCCCTCTTGCAGAACACGACCTCGCTCTCGCACCTCTCCCTCGGCCTCGACAAGCGAGATCTCATGACTTTCGCCCGCGAGCTCTCGCCCGTCCTCGCCGCCATGACCTCGCTCGAGACGTTCAGCCTGCGGTACCACATGGACTCGACGCGCGTGGGCGGCCTGCGCGCCTTCCCTCCCTCCCTCCTCGACGCCCTCCCCCTCAGCCTGCGCATCGTCGACATCGACCTCGGCGTGACGGGCGCGACGCTCGGCGCCGTGCAGGCGTTCCTCGCGCAGCGCGTCGACGAGGCGCTCGAGAGGTGGACGACGACGGCGACGCCCGTCAGGGCTGAGCACGAGGAGCAGGCGTCGGTCGTGTGCGTCAAGGTCGGGAGCATGGGCGAGAGGCGGTGGGTGCTGCAGTAGCGAGGCGAGCACGAGCGAGGGTTCTCCAGCTTGAACGTCCGTGACGATGCGCTTTCCTCTCGTGCGCACTCGACGAGAGAGAGAGGAGCGTTTTGTTCAGCGGCCGGAAAGCCTGCAGGCGTACGACAGGAGCCAGCTCGCGAGAGGGAGCAAGGCTTTCGGCTCTCGCTCGAGGCCGCTCGCGGTCGTCTCTCGCGCCGACGTGACTCGCACAAGCACAGATCGGTCTTTGCACGCACTGCAAGCTACGGTCAGTCCTGCGAGCGAGATGACACGTGAGTGCTCGGCTCGGGCGCAAGGGGGAAAGAGGAGCGAGACGAGCGGACGCACCTCGTCTGAGCTCTCTCCCTCGCCGAGGCGCCACCGATTCCTCCCGCCGTCTCGCCCAGTCTCGCTCGCCGTGCGCACGAGCCACACCTCGCGCCGCAGCTCCCTCATCGCGTCCCACTCGACCGTGCGCCATTCGCCAAGCCGCCCTCCTCCGTCTCCTCTGCGCACGCTCAACTCGTCGAGCCACTCGATGAGCTCGCCGCGCTGCCCAAAGTCGACGTCGAGCGCGACGCTCTCGAGCGCGGATGGCCCGCCGGCGCCGCAGTGGCTGAGCGCGAGGCCGAGAGCCGCGCACCGCGGGTCCGAGCGCTCGAGGGCGAGTGGGCGGGCGTTGTAGGCGCGCAGGGGGAGCTTGAGGGCGCGCAGGTGCCCGAGATGTGGGAGCAGGGTGGTGACCTCGTCGAGAAGAGAAGGAAAGTCGGTCGTAGACGAGTAGATGGTGAGGCGGGTGAGGTTGGTCGCGGCGAGGAGGAAAGGGCCGAGATTCGAGTTGGGGAGGTGGTCGCTGATGAGGACGATGCTCGACACGACGGCAGGGTCGAAGAGGGCGAGGTAGGAGGCGAGGAAGGCGGCTGCAGTGCGGTGCGCGTCGGGCTTGAGCTCTTCGACCTCGAGCATGATGTGGCGGGTGCGGAGCACGGGTGCGACTCGAGGAGGTGGGACAGCGGCGCCGGCTGGAAGGCGTAGCGAGAGGGCGACGCGGCGGTCGAGGCCGGACAGGTGCGGCAGGGCGTCGAGGAAGGTCGACGGAAACGAGTTGGAGGGCGAGACGGTCGTGTCGACCTCGAGGTAGCTCATGTCGGCGGCAGCGTGCGCGACACCCACGCTCGACAGGACGACCTCGGCGACGTCGGGCGTGACTGCGAGGATGCACTCGTCGAGGCGGCTGAGGTGGACGAGCGCGTGGTGGAGGTCGAGACGCAGCGCCGCCGGCTCGTGGCGCTTGCCGACGAGGAGGTGCAAGTGCTTGACGTGCGACGCCGCCCACGCGTCGTCGCCGAGGATGCGCTCGAGGAGCTCTGGGTTGCGGTGAAAGCCGACGACGACGTTGCGCCAGACGAGGTCGGTGCCGGCCGAGACGAAGTTTGGCGCGATGAGGGCGACCTGGCGGCCGACGTCTCGGCGTGCCCGGCTGACCGAGGGTGCCTCGGACGTGATGCGCTCGCTGCTCGGGTCGAGGAAGTCGAGAATGATGCGGACGACGTCGTGCGGGAGGGTCGAGATGGAAGGCATGAGGGGCGGCGACGAGTAAGGGGTGCGAGGTAGGGCAAGGCTCTGCGCGCGCTCGACTGGCTGTCAGTCGGACCTCGAGAGACAGATCACGCTAGTCAAAGGGCACGCACAGGTGACGGGTGGTCGGGAGTCTCGTCTTGAGCCTCGAAGCTGATGCACTCAGAACGCCACGACAGCGGCTTGTCGTGCCACGGTCTTGACTCGCACGCCGAGCTAGAGGACCGTAGAGCAGTCCAAGCTGGCCTCTTAGCAGCACAGAGGCAGAGCGAGAGCTGAGGGAGGTGGTCGAGGACGGGCAGCTCTCGCTCGTTGGTTCGTCGTCCACCTCGCGCACGCCTCTCTGCCATGGCTGCAGCCGCCGAGCCCCTGTCGAGCTCACTCGCACCGCAAGACCGGCCCTTCGAGATCCGCGCCACTCCGATCGGCTACCTCGGCGCGTTCGCAACTCGCCCCATCCCTCGCGGCACCCTCGTCCTGCACGACCAGCCCTTGTTCACCCTCGACGCACCCCTCCAGGCCTACCTCTTCTCGCGCGCTCAGGCCGGTGCAAGCGGCGGGCCCACCCCGGTCGAGGGCGAGAGCGACGACGACGACAAGGGCCCGGCCAAGGACTTTGACGACTTCCTCGACCGCAACATCCGCACTGTCCTCAGCTTCAAGACCGCACAGCAGCGCGCCGACTTCTGGGACCTCGCCAACACGCGGCCCGACCTCCCGCAGGCCCAGGCCATCTTTGCGACCAACGCCGTCCAGTGCGTCCTCGTTCTCTCGCTCTATGTCGCGCGCACGAGCTCGTCCTCGTGCTCGCCGCCCTGCACGAGCTGACCACAAGCGCTCACACAGGACGTCGGGCGAGATCGGCGGCATGTTCCTCCTCCTGTCGCGCTTCAACTCGTCGTGCCGGCCGACCCTCTCTCGCCCAGCGTGGGACCCGTCGTCCGGCTCGACGCGCCTGTACGCCCTGCGCGACATCGCCGAGGGTGAGGAGCTCACGTGGACGTACCTCAACGTCACGTTCGAGTTTGAGGGCGTCGACGCGCGCCGGGACGAGATGCGGCGCGTGTTCGAGTTTGAGTGCTGCTGCCCGGCGTGCGGGCCCGGTACGATGAGCGACGACGAGCGCAGGGCGAGCGAGAAGCGGCTCCTTCAGCTCAGGCGGCTCAAGGAGCGCATGGCGTGCGAGGTCGGGCCGAGCGACGAGGACCGCGAGGCGAGGAGGGCACTGCTCGGCCGCATGGCGGCGCTCTCGCGCGAGGAGGGCCTGTGGGAAACGGCCGACCGGCTCGAGCGTGTCCTCGAGGAGGCATAGACTCGTGGGTGAGACGACGCTTAACTGCCTTAGACGCTTGTTGTTGTACGATCTTGCCCTCGCATTCTCTCTTTCTCTCGTTCTCGGCCGGCGCGACGAGAGAGGTACGGCAAGCGTGATTACACGAGAGTGGTACAGAGAAGAGGCGCGACCAAGCTAAGGGAAAAGCAACGTCCATCTCGACGCTCTAGGTCGCCGACTTCATGAGGCCCTTGCGCTGCCCCGTCACGCTCTCGCCCGAGTCGCTGCCCCTCGCCCTCGCCGCACGCTTCGCGACCGCACCGACGACCCACGCGACGACGTAGCTCGCGATCCACAGGCCGAGGAGGACCCAGAAGGCGATCTTGACGCCGCGAGGGACCGTGCCCGCGCCGGGCAGGTTGGCGTCCCACTCGATGAGGAGGCCGTTGCCGACCTGGACCCAGCCGAGCGTGATGGTGACGAGGCCGAGGACGACGTGCACGAGGCGAGGGACGCCGAACGTGCGCCCGTGAGGCTTGACGGCCGGGGCCGTGACGGGAGGGCGGAGCGACGGGCGGGACGAGGTGAGGGGCGTGTGGCGGGTGAAGTGGGCCGCGAGGCCGAGGAGCGATTGGGCGAGGACGAGGATCAGGAGGGCCAGGCCGAGCCTGTGAAAGTGGACGAGGATCGTCAGGACGAGACTGAGAGGAGGAGAGCAGAAAGGTGGACGGACTTGTGGTGAAAGTCCTCGAATTGGCCGCCCACCTCGTACGTGGCGAGCGCAAAGGTGACGATGACGAGAACCACCGTGATCAAATTGAGCACCCAGTGAGCTGGGAACCATGTGAACGAGTCGCGGCCGACGCGAGCGACGAGAATGGCGAGCGGCGTGAAGACGAGGAAGGCGAGGGAGCCGAGCGTCGCTGCAGAGGGAAGCTCGTCAGGGCCGGTACCCAGCCGATTCATCTGGAGGACAAGAGAGAGCGAGACGCACCGTGGGCGATGTACATCCTCCTCTGGCTCGCGGTCGTCTCGTCGCCGCCCTCGCTCGCCGACGAGCCGGACGCCTCGGCGGCGGTGGCGGCGACGCTGAACTGCTGCGACAGGTCGAGCTTGGTCGTGCCCTTGGCCTGCATCGTCGCGAACTTCAATGCCTGACCCTCGAAGAGAGAGAGAGAGAGAGAGAAAGAGAAGGCGCACCTGATTGTGCTCGGCGAGGTCGGCGTCCTCGGCCGTCGTGCTCGGCTTGCGCGACGACGACGCGTAGATGAACTCGGTCGAAGCCGCACCGAGAGCTGCGGCCGTGACGCCGCTCGCCGTCGGGTAGCTCGAGCCCGGGTCGCGCTGGCGGACGTAGGCGACAGCCGAGTAGGGCGACGAGGCGTCCGACGTCGTGAGCTCGGGGACGACCGTGTAGAAGGCGGTGGTCGCCGTCGCCGCGTCGGTCGAGGCGAGCTGAGGCATGCCGTGCGAGCCGTCGGGGAGGCGGTGCGAGAGCGTCCACGAGACGGACGAGCCCGAGACGGTCGGCCAGACGATGAGGAAGTCGGCGTCGGCCATGCGCTGCGGGTGGCTCACGACGTCAGTGCCTGCGCATGCACGATACGGTAGAGGAGGGGACGCACCGAACCGAGGCCCGTCGCGAGCCAGCCGACGCTGGACGGCGCCGTCGAGGTCGCGTTGACGACGAAGAGCGAGTGCGCTGCGAGGCGGAACGGGGTCAGGGCGCGCTCGGAGAGGACTCGCGCCGTACAGGAGAGGGACGCACTCGAGTTCTGGACGACAGACAGGTCGAATTGCGGGAGCGAGGTCGACGCGCCTTGGAGATCGCTCGCCGCCGACGACGAGAAGAACGAGGCCGCCTGGTCGCTCGTGAGGGCGCTCACACAGCTCGCCGCGGCGAGGACGACAGTCGCGAGGTACAGCATGGTACGGATCTGGCGAGTGACGAAAGCGAGGGAGGAGAGCGAGCAGAAGAAAAAGAGAGAGGCGGGACGGACGTTCGCCCAGGTGGGGGTGCGCTCGGCGGGAGCGACCTGAGCGGCCTCCTTTCGCAGCACACCTTCTCGGCGCCAACTTGCGCTGGACGGCGCAGGCTAACGTTATTTGGCTTTGGCCAGCGCGAGTGCCTGAGCGCGCGAGATCGACGTGTCCCCGATTTGCGGTCGCGAACAAGCTCTTCGAGAAGCGAGTGACGACGAGGGGACGCTCAGGTGGAGGCGGGTCGAGCGCGCTCGCAGGGGGCGGCGATGCTGGGGAGAGCGAGCGGCGACCCTGCACCGATGTGGACCCAGATGCACATATGGCTGCCTCGCAGCGTGAGGGAGAGGGCAGCTTCGCAAAGTGCTTGCTGCGACGCGCGGACGAAAGAAGTCCGAACTTCCGAGGCGGTGCTGGCACGGTTCGGCCACGCGCAACTCGCTCGCTTCCTCTCTCGAGGCCAATCGCATGGCTTGGATACGCTAAGCTTGCACAGGGAAAGAGCGCTACAAGGGCAGGAGGACGACCTGGCTAGAAGACGGCGGCGCGATCACGCGCGAAAGCGCTCCTCGGGGTCGACGCCGTTGACAGCGTCGGCCGCCTCGAGCGACAGGAGCGCAAAGTGGCCGCCGACGACGGGGCGCGCGATGAAGTAGATGGGCCAGTCGAGCCCTTCGCGCCCGGGAAAGGTCGCCGTCGGCGTCTCGTACAGGCTTGAGGGCGCGGGATCCGGCGAGAGAAGCGGACGATGGGCGAGGACAGAAGGGGACCGACGTCGACGTCGATGAGAGGCGACGCAAAAAGTGGAGGGAGGGGCACGGTCAGCGAGGTGAACCGAGACGAGGTGCGCCGAGCGCAGGAATAGCGCGCGAGGTGGAGGAGAGGAGGAGGGTCGTGGACGCACTCGGGGAACGGCGCATCGACCTTGCCCGCCGCGAGGAAATCGACGAGGCTGTCGACGAAGCCGTCACGGCCTTTCCTGGTCGTTGACGACGCGGCGGCAAACATCTGCCAGTCGGTCTGCGCACGAGGGAAAAGAGGTGCGAGCGTCAGGTCGACGAACGTGCTCGAGGGCGACTCGCGAGATCGTGGACGCACCTTTGCCCAACGATGACGATGATCGAGCGGGAGACCATATCGCTCGAGCTTGTGCTGGTAGAAGGCGGCCTGCTCCTCGTACAGTTCTTGGTCGAAGAGCTTGAGGTTGAGCGCGCGGTCGCCGAACAAGTTGTCTGCGAGGGTCGAAGGAGGAGTGAGCGCGTGCATCGAGAGCGACTCGCAGCAGGTCGACGTAGTGGAGCCTCGGCGACGAGCAGGAGAAGAGGGGTCGAGACGTACACAAAATGCCCCACGAGTCCTCGTCCTGGTACGAGAGCTTGGCGTGGCGCCCTTCTCCCGACTCGGTCATCGCCATCTTGGTCCACTCGGTCGCAAAGGCCTGTACGTCGAGCACGAGTCAGTAAAGGTGCCGGCTCGGTGCGACACGGCCTTGACGACGACAAAGAGGAGGAGGGTCCGAGAGCGCACCTCGGCGACGGCGCGGTAGTGCACCCAATCGGTCCACCGACCGATCCCTTTTGCGAGCTCGGCCATGGCACCTGCAGGAGCGCCGAGCGTCAGGATCCCGTCTCGAGCGCGAGGAGGAGGGGGAGGAGAGAGAGAGCGCGAGGCAGGACGGACCAATGCCGACGATGGCCTTCATGGCGAGGTTGGTCTGGTTCGCGAGCGTGCCTGCATACGTGAGAAGGAAAGAGAGTCAAAGAGAGGTCGAGGTCCGAGGAGAGGAGGCGCAGGGACGAGGGACGGACCGGCAAAGTCGTCGGTGCTGAGCTGCTCGGCGGGCACCAGGCCGTCCTCGGCGAGGAACGTCGTCCACTGCTTGAGGACGTCGTAGTGCTTCTCGACCCACTTGACGTCGCCCGACAGCTGGAAGTAGGCGAGCGACATCCACAGCATGTTGCCGCCCTCCTCGACCGGCATCGGCTCGTCGTCGCCGCGGTTGTAGCCCGTCGCGTTCGGGTACGTGCCGAGGTCGTGCACGGGCCAGCGGTTTGGGTACAGGCCCGAATGCGTGTAGCGCAGGAGCGGCTCGAGGAGGTGGGCGAGCAGGGTCGGGTTGGCGTACAGAAGGATCGGGTGTAAGGGGAAGACGACGTCGATAGTCTGCGGCGGCGGCACGAGTCAGTGCCCCGAGAGAGAGAGTATAAAAGAGGGTCGAACGAGAGGGACGCACCGTCATGTCGCCGTTCGAGCTGATCTCCTTGAGGTGCGCCATGACCTCGTCCCGATCCTCCTTCCAGTCGTCGCCGACGCCCGTCGTCAACTCGAACGTCGCGAACGCCTGCCGCGTCGACAGCTCGACGATGGCCGCATACGCGTCGCCCGAGACCCGCCGAGCGTCCTCGCGCAGGGTCGCGTCGAACCGGGCGGCCTCGAGGAGGGCGCGAGAGGCCGAGAGCTGGAACGCCGACAGGGCGTCGACGTAGTGGGGCCAACGAGTCGTCCAGGCGCCCGACAATGACACTTGACCCTTGGGCGTGACGTAGTTCTGCGAGAGAGGTCGGGTCAGTCCAGGCGCGAGGAAAGAGGGGGAGAGAGGGAGGTGGTGGACGCACGACGTAAGGATCGCGCACGTGCCCGATCGTGAAGATGGCGGCAGGCTCTTGCTCCGACAGGGTGACGCTGAAGCCAAAGACAGGTTGATCGTTGTCGACGCGGCGGTAGCGGACGTCGTGCGTGCCGTCGAGCTTGCCGTGGCGGATGAAGCGGGCGCGCAGCTTGTCGGCGGACCCAGAGCCGGCGACGACGCCCTTGCGCTGTGGATGGGGCTCGAGTCGGCTCGTGGGACCTGACAGAGAGATGCAGAAGGGGGGACGTACGAGCGCTGTGGCGTAGACGGCGTGGCCCCACTCGGCCTGCTCGGCGTGCTCGCCAAACACGAGCTGCTTCTTGCGCGAGACGGCATGAGTCCCGATGCCCGCCTCGCTCTTGTACGTCCAGGTCTGTATCGGCGTGGAGGTCAGCTCCCTGTGAGACGAGGAAAGAGAGGGAGCGCGAGGACGCACAATATCGATGCTCGAGTCGCCCGTGGCCCACTCGCCCGAGATGTCCGTGTAGACCGACACGGTGCGATTCTCGAGCGCATGCCGATTGACGTCGACGACGAGGTACGAGAACGGGAGCGACTGGCGCACGACGTCGTTGGGCGTGACAGGCGAGAGGAAGGTCGCGTTGAACTCGACGCCGGCCGCCTCGAACGTAAAGATGGACCGAGTCGCCGTGTAGGTGAAGGCCGTCTGTTGCGCGACCTTGTCGGACCCGAGGAAGGACAAGGCGCCGGACAGGGGAGCGCCGAGGAACTCGAACACCTCGTCGTCGATGCGGATCAGGCCGGCCCACGACAGGCGGTGGTCGCGTTGTGACCCAGCGTAGTGGACAGGCCAGTGCCGAGCCCATGAGCCGGCGAGGTAGCCCTTGGAGCCGTCGTCGCCGCCTGCCGAGAGCCAGGCATTGAGGTCTGTGAGGGGAGGACGAGGGTCAGCGGGCGAGGTCGTGGCAAGGGGCGAGGGAGGGGACGCACACGGTGACTTGACGGCGAGAGGGATCGCTGGCGGTAGCAGTGGGCTGAACGTCGATCCATGCGAGTCGTGGCGAGAGGAGGAGAGCTCGACGGATGGGCGGCGATGAGGCGGGGAAGGAGGAGCTGGGACGCCAAAGACGGTCTGGTCGGCCGGTCGGGCGACCGCTGCGGCGGCAGTAGCTAGCAGTGCTACGAGCGACAGCAGCATGGCTCGCTCGTGCTATGCGGGAGCCTGAGGAGGAGCGTCACTCGGCTCCCCCACTTCGCAGATCTCGCCAGCTTCGAGTGCGCGCACGACAGCTATCTGCGCAAGGACGACTGGCTCTCGGATGCGACTGCAAGCTCTCGCTCATGACCGCGAGAAAGAAACGCCTGGGAGACGGCCGCTGTGCTCGATTGCAAGCTGCTCGACCGCTCCTCGTGCACGCCCTGCCGCCTTCGCATCACCCTCACCCAGCTCCTCCGTTGTGCGCGAGCCGTCGACGCATGTCGCAAGCCCGAACGGCCATCGCGCCGGATAGGGGGTGGACGAGGCAGGCGCCGGTGACCTCGCACGGCGCAGAAGACGGGTCGGCGACTTGTGCAGGTCGACAACGTAGAGGCAAGGTCGAGCCGCATGTACGAGAGGATGGAAGCGAGATGGCGGGGGAGGGTAGCCGAGGAAAGATGTGCTCGCGTGCTGCGTCGGCGGAGTCGGGCGAGGAGTCGTGATGCGAGGACGGCGGTCGAGAGTCGACGGTGCCGGGCTCGACGGGGCGATGGCCTGCAGGCCCTCGAACGTGCGACAGAGCATGTGCGGTGACCGTGGCGAGCGGCCTAGAGCGCTGCGCTGCGGTAGGCGGTTCGGTACGAGACGGGTGCGAGGGCGTGAGGTAGAGGTGGGGCGAGGGCGAGGGCGAGGTCGGGGAGCTGCGGCTTGGAGTCGGATGTCGTGCGACAGCTGTTTGTGCCGGCAACTGGCGCAGCAGGCGAGTCGCACGTGCGCTTGAAGGGCGGTAAAGCTGGCCGGTTGGGGATTGGCGGGAGATGGACGAGGCGGCGAGGGGCGACGAGCGGGCGTGGCGCGCTCCTGCGCGGTGGCCGGGGCGTGTACTGAACAGCTGCTTGGCTCAAGGTGCAGCAGTGCACCAGGCGAGCGGGCGTGGTCGAGCGAGAGCAGAGTCCGCTCGTCGCGGCCGCGACCGAGCAACCTCGCCCTCTCGCGCGTCGGCCACAGCGTGTGGACGCGAGGGGAGCATAGAGAAGCGTCGACCTGGCCTGTCGCCTTGTCCCTGGCCTGCAATGCGCACAAAGGAAGCGCGAGGGCGCGAGCGAACGAGCCCCGGCCAAATGTGGCCCTTGCACTTCTCTCCGCTCGTCTCTCCTCGCTTCTCCACGCTCTCCGCGTCGTCTCCACGCGCCCGGGTGTGATCGAGGACCCACTCGAACTTTTGCGCCACAAGTCGCGCACGAGCGCGACCGCCTCCTCGACTCAATCGCCTCCCTCTTCCGCACCCACCACCACCACCACCATGTCGACCACGCACGGCTCCGACTTGGAGAAGAGCTACTCGCCCTCGGCACCCGACGCAGAGCTCGGCGGCGCAGTGCTTCGCTCCGACAGCGAGGTCGAGAAGGACGGCGGCAACATCCTCCTCGTCGTCGACGACGCAGCCGCAGCGGGGCTCAAGGTCGCTCAGGACGGCAAGGTGCGTCCCACTCGTTCCTCTGCCCTGCCGGCATCCAGCAAATCGAGCGCCGACTGACGCTCGCTCGACCCGCCCGACACGGCCCTCCTCCCTCCCTTTCCCGCCTCTCTCTCTCGCTCCTCATCGCCGTCCCGTACAGACTGTCCTCGTTCCTCAACCTTCGGACGACCCTCGCGACCCGCTCAACTGGCGCGAGAGCAAGAAGTTCACGATCCTCCTCGTCGTCGCGTTTGCCGCCTTCTTGGGCGACTTCCAGTCGGGTGCCGGTGCGTCGTCCAGCCTTGTCGGCGTCACGAGCACGTTACTGACTCGATCCTTCTCCCCGCAGGTATTCCGCTGCTCGAGGCGCAGGGCGAGGAGTGGGGCATGACGCCGAACGAGGTCAACAAGGCGGGCAACCTGTGCGTCGCCGCTCCCTCTCTCTCACTCTCTCTCGCGGACCGCCAGCTCTGACACTCTGACTCACGTGCAGCAACGTTCTCTTCCTCGGCATTGGCGGCCTCGTCTGGATCCCGCCGCTCTACTTCTGGGGCCGCCTTCCCGTCCTCTTCTGGACCCAGCTCCTCGGCACCCTCATGATCCTTGGCTCGGTCCTCGTCACGTCGTTCGACCAGTACTACGTCCTGCGGCCCCTCACGTCGCTCTTCCTCACGGCCGGCCAGACGATCGGTCTCACGTTCGTCAAGGACATGTACTTCTTCCACCAGCACGCGCGCAAGATCGGCCTCTGGGTCGGCATCTTCCTGTCGGCGCCGTACTGCGGTCCGTTTTTCGGCGGCTGGATGGTCGACGGCCTTGGCGGCGAGTGGCGCCCGGTACTCTGGCTCGTCTTTGCGTGCTCGGCAACGGTCCTCGTGCGTCTCGCTCTCTCTCTCGCACGTTCTGCGTGCCCGTACTGATGACGCATCTTTCCCCGCAGGCTCTCGTCGTCTTGTTCGTCGACGAGACGTGGTACGACCGGTCGCTCAAGGTCCACCCCGAGCGTCGCGACGGCGTCGTCGGTCGCGTCCTCGACCTATCGGGCGTCACGGCCTTCCGCCAGCGCGCCCTCAAGCCCAACGCGCTCCCGTCCATCATGCGTCTCGTCGAGGTCTTTGCCAAGCCCGTGTGCTGGATCGTCTTCCTCATCTACGCCCTGTCGTTCATGTGGGCCGTCGGCATCAACGTAACGTCGAGCATCATCTTTGGCCTGCCAGAGGCCATTGGCGGCTACGGGTTCTCGCTCACCACGATCTCGTACCTCTACTTTACGCCCCTCGTGGCCCTCTTCATCGGCGAGGTGCGTCTCCCCTCTCGCTCGAGGAGACTTTCCCGCGACGAGGACCTGACCCTGCCGACGCGCACAGGTGTTTGGGCACTACGCCAACGACTGGATCGCCGCTCGCTACGTGCGCCGCCACAACGGCCTGTTCCGCCCCGAGGCGCGCCTCCCGATTTACTTCCTCGCCGTCGCCGTCATGATCCCGGGCCTCATCATCGTCGGCCAGGCGCTCGAGCACCACCTCAACGTCGCCGCTATCGTCGTCGGCTGGGGCCTGTACGTCGTCGGTGTCATGATCGCGTCGGTCGCCATCACGGCGTACGCGCTCGACTTTCTGCCCTCGGCGTCGGGCGAGGTGTCGGCGCTCGTCAATCTGGCACGCACGATGTCGGGATTTTCAGTCGGGTACTTCCAACTTGACTGGGCAGAGTCTGCCGGGTTCGACGTGTCGTTTGGGATCCAGGCGGCCATCGTCGGCGGCGCGACATTCCTCGTCGTCGTGCTCATTTTCTTCGGCGAGCGCCTCCGCAAGCTCGGCGGCCCGCTTCACTTTGCCGCGCACCAATAGGGCGTGAGCTTTCCTCTCGCATCCCCTTTCCTCTCAACGAGGTGCCTCTCAACGAGGCCATGCACCCCCCTTCCTCCCTCTCAGCAGCAGTTTGTCGGTCATTTGTTGTCATCCCCTCCCTCCTAGCTTTTCCAGGTCTATTCCCCCGGGTCTCCCTCATCGTCGTTCTCTCCTCAGATGTCGTCACACTGCTTGTAGCCATTAGATCTATCGAGCCCTCTTCAACGGAGGGCACAAGGCCTTGCAAACTCAACTGTTGCAGCCGCATTCTCTCTCGCGCTCTCGAGCTCTCGGTCGTCGTTGCCGTCGCTGTCGTCTCGAGAGAGAGAACAAGAGAGAGAGAGCCAAGCCGACGTCCGTCGCCGTCGTCGTCGTCGTCCTCGCCAGCGAGGAGAAAGATGCGCATGCTCGACGAGGCCGAGCTCTCAAGGCTCTCTTTCCTGTCTCTCGTCGCGTCGTTCCGAGCAGGAGACGACCGTAGTTGCAGAGCGCGAGAGGGAGGAGGAGAAGGGCGAGGAGGGTGGGAAGAGGGAGAAACCGCAGGCCAGAGAGGTCCGAGAGCGTCTCGACCGTCGTCCCTCGCGAGTCGTCCTGCACTGTCGATCTTGTGCTGTCGACGACGTCGGCGAGACGATCTGGTGCCCTGCATGGCGGCGAGGGTGAGCCTGCCTCCTCTTGGCGAGACGAAAAGAACGAGCGAGCGGACCTTGCGACCTGCGCCTCGCTCCAAGATGCCGCCGAGCGCTACCGTGGTTGACGAGGCGGCACGTAGCTCGCCGAGTACGCGCAGTTGGACGACCCGCAATCGCTCGTCTTGACCCAGGTCGGGTCGAAGGAGCAGCCGAGGAGGAGCGCCGCCGACTGCGCCGTGGCGAGGGACATCTGCGCGCTCGAGGTGGGTCAGTGCTGAGAGGCTGCGAGGTGCGAGGAACTGGGACGTACGCGACGAGACGAGTCGAGCGGTACTCGAAGCGAGAGCGAGCGCAAGAGAGAACAAGAAGCGAGAGCCGGTCCGTCGCCTGGCGATCCTCGCGGACGGATCGACACGAGGCGGTACGCAAGCGCCTCGGACTGCGAAGCGAGAGAGGAGACAGGAACGGGCGAGAGACAGGACGGACGACGACACGGGCCGCTCGTTCCCCTGTCCGTCGACTCGAGAAGGTTCCGCCGCGAGCGGTCCGAGGCCGACGTGCAGCGCCGCGAGGCGCGAGAGGTAAAGAACCAGACGCGATGGGGAATAGTCTATGGGTTATTGCACTCGCTGCTGCAGGATGAGGTAGGGACAACAAGGGGGAGGAACCGAAGGAAACCGTGGGCGCACGGGCCCGACGAGGCCGAGCGGCACGCCGGCGTGCCTCAGGTGAAGCGCGCCGTCGGGAACCACCTGCGTGAGTATACCGAGTCAGTAGAGGGTCCTGGAGAGGAGTCGAGGAGGCCAGGAGAAAGCGCGAGCGCACCTCGCGTCCAAACTCCTCATCTCCCTCTTCCTCCCCTCGCCTCGCTCGTCCCTCGACGCCTCGAACAGGAGCATCATGAGCCGACCAACGTTGCTCGACCCGGTGACGACGAGGGCATCCGAGCGCCGTGCGAGGACCGTCAGGTCGCGCACGAACAGGCGCGCCGACGAGATGCGCGCCGCGAGGGGGAGCGAGTTGAAGCTCGTCTCGTTCTGCAGGCGCAAGAGAGAGTCAGTGCGAGGTCTCGAGGTCATGCAGAGAGGCTGGAAGAAGGAGGAGAGACGCACAAAGCCCGCCGGGATCTCACCGACCTGCCGCTTCTTCCCGCCTCGCCGCTTCTCGCGCTCGATCGTCGGCCCGCCTACGACTCGCCGCACGCCCAGCTCCTGCGCAGCCAGCTCGGTGCCGTTCGCCGACGGCAACGACCGCTTGTCGGCGAGCAACTCGTCGTCCTCGTCGGCCGCCGCTCGGACCTGCTCCTGTTCCTCCTCCGCCTCGGCGTCCCGCGCCGCCGGCTCACGCTCGACGACCTCGAGCAGGCCGCCTTGCGGCTTATCATCGCCCGCCGCCTTCCCCTCTGCTGCCTCGCCGCCCCCATCGGCTCGCTCCTCCTCGCCCTCGCCCTCGCCCGACGACGGCGCCGCCTCGGCCGTGCCGACGATGCGGAACCTCGCCGCGAGCGGGTGCGCCCTGAACGCCTCGACGGCGCGGTCGTCGTCGCTCATAAGGGCGAGCGTCGGGCGCTCGCTCGGGTCCTCGGACGCCCACGACGAGGTCGCGGCGAGGAGGGCCCGGATGCGGTCCTTGGACGAGTGGGCGGCCGAGAACTGGTGCGCGATCGAGGGGAGCGCGAGGAGCGAGTGGACCGAGTCGATCGAGGCGGCAAAGTAGGACGTGAGGAGGTCGGCGTGCAGGCCGCGAGGGGAGGTCGTGCTCGGTGGGGCGGGCGCGAGGTCCGGCGCGTACGCGGCGGGGCCGATGTGGTCGACCTCGAGGAACTTGTCGCCGAGGCTGCGGACGTAGGGCTGTCAGAGAATGCTGATAGAGATGACGAGAGAGAGAAAGGGGACGCACCGAACGTGAACGCCGATGAGGAGGGACCCTGCGCCCGTGACGCCCTCGCCGCGGTCCGACAGCGCCAACCGCTCCTCGAGCTCGCCGACCAAGTCCTGGACGAGGTCGACGGGCCTCCACGCCAACTCGGCGAGCTCGCTCAGTCGCCGGAAGGCTCGCTCGTGCACGGCCGGCAGCGTCCTCCTTGGCGACAGGAACGCCGGCTTGGCCTTCCGCCGCGTGAGAAGCTCGACGTCCTCGCGGTGGAGCGTCTCGAGCTCGTCGGCGTCGGCGAACAGGCGCAAGAACGTCGCGTCGAGGCCGTCCATGTCGCGCGCCGACCACACGATGTGGCTGCGGCGGGTCCACCGAGGCTCGAACGGCGCGTCAAGCGCGTCGGGGCCTGCGGCGACCTTGTGCTCGTCGCTCGTGAGAGCAAGCTTGTAGCGCTTGGTGTCGCTCGGCGGCAGGCGGCAGGCGGGCGAGGGTGCGGCGTCGTCGGAAGGGGAGGAGAAGGGCGGGAAGGGCGAGTCGAGCGGGACGAAGTAGTCGTCCCACGCGCCGTAGTTCCACGACGCGGTGTCGATGAACACGGGATAGCCAAAGTGGCTGGCGACGGCGGCAACGCGCAGGAGGAGGGTGACCTCGGAGCCGAAGCCGTGCAGGCCTGCGAGCGCGGAACGACAAGGTGAGCGGGGCTTCTCTGCGAGAAGGTGAGGGTGAGAGGGGGCGCACCTGCGAAGCGGAACACGACCGACTTGTCGCACACAGGAAGAGCGCCGTCCTCGTCGACCGAGGGCTCCACCTCGTCCAGCAGGACCTCCTCAACCACCTCTCGCCCCGCCGGTCGGTCGTCCACCTCCTTGGCGCGGTCCTCCTCGGCGACTGGCCGTTTCGCCGCGCCGACTCGTGCGACAGGCGCGACCTGCGACGCCGCCTGCGCGCCGGCTGCGGTACTCGCGCTGCCGCCGACCTGGGCGAGCTCGTCCTGGCTCGGCGAATGGGGCTCGGACAGGGCCTTTTTGCCGCCGATCTCGAGAGCCGATAAGGTGAGGAGGACGAGGACGACAAAGAGGGCGCAGGCGACGCGGTGCGGCCGCCTGACGACGTGGGCTGGCGCGGCGGCGAAGGCGGCGACGGACGAGATCGAGGGCGGGCGCGCTGCCGAGTGCCGTGCTCGTTGTGGTGCAGGCATGCAGCTGGCGTTGGTGCCGCTGCTAGGCGTGGTGCCGCTGCTAGGCGTGGTGCCGCTGCGAGGCTGGACGAGGTGCGCGGTCGAGGTGCTCGGTGCTCGAGGCGCGGGGGGGACGACCTGCGGGAGGGCGACGCGGGAGGAGGAGGAGGGGGGCGGCGAGGGGCGGGTTGGCGCGGCCTTTGGTGGTGCGCAGCGGGTGTGCAAACGAGTGTGTGTGTCGAGCGTGGTCGAGCTGGGCATCTGCCTCTCTCTCGCCCGACGCGTCGCCGGCGCGCCCTGAGACTCTGACCTCGGGCCGATCGCTCACAGCGATCCGGCGCTCGCTTGGCTTCGCTCTCTCTCTCTCTCTCCTGCTCGCACTCGCTTCCCTGCTACACGCTCGTGTGCTTCAGCCATGTCGACCTCGGCTTCGTCGCCTCGGCGCGCATTCGTTACGCTCTTGACCAACGCGCGCTACCTTCCGGGGCTCGTGCGTCACAGCTCTCGTTCTCCCCTTCGACCTCGTCCGCCTCGATCGAGCAGCTCACTCTCGTTGCGCACCTGCAGCTCGTCCTCGATCACACGCTCAAGCAGGTCGGCACAAGGTACCCGCTCGTCGTCCTCACGACGCCGTCGTTTCCCGAGGAGCACCTCGCACTCCTCAAAGCTCTTGTGCGTCCGCTCTTTCCGCGCCATGCTCCTCGACGTCGACTTGACGTCGCGTGCGCTCTGCAGGGCATGAGCACAAAGCGCATCGAGCTCCTCGAACCTCGCGGCGAGATGATGCTCATCGCCGAGCGCTTCAAGGACACCTGGTCGAAGCTTCAGGCTTTTGCGCTCGACGAGTACGAGGTGAGCTCCTCTCGTCTCTCGTTATCTATCGAGGAGACCGACGCTTTCGAGCTCTGTCAAGAAGAACGCTACTGACGCCCTCTTGCGTCCCTGCAGCGCGTCGTCCTCCTCGACTGCGACATGAGCGTCTTCTCGCCAATCGACTCGCTCCTCGACGACGACTCGCTCCTTCTCTCGTCCTCATGGATCGCGGCGGCGCACTCGTGCGTCTGCAACCCTCTCGGCCAAGACTGGTACCTGCCCGACTGCACGCCGGCCAACTGCGCCTACACGCACGCGACCGCGCACGGCGGCGCTCCTCCTCCCGTCGAGCTCCTCCCCTCGAAGCGCACCTACGGCCTCCTGAACAGTGGCCTCGTCGTCCTCGCGCCGTCCAAAACCCTGTACGACTCGATCGTGCACCACCTCCACACGAGCCCGACCGTCGCGACCATGGCGCTCCCCGACCAGGACCTCCTCGGCGAGGTGTTCGACGGCAAGTGGATGCCCTTGAGCTGGCGCTTCAACGCGATCAAGACGTTCCGGTGGGTCCATCCCGAGCTGTGGTTCGCCGAGACGGACGGCGGCCGGCGGCTCGAGGGCAGGGAGCGAGGCGACGACGGCGTCGCCGTCCTGCACTACATCGTCGAGAAGCCGGTGCGCCCTCTCTCTTTATCTCTCTACCCTCCTCTCTCTCCCTCTTTCCACTCTTTCTCTCCCTCTCTCCCTGCCCACGCCATCTCGCCCCTCTCTTCCCCTTTCCCTCTGCCCCTTCTTCTCTCCTCCTCTCTTTTGCTCTCTCTCTCTCTCTCTCGTCCTCTTGATCCTGTCACTGACACGCTTTTTGCCACTCTCCCCGCACGACCGCCCGCAGTGGCTCGACGCCCTCCCCTCCTCGTCGCCCGACCTCGAGACGCATAAGTGGTGGTGGGCAGATTGGCGGTCGATGCTCGACGCGTGGGAGGGCGACGAGCGACTGAGCGGGTACGTCGAGGGCGTGCGGCGGCTCGTCAAGAGCGAGGCGGATCTGTAGAAGGGTCGAGGAGGGCGACCTTCGCAAACGGGCTTTGGCCACCTCTTTCCGCCTGCAAGACGTGAGCGAGCTTCTCGAGCGAGCGACCGTCAGAGAGAGCCTGGCTTTCGCTTCCCTCAGGCGCTGCCGTCCGAGAAAGGCTTCTTTACTGAGCTTTCCTCGCGCGAGAGCCCGCTCGGGCCTCGTTTTGCGACACGCGCTCTCCTCGCGCTCTCGCTTTTCTCTCTCGCTCTCGCAGACCGAGATAGACTGGGGCACATCTGTGTACATGACATTCGATATAGTACTGCGACTAGATTAGGCGCCGCCGGTCTCGGGAGAAGAGGCGAGCGACGCGTCGAGGAGGAGCACTGCGTCGAGGTGGACGCTCAGGCGATGCGCGAGGTGCCGTCTGCGGTCACAGTGACGCGTCAGTACCTTGTCGATGAAGGAGAGAAGAAGAGAGAGGCGACGCACCGTTGGCACCGTCGGCAACCTGGTCGACGAGCTTGTCGGCCTCCTCGTCGGCCTTGGCAAAGTTGGTCTTGGACCGCGTCGAGCGCTCGTTCGAGTCGAGGATGTTCTCCTTCTTGACGCCGTCGAACTCGTCGTTCTCGAACTCGTCTGTGCGATCGCGATCGAGATCGAAGAGGAGAGGAAGGAAGAGGGGACGGACGAAGTCAGCGTGCGGGTCGGTGGACGGACGAGAGGGAGGGAGGTCGGGACGCACCCTTCGAGATCTCGTTGCCCTTGACCGACTCGTAGTTGCCGTCCTCGGGCGCGTTGATGCCCTGGTCGGTCGAGAGCTCGTCGTCGTTGCTGTCAAGGACGCCAGCTGGCTGCTGCGGGACCGACTCGTCGGCGACCTGTGCGTGTCGAGAGAACCAGTGAGGAACTCAGGCGTCGATGGGGTGCGAGGAGAGAGAGGGCTCACGATGGCGTCGTCCTGCTCGAACTTGTCAGAGTTGCTCATGGTGTTGAAGGTGAAGGGCTGGAGGCGGCTTGAGAGTGAGGGCGCGTGGAGCAGAAGTAGTGTAAAGGAGCACAAGCAACGAGAGCGATTCTGAGCAGACCCAGAGCGAGCGCGCAAGTGACGTGAGGGGCGACGAGGAGGTCGTCACCAATGTCAAAACCGGAGGGAGAGCGCGAGCATGTCAAGATCGCCCTGGTTGCGGCGACGTAAGCTCCGCAACAGCTCGCTCGGCTCGCGAAATTGCCCTCGCTCGACTGAGCAACTCACGCTGGCGCCATCGGTTCGGCGTTCATTGAGATCGGTCGCAGCGCCGACCGTGCGGTGGGCGCAGAGGTCGATCGGCCTCGTCGTCGCTCGAACCGGCTCCTTCTCCTGCGCGTTCCGCGGCGACAGCACCGACTGCGCTCACACCAAGCTTCACCTCGCGAGAGCACCCGTCAAAGCCTGCGAGGGAGCGCGCACCGGGAAAGCGCACAAAAGCTCTCGAGCTTCTCGTACTCTCTCGCGACAGCGCGCTCGCGTGCGACGGGCAGAGCATCGACGCGTTGCCACCTCCACCGAGCACGAGCTCCAGCACGCTCGTCTACTGCTGCCCCTCTGCCGCCTGCGCCTGCTTCATGCGCAGCTTCTTCTTCTGGTTCTTCGACACGCGCTCGCCCTCGCCCTCGACGGCCGCAGCGCCCTTCTTGCCCTTGGCCTTGGCCTTGGCACTGGTCGGCGTCGAGGCGCCCGAGTCGGGTGCGGCGGGTGCGGGCGAGGCAGGGGCCGAGGTGCGCTGGCGCTTGGTGGCGGAGGAAGAGGCGGGCGGCTTGGCCTTGGCGCCGGCGGTGGACGAGGACCGAGGGGTCGAGGGTTTCGCCTCGTCGTAGCCTGTTGCGTAGAGGATCAGTGAGCGTCGAGGGACAGAGAGAGAAAGAGAGGGAAGCGGGACGCACCGGCGAAAGGGTCGAGCGACTTGCGCTTCTTACCGCCCGCCGCCTCCTTGCCCTTGCCCTTGCCTTTGCCCTTGGCCGGCGTCCCAGCCTCCTCGACAATGGCGTCGCTCGCGCCCGCACCCGCACTCAGGACGACCGCCTCGTCGGCCGCGCCGCCCTCGACCTCGACCTCGTCGTCCGCCGGCTCGGCCTCGAGCAGCCGGTCGACCTCGGCGTCGACCGGTGCCGCGCGCTCGCCCGCCTCGACCTCATCGCCCTCGCCCTCATCGCCACTGAAGCGCGTGTGGGTCCCCGAGGGTCCGGCCTCGGGGTCCGTGTCGGCGCCGTCGCCGCCGTCGTACGCCGGGTCGACGGTGGCGCGCTGCGACGCGATGGCGGCGTTGATGAAGCGGCCTGCGGCCTGGCGGTCGATGTGCATGCGGCGATGCTGCTGCTGGGCGGGCGTCGAGGCCGAGGACGAGGGGACGACGCCGGCTTGGGCGCCCTTGAGCTTGCTGAAGTAGGTCTTGAGGCGGTCCTGCGGCGGTTGGTTCGGGTCAGCGGGAGTTCCAGGGAGGGAGAGAGAGGGGACGCACGATCTCGGCCATGACGGGGTGCGATGCCGGGTCGACGCCGGCCGCCTTGAGGTAGACTGGGCGAGCTCGGCGAAGAGGGTCAGTGAGGGGGTTCTCGAGCGAGGGAGGGAGAGAGAGAGGAGGAGAGTCGGTGCGCACCCCAGACGAGGTCATGCACGACGTAGGAGGCGAGGACCTGCGCGCGAGCCTGGACGAGGGGCTGCTCGAGTTCGAGGTGGTCGGCGAGCGGTTTGGCGAGGAGCGGGGCGAGGGCCGAGTCGAGCTGGGTGACGGCGGCCGACAGGGACGCGAGAGTGGCAGATGGGTCGACTTCGCTCATGCTGACTAGACGGCTGCAGCAACTGGAGCGGGTGTGAGGAGCAAGAGAGAGGCAACCAGATGAGGATCCCGCTCACCTCGTCCTCCTCCTCCGCAACCCGCTCAGCCAGCTCTACAGCACTCGCACGACCATGGTGAGCACTCGATAATCCCACGCGACCCCGTCCCTCGCACCCACTGATCTCTCCCTCCCACCTCGTCCTCCCCCCTCCCTCCTCATCTCCCCCGGCCTCGTCTTCTCCCCCAACCGCGCCCTGCGTCCTCGCGCACCTCAGTCTTCCGAGCTCCGACACACCGCCAACACCCAGACCGCCCAGCTCCACTCTCGCTACACCGGTCAGTCCTCGCGCTCGCCCGCATGCCTCCCACCGCTCCCTCCACAGCGGTGCAGGCTTCTGCTTCGCGGAGCGGATCTGACCGACATCGTTCCTCTGCAGGCACGGGCCACGCCGACGTCACCAAGTAGTGCGTCCCGTCCTCTCTCTCTGCGTCATCCCCTGATCTCGAGCTGACCCTCCCCACCGTCCCTCGCAGCGAGTGGCTCACCAACCAGCACCGCGACACGTCGTCGTCCATCGTCGGACACCCGGCCCTCCTCCAGTACCTCTCGATCGCAGACGGCGAGGCGTGCGCGAGGATGAAGTTCGAGCTCACAGAGGTACGTCAGCCGCGCCAGCGCTTTCTCTCCGCGCTCGTCGGGCCCTCGAGCTCGGCCTGCCGGAGTACTCGCGGTCGGACACCGACTGACATGCTTTCCATCCCTGCAGCGCATGCTTCAACCTTGCGGCCCGCCGCCGCCAAAGGACGACGAGTGAGCCACCTCGTGTCGACTCGTCCCTCTTCGACCACTTCTCCCGCCTCGACGCCGTACCGCCTACTCTGCCCCAGCCATGTTGTAACGCATACTCTGTCTCTTCTCTCGAGCCACACCCGGTGCCGCGAGCGAGAGAGAGAGAGAGCGCTCTGCCGTCCGCTCGAGAGCAGGCTTTGCGCTCGCAAGTCGTCTCTGCCTCGCTCACAAAGACAGCCGTAGCTCGCTCTCTCGAATCGATAGACCCTCGTGAACACGTCGTTGCAGTTCTCGCAACCGCTGCGGCGTCGAGAGAGCCACCTCCAGGACATGCCGCTCGTCGCCTCGCTCGCCCGCAGCCGAGACGACCTCGCAGCCCTCGGCCTTGCTCCCACCTGGACCTGGCCTCCTGCCACACGCACGCTTGACACGTCTCGCCGCCTGTCCCGACCCCGAGAGCCCTCGAGAGACAGGCTTGCCGCGGCGCCCTCGAGTATGTCGGTGCACAGCTATTGCGCGGGCCGATCGGTCGAGGCTAGGTGCCGTGGTCGGCGTGACGAGGTATGGCGGTGACTGCTGATAGCTCGCAGTCGAGGCCGAGTGAGTGTCGAGACGAGAGGAGGTCGGCGAGGTTGCGAGGTGATGAGGTCGAAGGGAGCGCGACGAGGGCGGCGAGGGCGGCGGGTCTGGTTGTGTAGGTGGTCGAAGTGCTCGTGTGCATCGTACCAGGCTGCCCAGCAGCTCGAGCGTGTTGTACGAGAGCGACGAGCTGCAACCCCACCCCCGCTCCCTCATCGCTCCCTCACCTCGTCCAGAACGACCGCCTGGGCCCAGAGCGCGCGCGCAACATGCTCGACATACGGCCAACACGTGGCTCCCACCCTCGCACGAGCCTCCCAGCCCTCCCGAGCGACGTCCTCGTCCGCGTCGTCCGGCTCGCCGTGCCCCTCACCGACGACGACGAGTTCGAGCCATGGAACCGGGCCCGCTGGCTCCACGACATTGCAAGAACCTGTCGAGCCCTGTATCGCGCCGCCGCAAAGGAGCGCAGTCGACTCGTCGTCCTCCGCAACCCGACCACGCTCGACGGCGCGTCGACGACCGCCCAGTACCTGCGCATCCATGGCCAAGATCGCCCGTGCGACCTGTCCAAGTTGGCCCAGCACGTCAAGTCGGTCCGCTCGCTGCGCCTGTACCTCGACCCGGCCACCGTCGTCGACCTGAGCGCCCTCGCCGGTCTTCCAAGTGCGTCCCTCCTCGCCTTTCCCACTGGAACGAGATCTCCCCTGACCTTCCTGCTCTACAGATTTTCGTCACCTTACCATCAGCGGCGGCACGTTGAGCGCGACCGACCCCGATCGCCTGCCGACCAACCTCGTCGAGCTCGAGCTCCTCGACCTCAAGTGCGCGCCCGCTCTCGCCGACAGCCTCATCCGCCGCAATACGCGGCTCGACACGGCGCACCTCACGCCGCTCACCGGTGACGACGGTCAATTCGTACCCGGCGAGGCCTTGGCGACGCTCGAGCACCTCAAGTTCCTCCAGTACGCGCCGACGGACCGGGTCGACGATGCCGCCCCGTTCTACGAGTCGCTCCTCGACCCGTTCGCCGCTCGGCTCGTCGACTCGCTCGTCCTCGTGTACGACACCGAGTGTCGCGCGCCCGTCGACGCGGTCAAGCGCCTCATCGTCCACTACCCGGTCGACGACGCCGACCTTGAGTCGCGCAGCGAGCTCCCCGACCAGCTCGCGCGCCTCGCCCAGTGGATCAAGACGGCGTCGCGCCTCGAGTCGGTCGCGCTCCCGGGCACATGGCACCCGAACAAGGACCTCGACGACCCGTACGAGCGCGGCGTCCAACTCGCGTCCAACTCGGTCATGAACGCGTGCGTCGCCCGGCGCATCCGCGTCACCTTCTGCGACCTCGACGAGGCGCGCCCGAGAGGGGCGAGCGCCGCGCCCCTGTGCGACGCGGTGCGCACGGGCCGCTCGAGCGTGCGCGAGATTGTCGCGCTTCGCGAGCCGCTCGACGAGTGGCCCGGGAGCTGGGCGCGGCTCCTGGCCGACGAAGAGGACTATGGGGACTATAAGTCGGCCATGTCGAGGCGCGTTGTGCGCCGGCGAGAGCGGCGTCGTCGAATGCAGGGGCGGGACCGAGGACGCGACGAATGCGACTTTTCCTCGTTCTCGTTAGACGCTCTCGCGACATGCAAGCTATTCCTCCTGTTCTCGAGAGCTCTGAGACGTCGAGAGAAAGCAGAGATCGCGAGAGCAGCTTGCGAGGTGACTTGGCGCGGCGGCGGCAGAGGCTCGACTTTGGCCCGCACTTGGTCGTGCCCTCTGGCGCGGCCAGGGTGACCGGCACGCAGACTCGTAGCTGCGTCTGAGGGCGGTCAAACGTGCGTGCTTCTTGCAAAGCGGACCATGCGAGGGCGACCGCACGAGCAAGTTGACCACCTTCTCAAGCCGCCTCTCCACGGCCGCCGCACGGACCTGCTGCCGCGCTCTGCGCTCACCATCGCTCGAGCGCATGGCGACACAGTGCTTGGGTTGCTCGGCCAGTCGACAAGGCTGCCGTAGCAAGACCCAGCTCCCATCCTCGCTCGCTCTCTCGCCTGCGCACGAACCTGTTCCCTGCTCGCAAAGGTGGAGCCTCCGAGCGCTCTGTGCTCGGGTACTCTCGCTCGCGATCTCGCTTTCGGTCTTGCTCTCGCTTTCCATGGCAGAGCAGACAGGGCCGTGAGGGAGAGAGGGAACTGGCGACGTTGCAGGCGACCCACAACGTGAGCGATCTTGCCGTCGCATCGCGCCAAACGTAGACCCCTCTCGCTCTCGAGCAAGAAGGGCGACCTCGCGAGGACAGGAGCTACTCGACGTCGACGTCGACGACGAGGCGCGACGAGGGAGAGTGGCTAGAATACATGCATTGCGAGCTACGAGGAACGGCGAGGCCAACACGGAAAGAGAGGCGAGGGGAATAGCGGAAGGGCGCCGATAAAGGCTATGCGAGACGGACCAAAAGGAGAGGCGAACGAGGAGAAGTACTTGGCGGGCGGTCGAGGTGCGAGCCTAGATGTCGAGCAAGGGCTTGAGGTACTTGGCGATGAGCATCCATTCGCTCTTGGAGCTGCGGTGGGGCAAGAGACAAGTCAGTGCGTGGGCCGTGGTCCGATCGAGAGGGTGAGAGGGGACGCACACGTCGTCGCGGAACGTGCTCTTGAGGACGTCGATCGACTCGCGCGAGATCATCGACACGACCTCGTCCTTCTCGTCGACTGCAGGGGAGAGGTGTGTCAGTCGGGAAGGAAGGAAGAGCAAAGAGGGAGGACGTACAGTGACGGCCGAACTGCTTCGCCGACTCGTACGACGCGTGCTCGATCTTGACGGCGACACCCGCACCTGCCTCGTGCTTCTTGATGATGTCCTTGCTCTTGTGGTTGATCTCGAGGCCGGTGCTGCAGGGGAAGGAGGTCCGGCGTGAGCGAGGGGACTCGGACGAGCACCTCGAGAGGGAGGACAGGCTTGACGCACATCTTGCCGAGCGAGATGACCTCCTTCTTCTTGGTCGCCGGGTCCGTCTTGACGACACACAGCGGCGTACCGACTCGGAGCGTGCCGTCCTCGATATCGCAGCCGAGGATGATCGCTGAGGGCGAAGGTCGAGTCAGGGACGGCCACGACGGCGACGACGACGGCCACGTTCGACGTCTCGCCTCCTCGAGGCGAGCGAGAGGGAGAGGGAGAGAGAGGGAGACGCACGGTCACGCTTGGCGAAGCACTGGAGAATGCGGAGGCGGCAGGGGAAGACGGCCTTGCCGACAGCCTGCTCGCGACGAACCTCGTCGTTCTGCTTCTTGTACGCCATGAACTGGTCGAACAGGTGGTAGATGATGTCGGCTGCGAGTGCGGGAAGGGCATGTCAGTTTGCGTCGGGAGGAGAAGAGCGAGAGAGCGGTGGGCGCACCCTTGAAGATCTTGACGCCGAGCTTGGCGGCCTGGTCCTCGGCGTCCTTGTCGACGGGCACGTCGAAGCACAGGACGACGGCAAACTCGGGCGCCTTCTCGAGCATGGTGGCGCAGCGCATGATGTCCTTCTTGTGCACGGGCCCAATGTTGATGCCGGCGACGGGGATCTTGACGGCGTCGCTCTTGAGGAACTCGAGGAGCGCCTCGAGCGAGCCGAGCGTCGACGCCTGGACGAACACGCCGCGGCCGCCCGAATCGACTCGGCTGAACAGGTTCGTCATGTCGGACATGACCTCCTCGCGCAGCTCCTCCTCGTCGTCGTCCGGCCCGCACACGAGCAGGCGCGAGCCGGCGATGGCCTTCTCGAGGTCGGGCGCGACGATCTTGATGCCCATGGCCGCCTTGATCTGCTTGTGGTGCACGTACTGGCCCTGCAGAGGGAGGGGCGGGGCGCGAGAGTCAGTCTCTCGCTCGCGCACCGGGTCGCGAAAAGGGAGAGAGGGAGGGGGCGCACCTTGATGCGGAGCTCCTTCATGGGCTGCGGCGTGAGGAGGGCGCGGACCTGGGTGACGATGGCGCCGTCGAGGCCGCACAGGACGATCTTGTCGCCCTCGTGGAGGTACCCGTTGACGAGGACGACGTCGATGGTGGTGCCGAGACCCTCGATGACCTTGACCTCGAGGACGGTGCACTGGAGCGTCGAAATGTACATGAGGTTGTTGGCCATGCGCTCCTGCGTGAGCTTGACGAGGAGCATGAGCAGGTCGGGCACGCCCTCGCCCGTGTGGGCCGAGGTCGGGACGAGCGACACGTTCTTGCCGAGGTTCTTGTTGTCGTAGTACGGGACGGCGTTCAGGCCCTGCTCGGCAAAGGCGACGACGGTGTCGGCGAGGCGCTTCTCGAACTCGCGCTGGACGGCCCGGTTCTGCTGGTCGAAGCTCTGGAGGAAGCCGCCGTCCTTCATCGGCGTCCAGCCGTACAGGCGGTCGATCTTGTTGAGCGCGACGATGAACGGCGTCTTGCCGTCGCGCAGGAGGCGGATCGACTCGAGCGTCTGGGGCTCGAGGCCGTGCATGATGTCGACGACGAGGATGGCGATGTTGCACAGGGACGAGCCGCGTTGGCGCAGGTTGGTGAACGACTCGTGGCCGGGCGTGTCGATGACGAGGAGGCCAGGCAACTTGTACTCCTTGAGGTCGGCGTCTCCGAGGACCCGGGTGCGCTTCTGGACGGCCTCCATCGGGAAGTAGGTCGCGCCGATCTGCTGCGTGATGCCGCCGGCCTCGCCCTCCTGGACGTTGGTCTGACGGATCTTGTCGAGGAGCTTGGTCTTGCCCGTGTCGACGTGGCCCATGATGACGCAGATGGGCGAGCGCAAGTTCTCCTTGTCGCGCTCGGCGAGCGCCTGGGCGTCGCGCGCCTCGCGACGGGCCTTGGCCTCGGCCTTGCGCTGCGCCTCCTGGCGCTCGACCGCCGTCATCTCCTCCTCGCTCGACGAGTCGTCCTCGTCCGACGAGTCGTCGTCCGAGTCGTCCGAATCGTCCGACGAGTCGTCGTCGTCCGAGTCCTCCTCGTCGCTCGACGACTCCTCGACGACGGCGGCCTTGCCCTTGCCCTTGGCGGATGCGGCCTTTGCGGGCGCGCCCTTTGCGGGTGCGGGCTTGGCGGCGGCGGCGGCAGCGGCAGGTGCAGGGGCCGTCTTGCCGTTGGCTGCGAGGAGGAAGGCTCGTGTCAGTACGGACCCAGAGTCGAGAGAGGACGAGAGAGGGGAGGAGGAACGGACCCTTGGCGGTAGCGGGAGCCGGCTTGACCTCCTCCTCGTCCTCAGACGAGGACGCGTCCCAGCTGTCCTTGACGTCCTCCTCGTCCTTCTTGGTCTCGTCCTCGGACGACGACGCGTCCCAGCTGTCCTTGACGTCCTCGTCCTCCTCGTCGTCCTTCTTGACCTCGTCGACGACCTTGGCCGGGAGCGGCGCCTCGTCCTCCTTCTTCTCCTCGACCTTGGGCGGCTCGGGGCTGGCCGGCTTGGACTCGGCGGGCGACGCCGTCTCCTTCTCCTGCTGCTTGCCGCCGCGCTTGCGGTTGCCGTACGACACCTTGGCCGTCGCGGGCGCCTTGTCGCCGCCCTGCTGCAAGCCGGCGACGGCGACGCCGCTCGCCGAGAGGAGGGCTTGACGGCGAGCTTCGGCGGCGGCGCGCTCGGCCTTCTGCTTGGGCGTGAGGAGCAGGCCCTTCTTCTTGAGCTCCTCCTTCTTGGCCTGTGGACAATCAACGAGGGAGGGAGGAGACGAGGTCAGGTCGGGTTGACGAGGGCGCACAGGACGGAGACAGCGGAACGAGCGCGACGCACCTTCTCCTTCTCCTTCTTCCTCAGACGCTCCTCCTCCTTGCGCTGCTCCTCGGCCGCCGCGGCCGCCTCCTCCTCCTCGATGCGCCTGCGCTCCTCCGCCTCGGCCCGCTCGGCCTCCTCGCGCGCCTTCTGCTGCGCCTCCATGAGCGCCCGTAGCGCCGCGATCTGCCCGCCGCCGCCCTTGCCCTTCTTGCCCGCAGGCGGCTCGGCCGGTGCGGCCTCCTCGGCGGCGGCCGCGCCGGCCTTCTTCTTCTTCTTCTTCTTGTTCTTGGACGACGCGCCGCCCTCGCCCTCGCCGGCGTCCTCGTCGGCGCCGTCGTCGGCGGGTGCGGGAGCGGTGTCGGCGGCGGGCGTGTCGGCGGGTGCGGGTGCGGCTGGCTCGGCGCCCTTCTTGGCGGCGGCCTGCGCCTTCTTCTTGGCCTGCGGATCGAGACGATGTCAGTACACGCACGCGCAGGGCAACGAGAGAGGATGAGAGAGGCATGGACGCACCTTCTCCTTCTCCTTCTTGAGCTTCTCCTTCTCCTTCTTCGAGAGGACGCGCTTGGGCTCGCCGTCGTCGTTGTCGTCGTCGTTGTCGGCCGGGTCGGCGGCGGCGACGGCAGCAGCAGGTGCAGGCGTAGGCGCAGGCGATGCGGGCTTGCTCTTGGGCTTGGGCTCGTCGAGGCTGACGGCCTTGACCTGGTCGGCGAGGAGGTCGTCGTCGTCGCTGTCGACCGGCTTCTTCTGCTGCTGCTTCTTGTTGCCGCCCTTCTTGCTTTTTTTGCCCTTGGCGGCGCCGCCGAACTCCTCCTCCATCCAGTCGTCGCCGGCGTCGATGGCGCCGCGCGGCGCGGCAAGGTCCTCCTCGGGCTCGGCGGCGGCGGGTGCGGCGGCGGCGGCGTCGTCGTCCGGGTTGAAGTAGTCGTCGTCGTTGACGGCCGCCGCGCCCTTCTTGGCCTTCTTGCCCTTGGCCTTCTTGCCGCCGGCCTTCTTGCCCTGCGCCGGCTGCCCGTCGTCGCTGTCCTCGTCCTGCGCCGCCGCGGCGGGAGCTGGCGACTCGTCCTCCTCAGCGTCGTCGTCGTCGCCGCCGTCCTCGACCATCATGTCGGCGAACGAGCCAAAGCCGCCGCCTGCGCCGCCGCGCTTGGCCTTGCCGCCCTTGGCGGGTGCACGAGAGGAGGGCGAGAAGTCGTCGTCCGAGTCGGCGGCGGCGGCGGGGGTGACGTCGCCCGGGGTGGCGGACGGCGAGTCCTTCTTGGCGAGCGAGTCCCTTTTGGTGTCGGTAGCGGGCACAGGGGTGTGTGGGAGGAGCGAGAGGCGGCGAGCGTTTTCGTCAGTGAGAGGACGAGGACGAGACGAGACGAGAGGGAGGCGGGCGCACCAGTACTCGTCGTCGTCGACGTTCTTCTTACCCTTGGCGCCTTTCTGCTTCTTGGGCGGCATCGCGGCTGTCGTGAAGCGAGCGAGATGAGGACGAGCAAGAGCCAGCCGCACGAGATGAGCCTCGCATCTCTCCCGTCGCCACCCTCGGCACAGGCTGAGTCGTGCTGGCACTCGGCAGAGCCGCGCAGAGCTGGTGGACCTGACCGTCCAGCTGCGCTTCCACCCTGCTGTGTGCTGCCGCCGCAGGCTCGCCTCGCGGTTTCGGCTCCCTGTTCTCCCGCTGCCCTCGCGTTCAACGGCCAGAAGGGCAGCAGCGCTTTCGTGTACTCTGTGTCACACCACCCATCAGGCCTCTCTCCAGCTCGGCGACCCTTGCAAGAGCGCGAGGCGGCCGCTTCCCTGCGTCTCCTCCGTCGCACAAAGGGATCCGGGCCGCCTTGCGCGCTCGCTCGCCACGCTGCGCCAAGCTCTTCCGCCCGACTGCGACACGAGGCGTCGTGCTGCGCATCTCGCCCTTGGCCGCAGCCACAAGGAGTCGGCGACTCGCTGCACAGCTCGCGCCGGTCGCTTCGAAACGCTCTCCTCCCGGCGGCTCTCCGCTCTCCGAGCTGGACGGCCCGAACATGCACGAGGGTCATGGTCACTGCTTTGCGGATCGCTCGACTGCTGTACCTGAGCTCAACGGCGCTGTGCCGCGGCCCTTTCCTCCTCTCCCGCTCGACTGCCCAACGTCCAGCTCGCTCAGGCCTTTGCGATCTCCTGGAAGAACTCGATCGAGACGTCGGCGACGAGTCCCGACTTGAGCAAGTTCTGGAACGGCTCCTGCGCCTCTGCGGGTTGGGCGAGAGTGCGTCGTCAGCTCGCGAGTCGGCGGACAGGGCGGACGAGGTGAGAGAGAGAGAGAGAAAGTGTGGGACGCACTGTGCTCCTCGATGCCGCCGGTGTCCTGGTCGTACTCCTCGAACAGGCGGAACTCGTCTGCGAGTGCGCGAGAGAGCGAGTGTCAGGGCGGGTGCGCGCGGGTCGAGGTGGGGAAGTCGTCGAGCGGGGACGAGAGGGAGGGGAGAGGGCGAGGACCGGATGGGACTCACTGCCGTGGCGAGCGCAGCGGTAGGTGAGCACGTACGGCTCCTTGTCCGAGTTGGCGCTCGCGACGGCGGCAGCGAGGAGCTTCTCGAGCTCGTCACCCTTGTCGGCCTTTGCGACGACGCGAGCAAAGACGACGGTCTTGCCGGAGGCGGGGGGAGTCTGCGACATGGTGTCTGGTGGTCGTAGAGGTGGCTGGCTGGTGTAGAGAGCGAGTGGTGGCAGAGGGAGAGGAGCGAGAGTCGGCGTGTGGGCCCGTGGGCGGGGCTCGGTGACAAAATCTCGGAGTTCAAGTCCGAACCCAAGCTTCTACCTCCCCTTGACGGCGTCGGACGAGGTCGCTTAGCGATTTGCTATTGCGCGGTAGCGACGCCGCCGACTCTACCTGCGGCTGTGCTCTCCTGCCGCTGAGCGGGGCCAGCTTGCGATCTCTCGTTTGGCAGAGCAAAGATACGAAGAGCCCGCACCGCGGAAAACGCCGGCACAGGTAGCAGGGAAAGCGGTTCGAGGGATGTTTCCTGGAACGCCGCGCAGGCGAGTGCTCTACGAGGCAGCGTAACTGCGCGGGCTCTCTCGCAGGCCCGACAACGACTCGAAGCTCGTGGCGAGGGGCCGAGCGACCTGACCGAACGAGCGGAGCGACCGGAGCGCTGTAACGAGGGCGAGCGTCCGACGCACTGACCGCCCTTTGAGCACTCTCGCTCCCAGCTCGCAAGCTCATAAGGCGGACGCCCTCTCGAGCGGCAGTGGCACTGCTGAACGGCTTGTTAATGTCATCGTCGGGCGCACTGTCGTCGTACGAGAGGCGCCAACGCCCGGTCGTCGCTCCCTCCTTTGACCTCGCTCGCGCTCGTCGACCTGCTCAGAGCTTGGGGATCTCCTGGAAGATCTCGATCTTGACGCCTGCGGCAAGGCCCGACTTGCCGAGGGCCCGGTACGCCTCCTGCTTCTCTGCGGGACGAAACAGGGAAGCCGGGTCAGCGAGGTTGGAGAGACGGACGAGGGAGGGAGGACGGCTGGGACGCACGGTGCTCGGCCACGCCCTGCTTGCTCTTGTACTCCTCGAACAAACGGAACACGTCTGCGAGGGAGAAAGCGCTGGGTCAGCGATGCATGGCGCGAGGACCCGGCTACGACGACTCGGTGGACCCGGTCGACGAGAGCTGCGGCGCTGCCGACACCGGGAGCGAGGGAGGGTGGACGCACCTCCGTGGCGTGCGCAACGGTACGTGAGCGTCAAGGGCTCGGCGTCCGAGTTGGCGTTGGCGATGACCGGCTGGAGCGCCTTCTCGAGCTCGTCGCCCTTGCCGGGCTTTGCGGTGACGGTCGCGAAGACGATGAACGGGCCGGATGCGGGGGGTGTCGAGGCCATGGCGAATAGTGCACGGTCGGGTGAGCTCGAGGGGTGCGAGGCGAGCGTGTCAACGGCGAGAGTGAGGCGAGGAGGAGGGCGAGGCGAGGTGGGGAATCAACTCGGCGCGGGCGGTGCGGAAGCCGGACAGTTGTCCGAAACTGGCGCACAGCGCGGCCGAGCGCCGATCGCGCCGGTAACCGCGACGCGCCTCTGAGCTGCTCCCTCTGCGCACCCTCGAGTCGACCCGCATGGCTCGCTCTCGCTCTCTGCACCACACCGCTGAGCGAGCCCGTCTGCGGCCTCAAGGCATCTGTACCTGAGCCGACCCCCGAGCCCTCGCCTGCTCGACGTCGCTCATCGCCCTCGCTCCCCGAGCTCGTCGACTTCCACCCGCCGACTCGCCCGCATCGCCACACCTCTGCCCCGCTCCCGATACTGCGACATGGAGCGCATTCGCACCTCTCTGCGACGACCACGACCAGCACCCGCCACGCTTGACCAGCACGGCGAGGCGAGCGACGCACGACTGGCGACGACGGCGGACGAGGCGGCAGACCCGCTCAGCAGCCGACGAGCGCCGTTCTGCCTGCGCCAGCGCAGCAGCACCTGGTTCATTGCGTTCGCCGTCGGCTGGGGCGTCCTCGTCGACCTGTCGTCCTACTCGCTCGTCGTCCCCGTCGTCCCGTTCCGCCTCGAGGCGCTCGGGTACGACGACATCGGCGGCAAGACGGGCTGGCTCGTCGCGGCCTATGCGGCAGGCCTGATCGTCTCGTCGCCAGTCGCAGGGTGGGTCGGCGCCAAGTACAAGAACCGCCAGGTGCCGCTCACGCTCGGGCTGCTCTTCATGGCCGGCGGTCCGTCCTCTCTCTCTGTGTCTCTCTCTCCTCTCCCGCCGCCGCACGTCCCAGAGACTAACCTCCCATCGTCCTGCAGCCGTCATCCTGTTCATGGAGTCAAAGAGCTTTGCGCTCATGGTCGTCGCGCGCATCCTGCAGTGCGTCTCCTTCTCCTCCTTCTCTCCCTCGCCGTCCTCGCGCACCCCGGCCCTGACTTGCCTTCTTGCGCACCGTCACAGAGGCTTCAGCGGCACCGTCCTGTGGACAATCGGCCTGTGCGTCCTCCCTTTCGCCCTCGTCGCGCCTCGAGCGTCCTGCTCACCTCGCCTCACCTCCCTCGCAGTGCGCTCGTCACCGACTCGGTACCTGAAGAACGGCTCGGCAGCGTCCTCGGGTACGTCATGGTCGGCTTCAGCTGCGGCCAGGCTATCGGACCGCCAGTCGGTGCGTCCCACGTCCTCTTCTTGTTCCAGGTCGAGCCGCTCTGACCTCTTCTCTTCTCACAGGCGGCGTTCTCTACGAGCGGCTCGGCTACCGCGCACCTTTCATCTTCTCGATCGTCCTCGTCGCCATCGATCTCTTCCTCCGCATCGTCATGATCGAGAAGCACCAGGCGCTGCGCTGGATCCGCGCCGGGCACGACATCCCCAACTTCGAGGCGCCGGGCTACTACGCCGCCGCCGGCCCCGAGGCGACCCTCGCCGAGCCCGACACGTCCGTCCCGCTCGGCGGCGAGGCGGCGCCGCGCGACAAGTACGCGCAAGAGCACGCCGACGACGTCGCCCGCAGCGAGGCGAAGCACTCACGCCTGCCGCCGCACGTCCTCGGCCTCCTGCACATGCTCAAGGACCCTCGGGCGCTCACGTCGTTCGGCGTCACGCTCCTCAACGGCACGATCGCCGGCGGGCTCCAGGACACGGCGCTCACGCTGTGGGTTGAGCAAGAGTACGGGCTCAACTCGCTCGGGGCGGGCCTCGTCTTCCTCGGCGTCGTCGTGCCCACCTTTTTCGTGTGTCTCCTGCTCCCTCTATCTCTTGGGCTCGGGACGTTGTGCCTATCTCGTCGCAGCCGTTGACCCTCGCCTTCGATTCCGCCTCCTCGAGCAGTTCTCTCCCCTCGCGGGCTGGGTGAGTCTCGAGCCGGCTCTCTCCCTCTCGACTTGCCCTCTCGAGGAGCAGCATCACTGACATGGTCTCCACGTTGCAGATCAGCGACAAGCACGGCACCAAGTGGCTCGTCTTTGGCGGCCTCCTCCTCTCTCTCCCCGCCTACCTCCTCCTCATCATTCGCGGGCCGCTCCCCCTCTTCATCTTTTTCCTCGCCATTCTCGGTACGTCTTAATCGTTCTCCTCGGCGACAGGAGCGCTTCGGGTCGGCGTCGTGCGTGTACTGACAACCCTCGCACCGACAGGCGTCTCCATCTCGTTCTTCATCACGCCCATCACGCTCGAGCTGTCGATCGTCGCCGCCGACACGCCCGCCATCTCGACGGCGCACGTCTTTGGCGCCTTCAACCTTGCCTTCTCGGTCGGCGCCCTCATCGGTGCGCCCCTCTTTCTCTCTCTCCCTCTCTCTTTGCCTCGGCATGACTGACGTGCCCTTTCTCGTCCCGCAGGACCGATCATTGCGGGCCAGATCCTCTCTGCCGTCGGTACTACACGAGGCTGGCTCGCCCTCACCATCATCTCGGCCGGCCTGACCGCCATCGCCGCACCGCCCGTCCTCCTCTTCATCGGCGGCCGGCTCGACTGGCGAGCTCTGCGGTCCCGGGCCGGCAAGCGCAGCAGTGACGGCGAGGAGGAGATTGGCGAGAAGAGGAGCGGGGCGCAGCAGGGAGAGACTGAGTCGGGCTTAGAGCGGCGAGACGAGGCGGAGGCGGCACCTCGGGAGAGCCAGGAGACGAGCAAGGAGACGGGCATTGTAGCATAGACGGACGCGCATCGTTGCAAACGTGGTCCTCGCATCTCTGCCACTGCTACACAGCCTGCCACTCGACCTCTCGTGGGCCAAACTGGCCGGACCTCGCCGACCCGGACCCGCCGTCTCGAACTGCCGCAGCGCTCGCGTCGTCTGTAGTGCGACGGAAAGCTTGCGCGCCTTCCATGTGCTCGCCGAGCGATCGCATGGCGGCAGAGCCTCAACCTGGAGGCTGGACGAGTCGCCGAGTCGAGGTTGAGCGAGCGGCGAGCGAGAGGAGGTGAAGGGAGCGAGGGCGCGGTCGGGTGGATGGTGGGCGGCACCGAGGAGCTCAGTGAGTGTGTCGAAGTCGATCCTCAGGCTCGACCGCTCAGCAGGAGCAAGCCGGCAGGCGTGGCCGTGGTCGAACGTTCGGCGGCGGGTTCCGCTCGCTCTCATCGCTCCTCTGGCACTCGCTCGCCTAGTACAGCTCAGAAGGCTAGAAGCAGCCACACGCAGCATCTCGGACCACAACCCGCGCGCGTCGAGCTCGCCTGGGCCATCTTCATCGAGTTGTGCGTCCACCCTCCTCCTCATCTACTCTCCCAGCGCGGGGCTGACGCACGCCTCCTGCAGCTACGCGGCAGCATAACCTTCATCTACGAGCATCTACGAGCATCTGGACACGCCCTCATGGTCCCGTACATCCCGCTCGAGCTGGTCCACCTCATCGCGTCGGCTGCACTCGCCGTCGGCGACCACCCTGTCGAGGAGGAACGCCGTGCCCGCTTCGCCCTCGCCAAGAGCCTGTCGCTCGTGTGTCGCGAGTGGCGCCCTGTCGGTCAAGCCGCCCTGTTCCGCAAGGTCTTCATCTTCGCCGGCCAGCCCAACTACGCATTCCTCCGGACCCGTCAGCACCACCTCCTGTCGTACGTCCGCGAGCTCAACGTCGACGCGCACATCAGCAGCGCCATGCTCGACGACAAGCTCGCGAGGTGCCGTCGCGACTGTGCCCAGCTCAGCAGCGTCTCCCTCGTCAACCCGGGCGCCTGGTCCGCCTGGTTCTCGCCTACGCGTACGGTTCCGCCCGCCGAGTGGGTCTACGCCGTCGAGCTCCGGACGACGTTCAAGGACGAGATATTGTCCGGCGTGCTCGGCGAAGCCCTGAGCGGCTCGCGCCACTTCCCGAACGCGCGCGAGGTCCGCCTTACGCTCGGCTCGGCGTGGCCGCAAGCGTTCCTCCGCGATCTGCGGGGTACGGCGCCGTGGACAGCCGTTCGAACGCTCCGGGTCGTGAGCGCCCTCGAAGACGAGGCCCAGAGCAGCCTCCTAGAAGCGCTCCCGCACGTCTTCCCCCTCGCCAACCTCACCACCCTCACCCTCGGCGTCGCTCAAGAGCCTTTTGCACTCCTCCCCGTCCTGCGCGACGCCGTCTCTCTCCACCTTCTCGTCCTGGTCGTCCCCGCCCCGCAGCTGTCGAGCTTTGCCGCGCAACTGGCGCCGACGCTCGCGGCCATGACGAGCCTCAAGAGCTTGACGGTCCAGCAGAACATGGCCCCGGCGCGCCGAGGCGGTCACCAGATCCTCCCTCCCTCTCTCCTCGACAGCCTTCCCGCCTCTCTCTTGCTCGTCGACCTCGACCTCGCCGTCGCCGCCGAGAGCCGCGGCGCCATGCAGGCGCACCTTGCACAGCACCTCATCTCGCCGTTCGCACAGTGGACGACCACGACGATCATCGACGGCGAGCACGAGGCCGAGCGGTGGATCATGATTTTGCGGGGCGGGACGAGGGTGTGGGAGCGCGAGTGAGGAGGGCAGGGCGAGGGGAGGGAGCGCTTGTCGCCGAGGTGCATCGCGTACTCGTTTTGCCTTTCGACTCTCGAGGGACGAGAACGACTGCAAGATTGCCGACCGAGAGCGCCAGGACGAGGAGAGCGAGCCAGCCATGCCGAGAGAACTTGAGAAGGTCATCGAGTGCACGAGCCTCCTCTACAAGCTGCTCCGCCTCGTCTCGCCTGACCCTCCCTCGTCGCCGACACCGTCCTCCTCCTCGTCTCGCCGCCCACTCCTCGTCGCTCACCGACCCGTCGAGCCCGCCCTCGCCGCCTTGAGCTCGCGCGCGTACTGCCAGAACTCGTGGAACTGGAGCGTCAGAGGCCCCTTTGAGCCCGGCTGACGCTCGCTCGACCAGATCAGGCGTACTTGGCCCGTCGCGTCCGCCCGAATGAGCGCCTCGACGACGCCGCTATCAGCGTCGAGGGCGAGATCCGCCGATCCCGGCACGAGGACAACGACGACGGGCGGCCTTGAGGTCGGACGCGCCTCGATCCGGGCGAGCGAGACGCACAAGTCGCTTTCATCGGATCTGCACCAGGTGGGCAAAATGCGCGGGTTGCTGTGGCGCGGAAAAGGCGCCGACGGGTCGTGGCGCACGAACAGGACGGGCGGCTCGACGCTGCCGCCGAGGACGCTCTGCGGGTCGACGTGCTCCGACGAGGTATACACGCAGTCGAGTTGATCGAGAAGAGGCCGGGCGAGTATATCGTCGAGCTGAACCGGGAGGGAAGTCGAAAGGTCGGTGGCGCGCTCGACGTGGACGGTGCGCAGTGTCGGCAGAAGGGAGGGCGTGAACCATCGGCGCAGGAAGGGCGTCGAGACCATCGAGTCGGCGATGAGGATGTGCTTGAGGGTGCGCGACGGCGGAGCGCTCGGGCCGTCCAAATGGACGCCGCGCAGCTCCACGTTCTCGAGCGCTGCGAGATTGGGGAGCATTAGAGGGGCGGACCAGTCTGAGGACGGGCGAGGCTTGAGACGTACCCTGATGCTTGACGAGGAGCGCAGCGTCGACCGAGCCTCGTGCCGCGAGAACTCGCAGCGCGACGATGTTGGGCAGCAAGTCGGACACGTCGAGCGCGTCGCTCAAGCTGTGCGAGTACTGCGACTCGACGTCATACGCGACCGTGCAGCGACCGAGGCCCGATGCAGTACTGCTCGCTCGCAGCTGCTCGAGCTGCTTCGGGCTCCAGACCCGCACGTGCCGCCACAGGAGCGGTTGGGCGATGGCGCAGTACCGGCGAGAGGTGCGGCACAGGCACAGGAGCACGCGCTTGATCTGGCGGTACGTGGACCCTGCGAAAGCGATCGGCGCGAGCTCGTCGAATACGAGCTTGAGGACGTCGTCGTTGAGGCGGTCCGACATGTCGGCGAGGACGCTGCGGGGCTGCGTCGTCAGTGAGGATTCGGCGAGTCGACGCAAATGACGACTCACAGATCGTGCGAGGTGCTCTGAGCCAGGTCGAGCGAGAAGCGGCGAGAGAGGGAGAGAAAAAGGGCGAGCGACGAGCTGCGCGGGCTCGGTTCGACCTGCCCGTCGCCGTCTGAGCGCTCCGCGGAGAGTCCGACGAGGCTCGAGCGACCGACCAGGAGTTTCCGGACGACGACGATCGAGCGGGAGCGGCGGCGGGAGCTGGGCTCGCGAGACGAGGAGGAGGAGAGGTAACTTGGGAAGGTCGAGGACCGTGCGCGGGCGAGAAGACGCTTGCCCTCTCGCTCTCGTCAAGCAGGGTCGTTCAGGACGTCGCGAGAGTGCTCGTTGCAGCTCGACTCGTAGTTACAGCCTCGACCCTCGACTTGCACGCCCACTTCCTCCGACCACATCCTCCTCTCGTTCTCGAGCGTGCATGTCCCGCCCTCCTGCGCCTCGAGCCTCGTGCGCCCACACACCTCGCCGCATAGCCGCTCGGTGTGCGGTGGCAGATGCAGGCGTCGAGGGACTGAGTCGGCAGGGAAGGGCGGGGAGAAGTCGATGTCGGACGAGCGTTTAAGGCGACCTCCTCGTGGGTCGCGAGGAGGTCCGTGATGGTCTCGTCCGGGGGTGAGAGGAGGGGAGGGTGACGGGAAAGAGAGGCCGAGATTGTGCGACCGGTTGAGGAGGACGAAGAGACGGCGAGAAGCGACCGAGAGGCGCGAGCCGGTGACGCCACGAGAGGAACGGGCTGCCTCGTCGGCGACCGGCTCGAGGGCAGCAGCATGAGGAGGAAGAACGAGAGGAGAGAGCTGGAGCAGGAAAGTAGGAGATCTCGGACGTGGAATAAACGCGACGGCCCATGGGAAAGGGGCAGCGCGTGAAAATGCGTCCTGAGAGAGGGAGGGAGGTTGTCGTGGAAGGGAGGAAAGAGGAGGAAGAGAAGGGAGAGGGAGGGTAGCGTAGGCGAGCGCGACAGAAGCGCGAGCGCGAGCGAGGTCGTCGAGCAAGAAGCTCGCGAGCCGCCGAGGCGACTCGACGAGGAGGGCTGTCTCGAGTCTTCAAAGCCCCTGCCCGGCTTCGACGAAACGAGCAGACGCTCTGCAACTCGACGATGCCTGCGCTCGGACCTGCGCGTTCGCGACAGGACGAGCGCGAGGCGGGTCCTCCTCGCGTCGCTCGGACGCCTGAGCGCACCCGACGATGCGAGGGAACGTCGATGTCGGGCGGCATTTATGACCGACGGCACGTGGAGGAAGCGTGCGACGGGGATCGGACCGCCCGGACGAGAAGGGCGAGAGAGGGAGGTGGTCGAGGGGGGAAAAGAGAAGAAGGGGAACTGGGCGCTCTCGAGGGGCACGCGAACGAGGATGAGGAACGAGTCAATGCAGGGCTGCGTCGACAAGGTTCGGGTCAGTGAGGGGACTACGGCAAGGGAGAGGGGAGGAAGGGAGAGAGAGGCGTACGCTACACAAGGACTGAAATCGGGCCTGGCAAAGAATGTCGCGCCGCCCTCGCCGCCCACGCCCACCTCCTGACGGCCACGCTCTCTTGCGACCGAGGGTCGAGAACTGAGAGGCGCATCGGAGGGCGTAGACCCGTTGCTGCCCGCTCTCGAGTGAGACGGACAGCCGGGGTGTCGAAGGTCGAGGAGCGGAATGCGCGCCCGAGAATGGATCGCTCTGAGCCCCCTGAATGACCACGTGCCCCAGCGAGAACAGGTCCTCGCTCCGCCGTGAGGCAGAGAGAGGGCCTGCCGCCCGCTTGTGTCCGCTAAGGGAGGAAGGCGGGCGAGGGCGGCGGAAAGAAAAGGGCTGAAGGGAAGGGAGGGGGAGGGGGAAAGTTTGCCGTCCGGTCGATGCGCGAGGGGGACGAGTGCTCGTGCAGAAGCAGAATCCAGCAGGTGATCTGCGGTGCTTGTGCGCTGTCGTGGCCCGACGAGCTGGAGCGTCGAGGAAGGTCGAGGAGGGGGCGAGGTGAGGGGCGAGGGCGGCGGCTTGACGAGGTGCTGACGCGCTTGGTGGGCGCGTAGAGCTTCTGGGCACCGAGTCGAGCTGTGTGCCCTGCAGCAGGTGGCGAGGGGGAGGAGCGAGGGAGGGGGAAGGGAGACCAAGAGACGCGCTCGTCGTCGTCGTCGCCCCGGCCCACAACACGCCAACGAGCGGGGCACGCCCAGCCCACAAGAGCCTCAGTGCACCTTGACGACCACGACCACCGCACCTTGACGACCCACCCTCACGACCCGCACCACCCTCGCTCGACCCGTCCTCCCGCCCCTCCTCGCGTCGCTCGAGCACCCGCCCGGCACACAAAGGGCTCCCGCCCTCGCCTCGCTCAAGATGGCCATCTTCAAGAAGCACAAGAAGGACCAGAACGGCTCGGCCTCGAATCGCGCCGACGCCATCGGCTCGCCCCCGCTCCACTCGTCCACCACCGCGACCACCGCCTCACCCGGCCACCCCGCCCCGCCAAAGCCCCACTCGCTCAACGGGAGCATGGGCAGGTCTGGCATCCCCGTCCCAGGCCCGTCCCTGTACGCCTCGAACGGCTCGCTCGCCAACAGCGCCGGCCCGACCGCTCCTCCCACTTCCTCCGCCTCGATCCTCCCTCAACAAGGCGCCACGGCCTACCAGCAGCCACCGCCCGCCGTCCAGCCGTCGTCCCACACCGTCCTGTACCCGTGGTCCCAGCGCCACGTCTCGCTCCTCCCCTCTCAGCTCCTCCCGCCCTCGTCCCCCGTCGACTCGCCCGCCCAGCCCTTGACCCCCCTCCTCGGCCCGCCGTCGCCCCTCCCCTTCCCGCGCTACGGCCACTCGGTCAACCCGGTAGCGACCGCGAGCCCGTCCGGCGACCTGTACATCTTTGGCGGCCTCGTCCAGAACGCCGTCAAGAACGACCTGTTCGTCGTCCACGCCGCCGCCGCCGGCGCACCCCCCGTCGCGCCCGCACCCGCACCCTCAGGCGCACCCGCATCGGCGTCGACCGTCGTGCCGCTCCCTGTCGCCCTCATCGAGACGCGCGGCGAGGTGCCCGGCCCGCGAGTCGGCCACGCGAGCGTCGGCGTCGGCAACGTCCTCATCGTCTGGGGCGGCGACACCAAGTCGCGCCCCGAGGAGCGCCAGGACGACGGCCTGTACCTGTTGAACCTGAGTACGCGCGACTGGACCCGTGTCAAGACGGTCGGCCGCGCGCCAGAGGGCCGGTACGGTCACGCCGCCGCCATGGTCGGCAGCCGCTTCTTCGTGTTTGGGGGCCAGACGGACGATGGCGGGTTCCGCAACGACCTGTGCTGGTTCGACCTCCAGAAGCGTGCGTCCCTCTCTCCCTCTCTCTCTGTCGCCTCGGGTCCCTCTTCCTCGACGACCGACTGACTCTCGCCCTTTCCTCCCTCTTGCCGTCGCCCTCTCCCCTCTCCTCCTCTCGACCATCCATTTCACGTCCTCCGATCGTCTCATCTCTCGCTCGCAGTCAAGATGGGCCAGCCGTCGTGGTCGTTCGTCGACTACCACCCGGGCCAAGTCGTGCCGCCGCCTCGGCCGGCCACACCTGTGTCACCCACGGCGACAGCCTCTACATGTGCGTCGCGTCGTGTTCTCTCGAGCGTCGGCCAAGTCGCTCGGACGATGCCATATCGGCGTCGTCCCGAGCGGTTCTTCTTCGCGCTCGAGCACGCCGACTGACCCTCGCTCTCGTACTCCCTACAGCTTCGGCGGCACCGACGGCCAGTACCACTACAACGACACGTGGCAGTACGACCTGTCGTCGGGCGAGTGGACCGAGCTGGCCTGCATCGGCTACATCCCCGTCCCGCGCGAGGGCCACGCCGCGACGCTCGTCGACGACGTCATGTACGTCTTTGGCGGCCGAGGCGTCGACGGCAAGGACCTGGACGACCTCGCCGCGTTCAAGATCTCGAGTGCGTCCCGCTCTCTCTTCCTCTTTGTCCGGCCTCGCCCGCTCTCCTCGAGCGCTCGACTAAGACGACTCTGCCGACGTACAGACCATCGCTGGTTCATGTTCCAGAACATGGGCCCGGCGCCGTCGGGCCGCAGCGGACACGCCATGGCGACCTATGGCAGCAAGGTCCTCGTCCTCGGCGGCGAGAGCTACACGAGCACAAAGGCCGACGACCCGGCGTTCATCCACGTCCTCGACACGAGTGCGTCCTCGTCTCTCTCACGTCTCCCTCGGGAGCTCGTCCCAGTCGAGCTCGCGAGTCGTCGTGGAAGACACCCGCACTGACCCCCTTCTCGCACCTGCCCTCGCAGCCAAGATCAAGTACCCGCCCGACTCGGCTCGTCCTGCGCCAGCACCGCCAGCCGCACCCAAGCTGTCGCACCACCCGCAGCAGGCGATGCAGCAGCAGCAGTTCCCGCGAGCCCAGCAGCAGCAGCAGCAGCTCTCGTCGCCGCCGCTCCAGCCGCTCTCGTCGTCGGCGCCTCCCTCTTCCGGCGGCGCACCGCTCCCGCCGACGTCTCAGCAGCAGCAGCAACCTGCCCAAGCCGGCCCCGTCAAGCGCAAGTCGAGCATCCCCGCGCCAGGGTTTGCCTCGGGCTCGCGCAGCGCCGGCGCCGGCGGCTCGAGCTCCGACTCGGACGCACGGGCGCGCGCCGCCTCGGCTAGCCCGACGGGCTCGCAGCGCGGCGAGTACCGCAACCTCAAGTCGTCGTCGTCGCTGCCGGCCGTCGCCGCCGCCGCCGCCGCCGCAGGAGGAGCAGGCGCCCTCGGCGCCGCCATGCTCAACGGCGGCTCGTCGCCGTCACCGCCGCCGCCCGGTCCCGCGCCGGGCTCGCCGACCGCGTACAACACGCCGAGCAGCCCTCGGCGCGACCGCGCCGGCGCGCAAGGCCCGCAGCGCCCCGCACGGCCCGACGACGCGCCCGCGTTCACCGCCGGCGTCGTGCCCGCCGCGCCGAGCTCGCCGAGCAAGTCGAGCCGCCGCGAGCGCGAGCAGCGCGAACGCGAGGCGAGCGTCGGCAGCGCGTCGACCGCGCACACGGGCGGCGTCGTCGACCCGCAGCGACAGCAGCAGCCGCAGGGCGCCTCGCCCCAGATCCCGGCTCCGGCCGACGCGTTCTACTACCGCGCGCCGGCGCCCTCGTCGGTCAACGGGCAGCCGCAGCTGGGCGGAAGCGTCGAGAACGGCGCGGCAGGAGGCGAGGGCGACCTGAGCCCGGCGGACCGTGCGCTGCCCGCGAGCCAGGACGGGCACCTCCCCGTCCCGGCCCCGGCGCCCGCCGCAGCCTCGAGCTCGTCGCCGCACCACGCCGAGCAGCTTGCGCGCCTCGAGCGCCGCGAGGGCTGGCTGCGCGAGGCGCTGCGGCGCGCCGAGCAGCAGGGGTTCGTGCTCGTGCCGCAGGAGGGTGAGCGGAACGACGCCGGCGACGAGGAGCGCGAGGCGCTGAGGAGCGTCGGTGCGGGCGAGGGCGAGGGCGATGAGCGCGAGAGGAGGGTCAAGGAGGTCGTGCTCGGCATGAAGGGCGAGCTCGCGAGGGCCAAGGTGCGTCCTCTTCTCGCTCTTCCAGCGCGATGCCCTGGCCTCTGCGGCTGGGCATCACGCTGTTGTTGGAGCCGTTGAGGCAGCACTAACGCGCCCCTTTCACAGACCGCCATGGCCGAGCAGGTCTCGTCGCTCGACGAGCGCTTCCAGGGCGCCGACCGCGCCCGTCTCGCCGCCCTTCAAGAAGCCGCCTACTACCGCGCCAAGCTCTCTGCGTTCGAGTCGTCCTCCCCGTCCGACCTCGCCAAGCTCGAGCGCGAGCGCACCGCCTCGCTCGAGGCCCAACTCGCCGACGCCCTCTCGGCGCGCGAGGCCCTCTCGTCGCAGCTCGCCGACCTCCAGCAGTCGGTCTCGCACCACGCGTCGATGCGCAGCGCTGCCGACGAGCGCCACGCCGAGGCGGCCCAGCGCGCCTCGACCGCCGAGTCGTCGCACGCGCAAGTCCTCGCCGAGTTTGCCAAGCTGCAGAGCCGCGCCGGCGAGCACGAGCGCCAGCTCGGCGAGCACGTCGACCAGCTCGCGGCGTTGCAGGCGAGCTCGAGTGTCCTCGAGGGCGAGCATGCCCGCGCGCGCGAGCAGCTCGCAGAGCACGAGGCGAGCACGGCCAACTGGCTCGCGACGCTCGAGGGCGCCTCGACCGCGCTCGGCGCGGCGCAGAAGCGCAACGACGAGCTGAGCGCGTTGTGGGACGAGGCCAAGGACGCGCTTGAGCAGGAGCAGGAGCGGGTCGTCGAGCTCGAGAAGGAGCTCGAGAGCCTGAGGGTCGAGCGCGACCGCGCGACCGAGCGCGCCGAGGAGGCCGAGCGCCTGCACATATCGACGCGCGAGGCGCACGATGCGTCGCACGCGCTCGCGACGGGCGGCCTCGCGCAGCTCATCGCCGCGCACCGCAACGGCGCCGGTCGTCGTGCGGGCTCGCGAGGCTTGCGTAACGTCGGCGCGTCGTCCCCCTCGTCGGGCGACCAGGTCGGCGCTCGTGACGTGCACGACGACGACGACGACGACCTCGCGCCCGAGCACGCCGCCCGCGTCCGCGCCGCCGACGAGCAGGTCGCCACCCTCCGCCAGCAGCACTCGCAGGTCCAGGACCGGCACGCCGCTCTCTCGGCCGAGCTCGCGTCCGCCCGCGAGCGCGAGGCCGGCCTCCTCGTCCAGCTGTCGACGCTGCGCACCCAGCTGTCGACCGTCCAGGCGGCGCACACGCAGGCGCTCGACGACCTCGGCTCGCACAAGTCGCTCGTCGCAACCCACGAGGCGACCGCCCGCGACGCGTCGCGCGCACGAGACGCCGCGAGCGTCAAGGCGGGCGTCTTGCGCTCGTTGCTCGCCGACCACGGCCTCGCGGCGCAGGCGCCGAGCGAGGACGAGCTCGCGAGCCGGTTCCCGAGCATGACGGGCTCCGAGTCGCCCGACCAGCTCGCCAAGCGCGTGCTCGAGCTCGAGGGCGAGCTCGAGGTGCGCGTTCGGCAGAAGGCGCAGCTTGAGGAGCGCGTCCGGGAGCACGAGGGCGAACACGGCCGGCTGAGGGAGGAGCTCGACCGGGCGAGGAGCGGTGGCGGCGAGGACAAGGAGCGAGCGGGCAAGGCGCAGGAGGACCTCGAAGCGCTCAAGGTGCGCCACGAGAACCTCGAGGCGACACACCTCAAGGCGGTGCAGTACGTCAAGGGCACCGAGAAGATGCTCCGCCGCATGAAGGACGTGCGTCCCGCTTTCTCCTCGTTCCTCTCCTCCCCTCGAAGCACCTACTCACACTCTCGTCGCCGCACGCAGGAGCTCACGCGGCACAAGGAGCGCGCTGACAAGGCCGAGGCGCACTGCAACGAGCTCGAGTCGCAGATGGGCGAGCTGCGGTCCCGCTCCGAGGCGTCGTCGCAGGAGACCGTCGCCCTGCACGACCGCCTCTCGGCCCTCCAGAACGAGTACCAGGTCGCGCTTCGACAGCACCAGGACTCGGCGCAGGCCAAGGTCGAGGAGCTCTCGACCGAGCTCGACCAACTCGACGCCAAACTCGACAAGGCCAACCACGACCTCGAGGAGACGCTCGCCGTCAACGCGTCGCTCAACAAGGAGCTACAGGCGGCGCTCAAGAACCCGGCATTGCCTCGGGCGGCAGGCGGCGCGGCGACGTCCTCGGGCGACTACTCGCGCTTGCAGGCCGAGCTCGAGCAGTGCGTCCTCTCTCTCCCTCTCCCTGCCCTGTACCTCCGGTTCTCTCGTCCTGACCTTGTCGTACTCCTCTGCAGAGCCGAGAACCAGGCCGAGTGGCTCAAGCGCGAGAACGCGACGCTCGAACAGCGATGCCGCAGCGCGTGCGTCCCCTTCTTTCCCTTGCCGCTCGTCTCCCTCGCGCCCGACCTGACTCGTTTTCTCTCCCCCTCCTGCAGCGAGTCCAAGATTGCCATCTTGCTCGACCACATGGAGGGCGGCGTCCAGGAGGACGAGCAGTACTCGGCCGGCGGGTCGCCTCACCTCGGCGGGAACGGCAGCGGCGCGCACGGCGGCGGTGGGAGCGCGACGGGCCACTCCTGGCAGAAGCATGGCGGGCTCGACGGCGACGTCGGGCTCGAGTCGGACGCCGGGAGCGACTATGGCACCGAGCAGCCGCAGCGACGGGCCTGAGCGTCGCCCTCTTCCCCTTCCCTTCCTTTTCCTCGACACGAATCACGACCCTGAGCTTTGCGATACCCCCACACACTCGTCTTCTCCCTCTCTCTCTCTCGTCACTATGCCCTGGATGGGCAGCTCATCTCTGTACGATCTCGGCTCCCTGGCGTGAAACCCGATACCCAGTCGTTCGCCTCCTCGTTCTCCCTCTCTCCCTGTCTCGCCGTCGAAACTTCTCGCTCTCTCACGGGACAAAAGGCGCACAGACAAGGGTATCCACTGCATCGAGAGTCTTTCTTCGTCTACCGGGCCGACTCTCCTCGCGCGCGAGAGAAAAGAGGGGACGCGTCTAGTGCGCCTCCTCGTCGAGCGCCTCGCGCACCTCCTTGCGCCACCTGCGCTGCACGTCGATCATGTCGCGGAAGATCTTGTACTTGGCCTCGAGAAGCTTGAGCTCCTCGGGCGACGCCGACGGGTGGACCGTCGTGCCCGGGCGCGACATGCGGATCTGCGACGGCGCCGACGAGGTCAGTGCGAGTTCCCCAAGACGAGAGGCGAGAGAGAGAGAAAGAGCAGCGACGCACCATGGCGTCCCACAGGCGCTCCTTCATGCCGTACGAGCTCGTCTCGGCCGCCTTCTGGCTCTCGAGCTTCTCGCCCTGCGACGCGAGACGGTCGGCCTCCTCGGCGGCGGCGGCGCCGAGCATGGCCGACCCGAGGACGACCGATGCCGAGTGCGAGTACGGCAGCTGGACGGGCATGTTGCAGATGTCGGAGATGAGGCTGCGGGAAGGGAAATGAGTCAGTCTCGCCAGATTCTCGCGGCAGCCACGACGCCGTCGACGACAAGGTCGATCGGCTCGAGGCACGACGAGAAAGGAGCAAGAGCTCACCTCATGAGGAAGCGGTTCTTGACGAGGCTGCGGGCGAGAGGGCGAATGTCAAATTCTCGTTCGCGACGGAAGAGAGAGACGACGACGCACCCGCCCGACATGAAGATGCTCTCGATCTTGTGGCCGGCCTTGTTCATCTCGTCGATGATCTGGCGCGTCTGGAGCGCGATGGCCTCGCCCGTCGCGTAGTAGCGCAGCGCGAGGTCGCCGACCGTCTTGTCGAGCTGCATGCCGATGAGCATGCCGCGCATGTCGACGTCGGCGAGCGGCGAGCGGTTACCTGCGTGTGAGGGGGTCGAGAAAGGAGAGACGAGGGCAGAGGAAGAGGGAGAGGAAGGAGGGAAGGGGAAGGGCAAGAAGGGGTCAGTGCGCTTCTTTCAGGCGACGGCGAGGAACGAGGCGACGCACCGTGCAGGTCCGGGTACACGTGCATGTCGCGCGTGAGGTAGCTCATGAACGGCGCCTTCTTGTCGACGACCATCTGCTCGAGGAGCTCGGTGAGGAGCGCAAAGTGGTTCGTGCCGCGCTCGGCCGCCATCTGCTTGAGCTTGTCGGCCGCCGGGTGCGTGTCGACCATGAAGTCGAGGAGCTGGCCCGTCGACGACTGGCCGCCCTCGTTCATCCAGTCTGCGGGACGAGCGGAGGCGAGTGAGTCGGGAACCTCGAGAGGTCGGCTCGAGGGGCTCGACGACGATGAAGGAAGACGCGGACGCACATCCAGGAAAGATCGCATGCAGGTATGGACCCCACACGGATGTCACTTTCCGCGATGAAGGGCTAGCGATCAGGTGGCAGGTACTCGTCCCGGCGACGGCGGCCAGTCGGTGCTGGGCGTCGTCGAGAGTCGTCGTCTTCTGGCCCTCCATCGGCGCCGCGACGGTGCCGATCCAGCCGGCGTACCTGTACACGGCGAGTAGAGCGCCGTCAGGCCGAGGCGAGAGAGAGAGAAGCGCGCCAGGAAGGAGGAAGAGGGAGGAAGGAGAAGGTGGACGCACGCGTCGATGACGGCGCTCCCGACCGCCGTACCCTCGAGAAGCCCGAGCTCCTCGGCCGCCTTCTTCGACAAGCCCGCACCGACCGGCTGGCCCGCCGTGAGGATGAGGCCGTTCTTGCCCGGGATGCCGCCGACCTGGATGAAGTCGTTCTTGACCTGCGGGAGGGAGAAGAGTCAGGGCCGCTGTACTTCTCGTGCGGCGTGCTCAGGCAGCACGAGCGCATGAGGGACGATCGGGAAGGCGAGAGAGGAGGAGGGAGGGAGGGAGGGAAGAGGGAAAGGGAAGAAGGAAGACGAGGAAGGGGACCGAGCGACGCACAAAGTCGCCGAGCCCGATCTGCTCAAAGAACTCGTCGTTCCAACCCTTGGACCCCTCGACGCCCGGCGGGACGTACGAGCACTTGCACGCGAGCGAACAGTTGGACCTCGCGAGGTCGTCGGTCGCGCGGTACGTGAGCCAGTCGGGCAGGTCGAAGAACATGCAGCGCGAGAAGAGCGACGCCGGCATGTTGTTCTTGAGCCAGAGCATCTGTTGGGGCGCGGGAGGTAGCGAGAGAGCGCGAGGGTGAGGCTCGGGCGCTCGGGAAAGAGGGAGGGGGAGGACGAGGGGACCGAGTGCGCACCTTGGGGACCTCCATCTCGAGCGAGATCGTGTCGCCGACGTACTTGAGCCACTTGCTGTAGTCGGGAGGGAGAGAGTCAGTGAAAGGGTCCTGTGTGACGCGGCTAGAGACTCGAGGCGACGCACCTCTTGGTCGCGTTGATCTGCTTGGCCTCCTTGGAGGCACGATGGTCGGCCCAGAGACAAATATCTTGGACAAAACCGTCCTTCTGCTGGGCCGGCTTGTCGTACGATCCCGGGGTGACGCAGACGGGCTGGCGGGTCTCGATGTCCTCGACGACGAGCGAGCAGGTCGCGTCGAAGCCGATGCCCTTGACGCTGGCCGGGTCGACCTTGGAGTCGCGCAGGACGTCCTTGCAGGCGGTAGCGATGCAGTTCCAGACTGTTGCGACAGGACAAGGAGCCGTGAGCTTCAGAGGTGGGGGGAGAGGGGGGAGCGAGACGACGACGCACTCTGGCCAGACGACTGCTCGAAGATGTCCTTATCGCGGTCATCGCGCCAGGTGGTGGTGGCGTAGGTCGACTCTGCGACGATGTCGCCCGTGGACGAGACGAGAGCTGCACGAGCCGAGCCGGTGCCGCTGCAGACGGGGCGAGATCGTGAGCGGGTGCGCGCGTTGGCGAGAGTGGGTGCAGAGTGCTCACACGTCGACTCCAATGTAGTACTGAGTGGCCATGGTGGTGTGCGAGGTGTGGGAGGAGGGCGAGCTCGAGGTCGGGGAGGACGAGCAAACCGCCGTCCGCCAAAAGCGCTACGTCACCGCTCTCATCAGGCCAGTGCGGCTGAGGGGCTCGACAGGCAGATGAAGCTCGTTGCACCTCGAAGCGCTTGACAGGCGGCCGTCCAGAGAGGCGAGCGAGGGAAGCTCCGCGGAGCGTCGCCTCCACTTCGGCCAAACGAGCGACGACGGCCGACTCGCTCTTCTTCCTCTCCATCACACCACGAGCCTCACACGAGACCATGACCAAGACTGTCCAGCTCGACGCTTCCACCGCTGTCCCCGTCCCTGGCTTTGGCGCAATGGGTGCGTCTCCCTCTCCTCCTCCAACCTCCACTCCCGACCCCGAACCTCGCCCTCACCTCGCCTCTGCGCCGCGTACAGGCATGTCGGCCTTCTACGGCGAGCACGACGACGACACGTCCAAGCAGACCCTCCGCAAGGCCATCGAAATCGTCCGTAGCCCGCCTCCTCCTCTTCCCCTCCTCTCGCCCCCCCTCTTTCCCCTTCCTACGGCAGCTGACTCTCGCTCGTCCTGCAGGGCTGCACGGTGATCGACTCAGCATTCGTGTACGGGATGGGCCACAACGAGCGTCTGATCGGCGACGTTTTGCGCGAGGGCGACAACCGCAAGAAGGTGCATCCCCCCTTCTCGCCTGCCCTCGCTCGTCCTCGACGTGCCCCTGACGCTCTTTTCTCTGCAGGTCTTCCTCATCAGCAAGTTTGGCATCGAGATCAACGACAAGGGCGAGCTCGAGACCGACGGTACGTCAAAGTCGCCTTCCTCACCCTCGCGCAGCCGCTCACCCTTCGCAAACCTGCAGGCTCTCCCGAGAACGTCATCCGCTCGATCGACCGCTGCATCGAGAACCTCGGTGGTCTCTACCCGGACGCCTACCTCCAGCACCGCGTCGACAAGAAGACGTGCGCCCACTTTCTCTCCCTTCGTTCGTCGAGCGCGAGAGCCTGACCCTCCCTCTTGCTCCTACAGGCCCATCGAGGAGACGGTTCGCGCCCTCGACGCCGTCCGCAAGGAGGGAAAGACCAAGTACATCGGCCTGAGCGAGGTGCGCCCGCTCTCCCGCCGTCGTCGCCTTTCTCGCGCGCACTGACCCTCCCTCGTCTCGTGCGCAGTGCTCGGCCGACACGCTTCGCCGCGCCGCCAAGGTGGCCAAGATCGACTTTGTCGAGGTCGAGTACTCGCCGTGGGAGCTCACGATGGAGAAGAACGGCATCATCGACGCCTGCAAGGAGCTCGGCGTCAAGATTCTGGCCTACTCGCCGCTCGGCCGTGGCTTCCTCACCGGCACGTCCTCCTCTCCCTGTGCCTGTCGACCCAGACGCGCCGACTGACTCGAAGCGAGGGTGCGCAGGTCGGTATAAGTCGCCCGAGGACTTTGCGACCGCCGATGGAAGCGACTTCCGCGCGAACCTGCCTCGCTTCGCCAAGGAGAACTGGGAGCGCAACTACCGCATCGTCCAGGTACGCCTCGCTCTCTCTTCCTCTCATGCGCGCCGAGGACGAGGACTGATCTTGCGCGTGCACGTCCCGCCTCGCAGGAGTTTGAGCGCGTCGCGGCCAAGAAGGGCTGCACGCCGGCGCAGCTCGCGCTGTCGTGGCTCATCCACCAGGGCGACAACATCATTCCGATCCCGGGCGTGCGTCCCTGTCCCTCTTTATCGCTCCCCCTTCCCTCCCCCTCGAGCGAGATCTTCCTCCTCCCCTCTGGTCCTCGGCTCCTCGCCATTTCCTCCCACTCGCCCTCCATCTGCCAGCCAACACGCTCGTCCACCGTCTCCCTCATACGAGCCTGACCCTCTCTCCTCTCCTCCCTCGTCCACAGACCAAGTCGTCCAAGTACCTCGTCGAGAACTTTGCGGCCACGTCGGTCGACCTGTCGCCCGACGAGCTCGCCGAGGTGCGCAAGGTCATCGAGGACAACCAGCCGGTCGGGACGAGGTACGCCGAGTCGCAGATGGCGTCGCTCGAGGGCTGAGGGAGGGCCGGACGCGTGCGGGAGTGCTCGGTCGCCCGGCGAGGTTGCCGACCAGGAGCGACGAGCGAGAATGAGCTGTACAGAGCGCAATGAAAAGCAGTCCATGTTGAGCAGTTGCAGCGTGTCTCGCCGGGAGAGGGAGCCGAGAGAAGGCCGACGAGCAAGCCTGTCCCAGCCCGTCCTCGTGCACGGACCTCTCGCTCTCTCGCGCTCGCTCCTGGGCAGCGCTCGACGCAGCGCGTTGCAGCATCTCGTCGTCTACACAAACGTGAACCTCTTCTCGCCCTCGTCGGCCCTGCACATCCTCGCCGCGTCCTTTGTGCCGACGATGCGCTCGAGGCGGAGCACGTCGAGCCGGCTGAACAGGACGTGCGCGCTCAGCTCGCTCGCGTCGACGTCCTCGTCCTCGGGGCGTGGGGGAGGCGCGCCCGACGCCGTCGTGACGGCCGAGGGCGGCGCGAACGGGAACGAGACGACCTCGGGGTAGTACGACGCGTGCGAGGGCGGGGCGTAGAAGACGACCGTCTTGGCGCCACGCAGGCGGTACCTGCGCGGAGGAGCGTCGTCAGTACCGGGTCGAGGGAAAGGAGAGAGAGAGAGAGGTGAGGACGCACCGCCGGAAGAAGTGGAACCGCTCGGTGACGAGCAAGAACTTGACCTTGCCGGCAAAGAAGGCGCCCCTCGCACGCGACACGTCGGGCGTCGGCGTGTACTCGCTGATGGCGGCGAACGAAAAGTCGCTCGCGAGCGACGACCGGTGCTTGGTGAGGTACCGCTTGAGCCGGACAAAGTCAAAGTAGGACGGGACGAAGACGAGCGTCTGCGACGACGAGACGGCCGACTTGAGGAGCGTCGGGAGGGTCTGTGCACCAACCAGGCGATAATCGTCAGTCAGTGTCGCTCCCCGACATGCACGAGGAGCCGCACCGACAAGGAGAGAAAGCGAGCCGCGGGCGCACCTTTGTCGTGAACCACTCGAACCTCCTGTCGTCCTCGTCCGTCACGTCGGCCACCTCGAACCTCGTCCACACCTGCCTCAACCCGCTCGGCACCCTGTCGAGCACGCCCTCGGGGCCCTCGACCGTCCCGAGCGCCCGGACGGCGCCGGCGCGGTTCCTGCACGCGCGCGCCCACGCACCGCGGATCTCGGGCGCGTCGAACGACGAGAGGAGGATCGACTGGCGCAGGAAGGGCGACAGGCCGTCGAGGTACCAGGGCTTGACGCGCGAAAAGTCGATGCCGTGGTCGGTCGCCGGGAGCGAGTTGAGGCGGTCGAGGACGAACTGCAGGGTGGGTGGGCAGCGTCAGTCGACGGTGCCACATGCAGAGAAGAGAGAGAGAGGAAGAGAGAGGCGGGCGCACCTGCACGTGGTCCCAGTTCTGCATGAGCATGACGTCCATCTGGTCGACGATGAGGACCTCGATGCTCGACAGGAAGTCCGAGTCGCTGCGTGACAGGCCGATGGACTAATCAGTCCGTGCTCGAGAACCGAGAGATCGGCAAAGAGGAGGAGGGAAATCGCCTGTGGAGCGGCGCACGCACCCGTCCTTCTCGATGCTGGTCCTCAACCCGAGCGGGCTCGCGAGGATGACGTCGGCCTGGTAAAACTCGGCAAACATCTTTGCCGTCTTGCGCGTCACCTTGACGCCGCACCGGAACGCGTCGTCGATGTTGCCGCGGAACGTCTCGACGTGGTCGGGCGGGTACTTGTCGCGGTCCTCGACGAGCTTGTCGGTCGCGCCCTCGGGCAGCGAGTACTCGGACACGAACCGGGGAAAGTTCTCGACCGACGTGATGGACGGCGGGAGGTACGAGATGAGGTGCTGCGCCCACGAGAGGGCCGAGTTGCGGAACGGGGTGAGGACGAGGACCTTGGGGCGCGTGAACGACTGGTCGAGGGTCGAGCGGGCCGGCGTAGACGACGACGACGACGGGGCCGACTTGTCGAGGGCCTGCTTGGCGAGGTACTCGTTGTTCTTGAGAATGCGGGTGCGGGTCCTGCGCGAGAGGTGCGGGGAGAGGGGCCCGTGCGAGTCAGTCACCTCGCCTCGAGAGGCCGTGGAAAGGGACTCAGAGGGAGACTCACTTGAGGACGTGGTTCATGGCGTGCAGCGCCGACGCCTCGCGGATGGCCTCGTGCTCGTCGCTGCCGACAACGACTCGCGGGCACAGGACGTCCTGGTAGGTCGACAGGGTGCGGAGCCAGGCCGACTGGGACGGCGGGATCGAAGCTGTGTGACAGGGCGAGCGTGAGTACGCAGTCGAGCCGGCGAGGGGACAGGAGGAGACGGAGAGAGTGGGACGCACTGCGAGCGGACGACGAGCGCATCTTGTCGAGCAGCTTCGGGTTGTACTGCGCGCGTTCAAATGGGTCAGGACGTCAATCCAGGGGTTACTCGTCGATGAGAGAGGAACAGAAGCGGACGCACCGTCTTGAGCGCCTCGTCGAGAGGCTTGACCCTCGCCACATCCTCGCCGACGGCCTCGGGCCAGAGCACCTGCGCCTCGCCAACGCCGGGTAGGACGCCCTTGGAGCGCTTGCGGTGCGACTCGTGTTCGAGCTCGAGCTGGGCCTTGTCCTTGCCGCGCACGAGGGCCGAGTCTGGCCCAAAGTGGCGCGTGAACGGGTCGGCGGTTGCGAGGTCGGCGTGCTCGTCATCGCTGTCGGCGTCTGCGGCGATGGCAGCGGCGTCGCCGTCGTCGTCGTTGGTGGACGCGCCCGGTGCGGAAGACGCTTTGTCGGCGTCGTGGTCGCGCTGGTCGAGGAGGAGGGCAGCGCGCTCGAGCTTGTGGCCGAGTTGCTGTCGGGCCTGTCGGTGCGGGCGGAAGTGCCAGGGTGGGTCTTTGTGGCCTTGCGGGCGAGCTGGTGCCAGTCGCGGGTGCGCTTTGTCGAGGCGGGCGAGGGTTTGGCCGACTGGACGTTCAACAGGGTGAGGAGGCGAGTCGAGGGCGGGAGGCCCTGCATGTCCTTGACCATGCCGGTGGGGCGGGTGGCCGAGTCGAGGTCGGTGGAGCTCGCTGTGAGAACGGCGAGAGCTCTCGAGGTCGAGGTGACGAGCGAGCTGGAGCTGATGAGGAGCTCGAGCTCGAGGCGGAGCGGAGGCGACGACGACGACGACGACGGCTGCCGCACAGCCTCACACGGCCTGTCGTCGACCAGAGCCAAGGGCTAGAGCTAGAGCAGCCATGACAGACTACGCCAAACTCAAGGTGGCACAGCTCAAGGTGCGCCCCTCGTCGTCACCCTCCTCCCTCCCTCCCCACCTCAACACCCCCGGCCAACTCATGCTCGACCCGCACACAGGACCTCCTCAAGGAGCGCGACCTCCCTGTATCCGGCCTCAAGGCCGACCTCGTCGCCCGCCTCCAAGAGGCCGACCAAGACGCGCCCGCCATCCCTGAACCCCTCTCCTCCTCGGCCGACGACTCGGCTCCCGCACCTCAGCAGCTCCAGGACGCCGCCCCCCCGGCACCCCCCGATCCCGCACAACAAGCAGTCGGCGGCATGGGCGACGCCCCTCCTCCACTCGAATCGGTCAACCTCCCCGCCAAGCGCCAGCTCGAGGACGCCGTCGTCGACGAGGAAACCAAGCGCATCCGCACACACGCCGCCATCGCCGACCAGGTCCCGCCTGCGGGCTCGCGTGACGCTGGCACTGCCGCCGGCGAGCCCGTCCAGGTCCGCGCCGCACCCGCCTTCGAGAGCGCGCCCGACCTCGCCCAGGTCGCCGGCGACGGGCCCAACCGGAGCGTCGTCGCAGAGTCCAAGGTGCCGACCGACGACCTCGTCAAGGCGGCCAACGGCGAGCTGCCGGCGGCGACGGCCCCGGACGGTGCGGCGGCGGCGGCGACGGGCGAGGAGGTCGAGCAGGAGGAGGACGAGGAGCCGCCGGTTTACGAGTTCGAGCCCGAGGAGGAGAGCGCACGACCGCGCGACCTCTACCTCGACACGGTGCGTCTCTCTCTCTCTCTCTTCTCCCTCCGACCTCCTCTCTTGACCTGTGACGCGACTGACACCTCGGCCGCTCGCAGATCAACCGCTCGGCCCTCGACTTTGACTTTGAGCGCCTGTGCTCGGTCACGCTGTCGCACAACCACATCTATGCGTGCCTCGTCGACGGCAAGTACTTCCAGGGCCGCGGCAAGTCGTCGCCCGCGTACGCGCACGCCCTCAACGACGACCACCACGTCTTTATCAACCTCGAGACGCAAAAAGTCTTTGTCCTGCCCGACGGCTACGAGGTCGACGACGCGTCGCTCGCCGACATCAAGTCGCTCCTGTACCCGCGCTTCACGCCCCAGCTCCTCAAGCGCATCGACGCGTCCCTGTCGCCGTCGCTCGACCTCGCCGAGCGGCCGTACTACCCGGGCTTCATCGGCCTCAACAACATGAAGCACAACAGCTTTATGAACGCGACCCTGCACCTCCTCCTCCACGTGCCGCCCCTGCGCGACTACTTCATCCTCGACCCGCTCCCGTCTTCTTCCGCCACGTCAGAGCTCGTGCGCCGGTTTGGCATGCTCGCGCGCAAGCTGTGGAACCCGCGCCAGTTCAAGGCCCAGGTGAGCCCGCACGAGCTCCTCCAGGAGGTCGGCAACGCGAGTGGAGGACGGTTCAGCATCACCAAGGAGGGCGACCCGGTCGAGTTCCTCGGCTGGCTTCTGAACCAGCTCCATCGCGACCTTGGCGGGACGCGCAAGCCGCGCTCAAGTGCGTCCGTCTCTCTCTTTTCCATGAGGGCAAGCCTCGTCCCGAGAGGAAGACTCGGCGACCGTGCACTGACCCTCTCTTTCCCTCCCTCTCTCTCCTCCCTCTCTCCCTCTCTCCTCCCTCCCCCTCTCGCGTCTTGCAGGCATCATCTACTCGGCGTTCCAGGGCGAGGTGCGCGTCGACGACCAGCAGATCATCAAGACGGGCGAGTTTGGCGCCAAGCCCCACTTTGACCTCGACCGGGGTGCGTCCGGCTCTTCGACCTTCCTGCGCCGGGACGGGCGTCCTCTGCGACGTCTGCCTCGTCGCTGTTGGCGATCGCCGCGTCCTGACTCAGCCGCTTGCCTCGCACAGACATCAAGACGACCAAGACGCCCTTCCTCTTCCTCGCGCTCGACCTCCCTCCACCGCCTCTCTTCCAGGACGCCGTCGAGTCCAACATCGCGCCGCAGTCGCCCCTGTCGGCCATCCTCGCCAAGTACGACGGGCATACGACGCGCGAGGACACGCAGCAGGGCGTCCTGCGCCGGTGGAAGATCACGCGCCTGCCCCCGTTCCTCGTCGTGTACTACAAGCGCTTCACGAGCAACCGGTTCCTCGAGGAGAAGAACCCGACCATTGTCAACTTCCCTTTGCGGGGCGTCGACATGAGCGACTGTGCGTCGTGACCGTCCCTTGCCCCCTCCCGCTCGGACCTCGAGCAGCCGACTGACCTCTCCTTTCCTCCCTCGCGGACAGACGTCGACCCGTCCCAGCCCCTCTCGACCTACTACGACCTGACGGCCAACCTGACGCACCAGTCGCTCGCCGGCACGGCGCACGCCGAGTCGCGCTGGCGCACGCACGTGCACCTGCGCGCGCCGCGCGACGCCAAGTCGGGCGAGCTCACGGACGGCGTCAAGGACGAGGACGAGAAGTGGTTCGAGATGGAGGACTTGCAGGTGAGGGAGATCGAGAGGGAGATGGTCAGCTTGGGCGAGACCTACATCCAGGTGCGTCAGGTCGTCGTCCTCTTTCCCTCTGTCTCTCGCGGGGGCGCAGGTCGTCTTGCGCTTCGCGGGTTGAAGATGTCGTGAAGCCTCGATGCACGCACTGACAAAGTACCTCGTCTGCAGATCTGGGAGCGCCGCTCGCCGACCGGGACGTGGGACTTGCCGGTCGAGACGCCCAAGCCCAAGGGCCAGCGCAAGGAGGGCGCAGCAGCACTTGCAGCGGCGGCGACGACGAAGAAGTAGATCCTCGAGCGCAACGACGAGCGATCGACGAGCTCTCGGTCGCTGCGTCGAGAGCGAGAGATCGAGAAAGATCCGACGCTCGAGCGAGGCCCGTCTCGCTTTCTGCCCTCGCTGGACTCTCCTCTCGACGAGCGGGTCACGAAAAGGCGAGAGTACAACAACCGTGGCTCTAGCGTTGCACACACAGCGCCTCGGCGCTCGTCGACAAGCCGCCACCGCTCAGTCGTACCCCCTGCCGCTGCGCTGCTTCTCGCGCTTCTTCTTGAAGTGCTTCTTGCCCTCGCCCTTGCCCTCCTCGGCCTCCTTCTTGGCCCTCGTCCCGAGCACGACGGCGCTGCCGACGCCGCCGCCAAAGAAGCGCTCGTCGATCGCGTTGGCCTTTGCGCTGCCCTTTGCGCCGCCAGCGCTCGCGCCCGCCACGCCCGCCGCAATGGCCGCCGGCGAGTGGACGTAGTAGTCCGAGTCCTTGCCGACGCGCGTCGTCGGCGCCATCTTGCGCTTGAGCTTGTTCTGCGCCGCGAGGTGGTCGAGCGAGCGCGTCTCGGCGTTGAAGTCGTCCTCGCTGATGCCGGGAGGAGGGTGGCAGAACAGGAGCCGGCCCGTGACGTAGTCCTTGAGGACGTGACGGGACGAACGCGAGTGGTCCTGGTTACCGGCACCGCCAGTGAAGAAGCCGCGAGCGACTGCGAGAGAAGGAGAGGGGGGAGATAAAGGAGAGGGTGAGTGCACGTCCGAGCGGCGAGGCGCTCAAGAGGCGAGGAAGAGAGCGTGGGACGCACTCGAGAAGGTGGTGAGGAACTCGGCGGCGGTCGGGTAGCCCGTGCCGCCCTCGTTCTCGGGCAGAACGTTGATGCGCAGGCCGTATGTGCCCTCGAGGACCTGCTGCGGGATGCGCCGCGTGACGAGCTCGACCGGGCCCGTGAACTCGCGCAGCTGGTCGATCGGGAGGACGCCGTTGCACACGAGCTCGGCCTTGGTGCTCGCGAATTGCGGGAAGACGAGACCGGGGCAGTCGCACAAGAGGACGTCCTGGCTGAGGCGGATCGTCTGGAAGTGCTTGGTCTTGCCCGGCGTCGCCGAGACCGACACCTTCTTCTCGCCGATGAGGGCGTTGATGGTCGACGACTTGCCGACGTTCGGGTAGCCGACGAGGCCGACGACGAGCTTCTCGTTGCCGTGGCCGGCGGCGAGCGACACTGCGAGGACGACCAAAGAGAGGGTCAGTGTCTCGAGTCGATGTAAGAGAGGCAAGGCGAGAGAGAAACAGAAAGAGGGAAGGGGGGCTCACCCTCGGGCGCACGACTCATAAAGAGGTCCTCGAGCTCGAGCACGCTCAAGATCCGCGTCCTCGGGCTCTCGTCCGACCCGGGCAGCGAGATGCCCATGCCGCGCCGCATCCTCCCCGCGAGCTCCTCGTCCGAGTCCTCGTCGCTCTCGTCGTCCGTGTCGACGTCGCGGCTCGTGACCCTCGGCCGGCTCGCGTCGGCGCCGGGGCCGCTGCTGCCCGTCGCCGCCGCCGACTGGACCGCCTTCTTGCCCTCCGCGTTGAGGCCCTTGAGCTTGTTGCCCGACTTGGGGATCTTCATGCCCGGCGCGAGGTCGTCCTCCGAGTCCGACTCCTCGGACTGCTCGGCGAGCGCGGCGAGCTCTTCTTGCCGCGCGCGTTCCTCCTGCAGCGCGATGCCGTTGGCCGCCGAGAAGAAGGCGTACTGGATCCCGTTGGCGTCGAAGTAGTCGGCCCAACGCTCCCTGCGAGGCGAGGGGACCGAGGCGCGAGTCAGTTCGGCGCTCGAGTGAAGAGGAGGAAGAGGAGGGAGGGAGAGGACGCACCGCTGGCCGCGAGTGAGCAGGTCCGACTTGTTGATCAGGAGCAGGTTCTGGCGCCTCGGCTTGGGCTTCTTGCTCGTGCCCTCGCCCTTGTCGTCGACGTTCTCGCCCTCGCCCTCGCTCTCCTCGTCGTCGTTGTCGCCCTCGGGCCCATTGAGCTCGAGGACGTAGCGCTCGAGGTCCTCGGAGCGGAACGTGAGCGGGTTGCGCGCGTCGACGATCTGGACGATGAGGTCGGACCGCTCAAGCGTGCGCCACAGCTGGCGCCACACCTCGAGGTTGCGCTCGAACGGCGTCAGGAGGAGCGCCTGGTTGTCCTGCAGGCTGCAGACATGGGGACTCGAAGGTCAGTGCGACGTGCAGGAGAGCGAGGGATAGAGAGAGAGAGATGGACGCACTCGGCGAGACCACGCCTCCACTCGAGGAAAGCGTCACGCTCTTGCCGCTCGAGCTCGACAGTCGTCATGTCGCGGGTCCATGCCGGGCGACGGGGCACTTGGAGACGCTGGCTATTGGCCGACTGCTTGTTGCGGAGCTCGGCCTCCTGCTGGGGCGTGAGGAGGTACGGGTTGTGCGACGCGGCCGGGTTGAGGTTGGGGTCCGAGATGACGACCTTGATGTTCTGGCGCTCTGCGTGCGGGACCCAAGAGTCAATAGGGAGTCTCAGGTGCTGCTCGAGCACGCGTGGACGCACCGGCCGAGAAGTCGGTGTCGGCGAGCTGGGCGGTGCTGAGGAACTCGTCGAGGTCGTTCTCCTGCGTGACGGACGAGAGGCCGGCCTCGATCGTCGACGTGTTCTGCGTGGGAGGGAATGGGCGGTCAGCTTGCGGGCCTCGAGGTGTGCGCGAGGAGCGAGGCGAGTGAAGCTCACGAGGGTCGGGTCGAGAGCGTCGCGGGCGGCACGGGTCTTGCGGTTGATGATGGCGCGACCGAGGCCCGACTTGTCGACCTTGCGCTTCTGTGCGCCGTTCTTGCGCTCTGGGCGACCGTTGGGCACTGCGAGGCGGTCGGGAGATGAGAGGTCAGCAAGATGAGCGAGGCGGGGGCGGGAGGAAGGGCGACGCGGAAAGGGCGGCGCACTGGCTGAAGTGGAGCCGCTCGTGGAGGTGCTGGGAGAGGCTTCTGAGTGGTTCCTGGTGCGCACGAGCGAGTCGCGGCGTGAGGGTGGGCGAGAGCATCGCCTCGCCGCCTCGGAGCCAGCTCAGCTTCACTCAGCTCCTCCCCCGGCTCTGTCTCTGCTTCTACGGTCCAGCTCGACCGCTCCATCGCCACAGCACCTGTCATCAACCCACTCAAGCCCGTCGTCAAATCGCCTCGAGGTGCGTCCGCCTCGCGCCTCCCCGCCCTCCTCCTCATCTCCCCCCGCTCACTCTCCTCTCCAACCACAGCTCGACACCCCCTCGAGGGCACGTGGAACGCTGTGCGGCATGGTCCGTCGACGCAAGACGGCGGCTTCCAGGCGTCGTCTCCCGCCGCCGCTGGTCAAGCGCGTCCTGCTCCACCTCTTTGCCCCGGACGTCGAGCTCCCCTCGCACGCGCTCGTGCGAGGCGGGCCCTGTACGACTGCTGCCTCGTGTCGAGGGCCTGGTGCTCGGTCGCGCAGCCTCTCCTGTGGACCTGGGTTCAACTGTTCGACCCGACCGCGCTCTCGTCCCTGCGCGCCGTCGAGCTCCCCGGCGGCGGCAAGCCCGGTCGCGGCCTCGGCAAGAACACCGAGACGCTCCATGTCGCGTCCTACGACGACACGCAACACGATCTCGACGACCTGCGCTTTGCCATCGAGGCGATGCCCAACCTCGAGGACCTGCGCTGCCACTTGGCCCGCCAGCAGGGCAACGTCACTCCCATCTTTGCCTTCAGCGAGCTCAAGAGTGCGTCCCTTGCTCCTCCAAGTCGTCGTACACGCCAGTGACTGACCGCCCTTGTCCCGCGCCCGCAGAGCTCCGTCACCTCATCCTCGCCAGCACCCCGCTCGACGCCTCGTTCCCCTCGATCTGCCGACCCATCTTCCGCAACCTCGTCGACCTCACGCTCAACCAGGTCGTCGTCAACGAGGACGAGCTCGTCGGGCTCCTCAACCACGAGACGTTCCCGGCCCTGCGCCACCTCAACGTCGCCCACCTCCTGAGCCATGACGACGAGCCCTACTTCCCCGACATCTCTCGGTCGTTCTTCTGCCAGCTCGACGTCGTCCAGGTGCACAACTGCGAGCTCGGGGTTCTCGTCCCCGAGTGGATGACGACCCAGTGCCGCGTGCCGGTGCGTCCAACGCTCTCTCTTTCCTCGTGCCTCGAGCAGGCTCGGTAGCTGACCTCCTCTCACGCGCAACAGGTCGCCGTCGAGCTGCACAGCTTTGGCCGCGCGATCGAGAACTCGTGGTCGCGGTGCCACCACGTCGTCGTGCGCAACTTTGCAACGTTCGGCTCCTTCTTTGCCGAGTCGAGCATCCGCCAGGCCCTGCCCGACGTCATCCTCGCGGTCCAAGCCGTCGAGGGGCTCGTCCGCCTGCCGCACCCCGGCCTCCTCACCCTGTACCTCCCGTGGGACTTTGACGAGCGCATGCACCCGATCCAGAGCCACCCGGGCACGTCGAACCTGCGCCGAGCGCGCCAGTCGCTCCTGCGCGCCTGCACGGCCAAGGGCGTGCGCATCAAGTGGCGCGCGAGCAAGGACCTGAGCGGCTCGCCCATCATGTGCCCGCGCGTTTCGTCGACCGTCGTCGACGACCGCAACGAGGTCCAGCACGAGCTGCGGCTGCGCGCGCGCCGGACGGGCGTCGGCGAGGACCACGAGGTGTACGAGCTCACCGAATCGTCGGGCGAGGAGTGCTGCACGAGCTCGGACGAGTCAGGCGAGGACGAGGACGACGAGGACGACGACGCGTCCGGTCGAGAGCAGCAGGAGGAGCGGGAGCCGGGGCCGTTGGACGACCTCACCGACGCCGAGTGCGCCATGATTCTACGGTCCCTTGACGTCCGCGTCAACCCAGACGGGACGCGTGCGTCAATGATCATTTAGCTCTCGCTTGAGGAGAGCAAGGCGGCGGTCCGGGCGGTGTTGGCCGTGTTGTAGTCTCTCTCCCTCTCGTTGCAGTACATCCGTTGCAGCTTTGAGTGCTCGAGAGACGTCCGCTGCTCTGGCTGGCTCTCGCGAGGGTGTAGAGTCGACTCGCTCGCGTGACAGAGACGTCCGGAGACTCGGCGAGAGGCTCCTCCTCCTCGTCCACCCTCTCGCTCTCGCGCCTCTGCTGGGCCGGGCCAGGCTTGCTCTGCTATGCCAGCTGCCTCTGCGTCCCCGCCACGCAAGCGTCAGCGCCTCGTCGAGCCGTCCGATGCCGTCAGCCCCCGCCAAAACCCTCATCGCGTGCATCGCCTCTCGGCCGTCCTGCACCCGCCCTGGGCACCAGGAGAGTGCGCGCGCGTTCTCACGCGCACACAGCAAGCTGGAGTGCAGGCTCTCGTCGTCACCGTCGACCGCCCACTCGTCCTCGGCCGGTCCTCCCGCGCCGACTACCAGCTCGCTTCGCCGCTCGCCTCGTCGTTCCACGCCCGCCTCGCCGCGACCGTGAGCGACACCGGGCACACCCTCATCACTCTAGCCGACGCCTCGACCAACGGCACGCTCGTCAACGGTCGCCGCGTCTTTCACAGCTCGCTCGTCCTGTGTGACGGCGACCGCTTCGAGTGAGCTGGTCTGCTCCCTCCCTCGCCTTCCCTGCCCCGCCCTTACACGTCGAGCTGACACAGCCACCTTCTGCAGGATCGGCGGCCAGCTGTTCCGCTACGTCCACACGGCGCCACCACCTCCCGCTCCTGCACCATCCGCCGTCGACTCGAGTACCGCCGCCGCCGCGCCGCGCAAGGTCGGCCACTACCTCGTCTATCCTCGCACCCTCGGCAGCGGCGGCTTCTCGTCCGTCCACCTCGCCCTCGACACGCGCTCGCTCGTCCAGGTCGCCTGCAAGCGTCTCCCGCGAGCCCGGGTCGGCAAGGACCGCCTCGAGATCATCCGGCGCGAGGTCGACATGCTCAAGCGGGCGTCCCACCCGAACATCAACCGCATCGAGGCCGTCGAGGTCAACGACGAGGCCGTGTACGTCCTCATCTCGCTCGCCTGAACCTCCCGAACGGCGAACTGACTCTCGCCGAGTCGCGCAGACACATCTTCCTCGAGCTGTACGCCCGTTCTCCCTCGCTCCTGTCGCGACATGCGTCTGACTCTTCTGCGCGACAGCGTTACCGGCGGCGACCTGTTCACGTACCTGATCAAGCACACTCGGCTCGACGCGCCCGAGGCCAAGTGGATCCTGTACCAGCTCCTCCTCGCCCTCGAGTACCTGCACGACGAGCTCGACATTGCGCACCGCGACGTCAAGCTCGAGAACGTCGTCCTCGCGTTCACGTGCCCCGGCACCGGCGGCAGGTTCCCCAAGGCTCAGCTCGCCGACTTTGGGCAGGCCAAGGAGGCGGGCACGAGGTTCAAGTCGCTGCAAGGTGCGTCCCTCTCTTCTCTCTGGCCCCATTCCTACAGTCGGCGTCGTCTGATGAACTTGAGTCGTCGGCAGGAACGCTGCAGTACATGGCGCCCGAGCAGCTCGTCGCGTGGACGAGGCACGAGGGTGAGCAGCCGCCGCCCCTTCCTCGTCTGCGCTCTCTGGTACTGACACACGTCCTCCCTTGCAGGCTACGACGGCAAGCTGGCAGATATGTGGGCCCTCGTCCGTCCACTTCATCCTCTCGACCTTCCTCCTCCTCTCGGATCGCTCACTCTGTCTGTCCTGCACCCGTCCACCTTCTTCTCCTCCCTCTCTACCTGCCACCTTCATACAGGGTATCCTCCTCGCCCACCTCCTGACGGGCTCGCACCCGTTCGAGCCCTTCCCCTCCTCGTCCAGCTCCGACCTCGCGAGCGCCACGTCAGCAGCAGCAGACGACCTCGGCGCGTCGGTCGCCCACGAGCTCGCCGCCAATCCGGCCGACAAGGACGTCGTGCGAGCTGTCGTGAGGGGCGCGGTCGAGCTTCCCGAGGGTCGGTGGGGCAGCGAGGACGGGGCAGGTGCGTCTCGCTCTCTTCTTCGTCCTCATCCCTCTCCTTCTCGCTCGGCCTCTCCAGCCTCCTCTCACACGTCCTGACTCTCTCCCTCCCTCTCTCCTCCCCTGTTTCGTTTCACAGTGCGCGCTCTCCTTTCGTCTCTCCTCGCGCACGACCCGAACGAGCGAGCGACCGCCGCTCAGGCCCTCGCGAGCCCGTGGATCGCGAGCAGCCGCGCCGAGCTCGACGAGCTGTGGAGGAGGATCGTGCAGCCTGTGCGTCGAGCCGAATGAGCGGGAGCGAGGTGCGAGGCAGGGTCCGGCGGTGCTGGACGCTCGAGGAGGGCCGGGCGGGTTGGGCGAGATGTAGGGGTGGTGGCTCGAGTGGGGCCACGAGGGAGGCAAGGCGTCGCTAGTCTGTGCTTGTTGTTGTCGAGAATGTTCTGCAGCCGTACGAGGTCGAGGAGAGACGGCCTCGGGAGGACAAGCGAGCGAGCGAGCAAGAGCCAAGTGGGCCTCTCGAAGAACGACGAGCAAACGCCTCATCGCGCACACTAAAAGTCCCTGCACTGCATCGTACCGTGTACAGCGACGAGCCGCGGCCGACTCAGTCGTCCCTGTCGCCGACCAGCCCAACCCTCCCCCTCTTCATCCGCTCGCTCAGGCCTCCCTCGCCACCGCCGTACACCGAGCTCTGCGCCTTGCTCAAGAACGTCGGGCCCGCCGCACCCTTGCGCTCGCGGTCACGCTTCTCGCGCTCGAGCGCGGCGGCGTCCTGCGCGTCCTGCTCCTTGAGGCGCTCGGCGCGCTCGGCGGCGAGGGACGACGCCGACGACTGCATGGCGGCGAGCTTGGCAGCGAGAGCGGCCTGACGAGCGGCGTCGTCTGCTGCTGAGGGTGCGGGTGCGGCGGCAGAGGGAGGAGGGTTCGGGCGCCGAGGAGGGTACGGCGCCGAGCGATAGTTGTCGCGAGGAGGGGGAGGGCGCGAGTCGTGCCGGTCGTCTGGGTACGGGCCGCGAGCGTCGCGAGGCGCGGGTCGAGGTGAGCGACGGCGGTCGTCGCGCCCGGGCGGCGAGTAGGCGCGCTCGAGGGGCGGAGGAGGAGGGGAACGAGGGCGGTCGTGGCGGTGCGAGGAGGACGAGGATGGGCCGTCGCGGTGCTGCGGGGCGTCGTCGTGCCGCCGGCGGTCGTCGCTGTACTCGCGCGACGCGCGGTGGTCCCGGTCCCGGCCGCTGTCGCGGCGCGGCGAGCGAGAGCGCGACCGCTCGCGCTCGCGGTGGGAGCGGTGCCGCGCCGGCGACCTCGAGCGCTCGCGGTCGTCCCTCCTCGAGCCGTGCCCGTGCCCGTGACGAGCGTCGCGCTCGGCCCTACGCGCCTCCCTACGCGCGCGCCGCTCCTCCTTGCTCTCGCCCTTGCCGCTGCTGCTCCCGCCGCCGCCGCCCGTCGCCGCCTCGCGCGCAGCGAGGAGCTCGCGGCGCTTGCGCGGGTCCTTCATCATCTTCTCGTACTGAGCCTGCTCCTGGCGCTTGATGGCGAGGAGCGGGTCCTCGCGGATCTTGGCCGCCGTGTCGCGCGCCGTGTTGGCGTTCTGGACCGACTGGAACGACCCGCCGGGCGTCTCGGCGTCGGGAGCGGCGAGGAGCTGTGTCGAGGAGATGAGTGGTCAGGACGAGCACGAGGAGGAAGGCAGGGGAAAGAGAGAGAGGCGGACGCACCTTCTCCTCGTTGCCCTTGAGGAGCTTGTCGACGCGCTTCTTGCCGAGGAGGTACGCCTCGAGCTCGTCCGGGTTGGGCCCGTTGCCCTCGGCCGGTGCGGCGTACATCCAGTCGACGCGCTCCTCGCGCTTCTTGCCGCCGGCCTGCTCCTGCATGCGCTGGAGCTCCTGGACGGCGCGCTCCTGCTCGAGCTCCTTCTGCAGCTGCTGGAGCTTCTTGCGCTCCTCGAGGGCCTCCTTCTCCTTCTTCCACACACGTTCCTGTTGCGCGGCAGAGTGTCAGAGGATGTGCCGAGGCGGGGCGATGAGGGAGGAGGGAGGAGGAGGAGGCGCACCTGGTTGGCGAACGTCCCCGTGTGCCAGGCTGTGAAGGGTACAGGGTCAGTGGGTGCTCTGGAGTAGATCTGGAAGGGCTGGACGCACACTTCTTCATGTTGAGGTCGCCGCCGCCCATCTTGGCTGACTTGCTCGCGGTGGAGGTGGTGGAACGAGACGGGGCCGGCTAGGCGAGGGACGGGCTCTGTGCAGTGGTGCAGAGAGAGCTCGGGTGTGGCTGCTGCAGCAAGTGCAAGTGAGCCGTGTGTGGCGGAGCGAGAGGAGCGAGGTTGTCGCGGTGCAGGGAGGCGTTCAGAATGCAAGTCGGCGCGAGAAGACGCAACTTGCTATGGGTACGCAAATTGCAGGCGCACTCTTATCGAAGCATTGGTGGTTTAGTGGCAAAATTGGGCATTGCCAGCTTCTGCTGAATTGCCTAGCCCCGGGTTCGATTCCCGGCCAATGCATTTTTGCCGCACTCGCTTTCTCGCTTCAACGTGTCGCTGCGCTGCTTCTTTTTCCCTGAAGCCACTTGGCGGTACAGATACCCCCTGTGCAGCAGATCGCGATCTCCTCTGACGATGAGGGCCGCTGCCGCCGCGAGACGTCTCATCGCTCGCGCCTCCTCTTTGTCTCCTCCCTCTCACTCCTCGCTCGCCGCCTCCCGCCGGCCAGCTCGAAGCACCGCTCGACGCGCCTACTGCCGACCCAGAGCCCCGTCGTCGCCCCGCACCGCCATGGACCGCCTTCCCGTCGAGGTCCTCGCCCTCATCCTCCCGGGCGTCGACGAGTTCCCGCCCAGCTCGTACGGCAGCGCCGCCTTCAAGGCCCGCCAGGCTGAGCTCCGCAAGCTGTGCCGCGTCTCAAAAGGCATGCGCCGCGTCGCCCGGCGGCTCCTGTGGCGCATCGTCGTCGTCGACACCGAGGAGCAGGCCTCGTCGCTCATCCGCCTCGTCCTGTCGCCGAGCACGAGCGAGGTGGCCAACTTCATCCAGATCCTTGGCGCAGCGCAGGCCAAGTCTCGTCGCGTCTTCAGGGTCGACAAGGCCAGCGGCCGCGCACCTGGCCTCCTCGCCCCCACTACCGTCTTCCGCCTCGTCGCAAACCTGTCCGCACTTCAGCGCGTCTACCTGCTCGACTTCGACCCGGTCCAGAGAGCCGACACGAGCTTCGACGGCAAGATTGGCATCGATTTCTCGTCGGGCGGGCCGTTGCGCAGTGCGTCCCCCTTTCGCTCTCTCTGCTTGGCCAGGCGCGAGCACGACGCTCACCCCGATACACTACCACAGAGCTTCACAGCCTCGTCATCACCGGCGGCATGCCGTACCTCAAGCGCGTCCTCGCACCCGTCGCACACGCACTCGTCGAGCTCGCCCTGCCCGCCAACTTCAAGGCGTCGGCCGAGGACGTCGAGCAGGTCCTGTCGTCGCGCGTTCTGCCTCACCTGAGGCGTCTGCGCCTCGGTGTACCCAGCTCAAGAGGCTTCAAGCCTCGTCCGGTCCTGTCGGCTCCGACAACGGCCTTTCTTGCCCAGCTCGACTACGTGCAGCTCGTCGACCCGGTCCTGTCGTCTTCAGGGTTCTACGAGGACCGGCCGGAGCCCATTCCGCTCGACCACCCGTACCTCGTGACGGACACGCCCGTCCTCGTCGACATATCGTCGTCCACCTCGCTGCCCCGCGAGTCGTCCCCGGCCCTCGACCTCGTCGACCACCTCTACGTCCGCTCGGTCCCCGACTGGAGCCGCCTCGCCGACGTCGTCTCGCACGCGCACCTCGTGACGCTCTGCATCCCCGAGAAAGTGTGGCGGAGCAGCGCGAGCGAGTCGGACGAGCTCTTGGAGGTGTGCAGCGCCGCGGGCGTCGCGCTCTACCTCGCCGCCAGGGACAAGCACGCCGTCATCTTGCCCGGCTTCGTCGCCTACTGCGAGGGTGAGAGCGACGAGACGGACTCGAAGTGAGGGTCAGGGGGTGTGCTCGCGGCGGCGGCGGCGGCGAGGCCACAGGTTCTGCTTGCAAACGAGTTGGTTTTCCTCGTTCACGCTCTCAGTGCCTCACTTCCCTCGCGAGGTCGACTCGTGCTCTCAGAGACAGGGAGCGTGGAGCGAGAATGGAACGCGTGAGGTCGGCGAGCGGCCCTTGGCGAGCAGAGACTCGTTCGCTCGCTGGGAGAGGCCCGTGCACGCTCGCCACGCTTGCGAGAACGGCTTCTCTGCATGGCTCGAGGACGGAATAGAGACATGTATGAATGACAACCACGAGAAGGGTACCGGCGAGCAAGGGAGGGAGGGCATGCGGCTAGAACAAAGTCGGAAGAAGGGGAAGGAGGAACGTCGACGAGGAGGAGGTGGACCCGATCGCGCCATCGTCCGGCTGCTCTACTCGCCGTCGACGATGAGTGAGAGCGCGATCGACGACTGTCGCACGAGGCGAGCGACGGCCATGTCGCGGCTCGACGAAGCTGCGTCTCGACGACCGCACACGTCTCGCTCGACCACCTGCTCGACACGAGCGGGATCGTCGGCCCTCGCGCTCGTCCGCTCGACTCGCCGCCGTGCTGCCCCATGGCTCTCGGCATCGCGCTGCCACCCGTCACTGCGAGGGCTGGGCGTCCCGACGCTCGACCCGCTCGACGACCTCGCACGCTTCGTCCTCGCGCGAAGCTGAACGCTCGCCGCTGTCGCGTCTTGGGCGGACGAAAGGCTGCAGAACGATGTCGCCGAGGAGGCGGGAGGAGAGAGGCTGGGCGTCGCGGCGAGGACTAGTCGGGAAGGCGAAAGAGCAGCGCCGAGGAGGAGGGCGGGTCGCAAGTGAACGCTGCGGGGACGAGGTACAGGTCAGGCACGCTCGCAGATACCTTGCGATTAGACCTGAGAGAGGGCACGTACTGTCGCTGGATGAAGAGAGGCGTGCGCTTGAGGAACGGTGAGTTCGTCGACGCGTCGACGACGGCAAAGGCGGCGGCAGGAGCGGCGTCGTCGCCACGGAACCTGGGCGCAGGGCACAGATAGTCAGTAGAGTGCCATTGGAGACGAGAATCGAGATCTGGCGCACCGAGAGAGGGAGCTACGCGCTCGCGACGCGACTGTCGGCGCGAGTTCCGCGAAAGAGCTCGACTCGCGCTCGGTGTAGACGCTGGACGGCGGTCGCGCGACGTTGCGGGCCTTGCTGAGGCTCTTGAGCTCCCTTGAGGGACTGCTCAACGGCTGCACGGGCCGAATCGTTGAGCTGGACGCGGTCGAAGGCGCCGACGAGGTGCGAGACGAGCGACGCAAGGCGACGCCGTCTCTGCCGACGGCGAGAGGCGCGCCAGACGTGTTTCTCGAGCGCGTGAAGGGCATCTCTCTCGCGTCGCAGGGACAGGAACGAGCTGAAAACCGAGGGACGAGGTCGAGAAGTGACAGAGCGCGACGACGAAGACGAGGCGCGACCAACGCCGACTCACGGGCTTTCGCCAGCGCAGAATCGTCGAGATAATGCGATGCAACCGACTATCCTGCTACGAGTCCCGCCCCCTGCAGCGCCGTCCACACCGTCGCGCTCGTCTTGAGCGACCCGCTCGCCGCCCGCGCCCAAACGCCCTCGAACGCGGTCCCTCCCCGCCCCTGATCCACCACGACATCCCCCCTTTCCGCAGCGTCGGCCCACTCGACGCGCGACAGCGACGCGTGCTGCGTGTTCGACAGCGCCCACGAGCGCCACGCGTCGCCGGCGCTGCTGCCGAAGAACAGGCTCGTCGCCGCCGCCGACGACGACGACGCCGAACCCGCGACGAGCGACGAGCGCGCCAAGTCGGCGTCGTCGTACTGGAGGCCGCCCCACAGCTGGACCTCGAGGAGCGGGAGCGAGTTGTCGAGGAGGGAGGGACAAGTCGACGGGCTCGGCGGGCCGGACGGCGACGAAAGGACGTAGTCGACGAGGTCGTTGGCGATCGCGGTCGACACGGTGTTGAGAAGGTCGAGGAGGACGTGATCGAGGCGAGAGAGGAGGCCGAAGCGCTCGGGCGTGACGGGGAGTGAGGGCGAGGTCGGTGCGGCGGCGAGGGGGCCGGCGGCGAGCAGCTCGCTGGCGTGCACCGTGACGCGGTCGGTGACGGCGCTCGACTTGAGGACGAGCGACTGCTGCGGCAGGGAGGAGCGCTTGTCGGACGAGGGGAAGGGTAGTCGCAGCTTGAGGAGGTTGAGGACGCCGTACAGCGGTCGATTCTGCAGGGCACGGCAAAGTCAGTACCGCGCTCACTCAGGAACACACACACAGAGAGAGTGAGAGACGCACGAGGCAGGACGAGTCGAGCGACTGAGAGCTCGACACGGCGCTCAGCCCGAACACTTCGACCTCGACCGCGTTGACGCGCTCAACGACCGTCTCGCTCAAGCCGGCCCAACACCCGACCGCCGGCGGGAACGACGCCGCACCCGACTGCGCCTGCGCGACGTCCACCATGCTCGCCCCGCCGCCAACGCTTGCCGCCGCGTCGAGCGGGACGACGACCTCGGCGCGCTGCACCGCCTCGCGGAACGCCTGCAGCTCGTCCGGCTCGCGCCTGAGCACCGTCGCCCAGTAGTGCTCGAGCGCCTTGCTGCGCTGCGCGCTCGCGGCGGCGGCGACGGGCGCGAGGCGGTCGAGCGCCGCAAGTGCGCCGGGCGCCGCCGCGAGCCGCACCGAGCTGTCGCTCGACGGCTTGACGACCGATGCCCAGTCGCCCGTCGCCGAGCGGCGCAGGAACGCAAAGTCCCAGGTCCATCCGCCTGCGATGACCTGGTAGTTCGAGTTGGGCTTGGACGCGGGCGCGTCGCCAAAGGGGGCGAACGAGAGGGCCGAGGCGAACGTGCGCAGCTGCGACAGGGTCGAGTTGGACTCGGTGAGAGCGAGGGTGTGGACGAGGGCGGACTCGGCCCAGGCGAGGCGAGAGGGAAAGGTCGAGGAAGGGAGGTTGGGGAGGACGAGGAGGGCGAGTTGCGCCTGGCAGCTCGACGACGACGACGACGGGACGAAGTACGCCTCGAGCAGCTCGCCGAGCCGCGCCGAGTCGACCTTGGGCTCCCACAGGGCCGACGCCGCCTCGGCGACGTCGAGCAGGCCCTGCGCGACGGGCGCACGGACCCCTCCGACGCACGTCGCGTTCAGGTGGCAGCTCGTCCCGCCCCAGGCGCTCGAGCACGCGCAGTAGCACCCGCCGTCGCTCGTCGTGCGCGCCGAGCCGCCGTGCTCGCAGTTGCACGCGGCGGGCGCGGCGACGACGGGCGCGCGGCGGCTCAGGCCGACGGCGAGCCCGACGACGAGCAAGAGGACGACGACGAGCGCGAGCGCCGTGCCGAAGCGGACCCTCCTCGAGTGCCACGCCGCACGCACGCGGCTGCGGCCGCTGTCCTGCGCGCGCTCGCCGGCCCACCGCGCCGGGTCGCTCCGGAGCGACCAGCCGGGCGCGGCCCTCTCGGCCCAGCGCACCCTGCCCGACCCAGCTCCACCTCCCGCACCGCTCGACGTCCCCTCGCGCTCCTTCTCCCGCACCGAGCCGCTCGGCGGCCGAGCGGGCGCGACGCCGCGCAGCCACGCGTCGAGCCGGTCCCTCGCACCTCCTCCCCCTCTTCCTCCCTCTGCGCCGCCCGGCTCGACCTCGCCCGGGGCCCCGACAGCGCGCTGCCGCAAGCTGAGCCGGTGCGACGGGCCCGGGACGGCGCTCGAGAGCGAGTCCTGCGCGCGCGCGTGCGACTGGCGGTGCGGCGCGGCGGCGGGCGACGGCGCGGGCGGGTAGCGCGTGCGGGCATGCGCCTCGTGCTCGCTGTCGAGCGACGACGACGCCGAGGACGAAGCCGAGTCGTCGCGAGGCGGCCCGTCGAGGAAGAGCGAGACAAAGTCGGGGAGCGGTGGTGGCGGCGAGGTTGGCGGTGGCGAGGTCGGCAGGCTGCTGCGCGTCGTCGGCGAGGGCGTCGGGCCGCCTCCCGAGAGCGCGACGGCGCTCGAGCTCGAGGGCCGGTACTGCGACGCCGGCCATCGGGACGAGTCGCCCGCGCCCTCGAGCACGAGCAGGTGCGTCGCCGAGTCGGGCACGGGCGGGAGCGGGAACGCGAGGTCGCTCGTGCTCTGGCGCTCGCGGCGCGTGCGGCCCACCGAGTGCGACGTCGCCGACGAGGGCGTGACGGGCAGGCGGTAGAAGCCGTCGTTGGAGCGCGTGATGAACGGGATCTGGCTCGGCGAGGCGGGCGAGTCGGGCGAGGACGAGGGGGTGAGGGCGGCGGGGGACGGGATCGAGAGGTGCCGAGCGGGCGAGGAGGTGGACGAGGATGGAAGGAGCGGCGGGAGGTGGTGGGCGCTGCGCCGCAGGGCGAGGGTCGAGCGCGGCGGCGACGGGAGAAGAGGCGGCCGCGGCGCTGTTGCGGCGTGCTCGTCTGCCGACCGAGGTCGAGGCACGTCGGGCGAGTAGCTGCGAGGCGGGACCGCAGGGAAGTCGACGATGATGTGCTGCGACAGCGGCCGACCCGGCGGGGCCGGGAACGACGTGCGCGACGAGCGCGACGCGGGTCGAGGGCGAGTGACGTCGCGGTGCGAGGCGACGCTCGAGCCCGACAGCATGCTCGAGGGCGGCGAACGCGCAGCCGCCTCGAACGGCATCGTCGTGTCGAGGTACGCCATCGACGACGGGCGGCCCGACCCGAACGAGCTCGACGTGTCGTCCTCCTGCCGCGTTGCCGAGACGCTGCCGAGCACACTCGAGCGGCTTCGTGCTGGTGCGGTGGGGCCTACGCCGAGGCTGAACGCGCGCTCGAACGGGTCGCCCGAGGACGAGGACGACGGCGGGGTCGGCAGACCGAGGCCGGCGAGGTCGGCGCGCGACGCAGGACCGTCGCGCGAGGGCCAGGCGACGCCCGATGACGACGCCCGGCGCGAGGTCGATGAGGTGGACGACCCTGCAGGTCGGGCCGCGGTGGACGCGCGGCCGAGGTGCGACATGTCCGGGTCGACGAGCGAGTCGGGCGCGGTCGAGGTCGAGGCGTGCAGGTCGCTCGGGCCGGGCACGAGGAGTCCGACGCTTTGGACGCGGGTGAGGCGCGCGGCGTGCAGGACGGCGACGCCGTCGTGGTCGAAGCTCGTCGCGCTTGGGCTGCGGCCGCCGTCGGTCGCGGTGCCGTCGAGGTCGTCGAACGAGTGCAGCGACAGCGTGTCGGTGCGCTCGTGGGGCATTGCAGGCTCGGAGAGAACGAGGCTGAGGTCGGGCGAGGGCGCGTCGAGGAACGTCCAGCGGGAGCTTGGTGCCGAGGCGGTGGGGCGTGGAGCGAGGTCGTCGTCGGCCGAGTCGTCACTGAACGGGTCACGAGAGCTGTGTGATGGTGCGTGAGCGTGTGTCCTGGGTCGGCAGGTGTTCTCGGCGGCCCTGCAGAGGAGCGAGAGGGGGGCGCACCTCGACATGTCGGTCGAAGCCTAGTGGGACGAGATGAAGGAGGCGGTGCTATGGCTCGCGGCGTGAACGGCGTGGCCGGGGCTGGTGAAGGCGGTGCCGTTGAGCCGCTAGCCGGCCTCACGCACGCGCTCGAGGTGACGTGAGGGAGAGAGAGGGGACGAGGCTCGACGATTGATGAAGTGTCGGTGGTGCGAGCGAGGCGAGCTGAGCGCGTCCGAGTTGCGCGCGAGTGGTGCGGGCGTGGCCTGTAGAGTGATGGCGAGGCATGGCGAGGTCGTGCGCGCTGCAGGCGAGGCTCTGGCGGTGGTAGAGCAGAGAGAGAGCGAGGGTTGTCGTCTGTGGGGAACTCGCTCCTCTCGCGCTCGACAGCAACCATGCTTGCCACAAGCCTGCAGGGCCCCAAAGCCTCTACAAGCACCCATCAGAGCTCGGCCAGCTCGAGCCGCGACCACCGCCGCTTTGTCGCCATCGCTACTCGCCTCCCTCGCCGCCTCCAGGCCGTCCTCGCCCTCGCCCTCGTCCTCCTCGTGTGGCGCACCGCCAAGCACCCTCAAGCCTCGACGAGCACCCTCGGCACCCGACGCGCTCCTTCCTCTAGCCCAACGAGCGAGCCCCGAGTCCGCTTCGCCCCCACTCGTCCTCGACCTCCCTCGGCCCGCGTCCGCTTCGCCAACGGCGCAACCCAGCACCTCTATCCTCGGCCTCGAGGCGTCGCTCAACACTCGCACGAGCCCCTGTGGGAGACGAGCCCCGTCGTGCGCGTCGACATCTCGCTCGGCGCGAGCTTGCGCTGGGCCGGCGACGAGGGCAACGGGGGCGTGGTCGAGCGAGGGCGGGGTGACGACTGCCGCGAGGGGGCGTGTGACGGGTGGAGGAGCGTCAGGCTCGAGGTGGACGTCGAGACGGGCTTGCGGCAGCTGCGCCATGCCGGTGCGTCCCCTCTCGCTGTCCCTCGTCCTGCGTCGCTCACCTCGTCCTCCCTCTTGCAGATCCAGCCGAGCCTCTCGTCGTCGAGCTGCCGTCAAGTGCACCTGTCGCCCCGACCGACGTGACGCTCGTCACGCAGCTGTCCGTCTCGCGCCTCGGTCGCCTCGACCGCCTCCTCGCCGCGTGGGACGGTCCCGTCTCGGCCGCCATCTACCTCGTCGACGAGGCCGACATCGCCACCCTTTCGGCGCACTTGTCGCCCACCCGCCTCGGCTCGCCCGACTGGCACCGCGTCTCGTTCGTCGTCGTCAAGCCCGACTTCTCCGTCGCCGAGTCTGCCCTCCTCGAGCGGCTGCGGTACCCGATCAACCGCCTGCGCAACCTCGCCCTCTCGGCCGCACCCTCGCCCTACACCCTCGTCATCGACGTCGACTTTGTCCCCTCGCCCAACCTGCACTCGGTCCTCGTCGAGCGCGGCGTACCGCTCATCGGGCGCGCGCAGCACTCGTCGCTCGGCGCGCGCTCGCCCACCTTGCGGCCCGTCGCCGTCGTCGTGCCCACGTTCGCCCTCTCCAGCGCGTTCGACGGCGCGTACCCGAACTCGACCGCCGAGCTCGAGGCGCTGTTCATGGCGGACCCGCCCGTCGCGAGCCTCACCGACGCCAACGCCGGCCACGGCCCGACGCTCCCCTCCCTCCTCTTCAGCCTCTCGCGCACCTCCTCCTCCTCGTCACCCTCCTCTCGCGTCCCGCCGAGCGCCAGCCCCGACCCGTCGCACTCGTACGAGCTGTGCTACGAGCCCCAGTGGGAGCCGTACTACCTCGTGTCGCGCGCGTCGCACCCGCTCTACGACGAGCGCTTCACCGACCAGGGCGGCGACAAGCAGGCGCACGCCCTCGTCCTCAACGCGCTCGGGTTCGAGTTCCGCGCCGTGCTCGGCGACGCGTGGGTCGTGCACCCGCCAAAGGTCGACCGCGACGAGGAGGCGTGGCCGGCTGCGAGGCTCGTGCAGCGCCATGGGCGCCCGGAGCGAGCGGCGGCGGCGGACGAAGCGGCGCTCGAGCTCGGCGAGGCAGCAGAGCAGGACGACGGCGACGAGGAGGAGGGGCACTTTAACCTCGCCGCGCAGCGCGACCAGTCGCGCTTCCGGTACTTCGAGGACTTTCTCCCCGAGATGGAGCGCACGTGGGGCAGCAACGTGCGCTGGCCAAGAGGGTGCGGCGCGAGCGTCGTCGGCGGCGGGCGCAGCTTTGGGCGAGCGAGGGCCGGCAGCATGTTCGGGCTGTAGCTGTAGCTCCAGGCTTCGAGCTCGAGGCGTGCAACGTGCGCGGTCGAGCGTCTCTCGAAGCTGCGCAAGAGAGCGAGAGCTGCTCTCGAGAAAGAGCGAGTCGCTCGCACTTGAGAAGGTCGCTTTCTCGAGCTCTCGCAACTCTCCTGCGCGCCGAGCGTGAGTTGACCCTGTCGCTATTGCTGCGAGCGACCTCGCGGGGCTTTTCTCCTGCTCCTCCTGCGCTCCAGACCCGCTCACTGGTCGCGCTCGTACTCGGTGAGGACGACCTTGCGGATGACCTCCTTGGGCGGCCGCCGGCCGGTCCACCTGCGCGGCGCACGATAGAGTCAGTGACGGCGCCGACGACGAGAGAAAAGAGAGAGAGAGAGAGCGGGACGCACATGGACGACTGCCAGAAGCCCTGCTCGAGGAGCATCATGATGCCGGGCACGCCGGTCCAGCCCGGGGTGCGGTCGGCGAGGTCGATCAAGGGCGTGACGCGAGGCTTGTACGCGACGTCGATGAGGACGCCGCCGCCCTCGCGAGCGAGGACCGAGTCCGGGACCGTGACGCCGGCGTCGGCGTTGGGCGCGTACCGCGTCGCCGTGCCCTGGGCCGGGATGGTCGAGATGACGGCGAGCGGGTGCTCGCCCGGGAACGAGTCAAGCGAGGTCAAGGGGACGATGTTGTACTCGCTCGGGAACGAGGCGACAATTTTGTCGGCGTTGTCGCGCGTGCGGTTGAAGAGGTAGATCGTCTTGTACCCGGCCTTGTGGAGCGCATACACGGCGGCGCGGCACGTGCCGCCGGCGCCGAGGACGAGCGAGGTCGACGCGTCGGTGCGGTCGTTGTCGGACGTGACGTTGGTCTCGACGAGCTCGAGGAGGCCGAGCCAGTCTGTGTTGTCGCCGACGAGCCGCCGAGCGCCGTTCTCCTCGACCGGGATGATCGTGTTGACAGCGCCGATGAGGCGGGCGTGCTCCGACACCTCGTCGAGGAGCGGCATGATGTCGAGCTTGAGCGGGACTGTGGCGCAGGAAAGAGTCAGTGCGTGAGGGAGAAGGGGAGAGAGAGAGCGAGGGGACGCACTCGTGACGGACGCGCCGCCAAAGTCGTCGGCCCGGATGGCGCGCTCAATCTCGTCGTTGACGTGGTCCGACTCGATGTAGGTGTAGCGGTGCGGGAGGCCGAGGATGCCGAACGCCGTGTTGTGAATGAGCGGGCTCTTCGAGTGGCTGACGGGCGAGCCGCACAGGAAGAATTTGCGCGCCGGGAGGTGGCCGACGAGGTGCAGGCCGGTCTGGATCTGGGCGAACGACAGCTGGCCGGGCGCCGACGCCTCGATGGCCGGGTGCGACACGGGCCCAAAGACGGGCGACAGGATGCGCGACAGGCGGCCCTCGGGCCCGACGTTCATCGTCATGAGGGGCTTGCCGTCCGCGAACGTGTCGCGGAACCGGAGCATGGCGAGGTTGTCGAGGAGCGAGTTGGCCTTGGCGACGAGCTTGATGATGTCGCCGACCTCGTCGGCCGCCTTGTACCGCTCGACGGCCTCCTCGCTCTCCCAGTGCAGCGCGCCCGAGTGGTCGTGCCACGACGCGATCACCTTGGTGCTCTGCTTGACGTTGACAAAGTCGCGCATGCGGCGCACGGGCCACCGCACCTCGAGGTCGACGTACTCACACCCGGCCTTGACGCCGAGCTCCATGAGGTTGAAGATGGCGTCCTGCGCCTCGTCGGGGCACATGCCGCCCTGCGACACGGTGCGCACCGTGAACACGATCGGGAGCGTCGACCGCTGGCGGAGCGCGGCGAGCTGGTGCGCCACGTAGGCGTAGTCGGGCACCTGGGGCGAGGTCGGCGCCTTGCCGTCGGCCGACAGGAGGTCGACGCGCAGCTCGAGGGCGTCGACGCCGGCAATGAGCTCGTCGAACGCGGCGAGCGCCGGGTGCGGCGCCGTGTACGACGGGAGCGTGAGGCACAGGAAGTAAGTTGGGCGCACGCCGGCGAGGTCGACCTGGTTCGTGTTCTGGCCCGTCATGAACCGGAAGAAGCGCGCGACCTCGTCCTCGGCGCCCTTGGTCGACGTGTGCGACACGATGAAGCCGTTGGCCGACGGCTTGGCGTTGGGCTTGACCGCCTTGGGCTTGCCCGAGATGAGGTTGGTGAACTCGAAGTTGCTCAACTCGTGGAACCAGGGTTGGCGGCGGGCGTAGATGACGTGCAGGTCCTCGCCGAGCGACGGCCGACTCGGCTCCGAGTTGAGGTACCCGACAATGTCGTCGATGTCGCGCACGATGTGGACGATGGGCCCGCCGCCGTGGCCGTAGGCGCGCAACAGGTCGCGGTTCTCCTCGGTCTCGACGACGCCGCCGCCGAGGCTCACGACGTGGCCCTTCGAGTACTCGCGGATGATCTTCTTGAGGATGTGGGTCTCGGCGCGCCGGAACTCGCTCCAGTCGCCGCCGCGCGAGTTGACAAAGTCCTTGGCGCTCTGGCCGTACTCGGTGATGAACATCTCGTCGGCGTCGAGGACGGGCCAGCCGAGCGCGCTCGCGCCGATGCGGCTGATGTGCGTCTTGCCGGCGCCGCGCATGCCGAGGACGAGGATGCTCGCGTCGGTTGAGTGGCGCGGGATCGGGGCCGACGTCGACGCGACCGGGGCGTCGCTCAGCTCGACGCCGACGACGTTGATGCCGATCTTGCGCGCGAGGTCGTCCCACCACGAGGGCCACGTCTTCTCGACGCAGCGCTTCTCCTCGAGGACGGCGCCGTGCGCGCCGGGGCACGCCGCGAGGACCGAGAAGGCCATGGCGACGCGGTGGTCGTCGAAGCAGTGGACCGACGCGCCGGCGCGCAGCTGCTCGGGCTTGATGCCAAACACCTCGATGCCGTCGGCGAGCTCGTTCGTGTCGACGCCGAACTTGGCGAGCTGGGTGCGCATCGCGTCGATGCGGTTGCACTCCTTGACGCGCTGGTTGGCGATGCCGCCGATCCGGGTCGAGTTGAGCGGCTGCTGCGCGTCCTGGAGCCGGCCCTCGAGCGGCGGGAGCGACGCGACGGCCGCGAGCGCCGACGCCGTCAGGAAGGCGTCCGTCATGGGCTCCATCTCGACGAAGCCGAGCGCGCGCAACTCGCCGACGGCCGGGCCCGTGACGGTCGTCTCGGTCGCCGTCTGGACGACGGTGCAGCCCATGGGCTCGAGGACGTCCTTGGCGAAGCGCGCGTCGCCCTGGAGCGACGCCGAGCCGATGTTGTGGATCGTGCACGTCGTGCCCGTCATGGCGGCGAGCGCGAGCGGGTACGTCGCCGACGAGGCGTCCGACTCGATGTTGTACGTGTCCGGGTTCGAGTAGGTGCCGCGCGGGATGCGGTACGTGTCGAGGAGCTTGCCGTCCTCGCCGACGAGGCGCTCGACCGTGATGCCGAACGAGCGCATCATGGCGATCGTCATGTCGATGTACGGTTGCGAGATGACGACGCCGCCCGTGAGCTCGAGGACGACCTCGTCCTGGGCGTACGGAGCGCACAGGAGGATCGACGACACGTACTGCGACGAGACGCTCGCCGCGAGCTGGATGCGGCCGCCGCGGAACCCGCCGCTCGTCGCGGCGATCTTGAGCGGGAGCGCGCCCGGGCCCTCGACGTACTCGACGGCCGTGCCGTTCTGCGTGAGGGCGTCGACGAGCGGGCCGATCGGGCGCTGCTTCATGCGGGCGTTGCCCGTGATGGTCGTGTGCTCGAGGCCGTCCTCGGGCTGGACGAGGGCGCACACGGTCGTGAGGAACCGGGCCGCCGTGCCGGCGTTGCCGAGGTACAGCTCCTTGTTGTCCTTGGGCGGCGACAGCTTGCCGCCGTTGCCCTTGACGACGAGGAGCTCGCCGTTGTCCTCCCACGCGAACTCGGCACCCTTCATCTCGTGCAGGGCGGCCATCATGACCTGCGTGTCGTCCGAGTGGAGCAGGTTGCCGAGGCGGCACGTGCCGTTGCCGAGCGCGGCGAGGACGAGGGCGCGGTTCGAGATCGACTTGCTGCCGGGCGTCGCGAGCTCGAACTTGGCGTTGCTCGGCGGGCCCGGGTGAACGCGGACGGCGGGGGCGAGCACGCGCGCGATGACCTCGTCCTCGACGCCGGTTGCGCGCTCCTCGAGCGTCTTGCCGATGCGCGACAGGATGACGACCTTCTTGACGCTGCCCGAGTTCTTCTTGTCGACGCGCATGATGTCGAGGAGCGTCTCGACGTTGAGCCGGGCCGACTTGGCCGACTTGCGGAACAGCGGGTCGTCGAGGCTGACGGGGAGGCCGTGCGCCTTGAGGCAGCGCGTGAGGCGGCCGACGGCGGCGTTGCCGAGCGCGCCCATGCTGCGGGCGACCTCGGCCTCGAGCACCATGCCGACGGCGACGCACTCGCCGTGCAGGACGTCGGGCGTGACGACGGCCTCGATGGCGTGGCCGATCGTGTGGCCAAAGTTGACGAGGTTGCGCAGGCCCGTCTCCTTCTCGTCGACGGTGACGATGTGGGCCTTGGTCGCGATCGAGGCGCGGATGACCGACAGGAGGAGCGACTGGGCGGGCGAGCGCGTCGCGAGGACGCGGCCGGCGGCCGACTCGCGGGTCGTGGTGCCCGACACGGCGGCGTGGATGTCGGCGACGCCCGACTCGAGCTTGGCGAACTCGTGCTCGTCCCAGATGGCGGCCGTCTTGACGCACTCGGCCATGCCGTTGACAAACTCGCGCCGCGGGAGCGACTCGAGGAACGACGCGTCGATGAAGACGTACGACGGCTGGTAGAAGGCGCCGATCAGGTTCTTGCCGAGTGGCGTGTCGATGGCGGTCTGTGAGACGAGATTCGAGTCAGGGACGGCGTAATCTGACGGGGCCCGGGAGAGAGAGAGGACGGACCTTGCCGCCGACGGCCGAGTCGACCATGGCGAGGAGGGTGGTCGGGATCTGGCAGTAGCGGATGCCGCGCATGAAGGTGGCGGCGACAAAGCCGACGAGGTCACCGACGACGCCGCCGCCGAGGGCGAGGACGACCGTGTCGCGGGTGCAGCGGTGCGACAGGAGGAAGTCCTCGAGCTCCGCCTTGGTCTCGCGCGACTTTGACGTCTCGCCCGGCTTGACGACGTGCGTGATCCATCGCGGACGGGTCGACGTGGCCGAGTCGGGGAGGGCGGCGATGGCGGCCTCGAACGCGGACGCGAACTCGTCGAGGTAGAGCGGGGCGAGGTGCGTGTCGGTGAAGAGGACGTAGGTCGACGAGGTGAGGGTGGTGAGGACCGTTTCGACGATGTAAGGGATGAGGTGGAAGCCGCAGTGGATCGTCTCGCTGCGGGATGAGGGAGGGTCAGGACAGGCTCGAGAGGACGAGAGGGAGACAGGGACGAGGCGTACCCGCCGAGGATGGCGACCTTGTCGATGGCCGTCTCTGTGCGCCCCTGTGTGCGTCGAGAGAGACTCTGTCAGTGGCCTGGTCGCTGTCGCAGCCGCCCCTGGGGCAGCGTGAGTGCCATCGGGCCGAGTCAAAAGAGCTGCCGGGGAGCGATGAGGACGGGAGGGGAAGCGGGCTCGCGGGCGTGTGGTAGGGGCAGAACGAGGCGGAGCTCACCATGGCGGTCGCTGTAGCTCGAGCTGGTGTGCTGCTGGTGGAGCCGAGTGGAGCGAGCGCCTAGGAGAGTTGCTCGTCGTCTGGCCGCGCTTTCTCCGGGGCAAAGTCCGCTCTCGCTGAGGCAGTGGGTACGCTGCAGTGGACAAGGCAGTAGACAGTCACAGTAGCAGCGCAAGCCCTCGATCTCCCACCGAGAGGAGCTGCGAGTTTCGACTCTGGCGCCGATGTCGTCGCTGTCTCTGCCCTCTCCCGCGCTAGCTCTCTCGCTCTTGCGCACCTCTGCACTGCGCCAGTACCACCAGACAAGACTCTAGATGGCCCGCAAGGTGCGCCCCTGTCCGTCCACCTCGTCGCCGTCCCGTTGCAGCTCGCTGAACTCGGCCTCTCTCTCGCAGAAGCCCGTGTCCGGCAAGGCCCGCAAGGCCCAGCTGCAGACCAAGCGCGCTGTCAAGAAGGCGTCCGTCACCCCTGTCCCCTTCCCCGCCGACGTCGTCTCGCACCCCGTCCTCGCCGCCCTCCTCTCGTCCAGCACCGCCTCCTCCTCGTCAACCTCCCACAACAAGCCTCACACGGGCTCGCGCGCCGAGCGCACCGGCGACCGCATCGGCCACCGCTTCCGCACCGCCGAGCAGCGCGAGCGCGACGAGGTCCACGGCGCCCGCATGGCCCTCGAGTCGCGCTTCGTCCGCCTCCCAAAGCACATCGCCGACGTCCACGCCCAGGTCGCCGCCACTGACAAGCTCGTGCGCCCCGTCGACGACGACATGGGCGTCCTCCGCCCCGAGGACCTCGTCCCGAGCCTCGAGCGACCGCCCGACCGCGACCCGGACGGCGGGGTGCACCCGGCGGCGGCGGCGGCGGCGGCGGCGAGCGAGTTCGAGCTCACGTGCCCCAAGCGGCCCAAGTGGAACTACAACCAGACCAAGCGCGAGGTCGAAAAGAACGAGGGTCCGTCCCCTCCTCTTCCCCTCGCTCGTCCTCGTCGACGCCTCCGCTGACCCGGCCCTGTTTCTCCCCCACCCAGAGGGCATCTTCAAGAAGTGGCTCGAGACGACCGACGACATCCTCGCTCGTGCAGCTGCGCCACCGCTGCACGAGGACGGCACGCTCGCGGGCCTGCCCGGGTCGCCCACCTTCTTCGAGCGCAACCTCAACGTCTGGCGCCAGCTGTGGCGCACGACTGAGGTCAGCGACATCCTCTGCGTCCTCATCGGTGCGTCCCGCTGTCTTCTCTCGAGGCGACCGAGTTTGGCCCTGACCCAGCGCCCGAGCAGACGTCCGCTTCCCCCTCCTCCACTATCCGCCCTCGCTCCGCACCTACCTGCGCACCATCAAGCCCGCGCCCAAACCCGTCGTCCTCGTCCTCACCAAGACGGACCTCGTCCCGCACGAGGTCGCCGACGCGTGGCGCGAGTACTTTGAGGAGCTCGAGGGCCCGGACGGCGCCAAGGTCGTCCTCATGGAGAGCTACCGCGAGGAGCAGCGCCGCGAGGAGACGCAGGGTCCGTCGTCGCCTCTTTCTCGTGCCCCTCGAACGTCCACCCTGACGCTCCTCCCAATTCTGCAGGCACCCAGCCCCGCTTCGTCCCCTCGGCCCCTCCACCTCTGCGCAACGCCCTCCTCACCGCCCTGCGCGACGCGCACGCCAAGCTCCTCACCCCTCCCCCGATCATTTCTTCCGTCCCCGAGCGCCTCGCACGCTGGCGGCCTCGTTGCCGCCGCACCGTCGACTGGGAGGGCGTCGCCGACGAGGGCGGCGAGACGGGCATCCGGGCGGGCAGGAGCGACTTTGGCGAGGTGCAGAAGCGGAGGAGGGGCAAGGGCAAAGGGCGAGGCGCGCGAGACGACGAGATGGAGCTGCGCGAGGAGGAGCCGGCGCACGAGGACGAGGGCGAGGGCGAGGGCGAGGCGAGCGCGGGCGAGCGCGATGAGGACGACGAGTTTCCGTTCTTGACGGTCGGCCTCATCGGGCAGCCCAACGTCGGCAAGTCGAGCTTGCTCAACGCGCTCCTCGGCCGCAAAGTCGTACGGGCGTCGCGCACGCCGGGCAAGACCAAAACGCTCCAGGTCCGTCCTCCTCTTTCCCTCTCTCGCTCTCTCGGCGCGGTCGTATCTCGGGAGCTAACTCCTTCTTGCCTGTGCGCGCAGACCATCTTCTGGAACGCCAACTTGCGCCTGTGCGACTGCCCCGGGCTCGTCTGCCCCTCGTCGGCCGGGTTCGAGCGCCAGGTGTGGGGCGGCGTCCTCCCGATCCAGAACGTCGAGGCCGTCCTACACCTCATCGGTCAGCGCCTGCCGCTCGAGAAGGTGCTGCGCCTGCGGCACGACGACGAGGTGTACGAGGCGGCGCAGGACGAGGACGAGTTCAGTCTTGACTCGGTCGAGGAGAGGAGGGCGGCGAGGCGGGCCAAGGAGGTGTCGAGGTGGACGACGGACGAGCTCCTCGCGGCGTACGCGGTCCAGCAAGGTGCGTCCCTCTCGTTTTCTCGATCTCGTCCCTTCTCTCGACGACGTACCTCTTCCTCCTCGAGCTCGCCGACCTGACCTCCCTTTGCCTCACCGGCAGGCTTTGTCACCGCCAAGGTCGGCCGTCCCGACATTTACCGCGCCGGCGCCTTTATCCTGCGCCTGCTCCACTCGTCGACCATCCCCTGGGCCTTTCACCCGCCCGGTCCGCCGCCATGCGCCGACAAGGAGGGCGTCTGGCTCTGCGGCTTCTCGCCGCGTGCGAGGGCGGCGAGCGAGCGCGACGGCGCGAGCGAGCTCGACGACGACGAGGACGGGCGAGGGACGGGCGACGAGGAGACGAGCGAGGAGGGGTCGGACGACGAGGAGGAGGACAGTGCGGACGACAAGGCGGTGCAGGCCGTCCGAGGGGCGTTCGCCGCGCTTGCCGTCGAAGGCGAGGACGACGACGAGGAGGACGACGACGCAGGAGGGAGCGAGGGCGGTTCAGACGGCGACGAGGAGGATGTGTTTGAATCGGGAGGAGACGACGAGTAGCTCGCCCGCTCTGCGATGTTCTGCGTCTCCCTCTGTGTGCTTGACGTCGAGAGCTCGACGTTCTGCAGCCAGATCAAGCTGGAATCGACCTCGAGAGCTTGGAAGGCCGGAGCAGCCACGGCTGTGGGGGCCCGAGCCGACGAGGCGAAGGCGGACAAACGCGCCCACTCGTCCTCGTCTTCCCTCACTCTCGACCACCTCGTTGTGCGGCTCGATGACTGCCACGATGGCCGACAAGGCCAACGGGTCGACAGCCACGACGCCCACCGCATCGGTCCGTCTCGCTCTCGCCCTCTCGCCCTTCCCCACACGGCCGCGCGCTGACCGGACCTCGCGCCTCGCCTGCAGCACACCACCAACCCGTTCGAGGCGCTCGCCAAGCCGCGCAGGCCTAGGGCCCACAAGGTGCGTCCCTGCCCGCTCTCGAGCCACACGAGCGCGACCTGACCTGGATCACCCGGCGTGGGGCAACGTGGTCGCTCGCAGCGCTCTGCAACCGGTGCGTACCCTCCTCCTTGCCGTACGGGCGTCTACAGAGCTGACATACATCCGCAGGCTTCATCCCCGACGGTCCCAAGCGCCTGAACGAGGTGAGCTCCCCACCTTCCCTTCCTCCTCGCGCGCGAGCTGACTCCCTTCGACCCTCGTAGATCTTTCCCGGTGAGGAGAAGGCGTGGAAGGACGCGCTCAAGTCCAACGAGCAGCAGCTCACCAACGACGTCAAGGACGTCAACGCCCAGATCTCGCGCCACGTCGAATTTACCCTTTCTCGCCAACCGTTCAACGTCGATGAGCTCGCCATGTACCAGGCCTCGGCCCTCTCGGTCCGCGACAAGCTCGTGCACAACTGGAACAAGACGCAGACCGCCCACACCGAGAAGAAGGTCAAGCGCGTGTGCGTCGAGCCTTCTCCTCTGTCCCTCGTCCACTTTCTCGACCTGACCTCACTTGCGTCCGCGCCCGCAGCTACTACTTCTCGCTCGAGTTCCTCCTCGGCCGCGCGTACGACAACGCGCTCCTCAACCTCGACATCAAGCAGTCGTACGACGAGAGCCTCAAGCAGCTCGGCTTCTCGCTCGAGGACGTCCTCGACGTCGAGCGCGACATGGGCCTCGGCAACGGCGGCCTCGGTCGCCTCGCCGCGTGCTACCTCGACTCGACGTCGACCTGTGGCATCCCTGCATGGGGCTACACGCTTCGCTACTCGAACGGTGCGTCCCACTCTCCCTCTCTGCGTCTCTCGGGCCTGCACGTCCGCTCGACTGACACTCTCTCTCGTCGCCAGGCATCTTCAAGCAGGTCCTGTCGAGCAAGGGCGACCAGGTCGAGATCCCGGACCCGTGGCTCGAGAGCGGCAACCCGTTCGAGGTCCCTCGCCTCGACGCCGCCGTCGAGATCAAGCTCTACGGGCAGGCCTCTCGCGGCGAGAACGGCAAAGCCGGGACGTGGACCGGCGGCACCGACATCCTCGCAGTGCCGTACGACATCCCGATCCCGGGCTTCCGCGCGACGGCCACGAACACGGTCAGGGCGTGGCGGAGTCGCGGCAAGGTGTCGTTCGACCTCGCGGCCTTTAACGCCGGTGCCTACGACGCCGCAGTGCGCGAGGCCGAGGAGGCCGAGACGATCACGCGTGTCCTGTACCCGTCCGAGAACCACGAGGCCGGAAAAACCCTCCGCCTCAAGCAGCAGTACTTTTGGACCGCCGCCTCGCTCCACGACATCTGTCGCAGGTTCCGCAAGCTGCGCGAGCCCTGGTCCGCGTTCCCGGACTACGTCGCCGTGCAGCTCAACGATACCCACCCAACTCTCGCCATCCCGGAGCTCCTCAGGATCCTGGTTGACGAGGAAGGTCAAGAGTGGGACGAGGCCTGGTCGATCGTCCGGCGCACGTTCTTCTACACCTGCCATACTTTGATGCCCGAAGCGCTCGAGACGTGGTCGGTCGACCTCGTCGGCTGGCTGCTGCCGCGCCACCTCCAGATCATCTACGACATCAACTTCCACTTCCTCGCCGACGTCGAGCGCAAGTTCCCCGGCGACCGCGCCCGCCTCGCGCGCATGAGCCTCATCGAGGAGGGCTCGCCCAAGCGCGTGCGCATGTCGCACCTCGCCGTCATCGGGTCGCACAAGGTCAACGGCGTCGCCGAGCTCCACTCGGAACTCGTCCAGTCGCAGCTCTTCCCCGACTTTGTCGAGTACCTCGGCCGCGACCACTTCACCAACGTCACCAATGGCATCACTGCGAGGCGCTGGCTGTACCAGGTGTGCCCCGAATCTCGCTCTCGTCCGCCTCGTGGTCGAGGACGAGCCAACCCTCTCCTGACCTCCTTCCTTACCCTTTCTCCCTACCTCTCCTTCCCCTACTCTCCTCCACCATCCGCTTCGCCTACCCTCTCGCCTCGTCACGTCGTCGCGGCCGCCCTCCTTCGTCGTCGCTAGTGCAACCCGGCCCTTTCGACCCTAATCACCAAGGCGCTCGGCAGCGAGCACTGGGTCACGCACCTCGACGAGCTCAAGAAGCTGCAGAAGTTCGCCAAGAACGAGGCGTTCAAGAAGGAGTGGGCCGCCGCCAAGCAGGTGCGTCCTCATCGCCTGTCCCTCCTCGACGACCTTCCCAAACTGACTTTGCCCCTCCCGCGCCTCGTCCTCCCCTCGCCCGCTCGTCGCAGGTCAACCGCAACCGCCTGTGCGACTACATCGAGTCGACGACCGAGCTCAAGGTCAACCGCAAGGCGCTCATCGACATCCAGGTCAAGGTGCGCACGGCCCTCTTCTCTCGCTTCGACTCTCGAGCGGGACCCTGACTCTCCTCTCCCTCTCTCACCCACACAGCGCATCCACGAGTACAAGCGCCAGTCGCTCAACATCCTCGGCGTCATCTACCGCTACCTCCAGCTCAAGAAGATGTCGCCCGAGGAGCGCAAGCGCGTCGTCCCTCGCCTCTCGGTCTTTGGCGGCAAGGCCGCGCCCGGCTACTACATGGCCAAGCGTGCGTCCCACTCTCTCTCTCTCTCTCTTCATACCCTTTGCGGGCAGGGAAAGGAGGAGGACTGACGAGCGCGGCCGCCCGCAGTCACCATCCGCCTCATCACGGCCGTCTCGAAGGTCCTCAACGCCGACGAGGAGATCCGCGAGTTCCTCAACGTCGCCTTCCTCGCCGACTACAGCGTCTCGCTCGCCGAGATCCTGATCCCGGCGAGCGACATCAGCGAGCACATCTCGACGGCCGGCACCGAGGCGTCCGGCGTGCGTCCCCTCGTTCGCCTTCTGCAGCGCCCAGTACAGCCCGTATTGACGCCGTCGTCGTGTCCCTGCAGACCTCGAACATGAAGTTCTTGTTGAACGGCGGCCTCTTGCTCGGCACGGTCGACGGCGCCAACGTCGAACTCGGCCAAGCGGCCGGCGAGGAGAACTGCTTCTTCTTCGGCGTCCTCGAGCCCGACGTGCGCGAGTTGCGCCTGCGCCACCAGGCCGGCCAGGCCCAGTACCCGCCGCAGCTGCTCGAGGTCGTCGACGCCCTGCGGTCGGGCCAGTTCAGCGCCGGCGAGGGCGACCTGTTCGAGCCGCTCCTGTCGACCATCTTCAACGGCGACTTCTACCTCCTGTCGGACGACTTCCTGTCGTACCTCGAGGCGCAGAAGATGGTCGACGCCGCCTTTGTCGACACGTCGTCGTGGGTCGAGAAGTGCATCAACACGACCGCGTGCATGGGCCGGTTCTCGTCGGACCGAGCGGTGCAGCAGTACGCCGAGGAGATCTGGAACGTCGAGCCGGTCGACATCTCGCAGTGACGAGGTGCGACGGTGCAGGACGGCGCAGGAGCAGGCGGAGGAGGTGACGAGGACGAGGACGAGGTGGGAGGAGGTCAAACCGTAGACGGGTCGCTTGCTGGTTTTCCTTTCTCTCTCTTCTGCAGTTGATCAGTGCCCTTCCAAGTGTCGACTTGTGCGTGTTTGCGCCGCAAAGGAAGCCCGAGAGCGCGAGCGAGACGGCGGAGAGCCACTCGACTCGAGCGACTCGGCGTGCGCGCCTCTCTCGCTCCTTCCTCCACCTCGCTCCCTCCTCGACTCGCGCCGAGGACCTCCTGTGTGCGTTCATCTGCCCACTGTACCTTGCACGAGGCCGCACACTGACTCTACCTTGCCCTCCTCGCTCCCCTCGCCCTCGCCGCCCCCCGCGTCGCCACCACAACACGCACCCCGACCCGCCCTCGCTCGCTCTCTCGCCACTTCCAGCGCACAAGCTCGACCCTCTCACACCTCAACACACCCTATCAAGCACCCACGACGTGCGTCCCTTGCCCTCTCGTGTCGTCGCGAGCGAGCGAGGCGTGACCGGGTCCTGCTCGGTGGGGAGGGGCCGGCGCAGTCGTCACCGAGGCGGTGCACGCGCGTGGGCATCGCCTGCAGCGACGAGGCAGGCCTGTGCGGTATCAGGGACGGGCGAGCGGTGCGCGGCTCGGCTCGCGTCGAGGTGGCACTGCTCGAGGACTCGAGCGACCGCGGCGGGCCGATGAGCGGGGCGATCGGGCATCAGCCAGCGAGTACACCGATTCTGCGTACTGACACTGTCTACCGCCCTCTGCAGCATGCAGATCTTCGTCAAGACCCTGACTGGCAAGACGATCACGCTCGAGGTCGAGTCGTCCGACACGATCGACAACGTGCGTCCCACTCTCCCTCTCTCTCCCGCCGCCTCTAGCCCAGTCACTGACTCGCCTCACGACCTTCAGGTCAAGGCTAAGATTCAAGACAAGGAGGGCATCCCGCCCGACCAGCAGCGCCTGATCTTTGCCGGCAAGCAGCTCGAGGACGGCCGCACCCTCTCGGACTACAACATCCAGAAGGAGTCGACGCTCCACCTCGTCCTGCGCCTCCGTGGCGGCATGCAGATCTTTGTCAAGAGTGCGTCCGCTCGTCCCCTCGTCCTCTCGGGCGCCGTCGGTCGCCCCTCGCTCGGACCTCGTCACTGACCCTCTGTCTCCCTCTTCCTCTCTCTTCCTCCCTTTTTCCCCCCCTCTCCCGTCCTCTCTCGTCCTCTCCCGCCCTCTCTCTCGTGCGCCCACAGCCCTCACCGGCAAGACGATCACGCTCGAGGTCGAGTCGTCCGACACGATCGACAACGTGCGTCCCACTCTCCCTCTCTCTCTCTCCCGCCGCCTCCAGCCCAGTCACTGACTCGCCCCACGCACTCCAGGTCAAGGCTAAGATTCAAGACAAGGAGGGCATCCCGCCCGACCAGCAGCGCCTGATCTTTGCCGGCAAGCAGCTCGAGGACGGCCGCACCCTCTCGGACTACAACATCCAGAAGGAGTCGACGCTCCACCTCGTCCTGCGCCTCCGTGGCGGCATGCAGATCTTTGTCAAGAGTGCGTCCGCTCGTCCCCTCGTCCTCTCGGGCGCCGTCGGTCGCCCCTCGCTCGGACCTCGTCACTGACCCTCTCTCTCCCTCTTCCTCTCTCTTCCTCCCTTTTTCCTCCCCTCTCCCGTCCTCTCTCGTCCTCTCCCGCCCTCTCTCTCGTGCGCCCACAGCCCTCACCGGCAAGACGATCACGCTCGAGGTCGAGTCGTCCGACACGATCGACAACGTGCGTCCCACTCTCCCTCTCTCTCTCTCCCGCCGCCTCCAGCCCAGTCACTGACTCGCCCCACGCACTCCAGGTCAAGGCTAAGATTCAAGACAAGGAGGGCATCCCGCCCGACCAGCAGCGCCTGATCTTTGCCGGCAAGCAGCTCGAGGACGGCCGCACCCTCTCGGACTACAACATCCAGAAGGAGTCGACGCTTCACCTCGTCCTGCGCCTCCGTGGCGGCATGCAGATCTAGCCCCTACCTGTCGACCCGTTGCATTACGAGCCCTTCACGTGCTGCCCTGTCACCCGTCGCCGGCGAGGATCCGTTCTCGCTCGAGGCCTTGGGGCACGCTTTTCCCGTCCTCTGACTCTCTCGTCAAGACACTCTCGCTTGCTGTTCCGGGCCGACAGGCAAAGAAGAGAGAGGACAACTATACAGCATGAACACGGACAAGCGGGACGACCCTCCTCCTCGACCACCTCGACCCTCGACGACCGCTCGAGCCCTCACTCCTCGCCACAGCTGGCCCGGCTCGCGAGCTCGGCCTCGTGCTTCTGCGGGAGCGAGAACGCGTGTGCGTGTCAGTGCGCAGGTCGGGGAGCGAGGGAGAGAGAACGAGGGCCGGGACGCACCTTGTAGAGGGCGCTCACGCGCTTCCTCACGACGGCGTGCTTGAGGTTCGGGTTCTCGTCGAGGATCCTGGCGCTCTCGATCTGCGTGGTGGTGGTGCCCGAGCAGAGTCAGCGGTGCTGCGGGAGAGCCACGAGCGGGCTTGACAGGAAGACGGCGACTCACGGCGTAGAAGTGGCGCCAGACGGCAAAGGGGTCGGTTCTGCGGGTGCGCGCAAGCGCGGTCAGACCGTTGACAGAGAGGAGAAGGTGGGACGAAGGACGCACCCATCGGCCTTGGCCTTGCTGGGCGGAGCTGCTCGAGGAGGAGGAGGAGGAGTGGGTCAGCTCTCGCGCCCGGGAGGCACAGAGGGAAGGAAAGTGGGCGCACCGGACTTGGTGTTCTTCTGCCTGGCCATGTCGAGCGTGGATGCGGGTGCTGTGCTGCGGTGGAAGGCGGAGAATGATGGTGACGACGAGGAGGCGCGTGCGGACAGAAGGATCAGTTGCGGGCCTTTGAGGACTTATCCAGGGGGAGCCTGACGCACCGAGAGGTCGACTTGAGCGGTGCGAATTGGGGTCGAGTGGTGGGAAGGAAGGAGAGAGGTGAGGCGAGTGAGCGAGCGAGGTCAACTCGCTCGCCGCTGTCGATGTCAACGAGCCAACTTGCCCGGCTCACGGCGCCTTTCGGCTGCTCGCGCCAGGACAGATCTGCTCGCAAGAGTGTCGTACGCGTCGCACCCGGTCAGGCGAAGCTGGACAAGGAGAGCGAGAGACAAGGCGGTGCAAGTTGACCTTGTCCGTCCGCCCCGCGCTCGCCTTTCTCCTCCTCCCTCTACCTCGCTTTCCCCGAGACGAGCTCCTCGCTCCTCCTGTGCCTCTCGCACCCTTTCTTCGTACGCTCCAGTCCGGGTCGAGCCCTTCTCAGAGCCGCGCGCCTTGTTTCCTCGCACGGACCTTTGTCCTCGCCCGCAGCTTCTCTACCTCGCTCCCGCCTGTCAACGATGAGCGACAACTCTGCCTTCGGTACGTCGACCAGATCACTCGAGTCCGACATGCAGTTCATGCGGTTCCTCGTCCCCGTGCAGACTCGCTCCCGGCCGACGTCAAGCCTCAGACGGCGGCCTATCCCGGCTACGAGCACACTGGCTCCTACGTCTTCTGCGTCGAGTACCAGAAGCTCTACGTCGACACAGAGCAAGCTCTCAAGGCCAAGGGCCCGCTCAAGAAGCTCAAGAAGGTGCAGAAGCGCGTCGACAAGCAGTGGTTCAAGGTGCGCTCTTGCTCTCTGCACCTTGAGCGTATCCTCGGCCTGACGTTCTGCATCGTCTGCAGATGCACCCTGTCGACAAAGAAATCGACGCCGCCGGCGAGAACGACGGCGAGAACGACGGCGAGATCTAGCCGGCGAGAGCTCACTGCGTCCGTGCGGGCGAGAGCGCGAGGGGCGAGACGAGCTGCAACGCTTTCGAGACGCTTGTCAGGGTCCGTCACGCCCTTTTCGGCGACGAGAGAGAGAGACTTGCGCGCGACGCGAGCGAACGAGAGCAAGAGCGCGAGAGGCCCGTGCGGAGCACGCTTGGGAAGGTCGACTCGAGCCACCGCTCGTAGAAGCCGTTCGGCCAGCCTCGACTTTCACTGCAGCGGCAGAACGCTCGCTGGGCAGAATTGCGCCAACGTGAAGCGTCAAGAAGCAAAAAGGAAAGCATGGGAGAACCAGCAAAAGGTGAATGCCCCCACACAGGATCGAACTATGGACCTTTCGCTTACTAGGCGAACGCTCTGCCACTGAGCCATAGGGGCTTGCTTGATGGCCGTCGATGAATCAAGCGTACATATGGCGCGTAGCTATGCGGGCAGTCAAAAAGGGGTCCATGCGCATCGGCGCCCGGCCTGCTCGACTTCAATGCGCTCCTCCTCACGAACCGTGCTTCGCCTCGTGAGATGCTGCCTCTCTCTAACACGGTCCGGCAGAGGCGCAGGGCGAGCGGGAGAGCAGTGGCTCTCGAGAAGCTTCCGCTCTCGCGCTGCGTCGCGGAACGGGCCGACGGAGAGAACGCTGAATGGGAGAGGCTCGCTCGTTACACACGGACCGTGACGGCTGCGAGCCCTGGACCCTGCGCCGGCGCCGACGCAGTCAACGCGCTCGAGCCCGTCCAACCTTCTCAAGCTGCCTCGCACGGACCTTCCCTCGCCGACACTCCTCCAGATGCCGAGTTCTCGCACCGTGAGCCGCACGCCGCGCCGCCGCCTCGCCCTCGCATGGCTCGACCAACGCCGGCAGGATCGCAGCACGCGACGAGCTCGACAGCGACCTCGTCGCGCTCGAGAGAAAGCGAGAGACGCAGCTGGAGCAGAGAAGCGCAGCCGAACAGCCTCGCTGACTGCGGAAAATGCGATGTTGCGCTGCTGCTCGTTCGTTTAGCTAACCTCCCTCCTCCTCGCTCCGATTCCGACTCCTGCTCCTCGCGCGCTCCTCTCGCCGCTCCCTCGAGTGCGCCATCTGCTCTGCCCCTCGCTCGTACGGCGACGGCGACGGCGACAACGACGCCCGCCCGCCGCCAAAGATGCTGCGCCCCGCCTCTGGGCTCGAGCCTGGTCGAGGCGCGCTCGGGCCTCCTCCTGCTCGTCGTCGTGCCGGGCTCGTCTCCCTCGACGACGACGACGACGACGACGCGCTCCGTGCGCGCTCCTGGGCCGAGTTGGGCGGCGCCTCTCGGCCCTTGCGGCTGGCCCACACGCGGTCGAGGGCGCCGACGCGGCCCATCTCCTCCTTGAGGAGGACGAGTTCGCCGAGCGCGCGCACCGTATCGGTGCGGACGCCGTACTTGCGGCCGAGGGCGACGACGTACCCGTTGATGTACTCGATCTCGGTGCGCGAGGGGAGCGAGGGGGCGTTGTGCGCGAGCGAAAAGGTGTGGGGCGCGCCCGAGTCGAGCGAGAGGAGGTCCGACAGGGTCGACGAGAGGTTGGGCGCCGTCTTGAACAGGACGCGCTGGGTGTAGTCGAGGAGGGAGAGGGCGGACAGGGGGTGTGAGGGTGAGAGGGCGGGTGGAGGAGGGTGCGAGGCTGGTGGAGGAGGAGGAGGAGAGGGAGGAGAAGAGGAATGGGGCGCCGAGTCATCCTCCTCGCGAGAGGGCGACGACGGGTCGTACGCCGGTGGTGGCGGCGCCCACGTGCCCTCCTCGACGGCGAGCTGTGCGGCAAACACGTCCGAGCACTCGCGGCACACGGCCTCGATGAGGCGCTTGGCCTTCTGGCTCCCGACGAGCGCGCCGTTGTTGACGCCGACGACGGCCGTGAGCGAGTTGACGCTCGCGTTGACGGCGAGCTTCTGGAGCTGGGCGACCTGGAGGGCGGGCAGGGGGAGCCACGCCGGGTGCAGCTCGTTGCACGCGAGGAGCGACGACAGGGTCGTGTGGAGGTTGGCCGTCGCGGGCGTGTACGGCAGGTGCTCGAGCGTCGGCTGGACGAGCGACCGCGGGTTGAGGAGCGGGTTGTCGGCGTGGTCGCCCCACGACGGGCTCGGGTACTCGGCGAGGGACGACAGGACGGCGCGGTTCGGGAGGACGCCAAACTTGAGGTCGCCGAGGCCGGCGTGGACGAAATGGCCGGGCGCCTTGCGCCACGCGCCGTGGGTCGTCGTCGCGCAGACAAAGCTCGGGCGGCCGCCGAGGTCGCCCCACCGGCTGCGGCTCGCGGCGTCGCCCTGGCCCTCGAGCGCGTCCGAGCGGTCCTCGGGCCAGTACTTTTCGAGGAGCGACTCGAGGACGCCCATGCCGTTCTGACACAGGACGATGACGCTGCGCGACGTGATGCGGCCGAGGAGGTGGCGCAGGGCGGGCAGGGTCGAGGGCGCTTTGGTCGAGATGACGAGCGTGTGGATCATGTCCTGGCGGTTCCACATGCGCGGGTCGATGCGGGCGTGGTGGCGCGACGACGACGGCGACTTGAACGAGTCCTGGTCCCACGCGTCTTGCGGCGAGCGCGTGAGCTCCATCTCGAGGTTGGTCGTGCGGCGCGCGAGGCCGTTGCGCTCGACGGTGAGGGTGCCGGTCGGACAGCCGTCGGGGTCGGTGGCGGGGCCGGTCGAGCTGGCGGTCGAGGTCGAGGTGGACGGGTTGAGGAGCTGCTGGGCGATGTCCTTGCGGCGGAGGATGAGGCGGACCTGAGTCGCAGGGAGGTGGGCGAGGTTGGTCGCGAGGAGGGAGCCGATGGACCCGACTGCGTGGCGAGGGGTTGGGTCAGGTCGGCGCTCATTGGAGAGCTCAAAGGAGAGATTGGACGGACCGCCCAAGCAGTGGAAGCGCATGATGCGCGCGTCGACCGGCGGTGACCCTCAGGCGAGAGGCGAGGCCGACTGCTGGTGATCGCCTCGCTCGGTGGCTGCGCTCGTCGGTGCAAGCTCTTGTGCGGCTTGTGCGAGTAGGTGTGCGGCTGAACGGCCTGGGTCGGCGCAGTTGCGGGCGAGCTAGAGGGCGGTGCGAGATCGGGGAGCAGGAAAGGAGTGTCGTCCACCTCTGGCGCCAGTTCGAGTCGGGCTGTCGTAGTCGTGCGGTTGCGCCGAGTCGGGAACAGCTGCAAGGGAGCCCGCCCGAGGCGAGGCGGTCGTGGTCGAGGCGAGGTCGAGATGGACTTGGTCGCGGAGAGCGAGCGACTCGCTCTCTCGCTCCTCTCTCACGCCTGCAAGCACCGAGCCCAGCTGCTCGAGTCCATCCTGCACCTCATGGCAGACGCAGCACCCGCACCCGCACCGCCCGCAGCTCCCGAGGCCGGGCCCTCAACCTCCCCCGCTCCCCCTCCGCCAGCCGCGCCAACCGACCAAGACGGCGACGCCAGCATGCCCGCTGCTCCCCAAGCCAACGACGACCACAAGCCTGAAGACGAGCCCCTACCCGAAGGCGCGACCGAGGTCCTCTACATCAACAACCTCAACGAGAAGATCAAGCTCCCGAGTCCGTCCCTCTCTCTCTCCACCTCGTCCTCCAGCCCCGCAGCACTGACCGCGGTCCCACCCACACAGTCATGAAGGAGTCGCTCAAGGTCCTCTTCCGCGAGTACGGCCGCGTCCTCGGCGTCACGGCCCACTCGAACGTCCGCATGCGCGGCCAGGCCTTTGTCACGCTCGACTCGAAGCACGCCGCCGCAAAAGCCGTCTACGAGGTGCAAAAGTTCCCGCTGTACGGCAGGGCCATGGTGCGTCGCCCCCTCTCTCTGCCTTGCGCGACTCGGACGATCGAGAGCCGGACAAGCCTGACCCTCCTCCTCCTCCTTCTGCGCCTCGTGCACCCACAGCAACTCGCGTTTGCCCGAACAGAGTCGGACGCGCTCGTGCAGAAGCGCAAGCCCGAGGCCATGGACGACCACAAGCAGGAGCGGCTCGAGCGCAAGAGTGCGTCGTCGCACCCCCTTTCCGTCCCTCTCCCTCGCCCACTAACTCTCCTCCATCTCGCCCACGCGCAGGGGAGTCTCGGAGGAACGACCCGGCACGGCGGAAGAAACTCGCGCAGCGAGCCGCAGCAAAGCAAGGTGCGCCCTCGCCCTCTCTCCCTCTCCCCGCCCCGTCAGCCTCACTCACCCGGACCTCGCCCACCCGCAGCTGCCGAGACGGGCGTCGCGCCCGTCGCCGCCGCCGCGAGCGCACCGCGGCGCGTCGTCCAGATGCCCGACGAGTACCTGCCGCCCAACAAGATCCTGTTTGTCCAGAACTTGCCCGACGACACGACCAAGGACAAGCTCGAGGCCCTCTTCCGCCCGTGCGTCCTCCTCTCTGTTGTCCTCGCCCTCTCTCTGTCGCAGCGAGCTCACCTCGGCGCCTCCACGCGCACGCGCAGGTACCCAAACCTCGTCGAGGTGCGCACCATCCCCGGGCGGCGCACGATCGCCTTTGTCGAGTTCGACGACGAGCCCTCGTCGGCCGTCGCGCGCGACGCGCTGCACAACTCGGCGTTCGGGTCGGCCGGAGACGGAGAGCCCAACAAGATCAAGGTGACGTTTGCCAAGAAGGGCTGAGCGGCGAGAGAGGGGGGCGAGGGCGAGAGGGGGTGACTGTCGCCGACGTGTGCAACTCTGTACGAGCTTTTTGCTGTTCTCGCAGAGCGCGGCGACGACGAGAGCTGGTCGAGAAAGCGACAGGACGACAGAGCTCTTGAGAACTGGACTTTCGCTCCCTCCTCTCTCCCGGGACGCACTTGCAGGAGAAGGAGCAACCGGCGATAGTTCCTTCGCGACGACGAAAGCTACTGACGAGTGCTAGAGAGAGAAAAGAAGAGGCGAGGGGCCGGCAAAACTCACGGCGAGGAGGGGGGGACGAAGCGGGACGATTCGGGGCGGCGACAAGCAGAAGATGGGGCTGAGAAGGAAGGGGGGAAAGGGTACGTGTGCTGCGACGAGGACGACGAAAAGGTCAGGTCTTGTGGCGGCGAGAGAGAGAGACAGGACATGAGGAGAAAACGGCGGCGCACCGGGGTTTTTGGTCCGAGGGCCCGTGCGCGCGAGACGAGCCCGGCCAGGCGGCGAGGACGACGAGGCGGCTAGTTCTCCTTGTGGTTTTCCTTGTGCTCCTGCGCGGCGGGTGCGACAGGGTCAGTGCCGCTCGGCGAGGTCGAGGCGAGAGGGCCCAGGAGAGAGGGAAAGGGGGAGACGCACAGCCCAGAGACGCGACGCCTCCTTGCGACGCTGCTGGCCGTCCATGTCGGGCTCGTTCTCCTTGAGATCGGCGATCGTCTCCTGCAGACGTGGCGCGCGAGGACGGGTCGGGAGGGAGGGGGAAAAGAGGGCGAGGGGGTCAGGGTGCGCACGCTCGAGGCGCTCGTTCGAGGACTGGCCGACGCACCGAGTAGAACTGTAGCGAGTGCGCGAGTGGGAGGGATAGGGACGAGTGACAGTCAGTGAGGTGCTCGCAGGCCGTCGTCGCTGGCCGAGAGAAAGAGAGCGAGCGGGCGCACCTTCTGATAGTCGCTCAGCGCGCGCTTTGGCTGCCCGCCCGAGCCCGACTTCTTCTTCTTGCTGCCCGAGTCGGACGCCTTGGGCGAGGCTGTGCGAGGGCCAGGGGTTCAAACGGGTCCGTCAAGGACAAGCCAGGCTGAGGGCAACTCGTCGAGTGGACGAGAGTCTCTCCTGCCGCACCTCGCTGACGACGAGAGAGAGAGAGGACGCACACTTCTTCTTGGTGGTCGTCTTGGCCATTGTGTGTGCTGAGGGACGAGGTCGTGCGGGTGTCGGTCGGGGAGCGGAGAGCGGGACAGGAGAGGGCCGGCGAGTCCGCGGAGGGCTTTGGGCGACTTTGGCGGGCGGGGACAAGTCGAGGCGGGTAGTAGACGGGTCGAGGCGGTCGCTGTGGTGGTGCTTGATGCGGTGAGACAGTTTGAGCGCGGGGCGAGTGGCGGGAAGGAAGAAGAGAGGCGAAACGAGGCGGCCGACTCGCCTTGGTCGGCCACTCGCCGCCCGCGCCGAGAGGCTCGTGTCGACCACCCCGCGACACGGGCACAGCTGTTCCGCGGCATCGATAGAGCACCTCGTCGGAGGCATACACACGAGAGAAATCGCGTCCACGACAAGTACTGAGCGAGCAACGCCGGAAACCAGTGTCGACGAGGTGAGCGAGGTCGGCGAGCCAGTGTCGCTCTCTGGAGGCTGGACGCAGGCCTCTCGGGCTGTTGCTGAGGACTTTCTGAGAGCATTCGCCGTGCCCGAGTCCCTGCAAGAGGTGCCGCCGGTTGTCGCCCGGGCGAGAGAGTTCATCTCCTCCTCCTCGCCGTCCTTCCTCAAGTTCACCACCGCTCACCATGCTCCGCTCCACCCTGAGCTGCACCCGTCACGCCCAGCCCCTGTGCAAACACGCCGTCCGCGCCTACGCCACCAAGCAGGCCGCCGGGTCCGGCAGCCGCAAAAAGGCCGCCCAGGTCACTTCGCGAGGCCGACCAGGCGAGGGCGGCTCCGACTCCAAGATCGAGACCATCAAGCAGGTGCGCACACGCTCCTCTCTCTGCCCTCCCCCTTGCCGCACGCACCGAGCTGACCTGTCTCCTCCCCTCCTCCCCTCCTCCTCTTCATCTCCCCCTCCTCCTCGACTTCGAACCAGACCCTCCTCGAGTCCGACCCGACAGAGGCCGAGCGCCTCGAAGCCCTGCGCCGCGTCATCCCCTCTGCCGAAGCGCACGACACGATCCAGCGCGCGTGGCAGCTCCACCAGCGGCACCGCCGCGAGGCCCACACGGCCGAACTCGCGCGCAAGTACGCCGCCATGCGCTCGGCCCTGTCGCTCCTCGAGGACACGAGCCCGCACCTGTACCGCACCGCGACCGAGGGCCGCAAGTTCCAGAACGTCGACCAGGCGCGCGCGACCAACGCGAGGCTCGAGGGCCTCGTCCCGCGCGAGATGAGGGTCCCGACCGAGCGGCCGGGCGCGCAGCTGTGGGACCACGAGTGGAAGGCGCCCGTGCAGCAGCAGCAGCAGGCGACGGGAGCGGGCGAGGGCAAGGAGGCGGCAGCGTCGCGAGCCAAGGCATGAGCCGGACGACGTGTGCAACGACGATGCGAGTCACGCGAGATGAACGAGCTCGAGACTATTGCAGAGAGCGGCGCAGCACGCACGCTCGAGAGGGGAATAAGGGAGGTGAAAGAGAGAGGGTCTACACAGGGTGCGGTACAAGAACGGCAGGGTGGGGGACAGCTGGGACGACGACGACGACGACGACGGACGAGGACAGGGAAGGGGACTAGATAAAGGGCGCAAAGGACATGGCGCTCGAGAACGAGTCGAGGAGGTCGCGTCGGCCGCTCATCTGGAACAGGTTGACGTGCCCGGCCTGGTCGGTCGAGCCCGGTCGAGATGCGCCGTCGTTGGACGCGCAGCCGAGCACCATGTGGTGAGGGTGGAACGCGAGGAACGTCATGTCCGACTGCTTCGTGTTGAGAAGACCGGCTGTCGACGTTTGAGAGGTCAGGCGAGAACGCTGGGAGTGCGAAAGAGAGAGGACGGACAGGTGTTGCGGAACTTGCTGAACGGCTCGCTCAGGTCGTTCATGTTCCACAGCTTGATGACGTTGTACGCCGAGCTCCTGCGCGTCGTCGAGAGCGTCAGGGAGGTGCCGGACGAGAGGAAGAGAGAGAGGGGGACGGACGTCGCAAAGATGGGCGCGTGCTCGTGGACCGTCATCTGGGTGAGCCCGCCCTGGTGCGCCTGCAGCGTCTGGATCGGCTCGGTCAAGCGGATGTCCCACAGGCACACCTGGCCGCCGAGGCTGTGGGGCGCGAAAACCGACGTCAGGGCGGCGCGAGAGAGAGAGAGAGGAGGGAAGGAGAGGGAGAGGACGAGGACGCACTCGGCCGTCGCGAGCTCGCGGTTCCCGCCGCGCTGCATGTGCACGTTCTGGACCCACGCGTCGTGCACGCCCGTGTACCGCCGCACCATGTTGTCGCGCTGCGCGAGGCGCCGGTCGTACACGCGCAGGCCGCCGTCGCCGAACCCGGCGACGACGATGTTGCCCGCCACCTGGTCGCACGTGAGCGACGTCAGGCACGAGTTGGCGCGGGTCGGGAGGTCCTGCAGGATGTGCGGGACGCAGAGTGAGTTCGGGGCTCGACGGCCAGGACGCAGAAGAAGAAAGAGGAGGAGAGGGCGCACCTGGATCGTGAGCTCTCGCGTCGCGTCCCACACGCGGATGTACTTGACGTTGCCGCCCATGAGGAGCTGCCCTCGCCCCTGTTGCCACTCGACGACGAGCCCGGCGTCGGCCTGGTTCGAGCTGCGGGGCAGCTCCTCCGAGATGCCCTGGAACGACGAGATGAGCTTGACGTCGTCGGGCGACTCGTACGAGCGGAAGAGGCGGACGTCGCCGTCGGCTGCAGGCAGGGCACCGTCAGTCGAGGCGGCTTGAGGAGAGGGCACGAGAGAGAGAGAGGCAGGACGCACCGGTCGCCGTCATGAGCAGGGCGATGTCGTCCTCGTTGACGAAGCGCAAGGTCGTGATGGGCACGCCCTTTGGCGTCCCGTTGGCGAAGTAGTTGAGGCGCGAGTTTTTCTCCCACTCATAGACGGCGATGTTGCCGCGGTCGTCGGCCGAGATGAGGTGCGGCTCGAACTGGTGGAACATGATGCGCGACGGGACCGTCTCGCCGCCGAAGAAGCCGACTTGCTCGTCCCACCGTGTCCGGCCTGCAGAAGGCGCACGAGCGAGTCAGGGTTCTCGTCCTTTGTCGAGAGGAAGAGAGAGGGAGAGAGAGGGAGGGCGAGGACGCACACGCTGGGACCTTCATCGGCTGGGTCTTGATGATGACCGCCTCGTTCCTCTGCCGCCGCCACACGCGCTCGTTGTGCAACATGCTGCCCGGCTCGTCGGCCTCGGTCGCCCGCATCTGGCTCTCCTTGTAGTACTCAAGCGCAAAGTCGAAAAAGGTGCCCTTGAGCGGGAACACCTGGTCGGGCGCCTCGTCGTGCGCCGTCGCGACGTTCGGCGCCGCTCGTCGGCGCTTGAGCCGCTCTTCGTCCTGCGCGACGAGCGCCGCGATGATGCCCTCGACCTGCGACGCGTCGACCTGGGCCGCTGCGGGACGGGCCTTGGTCGTCGACGACGGCCGACCGACTCGCGCCTGGAGGTGCCGCAGCGAGTCGAACGACGCAGACGAGGCGCCGCTCGTCGTCGGGCCCGTGCCGCCGCCGCCGCCGCCGCCGCCGCCGTCCTGCTGCGGCGTCCTCGAGCCGGCGCCGCCCTCGCTCGCGCCGTACAGCTGCTTGCCGTCCGTGCGCAGCGACGCCGGGCTGCCGCCAGGCGTCGGCGACGGTGCGGCCGAGAGCGGCGCAGGCGACTGGGCGCCGCCGCCGCCCTCGAGCGCGAGGTGCGCGAGGCTCTTCATGGCCGTCGCCGTGCGCTTGAGCGTGCCGCCGAGGCCGCCGCCGCTCGACGACGAGCGCTCGGCGCCCGACGGCGTGACGTGGCCGTTGCTCCTCGGCGGGTGCGGCCTGAGCCCGCCGGCGCCGCCGTGACCGGCACCACCGCCGCCGCCGCCGCCGCTGCCGGCGTCGCGCACTGGGTGCGGGAGGAGCGTCGCGTCGTGCTGAAGCGCACTTGGCGCAGGAGGTGGCAGGACGCGAGGGCGCGAGACGTCGGGCTGAGCCGAGGCGAGGACGGCGCGTGCGGCGGGACCGAGAGGCGACATGAACAGGAGGTCGAAGATGTAGTCGACGACCTGCTGCGCCGGCTCGGCGATCTCGAGCTGCGGGTCGGCCGTGAGCTGCGTCAAGGTCTGGTACATGCAGCTGAACATGGTGGCTTGGAAGGCCGGGTTGGACGGGCCCTCGTTGCTCTCGGCGGCGGCGTTCAGGCTCGCGGCGATGGCGGCGATGCGCTCCTCGATGCCGCTCGTCGGCGCCTCGCCCGCGTTGGCCTGGTGGACGCGCTCGACGATGGCGCGGTACGCGGCGATGACGAAGTGGCCCTGGTGCTCGTTGACGATCGACGACAGGAGGACGATGAGCTCGCGCCGCACGGGCGGGCTCCCGTCCGACGACGACTTGAGCGTGGCCATGGCGACGCCGAGCTCGACGTCGGTCTGCTCGCCGGGCGACAGGCCCGACGCAGGCCCGCTGCAGGCGATCGACCGGCCGAACCGCTTGGACGGGTTGCTCGACCCGGTCGTGCCGAGGAGCGTCCCGAGGGCGTACATGACGGCGGCGCGCACCTCGGGCACCGGGTCGACGTGGAGCAGGTTGCAGAACACCTCGTGGACGCGCGCCTTGACGCCCATGCCCTTGGCCTCCTCGAAGTCGTCCCACATCATCGCGATGCAGAGGATGGCCCACTGGCGCAGGAGCGGGTCGTCGTCGCGCAGGTGGACGAGGCACGACTCGAACACGTTGACGCGCAGGCACGCGACCTGGCCCGGCTTGTAGTCGCGGCAGCACACGGCGAGGATGAAGGCGCACATGGCCCGGTGCTCCGACACGTTCGGGAGCGGCAACTGGCTCGTCGACGACGGGTGCAGGACCGACACGAAGTAGGTGTACGGCGCCTGGTCGACGCCTCGCGCGCTCGGGTACGCCTGCTTGAGGAGGTCCTCCTTGCAGCCCTCGTACACGGCGAGGATGCGGGCCCAGATGTAGATGAGGACCGGCTTGAGCTCGACGGCGGGCGCCTGCAAGAGGCGCAGGACGTAGGCGAAGATGCCGATCGACAGGGCGACGTTGACGGCCCACGGGCCGAGGTCGAGGAACTTGCACAGGAGGATGAGGGCCTTGAGGCGGTGCGCCTGCGACAGGAGGACCTGGAGGACGACGGGGAGCTGCTCCGGGTGTCGCCGCTTGGCGACCGTGCCCTGCTCGAGCCAGATCTCGAACGCCGTCAACTGCTCGGCGAAGAAGGTCGAGTGGACGTAGGGCGACGGCGGTTGGGGAGGGAGTGGCGGAGGCGGCTGGTCGGGGAGGGTCGGCGGTTGCGGCGGGAGCGAGTCGAGCCACCGCTGCTCGTGCTCGAGGAGGGTCGGGAGCTGGGCGAGGCACATGTCGACGGCGAGGTCCCAGCTGTCCCACAACGGGTGGTTGTGCGTGTGCGGCAACGCCGGGACCGAGATGGGCGTGCACTCGTAAAAACGCATGATGCGCTCGGCGAGGAGGAACCCGCGGAAGAGGGCCGCGACGACGAGGTCGTGGCGGAACAACTTCTGGAACAGGTCGCGCGGCAGGCAGTTCCACGCGATCGTGTCGGTGACGGCCGTAAAGATCCAGTTGAGCTCGCCGAGCGGCGTGCGGCGGTCGTTGAGCTTGCCCGGGATCTTGAGGAGCATGTCGAGGTCGAGGTTCGACTTGAGCGGGTTGCGCAGGAGGAAGAACCGCAGGGCGATCTCGATCGGCGACGTGAGGCAACACGTGAACAGGTCGGCCGGCAGGTCCGGGTTCATCGGGAGCTGCTCGTGCGCGAGGCAGGCGCCGAGCTGGATCGTGTCGCGGAACGGGACGTTGGGCAGTTGCGGGCCCGGGTTGACCGGCTGGCCGTCGGGCCCGACCGCGCCCTGCGGCGGCTGCTGCTGCTGCTGCTGCTGCGCCGCCGCCGCCGCCTCGCGCTGCAGCTCGTCGTCGCGCTTCTTGCTGAACTCTTGCACCTTGGACACGATGTTGCCCGCCGCCGAGCAGTCCCACACGTAGATGGCGGGCGAGCCGATCCAGGCAATGATCTCGGCGAGCGAGACGGGGATGTACTGCGTGTACTGGCGGTTGAAGAGCCACAGCTCGCCCGACGGGGTCGGCTTGGGGACGCCGTGGCCGTTGTAGTGGAACAGGACGCGCTCGCTCTTTGCCGTCTTGCGCGCCGCGGTGCAGAACTTTTTGGCGTCCTCGATCGGCGGGTCGAGGTACTGCTTGTACCGCGTCTTGGGCGTCGCGGCGAGGTTCTCGAACTGCTGCTGCAGGTTCTTGCCGATGCGCTCCATGGCCTTGTCCTTGGCGATCGCGTACGGGTCGACCCAGCACTCGAGTTTGGCGCACGGGTCCGTCTTGATGACGTCGGGCGGGTCGTAGCCGATGCGCAGGCAGACGACGAGGCATGCGGCGGCGGTGCGGATGCGGTCGCGGTTGCGCCAGTCGATCTTGTTGTCGGCCGGGTCGGTCGAGGGAGGTTTGGGCAGGCCGACGCGCTCATGGCGGGTGTCGGTCCAATACAGGAAGTAGTTCTTCTCGAGGGCCTGTGTGTGCGGGTTTGGCGTCAGTGAGAGGGCCCTCGAGCCGGGCAAAGGTGGGGAAGAGAGAGTGAGGGAGAGGCGGACCTGGAGGTACTCCTCGCTCGAGTAGGCCTCGGCAAACCCATGCCGCATGTTCTGCACGAGGAAGGGTATCAGTGTCGTGCTTGTCGAGGTCTCGAGAGAGGCGAGGGAAGGGTGGGACGCACGGAATCTGGGTCGACGGCCTCGTCCCACTCTGGATAGCCGTGGCCGGCGTAGCCCGAGTGGTCCAACTGCGACTCGCCCTCGTCCGAGTCGTCGTCATAGTCGTCCGAGTGCGATACGTCCGAGTAGTCGTCTGGCGGAGCGAGGCCCTGCTGCTCGACGAGACGAGCCATGATCGGGAGGTCTGCGAGAGGAGAACGGGCCGCCGTCAGTGGCAGCTCTGGGGCAGGCTGGATAGGCCTGATGAGAGCTCTCGGTCCCAGTGCTCACCTTGTGCGCCTTGGTAGAGGTCGTCGTCGGTCGCGAGGGTTGAGGCGGGGGAAGGTCGAGCGGGAGAGGTGGGCGCAGCGCACGCGACGCCGGTGCGAGCTGGTTCGAGGCGGTGGGTGTAGGCGTAGCTAGTGCAGGAGCAGTCGGAGCTGCACTGCCTCCCGCGAGCGATGCGGGGCGAGCTGATGAGGGAGAGCCGTCGTCTCTCCCCTCTCGCCTTCGACCACGACCACCTCGCCTCGACAACCCGCTCAAGCCAGCCAGTCGACCCGTGCATCGTGACGAGCACCTTCGACTTGCCCGCCGAGCCATGTCTGCGCTCAGCCCGGCCGTCACCCCGGGCCCATCACCCGCACTCGGCGCACCTCCTCCCCACCTCGCTCAAGCGGCACAAGGCGGCAAGCTCTCGCCGAGGCAAGCACTCGACGCTACCAAGCAGAAGGACCTCACAAAAGGTGCGCCCTCTTCCCGCCTCTGTCTCTCGTCCTCCCTAAGCTGACCGCCCCACCTCGCAGTCGTTGTCCGCTTCAAGGCAACCGGCAACGCGCCCATCATGAAGCAGAACTTTTACAAGATCACGGCCAGCAACCAGTTTCGCACCGTCATCGCCTTTCTCCGCAAAGAGCTCGGCTGGAAACCGGCAGACTCGCTCGTGCGTCCCCTCCCTTTCCCGGAGCGAGAGCGCGCACCGTCACTGACTGCCCTCCTCGCGCATCCAGTTCCTCTACATCAACTCGTCCTTCTCGCCCGCACCCGACGACACGGTCGCCAACCTGTTCAAGGTGTGCCCAGACCCGCTCCCTCGTCCATCTCCTCGTACCGCCGACTGACCTCCTCCCCTCGTGGCGCACGCAGTGTTTCGGCACCGAGGGCCACCTCATCGTCAACTACAGCTCGACGCAGGCCTGGGGCTGAGCGCGCAACCTCACCGCAAGGCGCCAACCCTCACCCTTGCCGATAGTCGTTACTGCTCGCCGCACACCTCGTTCTCGATACCCTCTCGCCCCTTGTCGTTCCGTATACCCTCCCTGCAACTCGTCTGGTCGCCATGTCGCAGTTCGCCGAGAGATAGAGAGGCTTTGTTCCGCTCTGTCGGTTCAACGAGACCTGCTCGCTCAGCTTTCCAGGGCGCGCAGGAGGGAGAGACCGGCTTCTAGATACAGTTCGGGCCTAGAGGATGCTACAGACGAGGGGCAGGAGGCTACAGCGTGTGCGAGAGGGGGCTACAGGGAGGGTGCGCCGGCGCGCGCGAGGAGAGAGGGAAAGGGAAGAAGACAAGGTTTGGCGCAAGGCGAGCGGCGCTCGAGCCTCGTCGAGCCGACGACGCTCGCTCATGCGAGACGCTCGTGCTTGTCGAGGATGTCGAACGGGTTGACAAAGTTGACGACCGGCGTCGGCTTGGACCAGCCGGGCGCGACCACGGCGGTCGGTGCGTCGGCGGCGGCGGCGGCGGCCTCGACGGGCGACCGCTTCGAGGCTTGAGGCTTGTGGGCAAAGGGAAGAGCGGCGATGACGCGGCCCCAGGTCTGCAGGGCGAGAGGGAGGAGAGCGAGTCAGGCTCGGGCTCGAGAAAGAAGAGAGGTCCGTGCGAGAGAGGGAGACAGAGAAAGAGGGACGCACGCTTCGCAGCGACGCAGCGCCCGAGGGCTCGGCCGCAGCCGTCGACTCTGCCGCCGACGATGTGCTGCTGCGACTCTTGTGCGCGTGCGTGTGGAGCTTGTACTTGGTGTACGACCGGGTCGACTTGGTCGTGGTCGACGACGAGGCGTCGAGCCTGCGCGGCACGAGGGCATGAGCCAGCTGCTCGAGGACGGCGCGAAGGTGCGCGAGAGGCGACTGGTCGACTGACATGCTCGTCGCCGTCGTCGGGTCGGTCGAGGTCGAGGTCGAGGCGGCGGTCGAGGCTGCGTCGGCGGCCGAGGTCGACGCGACGGCTGCGTCGGACGAGGACGGGGCGGCGGCAGCAGGCGCAGGTGCGACGACGCCGAGGAGGTCGCCCCGACCGACCGTGATCATGCCCGTCTGCGCCTTTGCGACGCCCGTGCCGACGACCGGGCCCGGACCTTGGCAGATGAGGAACACGAGCGGCGCGTTGTGGAAGTTGTCCTGGAGCGTCGAGCCCGTCGTCGTCCAGTGGTCGTACACGAACGCCTGGCTCGCGGGCACCATCGGGTTGGGCACACACGCCTCGGACGGCCCGCCGCCGAACGCGGCGCCCGACGCGTCGTTGCCCGAGATCATGGCCTTCTGGTGCCCGGCGACGGCGACGGCGTAGCCAAAGTACCCGCCCGAGCCCGACTTGAAGACGTTGTTGCGCACGATGCCGCCCCAGGTCCGTGCGGCGGTGCGGTTCTGCAGTTGGGAAGGTCGAGAAAGGTCAGCTCGTGCTCGAGCTCGAGCGGTGCGGTCGCATGCGGTTCGAGTCGTAGAGCGAGAAGAAAGAGGAGGGGACAGGAGGAGAGAGGAGGGAAAGGAGGACGCACGTCGCTGCCCCAGACCATGCCGCCGAGCGCGATGCCGGCCTTGATCATGTTGGTGTCGGCCAAGATGACGTTGTTCTCAACGACCGTGCCCTCGAACGAGCCCGAGAACGGGCTGTAGTCGACGAGGTTGATGCCGCCGAGAGGACGGCGCTGGCGAGCGATGATCGTGTTGCCGCTCACGACGGACCCGGGCGCACCAAAGATGACGATGCCGCCGTCGGTCGCGTCGACGATCGTGTTGCCCTGGACGCGAGACCCCTTGCACGCGATCGAGATGCCGTCGGCCCACTGCTCGGGCACGTAGACTTGGTCGTCGCGCTTGAACTGCTTGCCGTTCGTCGGCGAGTGGCCGCACGGGCCGACTTGGTTGCCCGTGATGAGCATGCTGTTGCACGAGTTGCCGTTGCCCTCTGTGACCGGGAGAGAGAGAGTGTCAGGGGTGGGTCGACGAGGAGAGGAGCGAATGCTCGAGAGAAGGAGGAAGGAGGGGAACGTGCACTCACCGATACCGTGGAGCGCGGACCAGCCACGAGGCTCCCACAGCTTGCAGTTCTTGACCGTCTGCCCGACGTTGTCGCCGCCGAGCTCGAGGAGCGCAGGGCCGTTGTTGAACCCGAGCACGTCGCGCTGCCCGGCCACCTGGATCGACTCGACGACGATGTTGTCGCACCCTTGGCATGCGCCGAAGATGGCGCACGCCTGGTCCTGGCCCGTGACGACGAGCGTAGCACGGGTGTCGCCGGTCGGGCTGCCTGCACTCGGAAAGAAGGGTTAGATCTCGCCCGAGCCACGTCGCGAAAGCGGGAGAGGGGACGCACCCTGCGTCGTGAGGACCTGGTCGGCGGCCGTAAAGTGAACCGGGTTCGTGAGCTTGATCGTCGCGCCCGGGCAGAGCTCGACGACGGTGCCGGCGCCGCCGTAGTGGAAGAGGGACGAGATGAGCATGTCGTCGGCGGTCGAGTCGACGCACGCGGCGCGCTTGAGGAGCGAGTCGCCGTCGACCTTGTTGCCGCGCTTCTGGATGTCGACGTCGACAATGTTGTCGAGGCCCGACCGGCGGGCCTTGACGGCGGCCGACGCCTGCGCGGCCGCCGCCATGTTGGCGATGGCGCTCCTCACGGCCGCGTCCTCGAGGTACTGCGGCGGCGGCAGGTCGAGCGAGGGCGTTTGGAAGGAGCGCTTGGCTTGCTGAGTGCCCGTTGGTGCCGGGCGGGCCGTGATAAGAGGCGAGAGGGCGAGGAGGCCGAGGACGGCGAGGGAGGCGAGGGACGAGGACGGCATGTCGGGCGGCGGGTTTGCGGGATGTCGAGGTCGAGGGGCGAAAGACTGGCCAGCAGTCTGTGTCGGGGGAGGGGGACGAAGGCGAAGGACGGCGGGTGAGGTGGGCGAGAAGGACGGCGACAGGAGCGAGGGAGAGAGGGAGGAGGTAAAGGTGCGAGTCGAGCTGACGCCGGTGTCGCGGTCCCGAAGATGGAGGGAGGGAGAGCCGGCTGACGAGCTGAGCCGGTCAGAGAAGACCCATGAACGAGGGTCGGCGTGCGCAATGGCCCTGAGCGCCGTAAGGCGACGGGCGACAGTGCGGCCGCGCACCTTGACGCCGCGAGTCGATCACCCACTCGAGGTCTCGCGCCGTGTTTGGGTAGAGTCGAGCGCTCAGAGCACGGCGTGCGTCGACGTTCTTCCCGTATTCGACAGGATGCGGCCGTCGACGGGCGCCGGAAGCGGAAGGCGCAGAGGAGGAGCAGGAGAAGCGGCCGACCGTGAACGGTTCGTCCAGCTCACCTTCTCGCACCGAGAATAGCGTGTCGGCCGCCAGACTCGGGCAGGGCAGTCTGTGCGGCGGCGACGAGCCCGTGAGAGCGGGGGAGAGCAGACGGCGGATCTCTGAAGCCGGCGCGAGCGACGGCGGACGCAGGGCAACGCGCGCCGCTCAGCGCCAGGTTGCGGGTACTAGGAGCCAGCGAGCGGCCCGGCTGTAACCCCTGAGGGCGGGTTTGCGGTGGAAGGAGGAGGGCGAGCCCGCGAAGAGCGAGTCGAAGGTCGCACCACAGCTCGACGGCCGTGCCTCGCGGAAGCACTCTAGCTAGCCTGTCCGCCTTTGCTGTAGATCGACCCTCGGCACCCGCGACCGCGCAGTCCCGCCTGAGCCCGCCCCGCTGCGACCACCTCGTCGGCGCACCCCGACTCGGCCAACCTCCGAGGTCACCATGCCCGCATCGCCCTCCAGCCGCTTCGAGGAGCTCTCCGACGACGACCAAGCTCCCAGTACACCTTCTCCAGCACCGCCCTCACCTGCACCTGTCGTTCCGGCCCCGCCAGAGCAACCCGCAACCTCATCAGCCGATGACGGATCTGACGACGACGACGACGAGGAGGACAGCTGGTGGACCCCGTCAGAGCTCCGAGTGCGTCCAAATCCCTTCAATGTACCCCCGAGGGTCCCGGACACCGCCAGTTCCCAAGCTCACCCTCGTCCACTCCCGCCCTTCCCTTTCCCGCCTCTCCCAACTGCACAGGATCTGCTCGACCACGCCCAGGCGCTCAAGACCCGTGGTAACGGCGAGTTTGGCCAGAGCCGCTGGTCGTTCGCGCTCGAGACGTACCGCGAGGGTCTCGCCGAGCTCCCTGTCCGGCGGCGCAGCGTCAAGGGCAAGGAGAAGGCGCTGCCCGAGGGCGAGGACGAGGGCAAGCAGGAGCGTACCGGTGCGACGGTCGCAAGGGCGGGCGAGGTGGACGAGGAGGCAGAGCTCGACGAGCTGAGCGAGCTGCGGGCCATCCTCTCCGCCAACATCGCCGCGTGCCTGCTCAAGCTTGTGCGTCCACTTTCCGCCTTTTCTCTCAGCCCATCGTAAGCTGACACGCTTCTCGTCGTCGCAGGAGCGCTGGAAGGAGGCCGTCTCGGCGTGCGACGACGGTACGTCGCCCTCTCTTCGCTCAAAACCCCGGGCCGACCGTCACTCACCGCGTGATCCTGCAGCCCTCGAGGACAAGGCCGACTACGCCAAGGCGATACATCGGCGCGCGCTCGCCAACGAGGCGATCGGAAGCTGGGGCAGCTTGACCGCCTCTCTCGAAGGTGCGCCCTCTTCTCCCTCTCTCGCGCTCCCGACCTGTCCCTTACCCTCGTCGGCCTGCAGACTTTAACAAGCTCGCCAGCCTTCCCGGCAACTCGCCCATCCTCGTGAAGCAGATCAAGGTCGCGCAGGCGCGGCTGCCCAAGAAGATCGAGGACCAGCAGGCCAAGGAGAAGGACGAGGTCGTCGGCAAGCTGAAGGACCTGGGCAACATGGTGCTCGGTCCGTCCACTCGTTCTCTTTCTGTGCGTCGTTCGACCCCTGACCTGGACTCGTGAATGCGCAGGCAAGTTCGGGCTGTCGACCGACAACTTCAAGCTGCAGGAACAGCCGGGAGGAGGGTACGGCATCTCGTTCGAGCGGTAGCGAGGGTCAGCGACGTCGGCGGGCGAAGCCGTGCAACTCGTCGATGAGCTGGACGTGCTTGTCGGAACGAGAGAGCCTGTCGTGCTCGAGAGCGAGAGCGAGTCGACGACCGGGACGGCGAGCAGAGAGGCTAGCTCTGCGATTTTCGCTGTGCGCGCCTGCCACGGGCCGTGAGACAGTACAAGAGCTTTCTGTGGGAGCAGTCCCTGCGCAAGAGAGCTGGCCAGAGAGCGGACTCGGACCAGCACCGCCTCCTCGTTCTCATCAACAACTCACTCCCAACCAGCTGCTCTCTACCTGGCCAGCACTTGTCTGCGTCCAACGCGACGTACCCTCGACCTAGCTGCCACTCGCAAGCCCCTCGGCCACGCTCGCCACCTCGCGCCGCCCGCCATGCCGCCCAAGCGGACCAGCACCTCCAGCTCGTCTCGCCCCTCCAAGCGGTACCGCCGCGCGCTCGACATCGGCTCCGCCACCACCGCCGACCTCTCGGTGCGCCACGCGCAGGCGCAGCTCCTCGCCGAGCACGCTGGAGGCGGGGCGTCGTATCTGTCGACCCGTCGAGTGGACCGAGTCGGCGTGCGGTCGCTGCGCGAGATCGCGCTCGAGGCGTCGGCAAGCGGGCTGTACGAGGCGATGCGGCTCCACGGGCGCGAGAGCGGCGGCACGGGCGGCGGGCACGGCACGGCGTCGTCCTCCTCGAGCGGCAACATCGGCTGGAACCCGAACCGCGACCCGGGTCGAGCAGCCGAGTCTCGGCACCTGCGCGAGTTCATCCAGTCGCTCCCGAGCGAGGTGTCGAACCGGCTCCTGCGCCTCGTCATCGAGCAGACGACGCGCGGGAGCCTCGACGCGCCGGGCGACCCGGGCATCTCGGTCCTCGCCGTCTCGGCCCTCTTCTTCCACCCGAGCACGACGCGGCTGTCGCTCAGCAGCGCAAGCGCCCCGAGCGTCCTCCTGTCGCGCATCCCGCAGTGCACCGCCCTCGCCGACCTCGACCTGAGCTCGCACGCGTCGCTCACCGACAAGAACCTGGCCAACATCCTCGCCAAGCTCCCGTCGCTCGAGCGCCTCAACGTCAAAGGGTGCACCAGGGTCGGCGACGCCGCCATGGTTGCGCTGTCCAAGACGAGCGAGGACCGCCTCAAGGTTGTCAACCTCAGCCTGTGCGCGGTCACGATCAAGGGCCTCACGTCCGTCTTTGCGCGCTGCAAGAACCTCGAGGTCCTCAAACTCGCCAACGTCCAGTCCCTGACCGACAAGAACGTC